GGGCGAAGAATGGGCTTTTATAGGTACCTGGGAACTGGTCAGCAGAAGAGCAACCACACAGCCACGGCATATTTAAGCTTCAATGCTACAGGGCTACTAGACTCAATTGCAATTGGCTTGAGCAGTTCGATCCAACTCACCAAGTGATAGGACAGGCCAGGCGAAGGAGACGGGCAGATCAGCCTTTGGGGCTTTCCAGATGGCGGCACAAGAGGGTTTGACGACGAGTAGCGTGATGGCGTTGCGGAGAGTCCGTGACGTCTAGAGCATAGTCAAGACAGCCGCAGACAACGAGTACCAGAGACCAGAGGGAAGAACCAGCAGACGGGGCGGCAGAGCAGAGCCGGAGCAGAATCGCAGGAGCACAATGAGGCTTCGAGTAGGTTTGAGGAGTCGAGGAGGTGGAAGTTCTACAAGCTTCTCGTAATGCCACGATCGACTTTCTGGCCCGCGGAGCCACTTTTGGTGGTGACTGTCCAATTGGCGCCAATCGCACCACCGGCGCCAGAGCTTCCGCCTCGGGGTACTCCATACCTCTCTCGTTACCTTGATTGGCCCTGCCTCCAGGTATCGAGACCAATTGATGGGTACAATGGCAGTAGCTGCTCCGCCCGCCCAAGGAGCGTAGCCCCCCAGGTACAGTACAGGTGCTGCCAGTTGTTGGGGGAGAGTCACGGGCTAAGTCATGTGATGACACTTGGGACCCCTGATAGATCAATTGAGATCTTATCGCGTCCAACAAGGGATCAGGAATCAGCCATGTGGCCTTGACATGTTATATTGCATTGGTCCAGACAGACTCTGTATCTCGCGGGATTCACTCTGCAGTTCTCATACTGAGCAGCTGACCATGCGATACCGAAGTGTGAAAGGGGTTCAACCTTTAGTATCTGATTGATGCCCAAGTACAAAAGCCTTTGGGTTGATTCTAACAGTACAGAGTTAGTAAGGTCGAATTGGGAATAAGGTTATGGATGTCCAGGGGTTCAATTACACCAGCAACATGAACACAGCCTCCACCAGACGAAACCTTGCGACAGCCTCGGCGCGCATCACGGCTACACACTGGTTATGAGCATCCAAGCGACAGTTTTACGCTTTAAAAAAAATTAAGAAAAAACATAAAAATCAAAAGATAAAAAACAAAGACTCCAGTTATTTCTCAATCTGGACCGCGGCCATGCAGGCTCCGACGATCACGTAGTGCCCTTCCAGCTGCAGGGACGTCCATCTGTCATCCACAGCTGGTGCTACACGGCTGGGGAAAAGAGGCTTCCAATGCCGCGAAACTCCATGGGCGCCTTGATAGGACTATGGAAGATGGTAGTTCAAGACGATCATCTCCCTTAGCATGTGGCGGGCCCCAGTAAGGGAGAAAATGGAACTCCCTGGGCTTCTTTCATCCCGTCTGAAACGCATCTGATGCCTACATGTATACGAGCGATACGAAAGATGGTCGTGTCTGTCGCGATGCCTCCTTTGGTGAGCCATGCCTACCTTGCCTTGACCGAGGGCCAAATCGTCGTGACGTCGCCTATTAATTCCGACTTCTGCAAGCCACAAGCAGGGTTGGCTTTCCAGACGTATGCCAAAGGACTTTCTCGTATAACACACCACTTGAGACAAGGGGATAAATCGCCCTAGCTCGACTGTCTTGTGAGAGGTACAAGTTGTCTTTAGCACACGATCGAGGGGTGGAAAATGACAAAAAGGTGGCAGCGAGAGACAAATCGGGCTATTCATCATGTCAGGTTTGCCCATGTGCCGGTCTGAGACCTATACCTGGCTATTGACGGGCTGTAAGTCGTGGGAGAGAAAAGGTCATTTTGCTCCTTTGTGAACGAATGAGATCCGTCTAGTACTTGTGTCGGGCCGCCAATTGCCGCTGAAGGTATGTATGTCTGAAGGAGAGGTTGCTGCGATATCATGTAAGATGACCCTGGTCAGATGGACTGAGCTCGTGAGCTTCGACTTTGAGTGGTTGAGGTCTGTGTGACTTTCTATGAGAAGAAAAAAAAAGAAAGAGCAAAATGACCAGAAACGAAGCAAAAGTACAGATTGAGTCTCTCATCGCTCATCAAAGCAGGCGATGGAGATCGCAGGACAAGCTTCATGGGTTGACTTGAATAACGGCAGCAACTCGCCGTGTAGAGAAATTGCATGGAATGAGAGCGGGGTGTCTCAGCATCGGCCCCAGCGTTATGAAACATTGCGACGGCTGCCACCGTTTTGCAGCAGATTGATTAAGCTGGAGCAGAGTTGAGCTGTCGCTATGGACCGATGCCCCCTTTCTCAGCATTGTCGTGACAGGTGACAACTCGGCCTCCCTACATCACGAGCGATCGGTATCAGCGCAAGGATCGGCCAAGACCCGGGAGCAGCCCCGCGCCTGCAGCAAGGCCGCGCCCAACCCGAGATGGCACGGGCTTCGTTCATGCTGTTGGTAGCTCTGATGTGACATGTCCAACGGCAGATCCCAATAATAATAACAGCGACGACGCTTTGGCGGCTGCTCATGCTGCTGTGCGGTCCGTTTAGCGGCGGGCAAGGCCTGAGAGCCACCGCAGCCTCGCCTGAGCACGGAGCAGCCTCGCTTCACGGCAGCGGCCAAGCAGATACATACTAATAACACGATCAATGCGTTAGGCTCAAGCCACGGCAGCACTTGGGCGCCTGCGGGAATTTCTCGAACAGAAGAAGGAAAAGAAGGGGGAAATTCTCCCAAGAAAGGCCTTCTTTATGCTCAGCTTTTAGTGCCACGCCGTTGATGGTTCACCCCACCGAAATCAAGATCCGTCAAGCAGTGGCTTTTCTGTCATTGTCTCGGTCGACGTTAAGTCGAAGCCACCGCCAGGGAGCAGCAATATTGTAGTTCCGGCGCTACCATAATCGTAAAGATGGTACTCGAAAGAGGCTAGAAGCGCATGAGAAATCACCGGCGCCAAGCCCGATCTGGTGCTTAGGTAGCCAAAGGGTCCTGTTGTGCTTTTGTTCTTTTTCTCCTCGTTAGGGCTTCTTTTCGATTTTTTTTTTCTTCTCCTGGCGATTGAGTTTTGGGTTTCCCAGTTCTTTTTCTGGCTCCGTTCAATACGTCTGACATCTGTACAGTTTGTGGCTGGCAACGTTGGCCAATAATCAAGTTCGTCCTGTTGAGAACCGTAGGGGAAATGGCCTCGACCACCATACCGGGCATCGATCTGCGCCAGTGACGATTGCAGCAGAAATCGCAGCACGAGCTTCCCCGGTTCGTGACAGGGGCTGGTACACATGTAGACGACAATCCCAGCCGATACGAATGAGCTCCGGCCGGGGATTGGAGCGAGCACCAGATGGGTCGCCGTCGTGCTTGACTTGTAAAGTAGTGCAGCATTATCATTCTTACCGACCCAACCTCACCTGATAATGCCTCCATTCAACAGCGTTCAACAGCATCCGGACAGCGAGCGCCTACTAAATGGACTGGCGATTGCACTTGAGAGTTGCCCGTCTGTTTGCCATGTACTATTACTTCGTGCCGTACCCTGGCATTCTCCGGCAAATACTGCAGGCTTTATCCCGGCTCAGCGACGACACGAGCGTGAACAAGAACTCAACTCGCTGCCGTCTCTGTGCCACCAAACATCGAACGGGGCCCCTCCCCCTCCTTCATTCAAAAGAACAGCGCTCCCCAAGCTTGACTGGTCGTCGTCCACCATGTGCCCGCGCCAGGCTGCGCACTGTATTTTTGGGACAACGGACGTGAAGCGCCAAGTACCGTGGACTCGCACATGCAAGCAGGCAGACCTGCGTCTACGTGTTATCGATCCATCACCACGCCGCGGGTGCATGTACTGGCAAATGGACCAGAGTTTGCTTGCTTACCTACATGCCAATAGGTACCGACAGAACTCGCCAAACGGGCTTCTGCGCCCATGTGGCTCGATGGCGAGCGGCGTCGCTATTCAGTGGCCCAGCTCGCCCCGTGGCGGCATTGTTCCCGTGGCTGTTGGACGGATCATTCTCACCAACACGCAAGTGCCTGTTTGCGCCAATGGCTGGATTATCCGGTCTCCTTATCCCGTGTGCTACTGCTGAAGCGTCCGCTCTACCAGTCTCATACGCAGCTAGAATCTGACTCGAAGATGAAGACGAGAAAAAAGCCCTGCTTATGACAGTATCAAGATGCCAAACTGCCTGCGTACAGAAGAGAGGAACTCCTTGGGCCTGACACTGTAAGGTACGACGCCGACCCACACAGGGCACAGTGCGCCTTTGCAGCGAGCCCGCACACACTCGCGCCCCTCGTGGGCCTATTATCTCTTGAACAATCTGCCACTCTATGGGGCCCAGCAGGCAGGGAATAGATTGTGTGTACAGACAGACAGACAGCACCGCAATGTAGCAGCGCAGCAAGATTGAAGGTGGACGGGATCGAGAGATACCGGGACGGCCTGTCAACTCCTCTTGATTCCCTCCTCATTCCACGTCTCTTGCCTGCTGTTTCTCGCACTCTCCCTCTCCATTTACAGCAGAAGAGGTCGTGCCCACAAGTACCAGGCCGAAGGAAAAGCGCCTGGCTGATACCTTAGTGCTCCGTTAGCACCTCCCACTACCGCCCGACCTGCTGCTGCTGCTGCTGCGACTCCATCGACTGCCTCGCCTTTTCCCTTGGGCCTGGCCCAACTTTGCCTGCCGCTCCGTCCAATCCCTCCATCCGCCTGCCTCCAAGTCCAGACAGCATCAGACCCCCGGCTCGTCCTATTGTCCAGGCCGATCCGCGCTCGTCTGGCAGTTGGATTGTCCGCAACGGCAAGCCGCGCCGCCTCATTGCAGCCAAAGGTCCCTTTTTTTTCTTTTGTTGCGCTCACACACGCACAGCACAGCACGCAGCACACAGCACACGCCCCCCAAAAAAAGAGAGCGTCCAACGGACGGACGGGCCACAGACCAGTGACGGGGACCCTCTTGTGTGTGGGCTGAGACACAGTCTTAGGTAAGGGTGCGTGCTGGACAAACCCATCATGGACCGCCAGAGCCCGCCGTTGAACGGCAATTCCCAGCGTCGCAAACTCGTCAAGCGGCCCCCCTCGCACCAGCCCTACGGCCGCTCCTCGTCCGGCTACGACACGGAGTCGCTCGACGGCAAAAGCTCCAGCTCGCGCAACCTTCGACGAGCCCCCAGCGCTCCGCCTGTGCGGTCCACGGCCTCCAACGCGTCCGCGTCCAAGTCCAGCGGCTCCCCGCGGCCACACCCCTCGAGCTTCCAGCAGCGAACGAATGCATCGCCAGACCTGAGCGCCCGCTTCCGCCTCAGCGACCCCAACCAGAGCCGCGGCAACGAGGACCTGATCGGGGCGCCCTTTGACGGCACCTCCATCCTCAACCACATCGAGTCCACCAAGTTCGCCTCGCCTCCTCCCCCGCCGCAGCCTCATCCCCAGCAGCCGCCGTCGCTCGTCAAGGCCGCGACCGACCCCCGCTTCGCCAGGCCCTCGCCCACCTCGTCGCCCAGCTACGCCGCCATGGACCAGGCGCTGGAAAAGCCCCAGGCTGGGCGCGTCCCCGACGGCCTCATGAGCCCCAAGCGCTTCTCCGACGAGGCCAAGGAGTCCAAGCCCACCACGTCGCGCAAGAAGTCTGGCTTCTCCGGCTTCGTCGATGGCCTGGTCGGCTCCCGCAAGAAGCCCGTCATCTCCGCGCCCGAGAACCCCGTCCATGTGACGCACGTCGGCTACGATAGCTCGACCGGCCAGTTCACCGTCAGTCCGATCCACCGCGGCGTCGTCGTCGTCGTTTCTGTCGTCACTTTCATCTTCATGCTCTGGGGCCGCCGCGTGGACCCCGCAGGGCCATCCAGCAGGTTCTCGTTGCCACGAGGAGGAGAATGGTGATGACGGTGATGATGACGGCTCGCGCCCTTGCTATTACTGTCGCTTATGCTAATGCTCGACCAGGGACTCCCCAAAGAATGGCAGCGCCTCATCAACGAGAGTGGCATCTCCGAGAAGGAGAGAAGAGAGAACCCTCAGACCATGGTGGATATCCTGCAGTTCTACAAAGAAACCACCGAGCGACCTCCCGAGGACCAGTCCCTCGAGAAGTTTCACAATGCGGGAGCGGCAGATCCTCGCCAGTACGGCGTCACGCCGACATCTCCAAGCACATATCCCAGCAACTACTTTGGTATGTATACTCTTCCGCGCATGTTTTCCCTTGTGCAGCCCGCCCGCGTCGCGCCCCGCCGGCTGTTGAGAGAAGCAGTCTTTCTGACCACTAGTCTGTCACTACAGGAAGTTTTGAGAACCCTCGGGCACCACCTCCTGTCCCTGCTGGTAGGACTCATGGTTCCGGGCCAGTGAAGGAGATCGTGCCGAGTCGGCCGGCACCAAAGCCCCCGATTAGCATGAACAACAGGCCACTCCCGCCCGGCGCATACGTAGCAAAGGACTCTGGTATCGGCATGGCCCAGCCCCTGGATGACGCCTCGTCTAGTGGCCATAACAGAGCTCAAGAAGGCGCGCCGATGCTCCCCGAAGAGCATCGATCACGCTCCAACTCCCGCACCAACGGCCTGTCACCATACACTCCCCAGACACCGTCTCTCAGCCCCGCCAACCAGGCCAACGTCTACCAGCAGCAGTTGATGCAGCAGCAACAGGAGCAGGCCATGGCTCAGGCTCAGGCAGCCATGACTGGTCAGCTCGGCCGAGCCCCCAGCAAGAGACAGCAGTCACCCCATATGGCAGCTCCCGCGGCTGCGGGCTACGCCCGCACTCCCGAGGCCAACGGTCACCACCCCGCCCAGCGCCAACAGCCCAGTCCCGGCGCATCTGCGCCAGCACCCAGTGCGCGTCCCCGGCAACGAGTTCGCCAGAGCAACGGCATGGACGTCGTGGCCTCGCTCAAGCGGATATGCAGCGAGGGCGATCCCCGCAACATCTACCGAGGCTTCACCAAGATCGGACAGGGTGCTTCTGGTGGAGTGTACACGGGTCACGAGAGGGGCACCAACCGGCTGGTGGCCATCAAGCAGATGAACCTCGAGCAGCAGCCGAAGAAGGACCTCATCATCAACGAAATCCTCGTCATGAAGGACAGCTCACACCCCAACATTGTCAACTTCATCGACAGCTACCTCTGCGACGGCGAGCTCTGGGTCGTCATGGAGTACATGGAGGGAGGCAGTCTCACAGATGTCGTGACGTTCAACATTATGTCAGAAGGCCAGATTGCCTCGGTCTGCAGAGAGACGTTGAGAGGACTGCAGCACTTGCATTCTAAGGGAGTCATTCACCGTGATATCAAGTCCGACAACATTCTCCTGTCGAGCGATGGCAACATTAAGCTCAGTAAGTAGCCTCTATTCTTCTTGCCACAACCTTGCTTGTCTTCCAGGCTAACCACCCGTTTCCAGCCGACTTTGGCTTTTGCGCAACAATCAACGAGGCCCAGAACAAGCGGACCACTATGGTTGGCACGCCGTACTGGATGGCCCCCGAGGTTGTCACGCGCAAGGAATACGGCCGCAAGGTCGACATCTGGTCTCTCGGCATCATGGCCATTGAGATGATTGAGGGCGAGCCGCCGTACCTGACCGAATCGCCTCTACGAGCTCTGTGGCTCATCGCTACCAACGGGACGCCGCAGATCAAGAACGAGGAGCAGTTGTCGCCGGTGTTTAGAGACTTTTTGTACTTTGCATTGAAGGTGGACCCCGAGAAGCGGGCGAGCGCCCATGATTTACTAAGAGTGAGCTCCCATCATCCCACCCCTACTTCTCCTATCCCCTGGGGATTTGCTTTGCTGACCCTGTCTGCCCTTTGCAGCATGACTTCATGAAACTATGCGTCGATCTATCACAATTGGCTCCCCTGGTCCGAGCCGCACGAGAGCAGCGAGCCGCAGAAAAGGCTCGAAAAGGCGGCGCCTAAAGCATAGCAATGTCGTCTTGGTAGCACTTTTCATACCTACCTACCTACTTCACTCATCCCCGTTCCCAGCCCGCATACGGAAACACATCATCAACTACAGAGGTCATCCGCCCCCGCAATCATCTCGAGCGCAAAAGAAAGAAATCCTTGAATATTAGAGGCATACCATATCGTCGCGTTTTTTCTGCACCCTCATCTCTCTATCTCTCTCTCTCTCTCCGTCATGAGGAATTTCACAATCTGATTCGGGGGGGTTTTACCTACCCACGTGTCTGAGATACAGCTCCCCATCGCCATGATATTTCACTACCAGATTCTTGCATCTCTTTCTTCTTCAAAGAGTTACCATAGGGGGGGGGCACTTTTCATGACTCTTTTTAAAGTGTTGTCAAACACACTTTTTTCCCCGTACCGATTTTATTCACCACCATCAAAAACTTTCTTTCTTCGTTCTCCTCCGAGATCCAAGTCTCTTTGGTCTCGCGGAGCTTTCTTTTACCTTTCTTTTTTTTTTCTGATGTTCTTCGTTCTTTTGCAAAAAAGAAAAAACAAGAGTTCGTCTCTTTCTGTTTTATTAGTTCGAGTTAATACCCATGTGAAATAATAAAATGCATTGATCTTTTTCTCTTCCCTCCTATTCTTGTGTCCGTATCATGACGGGGTTTCCGAGTGTCGTGTTATCAAGGCTGAGAGAAGAAGGACGTTGCTACTGTAGCAGAGGGTGGTAGGACAGACAAGGGGGGGGGGAAACTCGAGAAGGACCAGACACTATTCTTCTTCTACGGCTACATCACATGACGGGCATTGATGGAAGGAACCGCATATACTGCGTGTTTAAGAGAGTGCGTTGGTATGTGCTGGGATTTGAAGAGTGTTGGCTTGTATGTCTACAGGGTGTGGTGGTCAAAGCATTCTGGGGGCGGAGGTGACGTAGAAATTTGGTGTTTTACCTATGTATCCAACAAGACGAACGTGCTTCTGCCATTACCTACTTCTTTACTGTTCTATACGCAGTCAAGCAGTGTCTTTCTTGGCAGAGGACTTGATCTTTCGAGATGTCTCCGTGATCGACATACTACCATGATCGACATACCGGTCGACACATCTTAGAAGATATAGAGCAGAGTTGACATCATACATCAACACTCCAAGCAGAGAAGCATACGTCAATATGCTTCTACAAACGTCTTTTTCACATTGAGCGATTGCACCAAGAGTCTAATGGAGGTACTGTAGAGCCATTCGGCCACGTAATTGAAATCATTCTGCCAAATCTGGCAAAAGCAATGGTTTTCATCTCTCTAAGTCTCTCTAGTCTTTCTCGTCAATGAACTCGCGACGTCTATTTCCTCTATGCGTGTCTGACCCCAATCGCAGACAGCAAAAAAAACAACCCGAATGAACTCCAAGCGTGAAAAACAAAAGGCAGAAGAGTGCAATGCATTTTTTTGGTCCGCAATGAAAGCAAAAGAAAAGAACACCCCAGATCGTGTAGTTTGATCGAAAAACGTCAATGGCCGAGGCCAACCAAAGCCTCCCATTTTTGTCCCTGCCTCAAAAATCGACTGCTGGTATCATCCATGCCCGAGCGTCCCATGCTGCGGGCGGTATCGCTTCCGTGATAGATATTAATGTGTGATGTGGAAAATGTTGGTCGAGGCTCTTCTCGCCCGCCCTTTAGTAGCAAGAGTAGCCACCGTCAATGATGACGTTGGAGCCGGTCATGAAGCTGGAGGAGTCGGAGGCGAGGAAGACGCAGAGGCCGTTGAGCTCGTCAACAGCACCCAAGCGCTCCTGAGGAGTCAGGGACTTCCAGATCTTCTTCTGGGCCTCGAGGGCGGGGACACGGTTGAGGGCAGTGTCCATGTAGCCGGGGGAGATGCAGTTGACACGGATCTTGTACTTGGCCCACTCGGCGGCGATGGACTTGGCGAACTGGATGACACCGGCCTTGGAGGCGTTGTAGCAGCTCTGCTCCTGGGGGTAGTTGACAATGGTGCCGGACATGGAGGCGACCATGATCAGGCTGCCGGGCTTGCCAGCGGCCATCATGGCGCGGCCAACGGACTGGGCCATCAGGAAGGAACCAGTGAGGTTGATGTCGATCAGACGACGGAACATGGCAGGGTCGTAGGTCTCAGCCTTGATGTTGGAGTCGGCAATACCGGCAGCGTTGACGAGAACATCAGGGGCGCCGTAGAGCTCGACAACGGAGTCGACGGCGGCGTTGATGGCAGCGCCGTCACGGACGTCGACCTTGAAGAAGGAAACGGGCAGACCAGACTTCTGGTGCAGCTCAGCGGCGGAGGCGTCGCCCAGCTCCTGGTTGGCATCGAAGATGACGATGGCCTTGGCACCGGCCTCAGCACAGGCGCGGGCCATGTGGTTGCCCAGGCCGCGAGCACCACCGGTGACAATGATGACCTTGCCCTGGACGGTCATGGTCTTAAGGGTGTGAGGCATCTGGTCGTAGACCTTCTTGCTCAGGGGCTCAACCTCATCGCGCTCAGCGGGGGCGGGGCTGTCGTAGGGGACCTTGGAGGCGCCCTCGGGGACCTGCAGGGTGGACTTGTCGCCCTGGCCGGCACCGTAGTTGGTGACGGGGACCTCCTTCTCGCGGACAACGCTCTTCTTGTTGGCGGTGTCAGAGACGCGGACGCCGCGAGTGGCAGAGAAGAAGCGGACGGCGTTGCTGGGGGCAGCAGCGCGGGAGGCGGCGGAGAAGTTGGCGGCGCGAGAGGCGCGGAGTACGCTTCGAGTAGAGAAGGCCATTGTGACTGTGTGTGTGTGTGTGTGTTTGGGTGGATGGAAGGGGTGTTGAGGGAAGAGGGAGATGGAGGAGAGATGAAGGGGTGGTTGTTCGATGGAAGAGAGAGAGAAAGAGTTCTCAAGAATCGAGAGGGAAGGACCTTGCGTTATAAACAATCCCCGGAGAGAGAGTCAAGACGGGAGATTGCTTGCGGGAAGGCGGTTTGGGTTGGTATGTGGTATGCAGAGAGGGGAGAGATGGAGATGGCTGCTTTCGACCAAGTCGAGGCGTGTCTTGATATAGCGATGGAGCTGGACGGGTGGGGGCGCCAAACATGGGGCAAGGCGGAAAAAAGAAAAAATGGCGAGGGGCGGTGGATTAGTGGGCTTTAGTGGACTCGAGTGGGCTCCAGTGGCCAGTGGGTGCGGCCAGGGGGGGGCCTGCAGTGGGCGTGCATCTGGGCCTCAGCGATGGCGAGTGGCTTTTCAGTGGGTGTGGCCGCTGCATTCAACTAAGAAGCTTAGCGCGGCGGGAGGTCCGGCAGCGATTTGGCTTGTTGCTGGAGTACCTGTCATGTACATTGGGGTGAGACGCGAAAACTCTGCTGAACCAGCACCGCAGTGGCTGATGGGCTGGCGGCTCTAAAATTAAATCCAACGGCGGCCCAATTGCTCGCAGAAACTGCTACGATACTAGACTACATGTACAGCAGGTAGGCACTCGTAGCCGACGAGAAAACTAGGAGTAGATGGGAGCCGGCTCACACACCATCTCGGATGATACAGACTGTACATCCAGACTCAGCCAGCTGACGCGTAGCGCCAAGGTAGAAACCCTCCGAAGGCTGTCTTTGTGGCACAACGGCTCTCAAGCCTTCCGTATTCGCAGCGGTCGAGCCTGTTCCTGGGCTCACGCCCGAGTACCGCGCAAGTACCGGTGAGACTTGGGCAACCTGGAGGGGGTTGAGGGGCAAAAAGTTGCAAGATTCAGCACAGCACCGCGTTACTCAGCAGGGTCCTGCTCCAGTGATCAACCTGTCCGTGCCCTCGAGCCTCCTGAGATACGGACAAGTACCGGTTCGCCGTCCACTGCAGACTGGATACATGATGCAAGATCTGCGCAAAGGCATAGGAGCTTTGATTCCTGTCAGGTTCTTTCGCGCAACGTCTTCTCGTTTCGAACTTCTCCATCGTTTTCCCTTGCGAGTAAGCTCTGCTGGCGGTGGCCCCAGATGATGGACACGTTTCTGTGGGCTTCTCCCGCCAGGTGACGCAAAGCGCTGCCCTGAGATGCTGCAAAAATGGGGTTTACGGGAGATTTTCAAGGGACCTCGAGTTCAAGGGCTGACAGTCGTTTACCTCTAGATGACCGCAATCTTGCCCGAGCCGCGCTGCCGATCGAGTGAGTGAGCCGAGATATGCAACTGCCAATCTTGCGTGGCAATTCCCAGCTGTTCCGTGCTGATCAGTCTGCTCAACTGCCCTTTGCTACACCGCGATTGTGTCAGTTCAAAGACGAGTATCAAACATTGAACCCAGTCGAGGCCATCCCATTGCCTGATTTTCGAATCCAGCCCGCGGATAGCAGACAGCCGGCAAGAGGGAGGGCGCGTTCTCGGCTGCCCTCCAGCCTCCATCGCCGACGCCGTCGGTTACAGTAGCGGTCCTGCAGCGCCCAATTGGATGGGCGATTGGATAATTCAGGAAATCTCTTCGCTGTACAGACAACGTGGCGCGGCACGCGGGTGTGGTGTTGTGGCGAACAAAACAGGTTGAATGGAAAGACGCTGGCCGGGCCTCGATCGGGATTCACCACAGGCAGCCACTCTAGCAACTAGTCTGCCTCGTACTGCGCAACTGGCAACCACAGTCGCAGCCGTAGATCTGCACGGCGGCCATGACCGTATCGGATCCGAGCAGTTGCAGAGAGGCAAAAGCTGGGGTTGCACTTTTGCCGCCGTGCTGCTGCAGGTCTTCGTCGGCTGCAACCAGGCGATCCAGCCTGACCAAAGCTTTTGAGCACGCAGAGGCCATCTCAAGCTGCCCAGTCCCAATGTTGTCCGACTCCGAGCGCAGAAGAGACACTGTGAGACATGAGAAGGACGGCACGTTCCTGAGTCAAAACGACGCTTGCGAGAGCCTGTGCGACAGTTGTAGATCGCACTGTAATAGAGCTCCCGACAATCCGGGGCACTTGCAGGCCGTCCTCACCTTTTTCGACGGCTTCGGTGAACAATGGCCACAAATACAACGGAGAGTCGCACTCGATGCTACCTTGGCATCAAGCTCACGCTGATGTTTCGTGACAGTCGTGCAAAACACTACTACCTCCTACCTGGTCACATGCGTCAGATCAAACTGCAGTCGGGAAGTTCCTTCGTCGTACTGCCGCTCTTCCTAAGGTACGCACTCCCAGCTCATCCGACATCGCCGCTCTGTGTCGCTGAGGTACACAGTGCGACTGTACTAGGTAGGTAGAGACAATGTCGCTGCAAGTGCACGCGTCCAGGCACCAAGAGGAGAGGCAGGTGCTTGGCAGTACCACCAGTCGTCGCTTCACTTTTTGGGCTTGATTCAGCTTCGCTCAACCGAACCCGATTGAGCCCAACAAAAACTCCTCATGACTTTTTCCTGCAACCTCCTTTATTACCTCGACTTCAGAATCTCTGTGTCAGCGCATTGGAGCCCGGTCCCTCTTTGCGACAGATCTGTCCTCTCCAGCTTTCTAGCTGATGGATCCTCCAGGCATCGACATTCTGTCCCGTGGGGGTTCCCACCTAGCCGAAATTGAGCGAGAAAAGGGCATCGTGGGTTTGGGGTGCGACAAAGGCAGATGTGGCGCTGCCCGGGAGCGTCTTGGCTCAGCTCTCCCTAGTCTAGGTACCGAGTATCGTGACTATTTTGAGGGTCATCCGGGATGCGGGATGAGACGGTAGCTCCAAGTACTCGTCCTGTATCTGTGCGATCTGAAGACCCTACATGCTTGCCTCTAATGCGATATGTACGAACGACGTGGATACTCAGTAACCTTTTCCGCGACGCAGGCACAGACTGTCTACCTACCCATCGGGAGCGCATTTGCTCGACGACGATGCAGCCGGCACGCCTACTCGTACATAAAGCACCCAGACGCATCGGGTATCTGACGCTTAGACACCCAGGAAGAACGAGGCTCTTCCCCCGGGGCTGCTCCTCCACCACGACGAACCTCTCCCTGAAGGGATCGCATGTCGTTCTTGTACCACATGCGCTCGGGGAATACCCCATCAAGCATGCAGCTACCTCCGAATCCATTGCAGACAACCCTCTTTCAAATCCTCGCATTCCATGGCTTCCGACGCTGATTGCAGCGACCCGAACGGGATCGGAGCTTCTCCCTCGGCTATGACAGCCTGTTAATGTCTTGGATGCCATCTAATTACTATCGGCCGCACCTTGAGGCCTAAAAGGCTGTGTATTGGCTCCGACATCTGCAGCAGGACACAAACTCAACGAGTCAGGACAAAGTCGCTCTGACGCAAATGCGAAGTTGCGTACCTGTCGCTCTCCACGGGATCCTGTGGAACCCTGAAACATTTTCACAACATCTTGATTCATTGCAAGGTACTACAAGAAAAAAAAAACCAAGATTCTTTGCCTTTGAAGTCATACCTCATCTCTTTTTTGCTTTCACAGAATTTCATTACAAAAGTGGCTGCCCTTGTCACGACCGGTGTCCAGCCATCCCCCACGCGCCAGTTTCTCTTCTGCACGCCACTGGGTGCTGCTGGAGCTTCTGCATCGGCTTCTGGAAGCACGGCACACCAACATGAAGCCGCCCTAACAAGGCTAACAAAGCGTTGTGGAGAGGCAGGGAGGGGCACCGTGGTCCACTAAGCAGCTGGGAAAGCGAAGGAATTGACAGAGGAGCATGGTTGCCGATCAGGCGACGGGATCCGGACGCTGCCAGAAGCGGAGCCTGCGACCTCACAGAGACGAAGGGGGGGCAGACAAGGTACCCGCGCTCAGAGATTGCACTGCTCCGGGCTCCAGCCTCGTGGAGCTTGTATGGAGCTTCGAAATGTGTCTGCCTAGAGGTCAACGGGGCACTGGAGAGCACTTGCTGCAAGCCATCTGGAGACATGGGCGTGCGTGCCTTGGTCTACACGGCGAAGGAGCGACAAAAGAGGATGGATGGATGGGAGAGCTGCGACAAAAAACGAGTATGGGGGGGGGAGACACAGGAGATGCGGTGTGCCGAACTGTTCGACCTGCTTGCGACCAACCCAACCTGTACGAGTACTGTACTGTACAGTACATGGACAGGTACGCATGCCCAAGGTGCTTCCAAACCGGCGACTTCGGCCAGGCCTATCCGTGTCCCGTCAAAATGTGTGATTAGGCCAAGCTGGCGGCTCAGCGCATGATGCTCACTCACGCTTTGCCCCAATGATGACCCCTGAGCCATTGCGTCGTCACCCCACCACATCTTGACAGGAAAGGACATGCTCGGACTTGTATTACGAGTCCATTCTTACTGCACCAGGATCGATGCTAACGGAATCCCTGGCAGTGTCACGAGATCGAGGACGTAAGCAAACACAAGCCAGGAGGTGTACGGCGATTCCATTGCCATCTTCTTATGGCTCCATCATACGAGTACAGTGTCGCAATGCTATCTTCTTGGGATTTTCAGGGACCGACGATGCCTCCTCACGTTGTCACGGCAGCTTACCGCGAACTCAACTGGCCACTCCACAGTTTGACTTTAGCGCAGTGCCCTCTACCGTTTTCCCGCAACGGGACTCCGACAAGTCTGTCCTCGTCAATAAGGTTGTTTGGCGCGCCTCCCTGGCAAAGGGAGGCCGGACCAGGGTAGCTAACCCTTGTCAACATTTTTCTCTGGGGTCTGTCTCCAGGAGCGTGGAACAGATGCACACACCCACCACTTTGGTCTCCCCCCTTTACGCCTGGAGCGTTGAGGAAGCTTGAGGTATGGTACACTCCTGCCTGTACTGGCTTGAAAAACGTTTGATGACCACATTATGGGTACCTAGGCAACTTGCGTCCGCCCGCAAGCGTTTTGGGTGCCAGAGCCGCACTGATGTTATACTAAGGCTCCAAGAGTCTCGATACAGCGTCAACTGCCCTGGTGAGTGTGATTTCAGCTCTCGTGCCTGTACATACGAGACATATCCCGTACATACGAGTACTTGTATGCCCGTCTTACTCACCCCTCCTGGTTGAAGCTGGCATGAGAGAACGCAATTCGAGAGGGAGTCGCTTCGTTTAGGCATTGGTCAAAGCTTCTACCGTTGCGCTCAGTCAACACCCCGGATTTCGCGAGCCGATGCGGAAAAAAATCAAACTGTCCGCATGACCTCTGCGAGATTGAGCCTGGGTCTTTTCCCCCGGGGGCCCGGAGCATGACACCGCGGCCGGCAACGAGGGCTCCCCACGTTTTCCAATGGTTGGCGACTTGGGTCGAACAGGCTTGCCTGTCTGGTGGCTTGCAACAGCCCCTGAGCCACCCCAAAGTTGGCTCAGCTTTAGGACGGGTTTCGTCCTTTTGACCTTGCTACATACGACCAAGACTTTGGGCAAGAGTCTCAGTTCTCGTCTCTCTCCATGGCCGTTGATCCTGCATCGCTTTACTTTGGAAGTGCTCTGACAGGGGCCATCATGAGCCTCAGACCACCAACACAAACTTTCTGCTTCTCCAACTGCAACTAGCAGCAGGAGCAGCAGCTGTTTGCAAGGTTGGGTCCGGGCTCCGGTGGTGAGTGACAGGAAAATTTTTATTTAGCTGCCTAGACCCTCTTCTCCTCACCAGCGAGATGGTGTGGCCATGGCTGCGCTGCCGGCAGTCGAGGCGCGATCTATCGAATGGGCACCTCTGCAGGTCTCAGCAACAATCTCCACAAAGAGAGCAACCCTCCCGCGAGAGAAGCTTGGAGGTGCTTCTCCATCGTCGGGTTTCCGTTGCAATCCTCAGATACGGGGGGTGGCGCTTTTTTGGGCGGGAAACAACTTCCCCCACATTAAGCAAGCTGCAGCTCTCGTGTGTTGCTGTTGCTGCAACCATACCCCACGCCTCTGGAGAGCTCAAGCGTCGGAACATGCGAAGCGAAGAGATTGGGTCCTCGAGGGTTATTGGCACATTGCCTCCGACTGCGAAGCACACTCAACCGGAAACGTGGCGTGCTTCTCTTACACCACCTCCTCTGCAGGTCAGTCCATTATCACGTTGTCCAGACTTGGGTCCGTCACAATCTCGACCGCTGTCGAATTTTCCTGCAGCCCCTCCTCGGGCTACGAGTATAGCATGACCGGGGCCGATGCCGCCCTCGATTGGCAGCCGGTCTCTACGGCATCTGTGAGCTTCATGAGGAGATAAAGCTAGTAGTGTTCCGTGGTCTTTTAGGGTTTCCGGTATCGAACCTGTCGATACCCGGTCCATTGAGGGCACTGCCTCCCCCTCTTTGCCAGCGATAAGCGGGTGGGCGAAGCTCCTTCATGCTGATCTCGATCCCGTTCGGAGCGCAACCTCCGACTTACGTCCTCCCAAAGAAAAACTTGGAGGGCGGCAGCGGTTGACCTGTCAGCTTCTTCGGTTCTTTGGGTTTCTACCTTCACCTGCTGGGGCCCCCAACGCCAGCCAAGGAAGCTGTTTAACAAGGCACCTTTGGAGTCGTTGATGATACTATTTCGTATCTGTGTGCGGGGATCCGTCGGCTGGTCAGGTTGTGGTGCATTGCATTTGCATTGGCACCTTGCCTGATGCATGCAGATGCGATGCAGTAGCATCGAGACTCCGCGCCGGTGCATTGTTGGGCTATCAAGGTAATTAGGTAGTCTGTCTACCTTGGTTTGCCTCTCCTCTCCAACTCCTTCGTCAGGTGTGCCGATGGTCGGTCTTGCAACGGCTTCCTTCTCGCGTTGTTGACTCTTACGCGCGTCAACTCCTTGCGCCTGCATTGAACACACCCTAACATCCGGCGGCAGCCACAATTCATTGATTTCATTGGACGACTTGCATGGCACCATGCCTGAACTGCATTGGTTGTCTACTCTACTCCGGGAAATACGAGAGGCGTTGTAAATGAACAGAGCTCGCTATAAACCAATCACCCCAAAAGGCCGAAAAGCCACAGAGCCGAAGACCGAAATGCAAGCACAGTCAGCTTGACAATTCTCTTCATGATCAGGAGAATATAGGCCAAGTTTGCAATACGCCTTCTCCTAGATCGGAAGAGGCAAACTTCCAACGTCCCCTCCTTCATCCGAGAAATGAACCGGCCTCTCTCTCTTTTTCCTTGATCTCCTCAATACCAAAAAAAAACGCCGGGGTATGGTAACCCACCCAGGCCGAAACCCTCATGGCAGATCGTGTGGTGTTACATGTCGAATTACTTCGTACCGCCATCCTCATTAACTAAACGCAGACAGGGAAATGACAAAAACGGAAAAGAGAGCAAGGGTGAATGAGGCATGATACGGGTAAGCTAGATTGTAGATGGTCTTGACGACTGCCGTATTTTCAATCGCGCTCAGGCGCAGGGATAATCAACTCCAGTAATGAAGCGATATAAGGGCTCTGCAAAAGAAAAAACCACACATTAGTCCCAGATCCTTGCAGAACAAGGGGGGAAAAGCTCAAAGCAAAAAGGACGTAGAGTAACAACATACCATGGCAAGGTTCTCCGCCAAGATACCATACAGCTGCGACAAATGGGGCCGGAACAGCCTCTCGTTCCAGCCCCCCTTTTCAGCTGTCCTAGACTGCTCCTTGAGGAGCTCCTCCTCCGCCTCCGTCTTGACCACGTTGCGCGCAATGTTGCGAAGCACCAGCACGGCGCTCAGGGGGATGCCGCCAGCCTGGGGAGGCGCCTCGGGCATGCGCTCGTCGCGGAACGTCGGCGTCTCTTCCAGCACGATGCTCATCGTCTTGGCCGGGATGACCCACGGCTGCCGCGGCCGCCTGTTGTTGTGCGAGCCGGGACCGGGGATCATGGTCGAGATGTGCGTGGAGATGTGGCGCGCAAAGGTGTGCAGGCGCATCTTGGTGGGCTTGTCGTACTTGGTGCACTCGCCCCAGGTGCAGCGGTACTCCCTCTCGACGTTGGGGAACTGGCCGTTGTCGCCCCGCTGCTCGTTCAGGTGCATCGTCAGGATGTGGTTCCACATCTCCTCCTGCTTGAGGTAAAAGTGGCCGCACTTTTCATTCTTCTTGTCCGGGTTCATGGCCCACAGGCAGCGGCCGTACTCGGTGCCGTCAAAGGCGAGGGGCCGGGGCCGCGCCCGGATGCCGTGGATGATGAACTTTTGCTGTGGGTCGCCCGGCTCTCTAAGCACTTGGGCGTTGGAATCCTTGTACACAGACGTACTGCTCCTAATGAAGTCGGCCGGTGTGATCATCGGTTGGTTGAGCGTCTTCAGGGGGGTAGCAAAAGCCGATTGGTAGGCCTGCCATGCGGCAAGCTGCGTGATGAACGATCGGTTGTCCTCCTCAAAGAAGCACCTGACCCACTGGTGAACCCGGTCGGGCTCCTCTAGCTTCAGCATCTCCTGCAGCAGGTCATTGGGCATGGGTGCAATTTCGTCCTTTGCCGGCAGCCTCTGTTCTGGTACCAACGTGTAGTCCCTGGTGTACTTGCGAGCCCCGTGAGCCAGCAGCCGGACAAGCTGCTGGACCAGGTTGTCGGGGACGATGGAGCGCACCAGGTTGTCCAGGTTAGGGACAACGGCCGTGTACTGGTAGAGGAAGTCGAGGCAGGCGTCGATGAGCTCGTCGTCGTTAAGCAACAGCCAGTTCACGATACGCTGGAGGGTTGAGCCGGGAACCTCGCCCAATTTATTGGTGGCCTCCAGGTTCACAGAGATGCGTCCGAGGGCGCGGAGGGCGGTCAAAATCGTTCCTCGGTCTTCCGATGCTAGCTGAGATAGGAGCGTTTTGTAGAGGGGATCATCGGATTCCAGAGTCATCCAGGGCGTCAGCTGCTCTGCGATATCGAGAGCAAGGTGTTTGACCTCGATAAGCGAGTCCCTTGCGGGTAGATGCAGAAGAATGATGATCAGGTCCTTGACGGGGAAGAAGTCGGACATGTTCTGTGCGTTTTCGGGCAGCGTCACCATGTTTCGAATGGTGAGAATGGCTTCGGTCGTCAGTACCATCTCGTCGGCAAACTTTTCCGGTTGGATCACATCGGGTATGTCTCTCTCAACCAGGTTCTCGATTCGCTCCAGTATGTCCTGCGTGCCATAGTTGCCATCTAGGCAGCCAATGTCGTTGGATTCGGTGAAGGAGTCCCAGGAGACGGTCCAGTTGACGTGGTAGAAAAGGCTGCCTATCTGCAGCGCCTTCTCCACGAGACCTTCGGCCAGACCTGGGAAAGAATCGAATTTGTACTTGTCACCCCGCTCAAAGGAGATCTTGACCAGGTGGTTGAGCGCAAAGGCTTGCTCCGCGGGGACACAAGAACGAAGCGCGTTCAAGCAGCGGGTATAGATATTCGGGCCATCAAAGCCAGCTAGAAATCACGACACTGTCAGCATCCACATCTCTCAAACCAGAACATGACGTTATCTCAGCTTACTGCCGGGCTGCATAGGCTGTCTATTAGCAGGATCAGGAGCGAAACGGTGGGGCAGCCTGGCTTTAAGGAATTCGCCCGGCGCATTGCTTGGGGTTGCCACAGGGCGCAGCTGGAGGGGCTTCATGGGCTTTGGCTGGTACGAAGTGACCAAATGCGACGTGTTTTCGGAGTTGGGTGGGTGATGGAGGATTGAAGGCCCTCGTGAATTGTTGTGAATTGCCATGAGCGGCATCGGATGAGCGGAGGGGTGGTGGTGAGCGGACTGCTGCGCGTGGTTCACCGCTGGCGAGGCTGAGCTGCCAGTCTGATGGTTGGAGGCCTGTCTGGTAACTCGGGATGGGCCTGTGTCGGGCTGGAAGATGACTCGCTGAGGAGGAGCCTCGCGAAGACCGCGGGATGCGCGAGCGCTCGCGGCAGCGTCAGGCAGCGGCCGTTCCTGGACGGGAGTGCCGTCATCGCCAGACGCAGCGCTGTCGGTGGCTCCAACATTGCTCTCCCTCTTGCCGCGGAAGTTCTCCCTTGTGCGCGTCAACAAGCCGGCGCCCTTGGCCGTGACGTCCTCCAGAATGTCCTTGGGCGGCGGCTCCTTGCCGTGGATCGTGCTGATTTCGTAGGCGGCGAGGTTCTTGTAGAACTTTTCCTTGAGAGCAAAGGCCGTCGATGCCTCGTTATTTGAATGAAGGCCCAGCTCAGCTGCCATGCGCCGCCACGCCAGTTTTTCCTCTGACACCTTGTCATATCCACCATTTGCGACAATGTGGTTGAAGACCTTGTACAGATCGAGGTGAATCATGCCCACCTTGGGCTCGGGGTCGAGCGTCGTGCCTCGCTTTGCGTGGTACTCCCGCAGCTTGTTCATGAAGTCTTCATACTCGGGCGTCCTATCGATGGTGTGCAGCGGCACCTCCTGAGGGGATGAAGTCATCTTGATGAATGGCGGCCTCGGCGGCTGGTTCGCGTCGAGCTGCGCCTATGCGATGCCGCAGAAGTCTGTGGGATTGGGCGATGGCAGGCCCTGGGCTGCTGGCCGCGGCGATGCAACGACGTTTGGCTCGCGCGTCTGTCAGTGCTGGCAGACTGCGATCCGATGTCGATGGAACCTGCGTTAGACGCGCCGTGTCACCGTCGAGTATCAGGCATCAGCCTCTGGTCCGCAGCTCTGTTTTGGGCGTCAGCAATTGGTAGCCTCGCGTTGGTGCAGGATCAAGTCAAGGTCAAGGTCAGGGTCAAGATCCAGGTCCAGGTCAAGGTCGAGGTCGAGGTCAAACAAGGCTGAGGCTAGCATTGCGAGGGTAGGAACTTTGGCGCGGCGCGACGAAAATCGACTGGCGCAGATGCAATCTTATCTGCACGTGAGATGCATCCACCGCTTTTGGCCAATCGGAATTCTGCCATGGCAGCTCCCTCCATGGTGCCTGCATCTCAGATTCAAGCTCTCAATGAACTTGTCCAGGATGAAGCGATGACGATATTTTTTCCGTGTTTCATCTTCCTCGTCCAATCTGCGTCTCCTCAAGCCTCCAATTCTCTCTCATGCTTATAGGAGACTCTTCTCGCCATGCCGCCTGCGCCAACGCCTCTGTCGGGATGTCCTCTCCACCGTCTGGAGATCCGTCATGGGTCCACATGCACTGTTTACGACGCTATCCAGCTTGAAAGCTCTCTGACTGCTACCCTGGAAGCTCGACGATCGACGACCGAGAATACCAATCAGAGCAACCTGATGCTCCAATCACACTTGGGACTCCGCCGTGTGGTTCGTGACTCTATGAGAATTGCATTTTTTTTGAGTCTATCGCGTGGTGCAAGTCTAATCGCTTCAACAGCTGTCCATCCAGCTTGCAGACCTCCTCCCGTCATCTGGCGACACTCGGGAAATTGTTACCGTCAGCAGATCTTCGCAAGAGATGTGCATTCGTATTCATCAAAGCCAGCAGACCGTCCTGTTTACTTTCAAAGAGAGCCGGGATTTCAATGTGGCCATCTACACCCTGAAGAAGATTGGGCTTCGCGTCACAGACAGCGTTCCTCCCTCCAGTCACACCGCCCCCGCCAGCCTGATGCGTTCGCAGTCTTGTTCAGTGACTTCGAGCAACGACCTTGGACCTCGTCTGAGCTCCTTCACGCCGTTACAAAGCCATGAAAACTCTCAGACTTCGTCACCTTTCTCGTTCACAGCTCTGTTGAACTCTGATGTTCCACTTTCCCAGATACAGACAACGGGCGCACAGGATGAACCGGTTCAGCCTCCGTCACCAGACTCGTCGCAACAACCCGTTCAAAATGTCGTTGCAACCACGTACGTCGGAAATTCGTATCAATCATATCTCAGCCAGCACAGCAACATGTACCAGCCTCGAGTGAGCTCACCACTACGACACGCCGTCGAGGTTGACAGCAGAGACCTGTCACCCACGTCTACCATATCCCCCATGCCGCAGCACCAACCTAACGATATAGCGCATCCTGCAGTAGCAGGCTACTTATTGACCCATCGATCTACTTCTGCACCCAGCACAGCGCTGCAATCCTGGCAGCAACCAAGGTACATGAGGACAGATGGCTGTGATACACCATACTATCAAGACAGTCCATCAGAAAGTCAAGAAAGCACCGTTACTCCTGCCGAGAGTGATTCACAATCCACAGAGGGAACGGATGTCTCGTTGCCTTTGCAGACCGTGGACGACTTTCGCAAACTCATGCCTCAGCCTCGGGATCTACCTTTTATGAGAGAAAGCAAAACCAAGACGACCAAGCTCAAAAATTCGAAGAAAAGGGCCAACGCGGAGCCTGAGCCATCCAGTCCTAAGCGGAAGAGCAGCTGTCCAGCAGGATTTGACAACGAACATATCTCGAACAATGTTACAGATTCATGCATGCAAGAAAATGTGACTTCTGCAAAATCGGATAAAACAGATGCCAGTGGCGCTTCAGTGAAATCGCAACCAATATCATCGCAGACAAAAACTTCACAAGTTGAAGCCCCCTCGCCCGATTCTTTGTCATTGGGGATCTATGAATTGCCACCAATGTTGATTGTAGACAACTCCCTTCTCAAGGAGATCAACAAAGTAACCTCGAAGTTGCTCGATCAGTACTTGGAGGATGTCAATCGCGGGTGTGATGGCGGCGCTTGTGCCCGGTTCTACATGTCACAAATTGATACGGTACGAAGGGACTTCTGGCTCAAACATTTGACAAACGGTAACATTTTTCGACGGCATGGGTGATTCACGCGAGGATAATGGAGAGGGACAACCAAAGCGCAGCCGCTGCTGTTCACGTTGAATCGAGAAGAAGTCAAAGGGGACAACTTTGGACCATCAATGAGTTCACCTGGGAACCTGTACATCTCTTGTCCTCCATCAACATTTCTTTTGTTTCAAAGCGGACTCACCTACTCTGAACGACCGCTTCTTGTATACTTTGTTCACGCCGCTTACTGCTGAGCATGGTCCACGAACGCTATATAATGGCATCAAACCACCACCCAGAGCGACTTCAATCTACCATCATACCTTCATATTTTCTTATTAAACAAGCAGAACAATACCCATCATCACGGAGCCACAGAAAGCTAACCAGCATGTCTTCCGAATTTGCCCAAGTCGAGTCCCTGGTCGCACTGACGGACTGCGACAACAACGAACTCCGAGACGAGCTATATGACGCGCTTTCTGACGCGCTCTTTTTCAGACTCATCGTTCCCGAAGTTGCTGGCCCCTTCATCATCGTTACTGAAATTGCATGGTGTCACGGATATTACCTAGCGTGGAAGATGATCATTCCCAAGTTGGAGGAACCAGACTGGCCCGCCGAGATTGGGTCGGAGTTGCTGGATGAAGCATCTCGGGTGATGGATCTTGCGGCGTGCGAGTTGTATGCATACCAATGCGGCTACAGGAGCGATGTGCGTGTCACCCTCTTCAACGATACGCTTGAACGAGTAGTCTGGTGCGTGGCTGATGTCCCGGGCATGCCGTGGATTCATCGATGGTGATGGAAGAGAGGAGAAGGGGGGGTTTCTAATGGCCTGCTGGGGCTGTGGATTCGAGTTTCTCCGACTGTAGGCATCAGCATTCCTTACATGTTTCTGACCGCAGAGCGTATCTCTAGAGAAAAATAATGAAGGCTTTCATTGGTTGTCAAGCTGTTCATAGCACCCATCATGTGATGAGAAGAGACGATAGTCTCCTGCTTGTGACTGTTTGCCTCTTGCTCTTAGCAGTCTGTGCCATCCATGACACCAACAAGACTGTAGGATTATTGGTTAATAGTGTGCTTATCGTCCTATTTAAGGGTCAAGATGCAGTTGGTTCCCATCCGACGTCGGATGTTGCTGTTTGCTATTTGAGGTAGATATATAAGGTAGCTAAGTTATGTAGATAGATTAGAGGCCCCCCCCCCCCCCCCCCCCTTTTGATTATCTATAAAACACTCGCTATCCCAGCCTGCTATGTTTTAAATAACCCATCACTACCAATCAAATAATACAAGGGCATCCTTAAAAGCATTGCTATCAAGCTTCAGCTTCCTATCTCCTAGATAGCGCCAATCCACCTACCTATATCGCAATGGTATATCTATCTATCGGCCCAGAGCCTGTGCAGAGCCTCCTCTCCTTGCTCCACCCACAAGGCTATCTCAACAACTACGACCTCAGCGATGCAAAGTTTTTCCGGCTTTTCCTAGACGACCAAGGGGGCTCCACGGTCCGCATAATCGAAATGGCAGACTGTCCATACGGCACCTTTACCTGGGTGGCGGATGTCACGGACACGTACGCAGGGCAACCTGTGAGGAAGCCTGACGGAAGCATTGCCATGTCGGGGAGGGTTTATAATGGCTTCAACTTGCAGCATGCGAGGGACTTTTTCATGCTTGACTGCACTCTCCCTGCGTATGAGAGACTTGCGGAGGGGATTGTTGTTTTTGAAGATAGGCCGGGACTGAAGGTTTGGTTCAAGGCGCGTTGGTCTGACTGAGGGCGATGGGAGGGGTTAGATGATGTTGCTTGGAAGAACATAGGGGAAGAGAGTGGATGCGAGGGAAGGGTGATTCTGGCTGGAGGAAGGCTATGTAAGTAGGTCCCGACGAAGAGGGCTGAGAGTGTGTACCACGGTCATTACAGTTACGCGCCGCATGTTTGTCATTCTCTCTACAAATGTATAGATAGCTACAGCCAAAGAGCGGATTGGGCATGGCTTGATTAAGCAGTAGCAGAGGGAGAATGCCAATGTATGCTGGGACAAACAACCGCATCTTGATTGTTACAGTAACGCGTATGCAATATGTCTATAGATAGTGCCATCTTCGTTTATGGTTGATGTTTATGCACCCCAGAAGAACAAGGCGTTTGCTCCTTGTGTCGCCCAGCTCTTTGCCATCCACTCATTACCTAGGTTGAGCCAAAGAGACATGGCGAATATCGCAAACAAAGCATATATAACAAATGTTTATACCAGCTTAGGTTTTTTGATATGTTTGTATCTTGTATAACCTCAAGTAGTATTTGTTCTCTAATTATAGATGGTCGAGAAGAGCATGCTTTTGATTGCCTTGAGTCTCTCTGAGTATATAAAGATGCACTTCTCTCCTATTACGAGACCCCTTCAATACCAGACTCAACACCATCTTACTTACATCAAAGACGAACAAACCACAGAATCGCACTATACAATGGCGCAGGAATTCAACCAAGACATCTACGCCAGAGTCAACTCCTTCTATGGACTCAAACATCACAATCCCAGTGTCTTCAAGGGTGAACTCATCACTGCGGACACACCAATCATCCGATATATCGTCGCCGAGACCCAAGCATCTCGCCACCTCGTCTTTGAGATAGCCGCCGTTAAGCACGATACCATTCAACATCTGGGACTTTCATTCTACTGCACCAAAACGGAGCTCCACTTTTTGATTGAGGAGATGCTCGCTCAAAACTCGGTTAGCGACGAGCGTCTCGAAGGGCCTATTCTGAAAATAATCAGTGATCACTTGGTTGCGTTGAAGGAGAATCCAAGCTGGGCACCTGATCTTGGTGGTGTCCTTGTGCACGAATGGAAGCCTTCTGAACAGTTTGGCGGGGATGGAGTTGAGACGGACGGCGCTGGTGGTGATGGACACGATGGTGGTATACACCAGCGTATGAATGGGGTGCATGAAATCCACGGGGGTGGCTTGTTCAATGGCGATGAGATCCAAGCAGAAGAATTTATAGTCGAGTATCAGGGTTCCCTTTGGGTAGTATGGCGCAGCTCCGATTAGGGATTTTAAGAGGTGGAGGAGGAGGAAGAGGGTAAAGTTTGGTTTCCACAAAACAAGGCTGGAAGCACATGTTGTTCTCTCGTCACGATGGTCTTACTTTACGCGCTTTGGTAGTACCGAGATAAGTCTCCTTTTTCATACAAATAATGTACTTCATTCAGTGGTGATGAGCTGTTTCTGAAGTCATTTGCCCCCTACTGGGTATCTCCATCGCATCTGATGACCAGTATAGGCAGAAAATCCCAAATACGGCAGCAGCATCGAGTCGAGCCATTCAAGTGATTGAATAAAAGGAATCGCCAGCTCTACCACATGTTTCACTCAGAAAACGTCCCAGAAACCCCCCGAGCGAAGGAGTGAGATGTCCCTTGTATCGTCATTACCCATTGAAAGCTCACCATGCATGCAAAGAACGGTGAGATGCAGCAATCATTATGTTCCCGAATCTTCATCTAGTGCTTTCTGTCTGCTATAAGAATACATGTAATCTGCCGTGTGTGAATGACCCTTCTACCTCATACCCCCTTCGATCGCCAAATCTCACGCTCCTAAGGGCCTTCATCCCGAAACTGCGACAACTCCAAGCCCGGCACATTTTCCAGCTGCAGGCCATGAAGAACATGATTGACCTCCGCGGGAAGAAAGCACAGCGAGCCATGAAGCTCACACGACCACAACAAGCTCGCGACGTTGGGCCGCTCGAAGCGCCGCAGAGCCTCCTCCAAGGCCACGATGCTGTAGCCTGAGAACTGCGCGTTCGGCACCGACTCGAGGCCAACGTCCCGCAAGCCGTCGACAAGCGCGTCGGGGAGGATCGTGCAGCAGGAGGGCGCGCTGTGGGCTGGGTAGATGGAGGAGCAGGTGGGCGAGTGCTTGCCGAGACCTTTCTTCAGTTCGTTGAGGTTGAAGAAGAGCTTGTCGATGATGCGCCGTCTCTTTTTGTCAACGGCTTCTACATACCAAAGTTAGCTGGAGTCATCAGTTACAGTATGCGTTGGTCCGGGGGGTGGGGGGGGGGAGCGACTTACTGATGATTCGTTCCGGTAGAGGCAGACCGAGAGAGTGCATGGGGCCTCTGCTCTCACGAACAACTACCCTGGTCAGTTCCTTAAAGTCAAACTCATCTGCAAAGACCCATGATACGAAGAGCCTCAGCACAAGGTTCCGGCCGTACGAGGTTGGGAAGGGCTCATCGAGTTTGGCGATCCACTTGTCTGCGTACGGCTTCAACAGTTCCGAGCACTGATAGTGGGCGACGACGACGGCAACTTTGGCCAGCGTGTCGAGACTGATTCGCTCGGGAACGTCAGCGGTATGGCCGTGGATGATGCTCATTACCAGCTCCAGGGCCTTTTCGTCCCAGCTCTCGGCAAGCAGGATGTACTTGTACGCGACGTTGGACCGGGTCTCAGGCAAGTTGCTGGGCGTCATCTGCCTGCATTTGGGAGACGCAAGGGCGAGCTTGGAGGATGAAAGCTGCATCCAGACTTCTCTGTGGTTGTTGGCATGGTGCCTTGCTGCACGAGCGGTTACCTCTGCCTCGTTGCGGCGCGCTTCCTCGGTCAGGTACTGCGGGAGGGCGTCGTCCCAGGGGTGATCGGTTTCTCGTGCTGCAATTGGTTGATTGGCTTTCTGGAGGATGAGGACTGTGTCCCCGTCCTCGTCGATTTTGTACATAAAGGGCTTCATGGTGACAAATGGACGTAACGAATAAGATGAGGTTGTTGGTTGAGCGTTGGAGGATATCCAGGGGGGGGTTGGCTCCTGGCTTTATGCCTCTACAGGGCCTCTAGGCCAATGAACACCATCCGTGGGAGAGTTAAGGTGTTCAAAGGCAAGGAGTGGCCAAGGGAAAAGCCGACGTGAGCTTGCTTGAACGGCAACTGCATAGCAAAGCTCCTGTCAGAAGCATTGTTCAGATGATGTGCTGGAAATAGGGTGACTACCCTGATGCATTCAAGAGACGAGACAAAGGACGTAGGCGTCTGCAGCACTGTCAGGTGGGCAAAGAGACATCTTGAATAAGCAAGAAGGCATATTGAATGGACAAGAATGCATGTTGAGCTCGCATGTGTCTTCAGAGGGCTTTGATGGACAAAGGGGAAGAGCCAGGAGCAAGTGAACAGTCCCGGACTTCAAATGCTGAATACCTGGGGAAGGCACGCATGTATAAATCGCTTGTGTTCAGCCAGATTACTTGACGAGTATCATCCGGAATCGAGGTGTTCTACGCACATCTCATCAACAGCTTGTCGAAGTAGTGACGAGTGCGTTCAGTCCAGCCGAAGCTTGAACATGGCGTCCGAAAGCATCCCCAACACGTCGGAATTTGCACTCCTTGACAGGAAGGAAGATGGCACCTGGACCGCCATCAGGAGGACCAATCCTCGCGAGAAGGACCTGTACATTGCTCTGCCTTGGAGCATGTTCGATGTACCTATACCCAACGACCCCTACGCGGAAGAGCCCGAGGGGGAGCTCGTCACCAGGCCTGAAGTTCAGTCGTGGGTCCATGTCAATAGTCTTGTTTTGAAAGATACGGGTGTCGTCTATCAGATCCTCAACCACAAAAACATTGTTTCCATTGTTGACAGCATTCAGGCTAACACTGGAGCGGAGGCTGCGACTTCAGCAGAGACCGACGTCGAAGCGCCTGACTACCTGGTGTGGGATCACTGCGCCCACTTTGATCTCTCCGCTCGGCTGGAGGCCCTACGGGAATCTCCTGACGAGGCCATCAAGGAGTCCTTCTGCTGGCACGTGCTCATATCTGTTCTCGAAGCCATCACGTACCTCCATGACGGGAAGCGTCTCGTTGATGAGGGAGGACAACGATGGTGGAAGGCGGAGAGCACAGACTGGACCCCTATCTTGCATGGCAAGATTGAGCCCCAGAATGTCTTGTTTCAGAAGAAACGGCAAGGCGAGAGGCATGATCCGTGCAAGCTCGCCGACTTTAGATGGGCAGTCGCCCTGAATCATATGATTTGCTATGAGGGTGAGGAGGAAGATGAGTTGGACGAGGACGGAGGCAGCGCTGATTCGCGCTTTGAACGCCTGGAGGAATCACTGTCGTTGAATGCATGTGTATGGGTATGTACATGTACCTATGAGTGAGACGGCATCGACTTGTTTTGTTTCTGAACGATTATTGTTGAATTCAAGAGAGTTTTGTTCTGACGTTTGTGAACCACAGAAGTGCCAGAACCCGCACGAGCACAGCATCGACACGGAGCTCTGCTCGCTTGGCCGCCTCATCTACACCATGATGACGGGTGAAGGGCGCGAGGACGAGATTTACGCAACTTATACGGGATATTTTGAGCGCGAGTGGGTGGACAGGGGCCAGTACTCGGAGCAGTTGGAGACTGTTGTCAGGTTTCTGCTTGACCGACGCCATTATCTGACGCGGCATGCCGAGGTGCGGATTGAGAGGGTGCTGCCGCTGACGGAGGTGGTGATGGAGTATTTCCGGGAGTGGCAGAGGGTTGGTGGCAATTGATCTGGCGTGCTAATGTGAGGTCATATGGGAGAGTTTTGAAAGGGGAAATGATTGTTGTATGTGCTTTCTGAGTGTGGTGGTGAGTAGTTGTAGTTGATGAAGATGTGCGGATATGTTGATGGATTTGAAAGAGACGATTGATATGGAGAGTTGAGATTGATGTTTTGACAGAGATTTAATTTATAGTTTGTTGAAATGGCCATTGGTGAGAAGGACAGCTGTGAGGCGTCTAGGTATGTATATGTATGGGTGATGGAAGAGCAGAGAGGCATCACAGATTGTTGTTGTTGTTGTTGTTGTTGTACTCCAAGGTTAGCCGTTGGTGACGTACTCACACCCAACACCAACCGTCAGATGAGGTAAATACCAGGTAAAACAACATATTCAAGGCCTTTTACCAACAGAAATTGTCCATCTCACCATTTAGAAAAAAAAACCTCATACCAAACAAACAGATACTGACATGGAGCACGTCCAGCCAGGCATGTCTTGTGTGCGGGACATTTACCATGAAATCCCATCCATTTCATCACCACATTCAATCAAATACTAGCACTCAACTTGCGTCGTCTCTCCGCGCAGCGCTAGAACGAAACCAGAAACTCGCTAATTTCAGTGCCTCCCCCTACTACCTTAGTTCTAGCGTCCCCCAATTGCGCGCATCCTGCACCTCCTCCGTCACACCTTCAGCTCTCGGCTTCTTCCTCGTCTCTCCTCCTTGTCGTTGTCGTTGTCGCTCCCCCAAGTCCCACGACACACACACACACGCACGTTGCGCAAGGGTGCTCTGGTTACACAGCATCTTTGCGGCGGAGCGCAGGAAGAAGAAAACAAGCAGGCGCTTACGTCTGTTGCTGCCCGAGCTGCTTTGATTCGTGCGAGAGCGGAGGGTCGGAACAGCAAAGGAGAGAGACAGAGAGAGAGAGAGAGAGAGAGGCTCGCACAAGCACAAAGCAAACAACAGCTCGTGACGCGCCGGTCTGTCCGAGCTTCTTCTTCTTTCTTCTTGTTCTTCTTCTTCTCCTTCTTCTTCTTCTCCTTCTCCTTCTCCTCCCTTCAATCTCTCTCGTCCTCGTCCTCGACTCGTCTCTCTTTCGTCTCCGTCTCGACCATCCATATCAAAGTCCGTCTACAACGATTCGCGATTCTTCCAGACACGCCAGACCAGAGAGAGAGAAGCACCGCACCTCCAGCTTCATACACTTGAAGCACATCACCATTCAGCCCAGCATGTCCCTCCCCGGCGCCACGCCTCCCCTCCTCCTCACCAAGCGCCTCAACGCCTTCCTGCACGCCCACCAGACCGCCCACCTGCCGACGCTCCTCCTCACCACTCCGCAGGGCAAGCTGCTCGCCCACGCCTCGTCCCAGCCCGTCTCCGTCCTGCGCACCCACGCCACCGTCGCCGCCTCCCTGCTCGCCATCCACACGGCCTCGTCCGCCGCCATCCCCACCGCCCTGCCCGGCTCGCGCACCCCCGACCCCATCAGCAGCTCGCCCGCCAGTTCCCGCGGAAGCGACCATGACCACTACGGCGGCGGCGACGGCGGTTACGATGGAGAGGGCGACCGCCGCATGAGCGACGACGAGCACCATGACGGCAACGAGGAGGACGAGGGGCGCGTTGCTGCTGATGCGGGGGAGGAGGAGGAGGAGGAGGAGAATCGGCACGATGGAATGGGAGCGAGTAGTAGAGATGGGACACGAGATGCCAAGCAGAGGTCAAAACGCACCGTCAGGCCGGGCGTCATCACCGTCCAGCTGAGCGAGGGAACAGTCATCATCCGGCGCCTAAAGTGCGGCCTGCTCTTTGTCTGCGTCGGCCCCGCGGCGTCCAGTCTGCAGGATCATCATCATCAACACCACCAGCACCAGCACCAGCACCACTCGTCGTCGTCGCATGAGAACGGGGACGGAGTGGGCAGTCCGAGCGAGGTCGAGAGCCTCATTAGCGCGGGCGGCATGACGACGTCGAGCTTGGAGAGCGCGAGCGCCGCACCCGTTGTGGCGATGAGGAGGCAGGCTGCTGAGTTGGCCCGGTGGCTGGATGAGAAGCTGGGGACGCTCAAGGTTCCCGAGGAGGGGATTGGTGTTGTTGAGTTTAGGGATTGAGAGGAGGAGTTGTTGGGGAGAGTGTGAATAATGGAGGGGGGGAGTGTGTAGGGATTCTTTGGATGGCGTTGGTGTTGTGCGGCTGTTTTTGCTTGTTTTCTGTTACAGTTGCTCAGGGCATGGAACTGAAAGACGAGGAGAATCTTTCAGTATGTACTGTTTGTTTGAGGTTTGTAAAATCTTTGTAATAATGCTCGGGGCGTTCGGGATCAGGTAGATACCACCACAACGAACAGCAACGAGGGCAACATCTTTGTTTCTTCATTTATCACTCTAGTTCCCGGTGATGCCCGTCATAGATGTTGAGGCAATAAGAGTTATTGACGCTCTCGAAAGTGATACACATATACCCGACCTCGTCTTTATACATGCTTCAAAACACAAATGCCCTTTCCCCCCCCTTTCCGCCGCTACCAGTCTGTCCCGGTAGATGGTATCCCCCCAAACGCCGTGGAAAATGCAACAGAATCCCACCCCGTTTATACACCCTCACGTCCAACAAAACAAAAAGGAGGACAACAGAATCGCCCCCACCCCCCATCCATATATACGCCAGCCAACAAACAAACAAACAAACTCACTCAATGCTCATCCGCATAATGCCATCGTTGGTATCGACCATGCCCTGCATCCCGACTCTCCCCTTTCGGCCAACCTGCCCCGTCGAGCCCACGGGCGGATTCGCCGGCGTCCCTCCCATGCTGCCCGAGTCGCTCTGCCCGCTGCTGCCCCGGTCGCCGCCGGTGCTACCGGGCCGCGAGCCCCAGGGCATCACGTCGCGCTGCATGGGGCTCTGCACAATGGGCGAGTTATGCGCGCTGATGCTGGGGCTGACGGCGCGGCGCTTGAAGCTCGTCGGGTCAAAGTCGTCGTCGCGGCGGCGCTTGTTGTTGATTCGCCGCGTGATTTCCGCGGCGCTGGGCAGTTGGCCGTTCTTGGACACGGTTAGCAGTGAGGCTAGACGGCAAGGGCATAAGGGGGGAGGGGGAATTCATGTAGATGCTCACATAAAAAGCGGCGGCGCTCTGCGATGGAGAGTCCATGTTCGTGTCCTCACTCATGCCCGATGACGAACCGCGAGGGAGCAACGATGACGCCGGAGGCGGTGTTCTCGCGCCGCTCGAGTCGGAAAAGGTGTCCCAAAACTGCTTGCCCTTTGAATTCTTCATCGCGTGTTGTTTAAAGCTACTGGACAGTCCCGCACCCAACTCGGCCATTGCGTCGTCCACCGGTATCTCTTCCATGGCCTCCTGGATGCCGCTCAAGTTGGGCGATGAGTGAGCCGTCGTCATGGCGCTTGCGTCGACTCCTGTAGGCGGATGGCGAGTTTCGGGAACGTCGCTTTCACGGACCTGCTTTACGATTTCGGCTTCCTTCATGAACTCGGCTTCGGCCGGTGAGCCCTCTTCAGCGAGGGCTGCCCGGATGCGCGCAAATGCTTTTGCTTTGGGCTGAGAAACAGTTAGCTGCCGAGCTTGTAGAGACTGGCTTGGGGTTGGGGTTGATCACAAGCCATATCAAGGTCAGCTCTTACCAAGAGATTCCCTCGCCGCGTGACCACTCGTCGAGTCACACTCTTCTGGTCGCCATTGCTGCCCTCCGCCCCGCCGCCTTCGTCCATGTCTCCCGATGAGATGTGCAGCTGGTTTGCCTGCCAACTTATGCTCTCCCGTCTGGCCCGGGCCGCAGCCGAGTTCGAAGGGGGTGATTTGGAAAGGACAGCAGAAGCGAGGTTGAAGCCAAGACCCAGAGGACCGCGCGGTTTCATCTTGGGTGGCTTGCGGTGCCGCTGCCGGTGCTGGAAACTTGAGAAATTGCCCATCGACGGCGAGCTCGGCACAATGGGCATCCCCGTCTTGGACACCTGGGGCGTGGTCACGTAGGCCTCGTCCATGTCTTCGTCCATGTCCTCGTCTTCCTCGGAGGAGCTCGATGAGTCTGATGGTGGCGCATGGTTGCTCCCGAGAGAGGTGCTGATATTGAGCCGCTCCTGGTCGCCCATCATGGACCACAGCGACGTCGACGTCTGCTCTGGTCCCCCATACGGTCCCAGCCTAGGTGGTATATTCATGGCCATGTCGGTGATTACTGGTGACGAGCTTGGCGACGGCTGTTCGGCCAGGGTCGAGTGGTGAAGGCTCGTGGCCGCCCGGGAGAAGTCGAGGCCGCGAGAGCGGCGGGGTAAGAGATTGGTGGGAGAGGAGTAGATCTGCGAGTGTTCCAGCTTGGGCGACAACGGGGCTGGCCGTGTGCAGGAGCCGGACGGGGTCCCCGGCGGCGGAGTGAATTGGCGAGGCGGCATCTGGATGGACAGGCCGCGCAGGCCGGAGCGTCGCGGCGTCTCGGGCGGGGGCAGGTGGGCGATGCTGCTGTCGTCCTTGGAGGTCCGGCGCGAGGCCTCGGTGATTCGCGGGCTGGACGACAGCGGCGTGCCGGTGCTGTCAGACAGCGAGCGGGTCCTGGCTGCCATTGGCGATATCAGTTGGGCACCAGCGCCTGGCCGGTCTTCGTCCATGACGACGGCGTCGCCAAAGGCCATGCCGCTGAGCCCCCGTGGCCGCTCCATCGTGCTTCTCTCGCTGCTACGGCTGGTGTCGATGCTCGTATCACGGATGCGCCGGGTCTGAATCGCGCCAATCTACCGCTTTCGTTCGTATCGACGCCGGTGTTGGTGCTGAATAACGTTGGATTGCTGTCGACTCTGGCGTCTAGGTATAACAAGTGACGTCTCTTTTCGTTCGCCCGCCGGTAGAATCCGTCATCAGCAGATGCTGTCTTTCCTGAGATGCTATCCGTACCAGCGCCTGCGTCTCTGAAGCAATGCGACTCTCTGTGATGCTTCTGCGCCCACAGCGACAGATGCCGTCAGCGGGTCACGGCATCGAGGCCAGCGACGCGTATGTAGAGAGCAATGCGCACTGATGGAGGGCGTTGCGTGATGGGCCAATACCGAGGCGAGCAGAGAGGAAACGAGAGTATTTGCGCCAGTAACTGCAGCGCATTCAGCGTGTAGCACAGAAAAGGAATATCGATCAATTTAAAGAAGCGCAGCGGATAAGATTGCGGGTGAGGCGTTGATTCGCCAATCGCGAGATGCAGAGGAAACGAGCAGCATCATGAAGCTCGAGGTCTGGTGAAGCTGAAGCTGGGCGCGATTCGGCAAATGGCGGGGCCCACTACCGCGTCTACTCTGACACGCTAGTATCATTCGGGCAGTAGTAGCTCGATGCCCCGCACCACGGCTGTTTATCTGGCGATTGATTAGCATCCATGGGGCTTAGCGCTGGATATAAAAAGGGCTGATGACGTGAGCCCCAATTGTCGTGGGAAAGACGTGCTACCTACCCTAGAACTTCAACTTCATGAAGCGGGCAATTAATCAACGTTGGTTACTCAAGGATAGGTACGAACTCAACATTGTATGACAAGGCATTACTATCTAGGTATGGCAAATTCCAGGTCCATTCAATGTGGGAGGATTCATGTAGTTTCTTCGCCTTGTCGGGGGATAAAGTCCTAGCTATTGACTGGACTGAGACCCATCGACCCATCAGGTTGCAATCTGGTAGCACTGCAACGCAAAGTTGACTTAAATATCTACTTGTATGGGTGCGTTACTTCGGAGATCTTGTGTGAAGGAGGATCCTCCAACTATAGTGCCGATCCTCTACACATAGTATGGCAAGACGTATAATCATCACCAAACGTCTCGTATCAGCATCAACATGCAACCCCCCACGATTGCGGCTATTTCTCATAGCTCTATCTTGGCGTTATGCTTACTCACCTACCTATGTAGGTAGCTTATCAATATGCACGAGTGTCTACTTCGGACTCCCAACATACCTCTTGGTAAAGCAGTGGCAAACGAAGCTTTCCAATGGTATGCTATACGCTCGAATCTCCTGCTTCTCTTTTGACCCCGCAACCTGTCAACTGCATCCATTGCCTCCCAGCAGGCATCTCAGCCATCGGGCATGATGCTTCACTCCCCATCTCGAATTGGCACCCAACCGCTGCAGAGTGCAAGATATGGCCGAAACCGCGAGGCTGCGCTCTGCATGGCGTCATGCGGGCGGCTCTTACAGCGGCCAATGGCGAATGTTGATACAGTCGCTATCCTGATAATCCCTGGGGAGCTGAGCTAATCCAGCCTCCCAATCCTGGAGATCTCAGCGACCAACATGATATTTCTGCGCAGCGTGGCATTCTTGCGTATGCCGGGATGAAAAGTCACCGAACATGAGATGACAAGTCATCAACAGAGGTTGGGGCAACGGTAAGGCGTCCATTGTATCTTTCAGCCGCAAAGGCGATCAAAATAAGGCAGACGAGAAGCAGCTCCGGGCTAGGCAACAGCCACACACTGTCTGTCTGTTCTGAAAGTATCTAGAAGATAAGAGAACTTCATATAGCAATGGCGAATAACATGGTTTCTCTAGACTATATTCATGTGTTGTGTGGAAAAAGAACGTGTCACCCTCAACAACAGTCAATAACTCGTCTCTCATTACAGACGATAATGAATTCTCAATGCAAACCCATTGCGTTGCTGCTGGGTTGAAGTCGACAATATCGAGCCCGCTGAGACGCCGCATTGTAATGCAGCCACAATCGATGTTACCAGCTGGATTCATTTATACTTGATGCGTGATTGGAGAGTCGCAGTTGACGTGTTGGGTTGTGCAACCAACACCTGACCAAATTGAGCCTCCGAATCCTTTGTAGTTCATTCATTTGGGATGCGGCTCCTTCGGTGTAAGCTTGTTTGCAGAGGGCGCATCATGTCGGCATTCTCGCGGCCATTGATTTGACTTGGTATCAGGATATTGAGCCTCATCGGAGCTGATTATCCTAGGCTCGACCCCTGTATTGAGCTTCAGCCAGCCAAGAAAAAGAGCCATCCATAGATGGCATACGGTGCGAGGCCTGATGTTCAGCTCTGTACGTGCATATGTACCTGCAATGCAGTCTGCAGAGCATGGTGGGATGAAATTACGGCCGACATGGTAGACCGATTCAACTAGGCGCCCACGCGTATTATCTTTGCCAGAGAATGGAGAAAAAGCGAGTGCATGGGTGATCCATTGCATCTGAAGCTGAGTTGGCACTCTATATAACAAGAAGATATCTCGGGGAAGCCATGAGGACGCTCGATGACTTGCCCATATCAAACGGAACAAGATCCTAGAAGCGGTGCATCAGCGAAGCCTATACCGCGGGTATATCTATACTAGATAGAGTAAGTGTACTCCGAGATTGAGGGCAACAAGCGAATACACACAAGCACATGTAAAGAGCGGGAGTCTTTGATCGTCTGATACTGACCTTCTCCACGGTCTAGGGATACTGATACTCGATACACGTGGGAATACCATAAACAACCCCCTCTCCCGGCAAGTGGCGACAATACGCCCAGTATGCAGATTCTCAGTCCACCACGTCTGATTCGCACCATCGACATTGCCGATAGGGCCACGTCAGTCCGTCAAGTCGAAAACCATCTACATGGAGCTCTTGTTTCTATTGACTTGGATTGCTCTGAGAATCTTTTCTATGGTCACAAGAACCTTGTTGTCAAATTTTGCCTCTCCTTCACGACACGACACCAAGATGGATTTCACAAGTCTGTTGCTATCAAGAAAGCAAAAGTCGGCTACTTCAGGCCCGACAACGATATCAGGAAGATGATCACGGCCGCTTCTCAACCAACCCCTCCTGGAATTGAAGGTCATAACATGTTCAAGGAAGGAAGGGTGGAAGTCAAGATGCAACAAGTCCAGGGCGTCAGCAGCATCAGAATTGTTGTGCTCTTGGACGCTTATCCGTCGAACATGGAACTCTCTGCACATCTCTCCACACCCCCTACCCCAAACGAAGTGGCTCAGCCGAGCCGTGCTTTCATGAGTGCTTCTCGTGCTTTTAACGCGTCATCTCCCGATGACGAAAGGCTGCAACGACTTCTGTGCTGGACAGCCGCCCTGGGCTATAAGAAGCTTTTCGCAGCATATCTTGACCAAGGGCCATCTGTTCTCATCATGGAGGATGAATTAGGATGGACACCCTTCTCTTTGGCTGCCTTCAGCGGCCGGGGCTCAGTGATCCAGCTGGCTTTACAAAGAGGCGGTACGCTAAGCTCCAGGAAGAAGACAGCCAAGGGACCTTCGCCACTCGAAGCCGCTGCAAGAAGTCAGGATCCAAACATCTTCAATACATTTCTGAAGACACTCAAATATCTCAAAGACTTGGAGAGTGATCTACCCGAGAAACTGCCTAAGCCTGACAATTTACCTGAGCTTACGGACAACGAATTGGAAGAAGAGCTCGAGGGAGCAGTCAGTGGCGAGCAGATGTCGACCGTTCGAAGATTGGTCGAATTGCTCCAGCCTGAAGAGGACAGGGCCAAAGCCAACTGGCTAGCCCAGAGAATGGTGCAGGCCGCAGCGGGAGGAGACCTTTGTCTTGTTCAGGTTTTGAAATCGCGCGGTGCAGACGTCAACTGCAAAGTCCCAGGGGGAACTAGAGGAAGGCCTGATGCGCAGTTCAACCGTGCCGGTGGACAAACGACGACGCCATTGATGGAAGCGATCTGGAACGACATGGTCCACGTCGCAGAGTTCCTTATCATTCACGGCGCAGAGGATGATGAGGCACTGCGCACCGCCGTTAGGAAAAAACAGCATAACACGATTCGAGCACTGTTACATGCCGGAACACCGGTAACAGAAGCAGCGAGACAAGAGCTAATCAACATCGCATCCGCCGAGAAAGATTCAACGACTCTGATGCTGCTCAAATTGGAAAAAGGCACCGGAAAGTTGGCAACCTACAACAACTTGCATCGAGACGTCGATGAATTATTCGAAGCGACAGTTGTTGATTTCTACGACAACAAACCACCGACATTCGAAGAGCTTACTGTAGACGCGTTGATGCAGAAGAGAGAGAACTACTTTGAACGGAACGAGACGTCCTTCAAATGGTTTCATCTTCCAGCAAACAATGTACGTTACTCAATTTTCCAAAGTTCAATTGTCCGCTTTGTACTGATAACCTTGATTATAGATGAAGTGGGCGGAGGTGGGTTCCCCAATCTCTTGCACGAGAAAACACCAAGTGTAGTAACCCTGAGAAAATGATAGGCTTTGATCGGTAAGATCCATCATGAAGACCCTGCAGCAACTTCCAAGGTCTTGGATCCAAAGCGATGGGCGAAGAGGCAGCATGAAGGAGAGCTCGGTTCCGCACATGCACGCTTCATGATCCCAGCGTGCCACGACTTCTCAGAGGCTTTCAAGCATAAGAAGAGTGAGGCTAACATTCTTGGCTTCCTTTGGCCCCTCCAAATGGCTGATGCAAAAACAGAACTTGGCCATGAGAACCCCGATAGACACGTGCTTCTCTTCGTGAGTATTCGAGAACCAACCTAGCTTTCTGCCACCCAGATCACCACTGACCTAGAGCGACGGTTTCAGATGCCTTATCTTCATTGGGATGAGGAGTGGAAAATGCGAGAAAGAGCAAGACTGATTGCCAAAAATTCGCCCGGAATGCGGTGGGAAGAGATTCCAGAGGAAGAACGGAAGCCAAAAAGGGAGGAGTTGCTCTTGAGAAGATATCTCTTCGAAGAAGCCAGTCCGAATCCGAATTCCCGCCATGTCCTCCATGTTCGAAGGACTCTGGACCAGTCGTTATATCACAACCTGAAAGATACAAGGATTCGAGATGGCGATCAAGCTGTTCACCGATATCAGAGCAGTGACGGGAACAAGAAGCAACGGCCTATCATCATGGTTGACCAACTTTGGCTATGGATTCTCGTGGGACCATCTGGAAAGGCGGATACAGTCGTCACGTGCTTTTCATCTAGAGACTGGTACGACGTTGGAATGGACACAGACGCACCGCTTCTGGACGAGAGACGTACTACGGACGTCTTACAGATCACCAAATCTTACCTTCAGCAGAGACCCAATGCCGTCAAGTCACCATATGATCTCGCGGGAGTAATTGCCAGCAGATGTTCAAGAGCGCTGCTAGACCATTCTTCCGATATGCTCAACTTCGCAGAAGTCTATGAGAACTCCATCAGTTCCATCGTAAGTTGAACTTTCTTCGCGCACTAATGCTTCATTTTGGAATATGGCTGACTGCTAGGTGCCCTCGTATTACCTGGTTAGATGGATGAAGAAGCAGCTCTCTTCAACACGTTCAACACCCTGATGCAAACTCGGAGCAAGGTGTACGAACAGGCAAGTAAGCCGAATGAGACCGAGAATGGGCCTGGGATCGAGAATGCTACCGACGGCACCCCCTTGTTACAACGAGTCAATTCCAACAAAGATTTCCCAAAAACCATCAAGGACGACTTGGACACACTTGAGTCAATCCTCAAAGAGCTTCATAAGTCGAAGCAGGATGAGACCAGGGAGCCTGATAACGCGTGGTGGACCCAGATGTTCTACCGGCGGAGGCCCGAATCCCAACACAGCCAGGCAGACGGGATTTTGCAGGGCAGGAAGCACTCAATTGAGAGTTCGGAACAACATTGTATCAACTACCGCGCGTACGCCCGAGACAGGGAGATCCCGGATGACGATGACCTGAAGCGGCTGAGCAAAGAAACCGGCGAAGCCAAAATAAACCATCTGATCGCCCTTCTCGAGAAATTTGGACGATTCTATGTTCTCGACATTACCAGAGAAATAACCCTCCTTCGGCTGATCAAAGACATTCAAGATGAATTGGCAATGATGGAAAAGGTTTTTGCAGAGCAACAAGAGCTTCTCGAATCTCTGGGCCTCATTATCCATACCATGGACCGGCACAATCCAGACCTCAACGATCCAGTGCACACCTCAAGTCCGAACACAAACTTGAGCTGTCGCAGTGGCGCGGAAAGAAGCCGCACTGGGGAGAGTCAGAACCTGCTCATGGACCGCGCGCACTACGACTACGACAGCGATGATGACGAACTGCTTGGGGATGAGTTTTTCGCGACTGCCAGGTCTCCTGGTACAGTGTCCCAGAACTCCAACAACAAGTCGATCAAACAAACGCAAAGCGTGATTTGGGGAGATCTTCGACAGAGGCAGAATCTACCTCTTCGAACCATAACCAGACATCACAAACAAATCAGAAGGATGTATGAGCGTGCAAAGAACACCAACTCAGCGGTTCGTCAACCCATTTCCCCAAAATACCCAAGAGCATACGATGCTGGAACTCATGATGACTACTACGCCCAAAATTCAGTTCTTCTGGGGGAAAAGGCTAACAGGGACCTTTTCACAGCTGAACACGCTCGTTGATCTGAAACAGAAGCAGAACAACATGATTGACACTCGGACTGCCCGTCTCCAAGCCGAGCAATCACACCTTATGACGCTAGAGGCTGAGAAACAGGGCAGGACGCTGATGGTCTTCACTATCGTGACTATTATCTTTGTAAGTCTCCTGTAATCGTTTCCCATCCGAATGACAGATGTTTGATGATCACGGGAATAACTTATAACATGAGGCTTTCCCAGCTACCTTTGTCTTTTATTGCCGCCTTCTTTGCGATTCCTGCCAAGGAATTTGACAACAGCAGCTTGACGTTGGGTTATGTATCAAAGGTCACATGTGAGCCACTCTAACTTCCTATCCTGATTCAGTCACAGAGCCTCCATCAACTCATTCGATGATGCTGTCTTTGTGATGCATTTGTGGTAGTCGACACAACGTACTGATCGTGCCTCACTCCTGATAGTTCCTTTATCTGCTGCTATATCGCTTGTGTTTATTGCGATTGGGTTCCTTGCATCGAAATGGAACCCAGAGAAAATAAGAAATAAGTGGAAGCATGTTGTGTAAGGGACGGTCTGCTGGAGGATAATATAGTCATCAAATAATGTTCGTGGTAGACATTCGGACCTATTCTCATCGTGCAGGTACCTGAATATAAAATCCGATCATTTCTGCTTATTGTTTGTTACCCATTGAAGGTCAGGTAGTACTGTAGATACCTGTCTACGACACAAAGGCAGGGTCACTATAGACTTCTTCATGCAACTCGATCATATGCAAAGCTGGCTTTTCAAATGTCTGACACACAAGTATAACAATGGGATCCCTATATATAGCTCACAGTATATATCATCATAAAAGTAGACTCAGCCGGTTTTCACTGCCTAAAGTTTGTAAGAAGAGAACGCTGGCATACACAAGTCCGAGCCTTGTTGACTACTGGTTCTGTAAAATCTGGAGTGAAGACAAATTAACTGACTCGCAGGTCGCAATTACTACCTACAAGCATCGGCCCGATTCACATACTTAGATGCAGAGAATTAACAGGATTAGTCCATGTACGAGGCATCGTGAACAAGATTAGCCGGAGGCGGCGACTCGAGCTACTACTATGGACGGCGGAGGTTCTGGCCCCTGACTGAGACACAGACTCGATTCCACGTTATTCTCGGTAAGATCTCAATGCCTTGCGTCAATATTCCAGTCATTGACAAAGAGTTGGATTCATGAGAAGCACCAGTTTAAGTCATCACATCGCAGAGCCCCAGAGCGGTATGAACTTTCCCAAGCTATAAGCATTGGGGCTACTGGGACTCTCGTTCCGCCCCCCTATCCCCAGGATCTGCCAGCATCTGTTGTTCCTAAGCATAAGATCTAGCATATTAGGCAAATATCATCGAAATCGGGAAAAGTTGCCTTCAAGAATTGCCTTCCGGACTGATCCCGTGGCGGAGGGCTTCTAGGTCGGGGTTCAACGAAGCTATACATCGTCCAATCCTAGCGCGTGTACAGCGAGTGATCAAGCCAACTGCCGAGGCTATGAATACTTGATACGCAGCAGAGTCGGATAGGCTAAGAAGATGCCGTAATCTTATATATATTTGCCTTGCCTGTGATGAGAACTCAATCGTTTTCACCGCATGTCATGGTGTGAAACGCAACTGGCAATGCTCCACGCCTTCCAGTGTATATGGAGTTTTCCAATGCAGAGTGAACTTTCAAAACATTGATGGAATTCAGTCAGCAGGTGGCATCCAGTTCCACAAGGTTACATTTCCCATCTCTTCTGTGCCCGTGGGCCGCCTCAGTGATGACTACATACGGCAAGACTCTGTTAATCGGCGCAACTCTTGTCCCGATGTATCCGTCATCAAGAGATACACAAACCAGATCATGGCAGAAGAAATTGTATATAAATCAAGTTCAGTCGACCAAAATATTCAGCTCATCATCACTCATCTTGCTATCTTCCAAGTAGACAACAAAGAACATCTCACCACCGCCATCATGCAATTCCCCACTGCCGCCCTCGCCTTGCTCAGCTTTACTTTCACTGCCTCTGCAGCGGACGAGCAGCTCTGCTTTCCCGCTCCTGGCCAGACCAACAATGTTCCTCAGTCCATCACTGATCTCGATGGCCAAATCAAGATCGACTGGGCCACCAAGCTCTGCGCTCAGATCGACTACTCGACTGTTGATGCCCAGTCTTTTACCACTGACATTGCCGATGGTGTGAAGGCAACGGAAAACGGAAAGACTTACGGGTTAAACTTGGTATACATCTCATGCTGGCTACTCTGTGGGAGCTTGAGCTAATGTATCCTAGGTTACTGTGGCTGTTCCAAACGAGCAGAAGTGCATCGTAAGTTAAAAAGCTATTTGTATAAGAAGATCTTCTGATGAAATCGAACTTTAGGACAATGCTGCGGCTACGCTTGGAGCTGATGTCTGTCCGAGCGGAGGAGCATTCATCAACCTGGACAACAATGAGGAGGAATGGTTCTCCATTGTTGCTCTCGACTAAGAACTGTGGACGGATGGTTGCGTGCACCTTAAATGAGAGGAGCTATAGTACGAATCCGAATTATGAATTATGTTGTCGTACATTAAGAGGCCAACCCCTTGTTATGCTTGTAATTTGTAGATCTATACAGATCCATGGTCAAATCATATGGTTTCACTTCCGAGCAGTAGGCTCTCAAGCCTTGATGGATCTTACAAAGTGAGACGTTTTCTTATGGTACCCTATATAGCCCGTGATTTCAAGGTTCTCTTTGATGTACTTTGGCATTCCTGAAGACTGATACTCACTTGATACAATAAGGAGACGACTCATACAAGCTCAGTTGTGAACACTGAGCTCAAACCACAGTAGTCAAGTAACTTCATGACACCATCTCACAACGCAATTGCCAGAGACGTGACTCACACTCATTCACTCTTACCGACCAAATTGTTGGAAGAGGCAAAAAAAGAAAAAAGAAAAACATACAACAGCCGGTGTTCGCTGGTGGTCACCCACCCAACTACTAATCTGCCGGTTAGTGGCTTATCTATGGGGGAGCAGACGGGACCCCGAGTTTTCCACTACCTATGGTCGTATGTATTGGGATTAGCGCCACGACGCCCTATCAGTGCTAGCGCATTCCTGCCACAGCGCACAGGGACGTGTAAGTCGCAGAACCCACGAACTGAGGTATTGTAGCTGATATCAACCATCAAATTAGAAGCCTGTTCCTATTTTATGCCCAAGTATGTCTCTGTGATCCCCTAGCTATTGTCAGATCTTTCTATCCCCCTACTGAAATACTAACCCCGGCGGTCTTGAAAGTCTATGATGCCGAAATCAGCCTGACCAACTCATCCTTCTCGCCACTCTGAGAAACCATCTCCCTAAACAGCCCGTTCTCAACCTCAAGCAACTCCTTCGGCGTCCCAAATTCCGCAGCTTTACCCTCTTTGATAACAAGAATCCTGTCAAAGTCCACCACGGTGCTCAGGCGATGCGCTATCACCAGCAACGTCGAATCGGAGAACTCCTGGCGAATCGACTGCTGGATCTGTCTGTCTGTCGCCATATCCACAGCCGAAGTCGCCTCATCCAGCAGAAGAATCTTGGGCCGTGATAGAATTGCGCGTGCGAGGCACAGAAGCTGCTTCTGGCCCTGTGAAAGATTGGAGCCGCCGGAAGCGACCGGGGACGAGAGCGTGAGAGCAGAGTTTGTGTCTGAGCCGTTCTCGGTGACGGTTGTGGAAGATGATTCATCGAGGATTGCTTCGGGAACCGGTGTGCCTGGGCTCGAGGGTACGAGATGGACGCGGACCAAGGCTTTCTGAAGCTCGTAGTCGCTGAACTGGTTGAATGGATCGAGGTTCGAGCGGATGGTGCCGGAGAAGAGAAATGGATCTTGCGGGATGATGGCGAGGCGGGTGCGCAAGTCGTGTAACTTGATCTTGGAGATGTCGACGCCGTCAATCGTGATGCTGCCTGAGCGAGTCTGGAGGAAGCGGAAGAGGGCCAGCGAAAAGGTTGATTTGCCTGGTTGTCGTTAAGTACATGTTCACGAATAGTAGAAGAGACAAATCTCAAGCTGCAAGCCGGGAGTCGGATCGAGAACTTACCTCCGCCAGTTCGACCAACGATGCCAATCCTTTGATTCCGCTCAGCAGTAAAGCTCAGTCCCTTTAGGATAGAAGGCAACCCCTCGGCATATCCAACCTCCAGATTCTCAACCTCGATTCTGCCCTCCTCTGGCCAGCTCGCACGCACCTCTTCTCCATCCTCCTTCTCAGTCTCGAGATTCGCATACTCAAAGATTCGCTCTGTCGCATTCATGTCCAGTTCCGTCTGCGTAGACACGGAAATACCCCAATTGATAGCATGTCCAAAGTTGAGCGCAAACGACAGAACAAAGCCGGCCAAACTGGCATCAATCCTCGGCGTAGTGACGACGAAAATGCCAACCACGGCGGCGAACATGGACGCCGTAACGCCTATTCTCAGCATCAACCACATCCTGAAGGCGGTGATGTACCAGCTGCAAGCTGCCCAGTCGTCGATGAGGGCAAACATTCTGCGCGTAAACTCGGGGCCCTTTGAGAAGGCTCGGATGGTGGACAGGCCGCTAAGGGAGGATGCAAAGTGAGAGATGACGGGGGACTTGTTGGTCGATTCGAGACGCTTGATGGTTCGGGCTGCGACCATGTATTGTCGAGCGTAGTGAGTACATGCCACGAGGAGGATGATGGCAATGAAGATCATGAATGGCGAGACAAAGACGCCTGCCACCATGATCCCAAGCATTTCCCATGTGACGGTGGCAAAGTAGTAAAAGTTTGTGGCCAGCGAAGAGTCCATGCTTGTAAAGTCTCCCGTGAAACGGTTCAAGATTCTGCCCGTCGGCACGGTGTCGAGCCATCGAAGGGGCGCGCGGAGCACGCTGCGCAATATCCCCTGGAAGATCCTCCGCGAGGCTCGGAGCGAGCCGGCGTAAACGCAGTAGAGACGACTGACGGATACTAGGACTGACACTGTGGATATCAGACAGTAGACTCCAAGATAGAACAAAAGATTCTTGGTTTGAGCGTCCGACTGAATGCCAACAGAAGCCCTTGACGAGTTGGCATAGCTTTCCGACGGTCCAAACATCTGCGTTTGTAGTATATGCCTGTAGTGGTAAGCCGAGACCGAGAAGCTGTTGTCAATCTGTTCGCTTGAACTGGACCAAATCTTGATCCAATATGTGCGGCCGAGTGTCAGCCCTTGGGCGACGGCAAATAGGAGAATGAGGAAAACCCAGAAAGGCAGTCCGCTGAAAGACTTGAGATACCCGACGTAGACCGACGTCTTGACTCTTCCGACCTCTCTCTTCTCGTCCTCAACCAGCTTTTTGGGTGGCTTCGCGGCCTTTGAAAGGGCATCCTGAGATGGGCTGGTCACCACACCATTGGGCCGTTTTGGGTCTGCATCGGCATCTCTCTGCACTTCCTCGACATCATCCGCTTCGATAATATGCTCCAAAACTCCGGTGCGCCGCAGATCCTCTACCGAGCCCGCGTGCTCGACAAGTCCGCTAGCTGAAAGATGTACCGCGTAGTCCGCACGCGGGAGACAAAGTGACGTGTGATGGGTGACTAGGATCCGGGTCCTTCCCTTGCCAAGCTCCCCTAGAAGTGCATTTGCAAAGACGTGTTTGCCGACGTGGGCGTCAAGAGCACTAAAGACGTCGTCAATCACCATGATGCCTGCTCTGGAGTACAATGCTCGGGCGAGAGTCAGCCGCCACTTCTGTCCACCGCTGAGGGTGACACCTTGGGCTCCGACTTCGGTTTCGTCGCCGTCCTCGAAGAGAGAGAGATCCTGCGATAGTGCGCAAGCTTGAAGCACCTTGTCGTATCTGACGGGGTCGAAGGGGAGACCAAAGAGGACATTGTCCTTGATTGTAGCGTTTTCGATCCATGGGATCTGGGAGACGAAGCAGATGGCGGTGGGAATGATCCAGTTCGCGGCGGTGGCTTTGCTGTCGTATCGTTGTTCTGGGGGAGGCGCCTTGGGCACTTGGATATAGCCGGCTAGCACCTCTGCTTCGCCGAGGATGGATGCGAGAAGCAGTGATTTGCCCGATCCCGTCGGCCCAGATATGACACTTAGAGCGTTGTTGGGAAACTCGAGGTTGAGCTTCCTCAGGGCAAACCGGTCGTCTGTCGGATCGTCGGAGCCAGACGGGAAAGTGATGGTCGCGCCGTTGAAGGAGACTGCAGTACCGGGGTGTGTATTGTCCTTTTTGTCGGGGTTGCGGAAGAACTTGTCGATTCTGTCACAGCTGACTTTGGCGTTTATGGCGGTAACCAGCAGCAGCGGGATATGTTCCACGATTCCCTCGAGAATCATGAACAACGTAATGGCGGTAAAAGCAACCGAAGGCAAAAGCGTGCCGTTGATGTACGAGTATGTAGCCAGAGAAAGTGCCGTCAGCACAATGGGCGTAAACTCGGAAGCGATGGCCATGTAGAAGTTGTTGATCCTAGTCTTCCAGAGCATCTGAAGCTCCCGCTCACGAACCTGCTCGATCTTGTCCGTCCACTGCGCTTCGATTGCTGAAAACTTTATTTGCCTGATGCCATGTAAAGCCTCCGTGATGATGGCGGATCTCTTGTCACGGAGCTTCATCAGGATCTTCTGGTTGGCGCCGTATCGCGCGGCGAGAGCCCTGTTGATGGGGAAGAGGATGAGAATCCCTAGCATTCCTGCGCAGAGGCTTTGCCAGCCGACGAGGTGCAGCAGGAAGATGACGATGATGAGGAATTGACCTGCGCAGTTGATGTATTGTCCGCTTTGGGAGCCGAATCTGGCGATTGCGTCGCAGTCGACGGAGAACATGTTGACAATGTCCTGTTGAGACCTCATGTTTGGCTGCTTGTCCTGCTCGTCGGCATTCTCGGGGTCTGCGGCGTCATATCCTGTAGACTTTTCATCCTTGGGAATGTGAAGCGAATCTTCCATCCTCATCAGCTTCTCGTACATGAGCCCGGTCAAGGTCGATCTCAGAGGGATGACGATGTCAGCCATCTCCGACCACATGACTCTGGAGTCGACCATACGCGAGCTGATTGTGGCAATGACAATGGCAGCAACGTAGATCCAAGCAACGGGGTCAATGACGTCCAAGTTATCGCGAGTCTCGAGATACCGAAGCAACTGCAGATTCGCAAAAGCGGGAGCAACGTCGAAGAAGTTTGTGAAGAGAGTAGCGCTCCATTGAAACAGGAACTGATAGCGGTACTTCCAGGTGATGTGTGCCCACAGCGGGAGCCTGTCTGGCTTGAAGATGATGTCCTTGAAGTTTGCCGTGGCGTTTTCTGATCTGACGACGTGGTCCATTGCCGGCATGTCCGAGTTTTCAAACTTTTCGGTGCCTGCTGCACGGAGCATGCCGAGACCCCATTCGAAGCTATATCTCGCCCAGAGGCTGAGCGTCTTTTGGGAGTCGACGACTCGTCCGTCTGGGCGGAAGACATCAGGACGTCTCTGGACGGTGAAGATTGTTGCCATCAGTGCAATGGCTGCGACAATCTGAACTGCTGTCAAAATGGAAGTGAGGAGGATTCCGGCATTGTCGCGATGACCCAGGCCGTTGAGGACGTGGACATCCACCGAACCTATACACACGATCAAGGTGCATGTCCATAGCGTTGATGTTACGCTGTTGAATCTCTCGACTGGTGCCACTTCTCGAACTGCAACCACGAGTTGTAAAAGCAGAAATATCTAGATCCGTCAGTCTCACCACTTCACGGGCTCTGCGATAGAAGCTCACCCATGCCGGGACCAGCAGATATATGCCCAAGAGAGGCACGCCGGCGCCAGCAAATGCAAATCCATGGTGAACAGCCGTGAAGATGGCATCTGCGCCTGCAAGTACAACTGCCGATATGTTGATTACAAAGATGGTGATGAACTGCGTCTTGTTGGAGAAGCGGGCTATTGAGTCTTCACTTGCCGCCCCGTCTTCATCCTCGTATATGCATCCATCTTGTCGTCGCTGCTGGGCACGACTGTTTACAGCAAGTTTCCTAAGAGACGAGAAAGAAAGCACGGCAATGAGCGATATCAGGGCTATGGCCGCATACTCTGGCTGAAAGACCAGTTCCATTGTGCAAGTTCAATTGATCACATCGCCATCTTCCCACGAAGCAAAAGAAAAGGAAGAGCATTGAATTCGAAAGTACGTGCTCATCAATGGAAAGGCTTCTATATAAGCTGAGATAGCGATTTGAAGCTCCTTTTCGGCTCCGGGCTGCCGAAGAGGATTCACCGCGTGAGTCAATAGGCCGGACCTAGACTCGATAAGGGAGGTACTTTTGTTGGCCTTGCGTATAGATATTCGTCAGTCGTATAGAGAGCCTTGGGTGAACGGCTCGAATAGCTGTATATATTCACGCTGTGTGAACTCAGGTCTACGAACTTTGACTCATCTATTGCCTCTCCGTGAATCAGAAAAGATTCACGAAATGGATATTGAAGCACTTTATGCTGCGAGCTGTGTGTTACACTGCGGCGCTATGTCATAACACCTACGTCTAGTAAAGATAAGGATTGGTTACGCACCACAGGCGACGACTGTCCAGCTTCACCAGAATGCTACCATGTCATTGTCTGACTGTCACAACGATTATGATGGGATGCATTGAGATATGAGAGACAGAGAACCGACATTCATCAAGTTTACACTACCTACCTGTTGATGATGACAGTGCTGGTGGAGAAGGCGAAGCTATACACAGTCTTGTCGCCGTTATATCCGCGAGTTCACTTCCCTGCTAATTTGCGGTGAGGCGTTGTAATACTTACTAAACCAATGCTGCAGTTTCACTCTTATGACACTCTTCAAAAGCCTTATCTCGTGGTGTTGGCAAGCGTGAATCCTTTGGTCGCCCATCTGACCTTTGTTGCAATGCTTTCCGATGGACGCGATGGCTCTAGCGCGGCACGAGCCTTGCGAGCGAATACTATGTACCCAGATTAAGCGGCCAATCTATTTGCATCATCTTCTCTCTCCGCGCAATATCATGTGTGGTCCAAGAGCTGTAGAAAGTACGTGTGTACTTGACATATCCAGATTCGTTGTCTTAATCAGCGAAATCCTTGTTTCTCCTAAGCATCCCGATTAAGCATATGGGCATTCTATAAAAGAGCCTCAAGCGCTGTTCGCGCAGCTGTGCGTTGGAACCGCAAGCTCGCCCAAGCATCAACGGCGACAAAGCGACGGCCAATCGAATGGACGGCACGGCGCTGGTCCGGGTCGACAAGCGCGGGAAATGCGAAACGAGTGGCGGCCGTAACCCTGAGATTCGCTGCAGGGGTCTGGCAGGGCAGTTCAATGTTCGCCAGAGAGCAGCCAATCAGGGAGAAGAGGTGCCTGGGCGGCCGCTGATATGGTGAAGCGATCGGGTTGAACCTGGGCCAAGTCAGGGCTGTTTCAAGTGGGCTGGAGGACGGGACCCCCCGGTTTGGACTATGGTGTGATGGTTGATGGTTGATGGTGATGATGATGGTGATGATGAGGTTTGGAGATGGTGGTGAGAGACATACAATGGCTACTGCAGAAGGTGTTTACAGCTACCTACCTAGGTATGTAAGTACTACAGCTACCTTACATACAGCCCCATGGCCGCATTCATCCCACACAGGCAGTACTGGAGAAGCTTCCCTGGACAACTTGATCTGAGACAACCACTAGTATACAGACAAGTTCATGTAGAATCGCTAGCTGATATTGGAGGATCTAATGCCGCATTGCGCAATCATGGATTCATTTCCCATCGAAACCATATACATACTGCGAGAGTAGTACCTTGGTAGGTACTAAGGTATCTTTGTCATTCGCCTCAATTGCGGAAGGTACTATAGAGCACCTCGGCCACCGCCTTGAAGCAACCGGCAGAATAACAACCTCAGGCATCATCATCACCACCACCTCTCTCGATCCATTTCCATCTCCACCACCGTCATTCCTCTCAACCAATCTACCAATCTATTACTAGTACAACATCAACAACAACAACAACAGCCACTCACCCGCCTTGCCGCCCGTCCCATCCTCCCCCGATCCAGTTACACCCTCCCAGCCATGCCGACACTCGCTCCAGGGGCTCCCATCTGAGACGCCAAGCCGGGTCCTGCAGACCAGCTCCCGCCCGCCTCGCATGGCACCCTCTGGCGCCTCACCTCTGGGTGGCCTCCTCTGTGCAGCCTGCCACTAGGTAGCCCTGTCGCATTCCAAACTGTTTCATCGCACGCTTCGCTGGCCGATCGCAATTCGCCGCTCTCTTGTCGACTTTGGATCCGATGCCAACGGCGGCCTGCTCTGCTGCATGGTGCGGCGCGTGCGCGATGGTAGCGTAGCGCCCCCTCCCCCAGACAGACGATGATGGCGGCCTGCCCTTGGAGTGATTGAGCCGCTTGTGAAGCGCTCCCTCCACTCTATTGTCCTGCTAGTCTGGTGTGATTGTGCCCACTCACATGCCAGCCAGTCCCTTGTTGGTCTGCTTTCGCTGCTTTCTTCTTTCCTTCTCTTCCCTTTTTCTTCTTGGAGGCGCCGGTCGTTTTCTCTTCTCCAGACTCCCGGCGAGCATCCATCGCTGGTTTCGTCCATCTTTTTTCTTGTGAGGGCGCGCCGTCGGAACTTCGCAGGCGAGGAACGACGAGTGCAGTCGGCAGGGCCGCAACAAACCATCGCTCTCTCTAGGCCACGACGTCCTTTTTGCCTTCGTTTTCGAGCAACTTGCGACTCATTCTCTTTGTTTGTCCCTTTCTTTCGATACCGCTTCTTATTTTATTACTTTCTCTTTACCCTTTTCAGGTACTACCCCAACAATCCAAGCCAACTGCAGAGTTTCAAGATTACTTTGTTTGCCTCGATTCGACGACCAAGTAGCCCCTCGTTTGCTCGCATCGCCACATAGATCGCCAACATGGGCTGCCTCAGCCACCGAAAAAAGGAAACCCGGCAGTATACCGACCAGAAATGGGACTACATCAACCTCTCCGACTTCAAGGCCAAGGGATGCGGCGCCATCTTCGCCTACATCACCCTCTGGATGGGCCTCATCATCTCATTGGCCGTCTACGGAGTTGATACCTTCACTGCCGTCCAGCTGCTCGTCTTCAACCGATGGTCGTCCGAGATCGAGCCCGCAATTCCCTTGTCCGTCTCCAGGTGGATCTTTTCCGGCTGCATCATCTTGTCCTTTATCAACCTGGGCTTTGAATGGGTTCGCGCCGCTCGCAAGATCAAGCGTGGCAATGTTGCCGAGGTCTACCTCGACAGTCTGGCTGTGCGCTGGGAGTCGATCCGTCTCGGATCTGGCCAGGGGTTCAAGCGCTTCCTCGTTTTTGGAGAGCTCACCAAGAGTAAAAAGGGCGTCGAATATATCGCCTTATTCACTTATTTCAGCTTTCAGTGTATGTGCCACAACTGAGCTTTACGCTACTTTTATTCCCCCGCCTCGCCTTTACTGACCGTTCTACAGCCTGGATCCGTGTCCTGTTCTGCTCCAGCCCGCGACAGGTTGTCAATGCCCTGACGCTCAGGTCTGTCTACATGGCAAAGCTCGCCGTCAGCTCAGACTCTGTCGAGGGCTCACTTTCCGCCTTCTTTGACAAGATCAAGACGCTCGCGCAGCAAGACTTTCGTCAGGCTGCCATTCTCGGCGGCATGTGCTTCACGGTCGTCGTGTGGGTCTTTTCGGCGCTCTACTTGATCTCCGCCGCCCTCTTCTACGTCTGCTTTCTCTTCCACTGGATTCCCCGTTCCGATGGCGGCCTTACGGGCTACTGCGAGCGAAAAGTCAACAGCGCTCTTCTCAAGATCGTCACCAAGACGGTCAACCAGGCGCTCGCCAAGGGCCAGGCAGACAGGATGAAGAGAGCCATGACCGAAAAGGGCGACGCGCACCCTGACGCTTCTCTTCCAACTCTACCCAACGTCAACCGCCTGTTCACGTCGCAACAAGTCGGCGTAACTGCACCGTTACCCGCCTACACTTCGAATCCAGGAACTCCAGCCGGCGACTTCAAGCGACAGATGCCCCCGCGCAGCATGACGGGAGCTTCGACCATGAGCTACTCCTCGCGGGCTCCGCTCGTTAACTCCGCGGCCGATATGGGGTATACGCACACGCGATCGGCCTCGCCCGAGAACATGGCCCCAACCGTGCCATATCTGCAGAGGACGGCGACGGGGGGGTCGATGAGAAGCAATGGCACTCCACCGGATCTGAGCCATATGCGCAATGGCTCAAACTCTTCGTACTATCAGCCGCGCTCCCAAAGCCCTCCGAACAATGGGCCTCCGCTGGACATGAGCCATACACGCGCTGGCTCAATATCGTCGTCATATTATCAGCAGCCTTATTCTCAAAGCCCGGCGAGCATGGGCCCAGCGACTGCGTCACCAATGTATACGCCGGCCGCAAGGCCCATTCCGCCGCGTGCCGACTTCAACAACTATGGTCAGAGCATGCAAGACGACAACCGATCTTTGCGTGGCCCGCCACCGCGGTCGTACACCTTTAACAATGAGGGTCGATCCAGCCCAGCGCCTTCCGCGGCGGGTTCGTCATATTCCAGAGCGCCTCAGCCGCTTGTGAGAAGCGCGACAAATCAGGTTCCTCTGCGAGGACTGCGGTTCGCTCCTCAGAGGCAAATGACTGAGCCCATGTCCGGTTCTACGCCGACTGAGAGCTATTACAGCGGAACTGGACCACGGATGCCGCCAAACCGACAGCTATTGCGTCAAAGCTCACAGGACTTTCATCAGCCCCAGATCCAGGCTCCGTATGGGGCCAGCTATAGGTACGATGTTGAGGCGCAAAACGATGGTAGATATTAGAGATAGACTGCCTGTTAATCTGTCCGACCGGTTCGGAACTGAAAACTCTCTCTTCTTCTTGACCGCGATTTTCACCACGATCTACGATACATGTAAGGCGCAAAAATAGGGCTGAGACGAGGGATCTGCGGACAATATACCCAAGTGACAGGATTGGGTTGGGTAAAGGTATAATATCAAGAAAGGCGAAATGGAGCGAATCTGCTGTACTATCACAACAAGAGGAACCTTAGTGAACAACTCTGTTTGACTCCGAGCGTTTGCAGAACAGTGATGAAAGCTCAACACAATATAGTATTGAACAAATGATGTTGAAGCTCGCCCTCTGGCTGCGTTCAGGTCGTCAGCGCTAGCATCGCCCCGACAAATCAAGCAAGAATGCGGCGCTTTTGCCGTTGCTTGATTTGTCACCGTGGCCATGCAGCTTTACCAATTAGTCTCAGTAGCTGTATGGAATCGGGCGTCAAGGGGGTGAGGAGGAGGCGGTCGTTCAGCCAAACTATTGTCTCTTTGTGCGAGATATCTCCGTTCGCCTTTTGTATAAGATGAAGCTCTCCTCGTCTGCATTTCAACCTCGCTCATATTCACATGTCATAGGGACATGCTCCTGAGTCAAATCTCCCACAACCTCACCCAGCTATTCAGCCTCCCCAACGCCCCTCTCAGCATCTTCACCACCAACGCATCCATCGCCATCGACGCCACCATGCCGTCCCTCGTATCAACCTGGCACCCCGGCGAACTCGCCATGCACCGTGAGCTGCGAAACCCGCGCTTCGAGAATCCCACGTCGCCTGGCTGTCCCACGCCATATGCCATGAGGGTGATGCACTCACAGCTCGTTGCTCTGGGCACATTAGACGATGAAGGGAGGCCGTGGACGACGGTCTGGGGAGGAGAACGGGGCTTTGCGAGGCCAATTGCTGAGGGGGTCCTCGGACTGAAGAGCGCGGTTGATAAGGTGTATGATCCTGTTTACAAGGCTTTTTGGGACTCTTCCACGGATAAAAGCGGTGGTGATGATGGGGACGGCATAGTGAGCCCTGAGGGAGGCAAAATGATGAGCGCCCTGTCGATTGACCTCGAGACCCGCGATCGCGTCAAGCTCGCGGGGAGACTCATTGCCGGCGCTGATATTCCCGGTCTGGAGAGCGAAGTGCAGCTTGCATTTCACGTGGAAGAGAGTCTGGGTAATTGTCCCAAGTACATCAACAAGAAGACTCTCCAGACGGTCGTTCCCCAGCCGGAGTTGGTTGCTGGTGGACCAAGCGGGATGCTCCCCCCTGAAGCAGTTGCCTTGATTGAGCAGGCCGACATGTTTTTCCTTTCCAGCACGAATGGGGTGACTATGGATACGAATCATAGGGGTGGACCGAGGGGGTTTATTCGACTTCTGAAGAATGATGAAGATGGAGTAGAGTTGGTATATCCAGAGTACTCGGGAAACAGATTATACCAATCCCTGGGAAACCTCAAAGTCAACCCCCTCATCGGCATCGTCATCCCCGACTACACCACCTCAGGCGCCCTCTACCTCACCGGCCGCTCGACCATCCTCCTCGGCAAGCAAGCCTCCGACGTCCTCCCCCGCTCCAACATGGCCGTCAAAATCACACTCTCCGCGTCCCGCCTCGTGAAAGCCAGTCTGCCCTTCCGCGGCACCCCCGACGAACCTTCGCCGTATAATCCTCCTGTACGCTATCTTCTCTCAGAGAGGGCTCCTGCGCTTGCGCCCACTGATCGCCCGGATATCAATGCCACGCTCGTAGCAAGGGACATTATCACGCCTACCATTGCCGTCTTCACGTTCAAGCTCGAAACGCCTGATCCGGGGACTGTTCTCCCGCAGTGGAAAGCAGGACACCACGTAACGCTCAATTTCGAGACTGAACTCAGCCATGGCTATGCACACATGAATGATGCTGACCCTCAGAGTCTCAACGACGATTACGTCCGCACGTTCACAGTCTCAAGTCCTCCTGGGTCCCTCCCCGCAAAGGATACCTTTCAAATCACGGCGAGGCTGCATGGGCCTGTGACGAGGTTCCTTTGGAGACATAACACGCGTGTGCCGCTGGATGTGCAGGTTCTGGGCTTTAGTGGCAAGGATGCCTTTGCACTGCCTTCTTCTTTGAGTGCTGGAGAGGGCAAGGAGCCGGTGTATGTTGCGGGGGGAGTCGGGATCACGCCTTTGCTTGCGCAGGGGAAGGGGATCATTGATGCGGGTGTGCCGTTGAGACTGTTTTGGACGCTGAGGGGTGAGGATCTGGCGTTGGCGGTGCACGTGTTTGATCGGATTCCTGGGTTGGCGGAAAGGACGACTCTGTTTGCTACGGGAGTGTTGGCGGGGGAGGATACGCAGAGATTACTTGAGAAGATTCGGGAGCGGGGAGCGGACGTTGTGGCGAGACGGATGAGGGGTGATGATTTGGGGGAGTTGAGCCAGAGGGGACAGAAGAAGTTTTATCTGTGTACGGGGCCGGGGCTTTTGATGACTTTGAGGGAGTGGCTAGAAGATGAGGATGTTGTTTGGGAGGATTTTGGGTATTGAGCATGGTTTGTGATGATGGATAATGTGAAATGATTTGGTAGCTTTTTGCTTGATAATAGTTCTTTTTGGCTTCTGTCCATCGTGGTTGTTATCGTCGTGTTGCATGATTTATCGGTTCAAGCTTCTTGCTGTTGAGCTTTTGTCGAGCTCGCTCGTTCCTCGTACGCGGTTGTCCGAACTGGTATTCTGTTTTCGTGACGTTCGGCCGGAAGGCTGTAATGATCGTCTGTCACGACAGCAAGTTAGTAGTTTTCTGTCGAAATGAGCTTGTGTAAAGGGCCGAAGGGGGTTAGGGTCTAGGGAGTTCTTGTTGTCTATAAGTCCTTTGAGGTTATCCATAGAGGTCTCTAACTAGACGGGTGGTCATGCTGAAAAGAAGTAGCTCAGGTATATCTGAGAGAAGATATGTTGATGCAAAGAGAAAGTCGCAAGACTTGAGGATCGAGGCGGCGTAGGGAGGCCCTCTGTCTATATGGAGACAATCCTCCGCATGCTGACTGCGGTGGAGAAACTTCTGAATCCTTCAGTGGATGGTGAATCCTTCAGAGATGCCAAGGCACCTGAGGTAGCTTGGAATAGCTTCTCGGGATCATTACAATTACTAAGGACTCCATCATGGGGGCCGGGATGTTAACTGTAAAATGCCACCGGTTGAGCCATTTACATACGCCAATTCCATAGTGAATGGGAGCCTCACGTAGGTAGCCGAGGTGGGAGACTGAAAGGGGGAGGGGACAAGCTTCTTTGTCTGCTACCAGCCATCTCTGGGATGCGTTCTGGACAATTCTCGCAGATATTATCAAGCACCTCCAATACCCACTACGAGAGTGGTGAACAGCGAGTACGACCCCTTGGTATTACGCATCCTTCATGCAGGGCTTTTTCTTCTTTCACTGAGCTGAAACAGCGGCAGAGAGGGGATGATACTGATATTACTCCCGTCGGAGCAGCTTCTCCATATCGCTTCCCTCTGGATCGAGCTTTGATAGGCCCTGACCGACAAAGAAGCTTCATCACGACTGCATATACGCGTATTTCCCCTGATTAGCTTGAGATACGACCCGCGTCTAATGTTGGACAGTCGATAATGATCCTTCAAATCTCATGAATTTGAAGAGTTGATTGGATGACAGCCGAGTTGCATGTTGTTACGAAAGCGGGTTGTTGACGATACGCGTATTTGCGGGTTATCGCATTCGTATTCGGGAGGCCCTTGTGCCTGGTGCGAGCTTGATATGGCGGCCTACCGAGCAACGTTAAGGGAACCGTGCATATTCATGGAGAGGGCTGATCGTGTAAGCAAATTCATAGAAGATGTAAGTCAAGGTCGAAAAGTATAAAGAAAGAGACTGCATCTCAAAGTGTTCCATTCTCCTCATCAGACTCGAATCAACTCTACCTTTACGACCCCAAACATTCCCTTCTTCTTCCTCTTCCTCTTCCTCGTCTTCTTCCTCGTCTTCTTCAAACAGCAGATCCACTCGTCAAAATGGCCGACACAGCCAGCCAAGCCCTTCTCCCGGCCAATCAGGCCAGAAACATGGCCTTTGACAGAGTCCTGCACAAGAACTCGTCAAACTCTCAGGGCGGGCTTCGTGCCATGGTCAACAAGGACAACGAAGCACACAAGGCGGCTGTGAATGAATACTTTCAGCACTGGGACGACAAGAAGGCTGAGGATGAGACTGAAGCCGTACGACAAGCTCGCGTTGATGATTATGCAAGCTTAACCAGACAGTATGGAATGCCCTTTTTCCTTCGTCTTCGCCCTCTTCCTGCTTCCATGAAAGGACATGCTGCTGACTTGTAACACCTACAGATACTACAATTTGGCGACCGACCTCTACGAATACGGCTGGGGCGAGGCATTCCACTTTTGCAGATTCGCCTATGGAGAAACCTTTCGTCAGGCCGTCAACAGACACGAACACTTTCTGGCAAGCAGCATCGGCATCAAGCCTGGAATGCGAGTGCTGGACGTCGGATGCGGTGTTGGCGGACCAGCCCGAGAGATTGTCAAGTTTACGGGATGCCATGTCACCGGCTTGAACATCAACTCTTATCAGATCAGCCGAGCCAAGCAATATGCGGTCAAAGAAGGGCTTACACACAAGCTGGATTTTGTTCAGGGAGATTTCATGGTCAGTAAACCCCATCCCTACGGTTGGCAGTTTATATCTAACCTCTATATCAAACAGAGCCTGCCCTTTCCCGACAATTCATTCGACGCGGTCTACGCAATCGAAGCCACAGTACATGCACCATCCCTGGAAGACGTTTACAGGGAGATTTTCCGCGTCCTCAAGCCAGGCGGCGTCTTTGGTGTCTATGAATGGCTCATGACGGACGCCTACGACAACAATGACTTGGCCCACCGTCGAATCCGTCTCGACATTGAGCAGGGTGATGGCATTGCCCAGATGCTCAAAGTCGAAGACGGCCTTGCTGCTATCCAAGCTGCTGGCTTTACACTCGAAACCCACTACGACCTTGCCGAGGACGATGTCAATGATACCAGCGTTGCTCCTTGGTATTGGCCCTTGGGCACGGATCTTCGGTATGCGCAGACGCTGACGGATGTGCTTACTGTGCTGAGAATGAATCGTTTCGGGAGAGAGCTGTCGCACGCCTTCATCTCGATGCTGGAGTTGCTTCGGATTGCTCCAGCAGGCACAAGGAAGACGGCTAATAGTCTCGGAAAGGCGGCAGATGCATTGGTTGAGGGCGGGAAGAAGAAGCTGTTTACACCCATGTACTTGATGGTGGGCCGTAAGCCGGAGCTTTGAGGGGTTGCTATCAGCTGTGTTGTTTTGTATCGTGATTCGCTATCAATTCCATTCTTTCAAGGATGCAGCTGCAAACATGATTTGTTCAACGGTGACCAATTGGATGCCTGCCCCCGCTCACATCAGCAAGGCTTTCCAGGAGGCTTCAGTGATCTTGGCGCCTGATATGCCCAACCCCAACTTTGAAGCTCGAAAGTGATTCCATCAAACTTCACACTAGATGTGTCTTGTCACTTGACATCTGGTTACAAATTTCTCACAGATTTGCCGCAACATCACTCTCAGCGTCATGCGTCTGTTGAACACTTCTACCCTCGAGCCGCAGGAGTTCGAATACGGCAACATCCCACAATACGCCATTCTATCCCACAGATGGGGCAAAGAGGAAATCACTCTTCAGGATCTGGAACAGGGCGTCACCAATAAAGCGGGATATAAAAAGGTCCAGCAATGTTGTGAGAGGGCTAAATCCGACGGGTTCGACTATGCTTGGGTCGACACCTGCTGCATCAACAAGACAAGCAGTGCAGAACTGTCTGAAGCCATCAATTCCATGTACCTCTGGTACTTTCAGGCGGATAAATGCTATGCGTACCTATCGGATGTCTATGAGCAACATGAATTGGAGAAAAGCGAATGGTTTACTCGAGGATGGACTCTTCAGGAGCTACTCGCGCCATCAGAGGTCTACTTCGTCGATGCCCAATGGAACGATCTTGGGACAAGGTCGGAGCTTCAAGAAACAATATCAAAGTGCACCGGCATACCTTTTGATGTCCTTTCGGGCGAAGACGATCTAGAATCCGTGAGCATCGCAATGAGAATGTCATGGGCCGCAAAGAGGAGGACACAAAGACTCGAAGATCGTGCTTACTGCTTGATGGGTATATTTGGCATCAATATGCCATTGCTGTATGGAGAGGGCGAGCGAGCTTTCATCAGACTCCAACAGGAAATCATGAGAACTTCAGACGACCAGAGCCTTTTTGCGTGGAGATCCTCCGATACCCGCGGCGGACTGCTGGCGGCTTCGCCTGAAGCCTTCGAAAGCTCCGGAGACATCGTTCCCTTCAATCACTTCAACGATTCCAGTGAACCCTCTAACATAAGTAGCCGAGGAATCCATCTTGCGGTGCGTTTCATAGGCAGGGGGGTTGGAGGGCTGGGCCTCGCCCTTCTTCGGTGCAGAAGCCAGGGTGCGAACGATTGGCCGATTGCAATCTGTCTTGTGGACCATTCGCTGACAATGGAAACCTTTGAGAGAGTCATGAGCAATACCTTGGTACCTCTCAATCTGAAAAATTTCAGGTTCACTCAATATCCAAGGAGAACGCTATGCATTCGTACCGGCCGGATGACGCCGGTGCGAAGACGCAACAGTGATGCCCAGCAAGGTGGCAGCATCTCACAGCGCAGTTTATACAGCCATGAGGAGTTGAATCACCTGATGGGCTTCACGGATCAGAGGGTCTTGTTGCGCGCAGCCGCAACAGGGTCTGAGGATCAAATATGGCTTCTGTTGACGCGATCAGATATTGACATTGAAATTCAAGATGACGATTCACGCACAGCTTTGGACCATGCGGTCAACGGCGGTCACCAATTCATTGTGAAGATGTTACTGGCCAAGGGAGCTCATGTCAACCTGCCTAATCGCACGTCTGACGTGCTGTTAAAGACTGCCATACAGCGTGGAGATACGGGCATTGTGAAGCTGCTGCTTGATCACGGGGCGGCAGTGAATCTGCCTCCAGAAGTCGAGAATCGCGACGCGCCGCTACTGTTGGCCGTTAATCGAGGACATTATGATATTGTTGAGCTGCTGCTGCATAGGGGGGCCAAGATTGACATTCTCACCAACCCATACAGCGGAACGCCGCTATGGGTGGCCCTTGAGAACCGTTTTTACGGAGTTGTCAAAGTACTGCTCGAGAATGGCGCTGGAGTCGATGAACAATCGGCATTGCACAATAATATGACGCCGCTCATGTATGCTTTGGAACATAGATTTATCGATGGTTATATTGAGCTGTTGCTGGTTAAAGGGGCCAACGTCGAAGCGAGAAACACCAGCAGCGAGACGCCACTTTCTGTTGCCTCCAGACAGGGAGATGCGAAAGCCGTCAAGCTGTTGCTCAACCATGGTGCCGACATTGAGGCCATAACTGAGACTGGTTTGACGCCGCTTTCGCAGGCTGCCATATGGGCGCGGCATGACGTGGTTAATCTGTTGCTTGACCATGGCGCTGATATCGAAACGGAACAAGCACCGCTTGCACTCGCCGCAACAAAAGGGTATACAAGGCTCGTCGAGTTGCTACTTCGCAGAGGTGCAAACATTGAACGAAAGGACTCTGACGGCCGAACTCCCCTCGCACTGGCAGCATTCTCCGGAGAGTCGACTGTAGCCGGAATATTACTTTCCAAAGGCGCCAAGATTGATTCCCAAGACCTTGACGGTCGAACGCCACTCGCACTGGCTGCCATGGGTGGAAAAGAGTCTGTGGTAGAGCTTTTGCTCTCCCAAGGGGCGGATCTCAACGTGAAGGATTCCAGAAGACGGACGCCCCTTATGTTGGCTGCCAAGGGGAATCACAGTTCCGTTGTTGAACTCTTGGCTACGGCGCAAAAACGTGCACAGCGAGCGAACATGTCCACGCATGCTACAAAGTGATTGATTGGGGGCATAATCAGAATCTCGAATGCTAGATGTGGACTCTCTTTGTAAGTAGTTTTATCTCAGGGGCTTCATGGCCTCTTGTTCGAGACTCGATTGAAACTGTTGTTTCATTACAAATGGATTCGTAACAGAATAGTTTGTCAAACTAGCTGAAAGGCGGAACGTACGGAGCAGCCCGAATAGCAATACGCAACTTTGTGTGATAATCCAACGGCTCGTCCTCATGCAAGTCGTCCTGATTCCAGCAAGCCTCCACAAGCTGCCGTATCAACCTCATGTTAAACGACCGCGGCTCTTCCCCAGCCCTATCCAATATCTCCAACGCGGTCATCCGCTGAGCATCGTCCCTCGCTTCGCAAGCAATCATGAAGACAGGCCACGGAGGCGTAGAGGTCAGCTTTCCGCACAAAATGTCCAAGCCTCTGTTCACGAGGTTTCTGTGCCGTAGCTCCTCGCCCGAGTAGCCCAGTGCTGCGCGGTTGAGGTAGATCAGAGCGGCGAGGCGGTACAGCTCCGTTATTCTATCGCGTTCTTTGGGTGCTTCGTCAGGTAATGTGTTGAGTGGGTTAAAGTCCATCAAGCCTCCTCTTAGTTTTGCTTCCAGGGCGTAGAGCTCCTGCGTTTCCAGATGGGAAAGGTGGCTGTTATCCTTGATCCGCGGCGTGAGGCTGGAGAATATCGATGATGTGTAGCCAAGGACATCCCTGTCGCAGACAAAGTCGTTCTATAGCGACTCAGTGACTGATACGGAATCAAGAGGAGGAGTCATGATACTTACTCGTGGTGCAAAGACTTGGGCAGTCTCAGGGCTCATGGCGCAAAATCTCAATCCCCTCAAGGCTACTGCGGGCTTCCAGTAGACCAGTCCGAATCGAGCAAAGGTCTCGTGATAGGAAACCCAGTCGAAGAGTAAAGAAACATCTATGTGAACCTCTCGGGCCAATACACCCGTGGAAACAATCTGTTTGGCGCCACATAGGTATTCGGCCCAGTCTTTCGTCGTATTGGAGATATGAAAGGTCTATACACGTTCATCATCAGTCAAACAATCAAATAAACAATGTAACAGGCGTATCTCTTACCTCACAGAGGTACAGAAGCATACTAGTCATTAGGTGCTGAGCAGTTCGATGGCCAATGTTTCCCAGCTGAAGTGACTGTTGGAGGTATGACAGCGCCATAATCTTGTACATCATCGCTACACTATTTCGGCCGAGGTTTAGAGACGATAAAGCCAGCAGGCTGTGCAATACCGCATTAGACGCCGGTGTAGCATCATAGAAGGCCAATCTCAGAATCCAGTCCGTCAAGTCTCCTGAGCTATCCATGACTAACAGCTGGGGACCCATGTCCATGACTGAAGCAAGTCATCAGCCATGAATAACAGACGACGCGGGTTTCTTACTCACAATACTGTAGTAGTCCAGATTGGCTCTCATGCACCCTCATTGAAGGAATGGAGGGCAGCGCAGGCGGAATAGATATTTTCGGAATCTCCACTAAATTCCAAGAAACAAGAAATTGAAGGTTAGTCAACGATGGCATTTGTTATGCATGACGGCAAACACTTACTGTCTGATCTAGCTTCCGACAGCTGATAGAACGTGTTTACATCCCAGCTTGTCACATTCAAGAACAGACTATGCTGATACAGCGAGGCTAACATGTGCTTCTTTTGCTTCGCGGTCGACTTCAGCTCAACGGCTCTTCGCTTGTCTCCCGGCCGGGGCCAGGACAGCCTGATGCTGTACCCCGGACACGGCACGTTTCGCTGCCGGCAGTTTGTACATGCCGGCAGCGCACGATCGCATTTGATCTTGCGATCTGCCACATAGCTATGTTAGCCAAGAATGATCACAGGAATGTAGCCGATTGGCTGCGTACCTCGACACGTCCAGCAGCCTTTGAGAGTCATGTTGAAGTTGGTGGGGTGAAACCACAGAGGCTCGGGTGTGATAGGATATCTGGAATTCAAGGCAACTCTTGTACGATGACCAGATTCTAGCGTCCTTCCTTAGCTTGCGGATATAGACCGTCGTAGAGGAGATCCCTTCCACCGTAGGAGAGACAGGAAAAAAAGTTGCCTTGACTATCATCCAGGCGAATGATGGTTAGGAGATGTGCCACTTATATGTCAATCAGCGGAGCAAGCGGACCATCTCGTTACTCCGCACGAGGAAATTCATTAAGCTTAGAAATAGGGTATATGGATTACTAGATGATTAACATGCTGCTAACAAAGACTCGAGTTGAAGCAAAGCGTTACAGGTTAACGGTTGTTAAGTTGAGAGTTGTCGTCTACCTAGTACTTGGGTTCCATAAACTCTGGGACTCCGTCTTGAACGATTCGGGATTAGTCTCGGCAATTCTTGCCTTCGTCGTTGTTCTACCAATCATGTCAAGCAGTGAATAGCTTGTCAGGGAGTTGGCTGACATTAGTAAGCCATACACGAGGCGTCTTACAGACTATCTCGCATCTCTTTGGTTTCGACAACTCGACATGGCGCCTTCTGTCGATACCAGAATAGGAACATACAAGGTTCTCTTGAGTGACATTTGGTTAGTTACATGTGGTACGGCAAATGACATGTCATGAGACTGTCCCATTTGCGCCACTTGCGAGTCTCGATAGAGCGTAGATTACAACACTTGGAGGAGTTTCATGAACTCTACCGTCGGAAAACTAGCCTTATTTTGACATTGACTGATACAAGTGATCTTTTTACAGGATACATACATGTGAACGTAGTGGATGGCTGACGGTCCACGCAGCTCTTCTTTGCCTTTGATGACCTCACGTTCGGCTGAAATTGTTCCACCAAACAGAGGCTAAGGAAGGGAATGGTAACTCGGAGCATTTCCGCCGATATAGAAGGGACAATACGAGGACTGGATATTGTATCGTCCAACCAACAATGTATCGGCCGTACACTGAAGGGGGGGCTCATGAGCATGTTTTGGCGTGCTGTCGACCGAAATCGTGGTAACAGGGATTCGTACGAGCCTGAACGCAAGATGACACTCAAACTTCAAAGTAACCGATGAATCTAGACAAACAGGACTTAAGAGTTGGTGGAAGCTACCGACATCCTATATAAGAGGGCCTTCTCCTTCTCCGTCTGTCTGATACACCTGGTTCTCCAGGCCGTTCATGTATTCAGGCATTGCGAGTACCAGTAGTTGGAATATATACAAGTTCCCTGCGCACAGCACGTGGGACCAGTGTATCCAGAACCTCCACACTGGCCATACAAGGGCGAGCAGCTGCCCCCAGGCGGTGGAGGCGTCGACGAGGTCCTAGACGAGGTTGTCGTCGTCGATGATACGGGAGGAGGAGTGGTTGTACCGCCGTTAATAGCATCAACGTGGTTCTTGACCAAGCATTGCCAGTTCGATGAGTTGTACCAGACGGTGTACGGGTCACTGTTCGACTGGGCACCGTTGGCAAAAGTGTCTCCCCACTGCCAAAACATGTCGCCACCCATGCCGCGAGTCGTGAGAGAGGTTGTTTGCCAGGGTGCCTCGTTGGTGCAGGGGTTTTGCTGTGCGCCGTCTATTCGTAGTGCGTTAGCTCGGCTCAGAGCTTAAGGAGAGGGTAATTACTCACATTCTTCAAACACGCAAGGTTTGCCTGCTGCTAAACAAGCGGCGGCATGAGTCTGAATCCAGCCATTGCCCCAAGTGTAGTTTGTTCCCCCTATACACGACGACGTTAACATTGATCTTTTTGAAACGGACAGGTGATGGAAGATCGTCCCCTCAGAGTACTTACAAGAGTCCGGATAGAGGTGGAAAGTACCAAAGTCAAGCGACTTGATTTGTACATTCTTGGCAAAATCAGTGCCCTCGCCATAAGTATACGGATAAGCGCCGTCTCCAGTACTGAGACCGAGCCCCTCGTCTCCAAGCGTCACGAGATGGTTCGAATCAAGTGACTTGACATATTGGGACACACTCGTCGCCCACTGAACAATCACATCAGTACTGCACCCGTTGCAGCGAGGCTCGTTGCCCAGCTCCCACGCAAAGATGGCCGTCGAGTTTGCGTAGCGGCTGACGACGGCCTGGACGTACTTGCGGTACTGAGTTTGCGCGGCCGTGTTAGTGTACCAGGTGGTCGCATTGCCGCCAAAGGCGTTGACATAGGCGTTTATCCCGCCGTAGTCGCTCCAGTTGTTGACGAACGGGATGATGAGCTTGAGGTTGTGCTGCTCGGCTGACTGGACTACGTAGTCGAGAGTCTGCAGCCCATCAGCTCCCGTGTTGATCGTAGACCCCGTAGCGGACAGCTTCTGGAACCAGATCTGGCCGGGAGAGGGCTGCGTGTTGACGTCGTTGAAGCCCCATACACGGACTACCTTGAGGCCAGAGGAAGAGATGTGGCTAAAGGTGGAATCAACGTCGGCGTGGTTGGTCAGGAACGAGCACCAGTAGCAGTTGGTGCCCGCAAAGTAGCCTACTTTGCCATCGATGTTGAATTGGGTGCCGGATATGGTTACAAAGCTCGAAGCACGTGGAACAGGCTGCAGTACCGCGGCCAGCGCTGAGGCTGCAGTTGCAGCGGAAAGGAGACTCTTTGAGAGCATCATCATGCAGAGGTATCAGCCATACGAAGACCCGGGGCTGGGCGCAGTTGAGACGACTTACATCAACCAACCCGTCCGGGCCTCCGGCTTTATATAACAACCATTGAACAAGAAATCTTGTGTAGTCGACACTGAACTTCCAATTTCCTCTTCCAGACACGGCATGCCTTCTTCCGCAATTACCCTTCACGGCGACTTCTCCAGCATTAGCCATACTGCCTCGACCGGATATTCAACGCAATGTCACGCTGCGAATGTAACCCCCACAACTACCAGCCGCAGTCCCGAATGCATATATTGCCTGCGTCTTGAACATTAGACTACTCTTATATGCTCGTCCAGACTTGACTTTAATAGTATTTACCATGTGGACTTTAGGCAGAAATTGGACTACCTACCTTTGAGGTATCGAATTACTTACACAAAAATGACTAAAGGCGCTCAGATTGAAGGGTGCTGAAAGTCTAGATGATTCTAGTTGTTTGGTAGATGATGCTTGTCGTGGTCCAGATCAGGGGAGCAACTGGATGATTGAAGAACTTCGGTGATGGCAATTCATGTCAGACCCCGCTGTTCTATGCCTTTACCCGAACTCGCCCCTGGTGCAACGCCCTCCAAGACATGAACAGTAGACCTGCTTGTAGACGTAAAGATATAGCCGACAGTAGTCGGGAAGCGCTCCAATTATGTAGTTCTCAGATACTTGCGCATGGTCTGGCATTGAGTTTTCACACAACACCTGCTTAAGCAACAACAAGTTACCCCTGGACGTGAAAATAAATATGCGGGATGAAATGCTGTCCATAAAGCCGACTCAGTCGGTGACTTTATGTGTTGAAGCTCTTCGATGGACTGCCGCTACTACTACAACTGTTTCCCTTCTTGGATGATGCGGTTCTAAATCCACTGCTAACTTCTACTGTAGTCTCAAGGTCCTACACCAGCCGGTCCGATCAGAGCATATTTCTCAACGCTATCTGGGGCCCGTTCTCTCCCGGTTGGTTCGAGCCGGCGACATCTCCCACCTAGAAGCAGATTGGCGTCGGACTCTAAGGTCTTCCAAATAGTTCGAAAGCCTAAGGTATGGATTTTGTTTGCTGCCCACCTTGCGTCCAAATATAGAACACAGCCATATTCAGCATCTCCGGTGGTGGCGCCAATTATAAGTTCGCCCTTTCATACGAGGTAGCTCTTTGGTCTTCGAGCTTGTCCTGGTTTCTCCCCCAGTCCCACATATGCCGTTCCTGTCACCTACCAGCGTGTAGTGTCCCCGGGCATATAACAACTGCGTCACTAGTCGTTGATAACTCCCTCAAGAACTGCGGTGGAGGTTGTGGCTTGCCCACACGACAATTGTCCGAGATGTGTCCAACTCTGCCGACATTCACCGCGGTGCATTGTCTCTGCATCTGGCTCGGTTGTCTGAGAAATGAGTTTGCGGAGTCGGGTCTACATACACGAGGATGGCACTGCCTACCGAAAGTGCAAACTGAAAAGGGGTGCGAGCAATCGTTTGCAATGGGTATCACGGAACTAGCTTGTGGCGGCCAAGTGATATATCACGGTTGCCACCTGTCTCATGAGTATCGAGTCTTATTTCTGTCCTTTTCTTTCTTCTCTTCCCCTTTCTCTTTCTTCCTCCTTCTATTACGTAGCACACCGTCTGTCGACTCTATGTCCAGTCACTGTCTTGTCTTGCTTTTACCGCATATTATAACTGTGAAGCATGCAGCATTCCTTCCTTTCTCTCTTCTTTAGGTAGAGTAAAAAGACAATTGCGCCACCCGTCGTGAAGGAGTAGGATGCAGACAAACCATAGTCCATGATTACCTAGGTACATGTAATCTGAACAGCCTGGCACGTCACCGGAAAATGCCCTGAACCATCGCCGCCGCTCAAATGGGTGACCAGAAGATATATGCCAACTTGTTAGATGTTTGCTTCCTTCCTTCTGCTGCCCTCTTCATCTTCGCTGAAGTGATCAAGGCATACATGAGCCGAGACGGTACGTCCTGCGTATAGTCGCGTCCGAGTACGTGGCACAGAAGAACAACCCGCCTCTTGCTCAGACAATCGAAACGGACCTGCACAACCTCACAAGTCTGCCCCAGCTGCATTTCAAGATGCCATACCCGCAATCCGAGAGGCAATATGGGAACGGTCCACAAGCGTCTCATGGTGCTTCAAGTAGAGCGAAGAGAAGCAGGAACGCTTAGGGTTTCTAGGACCAGACGATAGCCGAATTCATGGTTGACATGGGCACCATGACTGTCTGACGTTCTTTCGACAAGAGGCTGGAGGCTCACTGGGTTGCGATCGGGGTCAGGACCAGGTCCGGCTGGGGAAGGCTGTGTGATTTGGTCTCGCGATTGTCTCACATTATCGACAGCACCACCCTTCGACCATAAGGTCACCCTGGAGGTGATGGTGGTGAAGGCGATTCATGTAATGGCTTAAAGCTAGCACGGTAGGGACTGTTGAAGGCAGCCACTATGGTGCGAATTGGAGAGTCTGGGGGGTTAGAGTCGAGGATGGGGAAGGATCGGTCAACACACATAGCCTACCTTATATAAAGCTTTGCGGGTATAGCTCAGGGCAACAGCACTTTTAGTCTTGACATCAACAATTATATATGTATTGCTCCTCTATTTCCAACAAGAATGAAGATGCCTGGCCAACCCTAGTCATCGAGGCAGGGGATTCCGAATTCCCAACTGCTCTACAAGACGACATGAGATGGTGGTTTACTGCATCAGACCACCAAGTACAAATCGCCCTCCTGAGCAGGCTTGACCACCAGCGTCAACAGATCATCATCGAGAGATGGGAAGAAGATAGCCAGACTCGCCCTGGCGCTACAACAACCAGAAGGGCAGCAGCTTCTGGCGCCGTTCAGCTTGTGTTACGACGGAGAAAGCCAGATGACGAGGATCATCCGACAAGGAAGCTACGTCGAGCCGGTTGTCATAAAGATTGACGGTGATGGACTCTGCTCCAGACGAAATATGTCAGACTTTGAGATCATCCGTTTCCTCAAGCAGACGCTGAGAAAAACTATATCCACGAAAGCGTACGACATCGTCCTCATTGTACCCGCCAAACGAACGTGAGATGACCGAAGCACATCAGCAGATTCCTGCGAGCTACAATCGTACGTCTAGGACACCACGAGCAGTGCTTGCTCAGATCGCACTAAGCCTAGCAAAAGGTCGCTTGCAAATTGAGTCTGTGGATTACAAAACTGCAGGCGGATGGCGGATGTCGGAAAGATTTGGGCTTCTCGGATCATATACCTTCTCAGACTCGGGCCTGTCCAGCACTCTGACAAGCTGCGATTCGCGGGAGCCGCAACAGAAGGGTCAAGGTCGACAGGTACACAGGCACGAGATTGCCGTCTTGTCTGGCTCTCCAAGGAGCCTCCAAGCTGCAAGTTTCCGCGATACGCATTGCGGTACGGAAGTGGGACGGCGATGGATATCCATGGATGCCGTTGGGTTGCTGGCGTGGCGGTTGTAGTTGTCGCCGTACCCGCTGCGTCACCAGTCATTTCATGTTCAATTCTTTTATAGCGGTCACAGAAACTCCCATGTTGCTTATGGAGCTGTTTGGCCGGCGTCTAATTGGATGGGAAGCGATTATTGACCATGAATTTGACGATACTCTTTCAAGTTTTGGAGCTGGAGTAAGAAGTTTGGCGACTGTGGTGTGGTCGGTCCAAGTGTCTTTTGAGGCGATCTTGAGTGTAAGGGTAGATGAGCTGATGGCAGGATTTTGATTCAAGATAATTGAGTGGAAGCATTCGCGTCCCTGTCGTGGCGAGTATGGTACTTGACGTGGAAGGGCCAAACCCCCACTGATGATCCTGTACCCAGCGGTAGGCCAACTTGACGATTTGCTTCCTTTAGCTCTGTGAAGCAATTTGGGTATAACTGCTTGGGGCAGCGCTTTGACGTGACACTAGACCTGATGTCGGCCTTGGTGAAAGGCTTCAAATAAGATGAAAAAGAAGAGACTCGCGCAGATGCTCATCGATTTGGGGGCCCTTGCTCCTCAATGGCAAGCGAAAGGATCCGAAGATGGAGATTGTATGTGCCAACTCTTTCTTGAATGAGATGTATGCTAAGTTCTACGGCAAAAAGACTCTATTGCAACGATTACTGAGAGACCCATTGATCAAACTGCTTGGCAAGTTTTATGCATCGCTCGTCAACATATCTCGTCCATATATTGGCCGCATACAGATTAATCGCGGTGACGATGATGTAGCCCCCAACCCAACGGAATGCGGATGCAACTTGATAATAACCAGTGTCAGGTTCAGGTTCCGATCCCCCTGTGGCCATGTACCAAAGGGCCTTTCTGACAGGGTCGCTGAACAAGTGGTAGATGGACTGATGCACGAGATACAGCGAGAAAGAGATCCTCCCCAGATACTGTACGAACTTGGTGTTGAGGGGGGACTGAAGCGTCTTTGTGGTGCTGATGGCAGAGACTACCAGCACGGAGCCCACTGTTTTCCACGTCTTGTCAATGATCCCCCAGTTCCCATCCCATCGCGAGGACTCGGCAATCTGTAAGAACTGATACCCCGGTGGGAGGGCACCGTCGTCGCTCAAGCAGAGGAGCCAGATGCCGGCAACGAACATGGCGTACGTCCGGATGGCGCTGAAGTTGACGGATCGTGCTTGGACTGGGATATACGGCTTGAGCCACAACGGATAATCCGTCTCGGTGCTGACAGTCTGCAACTCTGACAAGACTTGCAGCTCAGCCAGCCAGTACCCAGCCAAGAATCCCACGACGTCCCAAAAGCCAAAGTAGAACCAGTAGGCCATTGACGCTACAAGCACCCAGAGCCGGGGTCTCGGCTTCCAAAAGGCCAGGCCCAGAATGAGGAGATAGACGACGCAGGAGCCGCGGAACTCGAGAGCCATGGTCCACAGCTGGCCATTGAGGCCGCCGTTGTACTGGATGGCGAGGATGTTGATGTTGTCGAGCATGTACCGAGCGACAAAGGTCACATGGAACCAGGGCGCCGTCCAGGGCTTCCTGCCCCAGACTACCTCATCGCCGGGCTCCCACGAGTAGAGGTTGAGGAAGAAGAGGAGCTGCGAGATGACGGTGATGCAGAGCACGGGGAGGTAAATGCGCAAGCCGCGGCGCGTGACGGCCGAGGCGAGGCGGCGAAGCAAGCTCTCGCTGCTGCTGCTGCTGCTGCTGCTGTTGTTGTGATTGTGGTTGAAGTTGTTGCCGGCCCTCACGCGGATGAGGTTGATGGAGATGGCGTAGCCCGAAATGACAAAGAACAAGGGCACCATGGCGTGGGCGGCAAAGACGAGGCGGAAGGGAGGCAGCTGCATCAGCCGGCGGTTGTCCTCGGGCGGATCCGCCCAGAAGGACCGGAAGCCGGCGTGCAAGACGGCGCCCATGAAGTAGTGGTCCGTCGCGACAATGGCGGCGGCGATGCCCCGCAGGCCGTCGAGCCACAGAGCCCGGGTCATGCTGCGCGAGTCTGGCCGGTCATGGACGGGGGCGGATGGAATTTGATGGGCAAGATGCAGGCGGCATTGATGGCGTCGGGTGGTGGTGGTTGATGTCTGGTGTGGGAAAATATAAGGTAGTAAGGGGTCCCGGGGCTTGCTGTTTCAAGCAAAAGCTGCTAGCCAGGGGGGGCTGTGGCCTGCCTGCACATAGGTAGTAATACGACCCGGGACTATACCTGTGTAGGTAGGTAGGCAGTGGAGAACTCAGGGTCTCGTCAACACGAAGTTCTTCAACATCTGATGCTTCATCGGGCATCGTCTATTTCCAGCATCATTGGTGATGATACTTCCGTTTTGCGGCTCGATTAACAAGTTGAGACTTTGCCCTTAATCTTTAGTATGGTTCATCATATCCATTCGTACGTCATCTTAAAATAACCCGTTCAGCTTTATGTTATATTTTAACTTTTTTTTTTTTCATTCATGTTTGTTCTCAAGATAGGTGAAAACCCCTTCATTACTTTTTGCTTGCATTATGCCATCTACATTTAGACAGGGGCAAGAGGCTCGCCGTCCCTGATCTTGCGGGCACCATACTTTTCCAGGCGGATAGCCTGGATAGCAATGAAGCCGCTCGTGTCCTGGAACTCATCATCAGCTTCGTTTCACGTCGAAAAGCTTGTTTTTTTTTAAGACAGTGAAGGTACTTACCATTGGGGAGAAGCCCTCAAGAGTGTCCATGGAGGACTCAGTCTCGGAGTAAAGGTTAGAGGTCTCGCTGGAGCGTCCGACAACGAATGCGTTGCCCTTGTAGGCAACCATGTTGACCTTGCCCTCGACGTGCCTCTGGCTGAAGATGATGGAGTTGTGGAGGAACTCGCGCTCTGGGCTGAAGTACATGCCGTTGTAGAGGCAGGCGGACCAGTTGGCGGTGACCATCTGGTCACGGATGAAACGGACCTTGGAGTCCATGACAAGACCCTCGAGATCTCGGTGGGCGGTGCGCAGGATCGTCAAGCCGGGGGTGTCGTAGCAGCCACGGCTCTTGAGACCGATGAACCTTGACTCGACAATGTCGACACGGCCAACTCCGTTGGCTCGGCCGATCTCGTTGGCGGCCTTGAAGATTTCCAGTGAGCCAGTGATGACCTTGTCACCGACCTCGAGCTTGATGGGAATGCCCTTCTCGAAGTGGATGGTAAACCTGGTGGGCTCGTCAGGAGCCTTCATGGGGTCTTTCCAAGTTAGCACCCACGTCACGGAACTAATTCCAGACTGTGACCAACTTACCAACTGTCATTGTCCACATGTCAGCAGGCGGCTCGAGCTCGGGTTGCTCGAGGAGGCCTGCCTCGTAAGAGCAGCTATTTTTTCACAGGAAGTGTTAGCGACGATTTCATGTCCGGGAGAAGGAGGTCAGGCGGAGGCCTTATAGCGTGGCAGAAGCAAGCATCAAGTCTTGTACACATTGTACAGTCTCGTCCCCGTAATATGAGGGGTCGTATAACACCTGAAGATAGCACTTGCTGCGTGCTTCTGCCACTTCTGAAGGAGTTCCTGACTATCCCTTCCCTTATCGAGTACACTCAAAGGTCTCGATGGGATGAAGTAAAGGGCTTTTGCTCACTGGATAAGGTTGGCATCCATCGAGAACGGCTTCGCCTTGGTCGACGTCACAGGAACGCCCTTTGATTCAGCAAAGTCCAAGAGTGCTTGACGTCCGCTGTCTTTAGGTTAGCATGTCCGATAGAGGAGGGGGTCGGCAGAGGTACGAACGCGAATCGCTCGCAAAACTCGGGAATGCGCCAAGGGATGATCGTCTTCGTCTTCTGATCGAGGGCCTTCCATGCCAGCTCGAATCGGACCTGGCTGTGAGAGGGTGAGTATGTGACATTAATACCCGGGACACCTAAACGTACTCATTCTAATGAAGTTAGCATCTAGCACATGACATATGGCGAGGGAAGAACGTACTCCTTTTCCTGTGCCTATGTAGGTAGGAAAGACGGCAATCAGTATGGCACGACAGTGAGCGGGCCCTGAAAGGCGACGTTGTTTGCTTACATCCATGGCTCAAGAATTCACAGTTGTACTGCTTAGCCACTTTCATCATCGCCCTCGCAATGACAGGCCTGGCCAATGACGTTCCCAAGAGGTAGGCATCTTCGTAGATGGCATTGCCTAATAGCATAGGGTGGTTAGCATAGCTGTGGATGAAGGTTGTGCACCCCGCACGGGCGATCGGCCGAACATACATTGCACTGCGGGCCAAACAAGCTCCTCGACAAGCTCCTGCTGAAGATCCTGGATGATCATGCGTTCGGCACCAATCTTCTCGGCCTTGGCCTTGACTGCGTCCCAGTCCTCATTTTGTCCCTACCATGATGTCAGCACATGGATATAAGCTAATGAAGCCTCTGTGAGGAGCCAGCTGGGCGGAGAACAGCAGTCCATCTCTTTCCATCCTCCGGGCCAGCTTTCTTCGTATTCTCATCATTTAGGGGGGGAAAACGGCGCAGAATGCAAAATAGAGAGCTTGTGTTTAATGATGCAATGCTTGTCTTCCAAGCCAAGAAGCAAATGTCGAGGAACGGTCTGTACGTACCACATCTGCTAGGAACGCCTGTTTTCAGTCAGCTCAGCGCGCAGGAACATCGATTGGATCAAGACGTACAACAACGGTGTAGCCCTGCTCAATGAGCCAAGCCAGGATAACAGAAGTATCCAAACCTGATAGTCACATTAGCATCGTCATCGTGCTCATGCAGCACTCTTCATGTTGGAAAAACGCACCGCCAGAGTAGGCCCTGATTCACGGCAATTGCCTAGTCAGCTTCACAGCGCTCAGAAAGCAATGACGGTCCTGTTCAACTCACAGACAAACGCGCTTTTCCGCCATTGTGATAGTTGATTGAGGTCGAAGAGGTAAGCAGGAAAGCAGCTGCCCGTCCGTCAGTGGTGTTGTTTGCGCTTTTATCCCGCCGAGCCGGAGTCGATGTGACACTTTTGTCCCGCCGAGCCGGAGTTCGATATGAGATCTCCAAGCTATCTGTTGTGGGGACACTAGGCCGGTCGAGGCAAGATGCCTGATAAGGGTCGCGACCCTAGCCGCACGAGAAGTTTCTCTGACTCATCATCAGCCCGGAATGGCTAGATCCAGGTACAGTGAATCAAGCATTCGGACCCCCAGATGTCCACTTGTGACGCCATTCTGGGCAGAAGAACTGGCTCTTTAACGTGTGAGTCATCATCCACACCCGGTCTTTGAGCACCTACCGTCGGTACCGTAGACCTTACGAGCTTAACTTACCTGACCCCACCTTAGATAAGCAGCGGTAACGGAACGGAACAGTTGATCTACGTTGCTTGCTCCGCAAGCCCATACCAAATAGCTACCCAAGTTGGTAGCAGACCGGTAGCCGGCGGGTTGACTAGGAGGTAGAAAGCGGGCCTGACTAGTCAACCTGCCGGGTATCCCCGGATTCTTCACTTTTGACCACTAAACACGAGGGTTTTGCCACATAAATGAAGACTACTACTAGTAGTATTACAACGGTTGCTTGAGCTGCTGCTGCAAGACAAATCGCATCCAAACGAAGCATGTCATAATTGTTCCTGTCGTAAACAGAGGAGACTAGATAATTGAGGGTCAAATCTCCAAGACTTCTACGTCAAAATGGAAAGAAGCCCAACAAGCCTCGACCCGCCCACGTTAGAGCCGCAAGCAACGGAGACATGATTAAAAGCCGACTCTTGCTCTCCAAACGGACGAGTGGCATTGCTAGATTCCCTTGAAGAAGAGTTTGATGGAGAGACACTAGATCCAAGCTTCCACCAGTCAACATCTGATACTGGTATGTTTCTCGTTCAGTGAAGTTGCTCGTTTCTTCGCCATGCAACGGTTTCATACGTCATCCTTGCTAGGTATCTGCGTAAGCAGCTCTCTTTTTGATATTACATTCATAACTTATTACTAGCTCCCATCTGACTTCCTGATAGTGCCCGAGCCTTAGCGCGCAAACGTCGAGCGCCACGACAAAGTACCTATATACGGATACTCGAGGATTTGTTCGCCATCGCTGAGAAAAGGATCATCGCCATAAAGCTTGCTCAGTACTCAACTCGACAGTTCTTGGATGGCTGAGAGCCAGAACCTGGCGCCGTATATGGGCCACGACTATAAGATCTCGCCCCTACCCACTGACTTCCAGATGCAAAAGTCCAGCACATGGCAGCCCGACCTAGGTGGCCATGATGGCAGACGTGGTTGATCAAAGTGATCATATAATGATATTCAGCAAGCTAGGTAGTTGCACGCTCATGCCAACTTCTAGGAAAAATCACCAGCTGCCCGCTTCTGATTAGAAAGACACGAGAAAGTCGACTTCCTTCAGGAGACGAGATCCTCGCCAGAATACAGATGACTAACAACTAGGCGAACAAGATCTGGGTTCACCAGCATCTTGTGGGCGATATAGGTTCTGAAGTTGAACTCGGCTCATGATGGGAAATGCACCTCTCAGAGCTTAGCCCCATTTCTCTCACTCGAAGATCGTGGGTTCCCTTTATAAATCAAGACTACAATAGGGTATTTAGCATGTCACTGCTTTTGTCTGCTTGTTGAGCGCACAAACCTCCATCTCAAAGACCGTCTCTGTATGCCATACAAGCATCACGATTTCGATACCCAGCATCTGCTTTAGTACCTGTCCAGCACTCTTCTTGTCCATCTCATCTCACTCGCATCACGAGACGCTCCGTGTTGCCGCTTTGCCGAAAATCCAACTTCAATGAGGTAATCGAAGCTTGGCTGGAGAAGCAGATGACTAATGCGGGGCTGGTGAGGGGACGAGCAATTGACGTCGGATAAGCATCTGCCGAGTCTTGGTAGTAGAACAAAAAGTTCAGCCATTGCATTCTGTTCTCTTCTCTTTCCTTTTGCCCGCTGTCAAGGACGCTCATCAAACCTTTTCACTGAATCTCTTCTATCAAAAAGCACGAGCATCTCCTGACCGGGGAGAGCTTCAATACCTTCACCATTCTGCACAGATCTCTATTCCTTCTACCCCGCCAACTGCAGCTCGGGGCATCGCGAGGGGCCAAAAACGCACATCATTCGTTCCGTGTAAGACAGCAGCTCAGATTTGCGACCATGGCGACCACCACGGATCTCAGCAAGTACAAGTTCAACCACTCGATGTATGTCCTGATCCAATTGGCTATGCCTTCATATGCCCGCCGTGTCAGACCTCGTTCTCATGCGTGATGCAGGATTCGAGTCAAGGACCCCAAGGAGTCTGGTAAGCTCAGACGCCGAGATGCATCATGATGACATGATTGCTTATGCCCGGCTAGTCAAATTCTACGAATTCCTTGGAATGAGCGTCGTCCGCAAGGTTGAGTTTCCCGAGGCCAAGTTCGACCTCTACTTCATGGGATACAACAACAAGGGCGCCGTTTCGTTTGGCAACTCGGCCGTTGACCGCGAGGGTGTCATTGAACTCACCCACAACTACGGCACCGAGAACGACCCAAACTACACCATCAACAATGGAAACAAGGACCCCCACCGCGGGTTCGGCCACACCTGCATCTCCGTAGACAACATCCAGGCCGCCTGCCAGCGCATCGAGGATGCCGGCTACAAGTTCCAGAAGAAGCTGACCGATGGGCGCATGAACCACATCGCCTTTGCTTTGGACCCCGACGGGTACTGGGTGGAGATTATTGGGCAGAAGCCGATTGAAGAGACTGCCGACATCAAGGAAACGGATGTCTCTACCTACCGGATGGCAAGTTCACCCGCACCTTGAGCTTGATTAACGTACTAACTCTCACCAGAACCACACCATGATCCGCGTCAAGGATCCCCAAAAGTCCCTCAAGTTCTACCAGGAGGTCTTGGGCATGTCCTTGTTCAGAACTCACGAGGCTCCCAGTGCAGGATTCAACCTCTACTTCCTCGGCTACCCTGGAGAGCAGGGCGTTCCGCAGGACGGCAAGACCAGCGACCGTGAAGGTCTCCTGGAACTGACTTGGAACTACGGCACCGAGAAAGATGAGAACTTTTCCTACCACAATGGCAACGACCAGCCTCAAGGTTTTGGTCATATCTGTAAGATATCTCCTCCTCAAGATGCAACACGGGCGCCCATACTAAGCTTGGTGTTACAGGCGTTTCTGTGGATGATTTGGACGCTGCTTGCCAGCGATTCGAAGACCTCAAGTGCAATTGGAAGAAGAGGCTCACGGATGGCCGGATGCGCAACGTCGCTTTCTTGCTGGACCCCGATGGTTACTGGGTTGAGATTGTCCAGAATGACCGATACAGCGACAAACATGCTGTTTAGGCGGACAACTGGAACGATAGATAGCCTGCGAATGTGACGGAGTCTCCATGTATACGACTTGCACATGCCATGATCTTCAGAACATGTCATTCTGCCTTGTCAGTAAACACCTTCTGACAAGGTCTGGCGAACAGCGAATGAGGAATTAGCCTGCATATGCATGACCCGCCAAGGCTGAATCTAGGGCTCGTTGGGATAGACGCTTACATGGTGCATGAATACATGTATCGTGTCTCCCACCATGACATTGCCCAGACGAAGCTATCGTCACCCGACTTCATTCCGCTGTAACCCGCCTTTAGTCTTCGATTTTTTGGGATGCTGACGAAATGAGGCTTGTAAATACGAGAACGCTCGAGCTCGAGATCTTTGCCACGCCTGAGGAGGCGCGCTATGCCATCCTCTCACACACATGGGGAGAGGGGGAAGTGACATTTGCCGATGTTCAACAACCACAGAGAGAGACCAGGGGATGGGACAAGATCCGTCGGAGCAGCCAGATAGCTCTCAACTCAGGATATCCGTATCTGTGGATCGATACGTGCTGCATCGACAAGACCAGCAGTGCAGAGCTTTCTGAGGCCATCAACTCCATGTTTCAGTGGTACGAGAAGGCCGGGGTCTGCATCGCCTTTCTGGAGGACTTTATCACCACAGATGAACCATCAAACCCCGATTTTGCCCATTGTCGCTGGTTCATCAGAGGTTGGACGCTTCAGGAACTGATTGCCCCTTCAGAGCTCCTCTTCTACTCCAGAGACTGGAGGCTCATCGGCACAAGAACCTCTCTCAAGACCATCATCGCCAAGGTTTCTGGCATACCCGAAGAAATGCTTGCCGCAAACACACACAGCCAACGAGAGCGACTCGAAGAGTGCTCAGTCGCGGAAAAGATGAGCTGGGCGGCTAACCGCACTACTACGAGGCCAGAAGACCTGGCGTACTGCCTGTTGGGGTTATTCGACATCAATATGCCGCTGCTTTACGGAGAGGGTCAGATGAAGGCCTTCAAGAGGCTACAGGAGGAGATTATTAGGTCCACAGATGATGATTCCATATATGCCTGGAGCTATACCAAAGAGAAGTCCGCGAAGCAGCACTTCTGGGGCCTCTTAGCAGACGAACCCTCAGCCTTTGCACGACGACATGGCGATGCACTCGCTATCAAACAAGCGCGGTACCTTACACGCCGCTCCAACCGCGATGCTATAGCATCAACCCGGGGCATCACCGTGGAACTGGCACTGACGCCCCTTCCCGAGGACAAGTCGGGCACCATCTTCGTCGCCTTGCTAGACTGCGACATGCAACAAGACGGGTCGTCGAACGCGCTGACTCCGGGGATCATCCTACAAAAGACTTCATGGCACAATGACGCCGAATTTGTGCGCATCTGCCCTGATCACCTACTCCTACTTCTCATGAACCGCATCGTCGAAGCCGGGGACAATAACAGGGGCGCATTTGCTTCTCTCCTGAAGCATGTCCGCCTTTCAGAAGCGAGGCCACAACAGGTTTTTGTCCCGCACAAGCTCTCTCCGCCACGAACCCCCCGGGGAATCCTGTTCCATCCTGAAGTTGCCTTTTCTCGTCTGCCGCTGGATCTGGGAACCGGTGTGACAGTCAATGTGCTTTCGCAGCCTTCAGACTGGCTGTTCTATGACGAGATGCGCATCGATAGAAACACGGCGCGGGCATTGGCCGTGGACCACGCCGAGCATACGGACTCCGTTGGCCTACCGTCGACACGTCTCCGGACAAAGTCATATGTACTCACCTTTGACAAATCATCGGACCCAATAAGCGTCACAGAGCCTAATATACTGGGGTCATTGGAGCTCGAGATCGATCTATCCCATGGAATGAACCGCTGGCATGTATGCCTCGTAACGGGACTCGAGCCGCTTCCCGCCAATCCTTTTGGCACGCCGTCGCTATACACGGTGCCGTGGTACGCATTCGTGGACAAGGAAGAAGTTTCGGCGGGAAGGCTGGGCGACGTGTTGATCAAGGAGAACAGGAGGAAAAAGAAGTTGCTGTCGGGTCGGTTGTTGAAGGCGCACTTTGAGCTGGAGGCGCGGCACTCGAGGCTGTACTACAAGGTTGGCTTGAAAGTAGTCCCTTTCGGCGAGAACTCAGTTGATGAAGACGGTGCTTGATATGTGTAATATTTGCTGCAGTTACACTAGGCTGAGCAAACCTAGGATGTCGAAATGGTTATGATGCTACACCAGTATGAGACTGTTAATGCAATCATAGCTCCGGCACCCCCAGGACAGTCATGTCCAACCTCGTCATGATATCATCCGGCACATCCACCGGCGTCTCCTCAGGCACAAGCCCCCTCTTGACCAGCTCATCCTCCCCAATATGTGGCTCCTCCTCGAGCACCCTCTTGAGCTCCCTCGCCCTCTCCGTCACGTCCTCGATCCCAACAATCCACTCGTCCACCCACTTTGTGCCCAGATTCGGGGGTATGCCAATCTGGATGCTGCGATACGGCAGAGCCTCCAACCTCGCATTCCGCTCCGGGTCCCACTGGATTCTGACGTCCGAGGGCCTCTCGTGCGCAGTCTTGTTGGTGCTATCCTTGTCCACGCGCGCATGCTCTGACGGGTGGTTTGACAAGACGCCTTGTCTTAGTAGTTCCAGGAAGTGCTCCATCTTCATCTTGATGGCGAGGATGTTGCTCTGGTTGGGGTCTTTGTAGGAATAGCCGCTGCGGTACATCATCCAGCACCAGCTGGGCTTGATCCAGGTCATGCGGTCGGGGCTAAAGTCCTCCGAGGCATTGAGTTTCTGGGCTTTTACCGCGGCGGAGGCGATGGAGGGCTTGTAGGCTTGGTAGACGACGATGTGGTCCTTGTCGTGGGAGGCGCGGATTTGGCGGTGGGGGATATCAGAGGGACGAGACATGATGGACTTGATGAGGTTTTAGGATATGGAGTTGAAGATTGTTTATGGATACTGATTCGAGGGTAGAGCCAAGTGAGGTAACGCGATACGTGAACGATATAGACATTTGGAGTCGAACTTATATACAGTGCTGGAGCGGAGAGTCGGGGCTGATGACTCTCTCATGACGACGGCGTGAGTCTTTGGCCGATGGCTGGATTCATTCTAGCCTAGCCGCGGGTTGGTTGTTTCTCAGGCCAGAAAGTCGCATGATGACCATTTTTGTCCAGAAAGGTTCCTTGTATCAGGAGATGGGATGATTCCTTCAGTTCTCATCGCATTTGGTAAAAGCCGATCCATTGGAGTGATGCGTAACCTCCTCCAGCACTGTTTGATATAGAGAACCTCGAGACCCACTATAGGTCCATTAGACAGCACATATCCATCACGAAGGGGGGGTGACGCATGGATGCGGCTCCAACAAATCCTAGTCGGCTTCAGTTCTCTTACAATGATTTCGTGTGTTTATTTTCGAAGGATCTGAAACACAAAGGGTAGATTGCATTTTAGTTCAATCTATCTTCTCCATTACATGGAGTCAATATCAATCTCTCAGGGCCGTTGTCCCCCACCATATCAGTCCTGATCGGCGCCTGTAATCCTACCAGCTATAGCGCATAACACGCCAAATTATAGCAGCACAGCCCAAGTGACTGCAGCACCTCAACTCTGTCCTCTGTCAACCACCACCAACTTCTCTCTCCTGCACCTGTCGCCTGTTCCCTCATCTTGTCCTCCTCCTCCTCTTCCTCCTCCTCACGACTCCCACCTCTGCTCTACTCCATAATCTTTCCCCTCCTCACCCCGGACTCACGTGCATGTCGCCTCCCGATCCTGGATCCAACCCGAGAGGCGCGGATGCCTCCGAGGTGACATGCATCCCAGACCCCTCGGTGGGGTCCGCGCCTGTTGCTGAGCCCAACAAGATCGAGGACAAGAACGAAACCAGCTTCAACAACAGCTCAGCGACGACGACGACGACGACCAGCCACGACCCTGACGACTCTGGCGCACTCTACACGGATGCGAGCGCGGCTTCGGAGCCAGGCGACGACAGAAACGACGCGGATAGCTCTGCCGCCATGACGGACAAACCAGCAGCGACAGCTCACGGCGATTCCCTCGACAGACCAGAGGCCGAGGCCGACACCCTTCTCCATACAAGCACCCCTACCGCTCCCGACTCCAACAGGCCACCCGAACCATCTCCAGCTTCACCGCCGGCGCCATCAACTGCCAACGAGCTCAGCGACGAGGCCAGCGGCATGCGGACAAGCGCGGAGCTCGAGCAGGGCGCTGGTCCAGGTTCGGGCAATGCCGAAGTCGAGGTCCAACCCCAGGCAGACGCAGACGCAGATCCAGAAGCAGAAGCTGTCAATTCCAAAGCTGCCGGGCGCGACACACACGAGATCTCACACGAAGCGGCACAGGAGACCATGTCCACAACCAAAGACTCTGGCAAGGCAACCGCCAAACCCTCCGCCCTGACCATCAAGGCCACGAACGCCAGCCCATCATCATCCTCGCCCATGCAGTCCGACTACCCAACCTCACAGCTTCTCGCGCCCGAGCATCCCAGCTACATCGACCCGACGCCGCCCACACCCATGGCCTCCCGCCCTCCCTCTCGAGCCCTCTCCAGCACTCCCCGAAGCGACGACGCATCTCCTACAGCATCCGGGCCCGAGTCGGAGGACAAGCCATATACCAGCGAAGATGACCAGGAGGGTTCGAGGTCCGAGATCCAGAGCATCATGGAGCAGTTCAGCGAGAACGGCGGCGGCCCTGATGCCAACGAAGTCATGAGCCCGCGGCTCGAGATTGCCTCGCCCATGCTGGGCAACTCCCTGCAGCATCCGCCCAGAAAGTCCAGCCTCGAGCCTCTGTCGCCCTCGCTTGGTGGCCAGGCCCAGGGGCTCAACGCTCTCCACATTTCTTCACCAAATGACGACGATCAAGGGCCGCCCGTGCCTCCAAAGGATGGATCCATGGGCACGCCTCCACGATCGAAAGATGCACGGCCGCCTGCCAACGTCACATCGCCAACGTCACCCACCCTGCCCATGCACAGACCGCCGCCTCCCGAGCCCGAACCGGAACCAGCGCTGCCCTTTGACTTTCACAGGTTTCTGGAACAGCTGCGGAACAAAAAGGCAGACCCTGTTGCCAGATATCTCAAGTCGTTTCTCTTTGAGTTTGGCAAGCGCCAGTGGATGGTTCACGAGCAGGTCAAGATCATTAGCGACTTTCTAGCCTTTATTGCCAACAAGATGATGCTGTGCGAGGTGTGGCGGGATGTGTCCGATGCAGAGTTTGACAATGCCAGAGAGGGCATGGAGAAGCTCGTCATGAACCGGCTGTACACCCAGACGTTTTCACCAGCAATTCCACCGCCTAAGCCGATACCTGGAGCAAAGCCAAAGAGGAGAGGAGGCGATCCGCCGCTGGGGCCTGGCCGGAGAGGGCAGCATCAAGAGGATGTGGAGCGAGACGACATTGTCACGCAGAAGATCAACATCTACGGCTGGGTCCGGGAGGAGCATTTGGATATACCACCTGTTGGAGACAGCGGCCGCCGATTTCTAAAGCTGGCGCAGCAGGGTGAGCCTCACATGTTCTTGTTCGATTTCTTCCATGATAGCTGACAGCGGGCCATTACAGAATTGTTAAAGATCAAGTCATACAGAGCACCCAGAGACAAGATTATATGCGTCCTCAACTGCTGTAAAGTCATATTTGGTGAGTTTAGTCTAATGACTCATTTCGCAGCTCATGCTGACTTCTCAGGCCTCTTGAAACACAACAAATCCGACTCTTCAGCCGACTCGTTCATGCCGTTGCTGATCTACGTCGTCCTCCAATCCAACCCGGAGCACCTGGTATCCAACGTGCAGTATATTCTGCGGTTCCGGAACCAGGAGAAGCTGGGTGGTGAGGCGGGCTACTACCTTTCTTCTCTTGTGAGTTGACACCCGGTCAACATGAATATACTGGATGCTAATACCTAATTTAGATGGGTGCCGTGCAGTTCATCGAAAACATGGACCGCACGTCCCTCACTATTACCGATGAAGAGTTTGAGAAGAATGTCGAGGCGGCCGTTTCAGCAATCGCAGAAAAGCACCAAGCAATGTCCCCCAAAGGACCGCCTCCACAGCAACAGATATTCAACGAGAAATCCTCATATCAAGACACCCGTTCCTCGCTCGATGGCGCGGGCCCGTCCGCTCCACGCCGATCAACAGAACAAAGCGATGTCGACGCACTCACCGCACCCATCACTGGACTCCTCAGAACCATTCAAAATCCCCTTACCACCATCGGGCGCATGTTCTCGGATGACGGCGCCTCATCATCAAGACCGCCACCGCCACCGCCCATTGGACGTCCCCTGGGATTTCCCGAGAATGTGCCTCTTCGGCGCAGCGGAGAGGAGCAAAGAGATGGACGGCGCTCAGATTCGAGATACTCTCTGCCGGCAGAAGAGGCGGCGGCTCGGCAGGCGAGCGCCGAGGTAGCGGAAGCGCAACGGCTGCATCGTGCTGAGCATGCCAACATTGTAGAGACGCTGGCCGGCATGTTTCCTGATTTAGACAAGGATATCATCAGCGATGTGGTGTACCAGAAGGAGGGAAGGTATGTTGATTCACTCGTCTTTGCTTATTTTCGCCATGACTCGGCTAACTGAGCGTTCTGTTCACAGGGTTGGATTGGCCGTTGATGCGTGCCTTGCTTTATCCGCATAGCATATTCCGAAGAGGCGCGAGGCTTGTCTTTTCTAATCACTAGATAGGATTCGGTGCAATATCTGTACAATGGTATACCTTTACTGATATGATATACATTTTACCCTATCATGTGTTTGTAAGGTATTCATCGATTCAGTGCTATTGTCACGCAACGCTGTTCCAAAGAGCTCCGTGTGTCGTCTGGCGATCAGCGATCCGTAGTAGAAGCAGCCCACACTGCCCACTACCTCTGCATTCTGCTGGCAATATCCCGTGCCACATAGATCTGACCAAACAGATCCGTCACGTCAATGAATGCCTTCATCTTACCTCTTATACCCGCATCAAGGCTCGCCGAGAGCGCTTCCCAGCAAACCTGCATCATGGCCCTCTCCAACTCAGCAACCCTCATCAGAACCCCCTTTGCCTCCTCAAGAGCAGCCTCTCTCCCGCCATTTTGAACCGCTTGCTCAACTTCCAAGCTCTGTCCATCTCCTCCAATCGCAAACTCAGGGAAGTGAAGACTGTTGAGGTTCCCCTCGGCGTCATCGCGCACCGCAGAGCCATAGTCATTATACTGACGGCAGAGCGTGGCGAGATGCAGACACAGTTCCCGTGCGAGATACCTCTGCTCCATCGAGGCGAGGCAGTGCGAGCCGCTGGGGCTGATGAGGCAGCAGAAGAAGGCGAATGAATACGGACAGCTTGTGTCGTTGGCGCCGGTCGTGCGGACCCAGTCGTAATAGGGGATTTGATTGTGCCAATCGATCGGTGATGCCTGGCCTCCTGGACGGTGATGATGATGATGCTCTTGATTTCGCCGTCGGCTGTTGTTGTTATTGTTGTTGTTGTCGGCGTTGTGAGCCATGTGTGCGAGGAGGAACTTTTCGAGTTCTTGCAGTACGCGTAGCTGGGCTGTTTCTGGGCTTTGCAGGAGGATCGGGGACTGCTTTATGTGTTTGATGTATTTGGAGAGCACTTCGGCAACGTCTGTCAGCGATGGGGAGCTGTCTGATGACGAACAGTCGGATGCTGGAGGGCTGGGAACAGTGGCATCGAATGAGGAGGTTGGATGGAGCGATGAGTGGACGGCAAGGCCTGGCTCTCTGCTTCGAATCTCGGCGCCGATTATGGTAGCCAAGGCCTGCGAGTTTTCGTCATCCAGATAAGCAACGACTGACTCCATGTATTCGTCCACTTGGTAGTTGAGCATCGAAATGACCATCATCTCCCACATCTCATCGCCAGACAGCGCGTAGCCGTTGGCAGCGTTGATTGTTGTCCACGCGATGGGGATGTATGCGAGATACTTGTCTGTCGACATGGGCATGTCATCTCGGAGAAAGATGTCGAGGCGGACTCCTTCGAGACGGCTTGCATACACTGCTGCCTCGTGGACGGCCAACGCCATGGGTGCTGCCGAAAGGCCCCTGAGCAGCGGAAGGCGGCTGAAGAACTGGGCCATCTTCTTCGTCTTGGTGTTGTCTGTTTTGAAGAATATTTGCTCAATCTCCAATGTCCATGGATGCTCCTTGGGTGAAGAGTTGAGGGCAGCTAGATAGTAGGCTTCAGCAAGTGTGGGCAGTCTGTACGTGACTTTTTCGATCCAGAGATAGTCGCCGTTTGCCCGTTGGTCATAATGAGCCGCCAAGTATGTCTTTGCTTTGAAGAGTGCTGCTTCGGCGTGCTGTCTAATGGCAAGGGGCCAAGGTAGTTTGAGGGCGTAGGAGAGCAGCAGCGTAGCGTACGACGTTCTTTCGATCGAGTCTCCCCACGAGCCATTGTGTTGTTGTCTGAAAATAGCACGACTAAGGAGCTGAACGAGGACGATGGGGACGTCTATCTTGATAAGTTCCGCAGCGAGACATCTCAACGAGCCACCAGCATAGACGCTCAACAGCCGATACAGCGCAGAAGCCAGCAGCATGTACGTGTACTCGGCAGCCAAGTTCCACTTGTCCTGCAAATGATCCGCGTTCCAGCTGCCGCAGAGAAACCTGACTGCTTTCTCAATCTGCGGGACATACAAATCGACGTCGTCGGGGGACGTGAGCAGCGCGACGAGGACGTTGCAGTTTGCGCTGACGCTGGGCGTCCTCTCGAGCCGGTACGTCTTGAAGCGATTGCTGCTTTCAAAGCTCCAGATGAGAGGGGCGCGGTCGACGTGCACCCCGAGAGATGTCATTGCCAGCAGAGACACGGCTGTATCGTCGGCGTCCGGGAGGAGGGTGGGTGCGAAGCCCAAAACGCCGCCTTGTTCATCGATGGCCTTTTGCAGATAGTCCGTGACGACACGGAGGTCATCTTTAGGAAAGTCCTCGACGCTGAATCCATTCGCAAGGAGCGTTGACATGGTCCATGAGATTTCAAACACGGGCGTGGGAAAGCCGCTCGGCACGCCGCCGCAGGAACCATAGCTGCGGACGACATTCTCCAGGTAGGACTGCGCTCGAACATCCCACTCTGGTGCGTGTAGGAGATATGCTGCTGTTGAAGCAGGAGATCCCAGCATGCCGCTGTAGGCGCTGCAGTGATGCCGGAGGCGGCCAAAGTCGAAGACGCCGGCCAATGCTTCCAGGGAGTGCAGCAGTGTGGTCTGCTGGGTTGATGCGAGCATGTCTGGGTGCAGTCTTGCAAGTTTCTTCTGGTACAGAGCCGTGAGTGCCGCTTGGCCGTCAAAGTCAAAGACGACGCCCTCTTCTGCGAGCTGTCTCAGCAGGCCTGGCACGAGCATCTCGAATCCGACGTGCAGAGTCTGGTTGACATCCCAGTTGTTCAGTGCGGACTGCAGTGCTCTGCGCGCTGCCTCGACTCTTTCCGGAATGTCCCAGGCTTTAAGTGGGCGAGGACTGTCTATGCCGATGGCGTCTGCCTTGCAATGCTTGATGAGAGCCAGAAGGCCTGCCAGGGTGTTGAGAATGCCATCGATGGGCGAGGCGTAGGTTGGCCACATTCCATCTTGGGCTTGATGAAGCAGAAGATAAGAGTATGATTCTGGGAAAAGCCAACCATTTGGGTCAACGGGGTCCCGAATCATGGCCAGCCATGCTGTGTCGTAGATGGATATGCTAAAGGAGCCAAAGCCGTTTGGTTGGAGGCAGCGTTCCGCCAGACGTCTCACGGCTCTTTTCGAGTCTTGGAGGACATCTGGGGGAAGAACTGCTTTGTGTTGATCCGATGCTGCAGACATGCTGATTGGGTACGTCGATGACGGGATACAGGAAACTGATACCTAGCTAGCACTGGAGAAACCATCTACCTATGCTTCATGACTTATACTTTGCAGATGCAGGTCAACTGAGGTGATGAGGGAGTAGTCGGACACTATTACGGACAAAGTCTTACATGCTATCGTATGCCGGCCATGTATGCCGGCCAGTCGCTGCCAACATACATCTTATACACTCACCCCGGCGTATTGACCAAGGATCCTACCTGGCTGATGTTCCATTCCATGATTCAAATGCTACATAGTCCGTGCTGTTAGGTTGCCAAAGTGGAAGGTTGACATTAAGTCCTGGACCCTCGTTCGAACACGTCAAAGCGGGAACCCCTGTTTTGGCAACTTGTCGGCATTGCCACTATTCGACATCTGCGCCGGCATGACAGATTCGAGCCCAAGGAACCCCGAAGTAATGTAGCCTATTCACAGCACGAGGCTCGCGGATGATGACAGTCTTGGTTCTGGACCTGGCCGGGCTGCATATGAGTGGAGGGCGCTCACGCCACTCGAGTTGGACATGTACATAACCTCAGTCTCTCAAGACTCTCTAACACCATTGGTGCGGAACAAGAGGCAATTCTTTTACAATGTGCTTATTTTAGCAGGCAGTCTCATTGGCTAACTGTTCTATCTACAACGTTTGGCGTCTGTCCACATCTACAATGATACCGAGCCGTCCAAGCAAAGGACTCAGTAGAGCGGCAGTCGTTCCCCAGCAGGTCGACGACGCATCAGTATCTCCGCATCAGGATTCGGAAAGATAAACTCATGCGCACGTAGATTCGCAGGCCGCTCATTGCCATGCTTGAACTTGAACTCGTAGTCCATCAACAAACGCACAAGGATAATCTTAATCTCAAGGCTGGCAAAGAAGCGCCCCGGACACGCATTCGGACCGTGTCCAAAGTTGAGGATCCGGTCCTGCGTCGTCGAGAACTGGTGTAAATGGCTCTGGCCCTCGTTCTGGCGGAGATTATAGTACCGGAAGCCGTCGAACTTTTCCGGCTCAGGGGTCACCTCGGGGTCATTCTGGATCGAATTGACCGGCATGCTGATGTGGGCGCCCTTGGGCAGGATCGTGCCGTCCGATAGCTTTGCGTCCTGGAGCATGACTCGATGCATGGACAGCAGAGTCGGCGGGTTGAAGCGCTGAGACTCACGCATGAAGGAGTCGAGTCGGCGCAGCCTCGAGAACTGCGGCTTCGACCATGTCATCCAGGGGCCTGCTTCGGCCACCACGCCGCGAATCTCTTCTCTAATGGGCTCGAGATACTCCGGGTGAGCCAGGAGGTCGTAGAGACAGTGCACCGCGTTCATCTGCGATGTGTGAATTGACGCGAGCGACATGACGACCTCGAGGTGAGCAAGAGCAGCTGCGTCGCTCTCGCTAGGCGTGGCAATCTCCATCATCCACGACAGGAGGTTGTGCTTCTCCTCCTCTGGGAAGACGTGGCCTTGAGCCTCCAGGCTGCGCCGGCGGTTGATTTCGGGGACGAGCAGCTTCTTGGCCTTTCTGACATATGCGGTGCCCTTATACGATGATGGCATAAACCAGTTGAGGAAGCCATGCGTCCACATGGGGAAGAGCCGCAGGAAGACCAAGGAGACGAACACATTCTCGGTGAATTGTGTAGAGACTTCCAGCCACTCCGGATCGCGGCACAGGGGTTTGCCAAGGAAAATCCGGGCACTCACACGGGCGACAAAGTCGAGGATGGTGTGATACGGCTTAATGGTCACCCATTCGTCTGGCGCACAAAGGAGTCAGATACGAGGCCTGACAACAAAGTGGAGGTGGGGGGGGGGGGGGGGGGGGGGGGGGGGACTGAAAGGGTGAGAATACCTTCAGACTCTGTGAGCTCTTTCTCGACTGCGTAGTTCACCTCCTCTTGCATTGGCTTCGTGAGCGAGTTGAGGTTGGGCGTGAGCTTGAGCTGGAGAGTGCGAAAGTGCAAGTTGCTGCGGAGGATAATGTGCATGTTCGTTGAGGAGCCCATGAGGTTGTGGACGTGGGCAACGGTAGGGCTGGCCACCGAGTTGGGGAGCTTGCGAATGTCCTCGACATACTTGTACGGCAGTACGAGCATGTCGGTGTCGGCTCTCCTGAACTGGAAGATCTTGCCCTTGCACTGGGGAAGATGGTCAGCTGCTTATCTGACTACCATGTTGTTTGTTTGTCTTTTAGACTTACTGCTTGGTAGCCCTCGTTTAGAATGTCCTCGGCGCGGCGGAAGAAGCGAAAGTTAGAGACTACAATGGGTTCAAGTTGAGAGGATATACCAAAGATGGGATATTTGTAACCGAATATCTGGGAGAAGATGGACGAGAGCATGTATAGCCCTCCTATCATGGCTATAAGTGCCCATGGTGTAGTCAATTCCTCAAGGGAAGACAGAGGGATATCACGATAGGGAGTGCCCAAAGGAAGAGTTGCGTTTGCCATCTTGGCACAGGTTCTGCGGTTATGGCCACGCGCGTGCAAGTTACAGAGCCCCGAGACAAGCTTAATATAGGTAAGTAAGCTGCAGTGCTTTGCAAAGAATCGTGTAGTTATCGTAGACTCTAACACATCTAGAATGGACCCTTATTAGCGCCTAAGCGTAACATCTATGTACCTCCTTGAAGATATTCACAGAGAGCATACGGAACTGCATATAATACTACCTTGTCTAGGCAGGTTATGGCAAGCTCCGCCCAAGGTGATCAGGTGGTTTGCTACTGAGGGACGCACTCTTTCACACCTATAACGTGAACAGCTATGTGTGTAATTGTGTGCATATTCCACTATATCATTTACGAAATGGAGCTAGGACGGTTGAACCTTTGATGCCAGTACATACCTAACGAACATGCTTATCATGACTTGTGGAATACAAACTCGGAGTAGCTCCATGTGAGCTTGAGAACCGAGGCTGTTGAAACCTTCCCTTCCAAGCTGCAGCCTCGTGCAAAGCATCAGATATGCATGCAACTTTGATGTTGCTCTGCGGCTTTAGCGCTGTGCCGTAACATCGGCGCAAAGGACGGAGGAAGCGGCCCCCTGTCTCGGCTATAAGACGACCAACAGCACGTCAACATCAGGAGATGCCCCCCGTGCTGAGCCGCAGCGTGCGACCAAGATGTGAGCCGCCATGTCACTCCGTACGGAGTCCCAGCGATCCGTGTTGCTGTGATGCTACACAATCCTGCGGTTGGATGCAAGTAAGCAGAGTCGACAATCGGCGGAGCAAGTCCGTGAACGTGCGCAAGTGTCTTTTGTTCTTATTTTGGACGGATGAGCAATCTCCCGAGAGAGAGAGAGAGAGAGAGCCCAGATGCATGTGCTTGTACTCTATACTCACGCCCTTGCTTTGCGTTGGTTGCGGACAGGCGGCCAACAGTCTCTAGATATTGCTTACATGCCCATCACAGAGTTCCTACCCCTCAAACCCCTCTCGAGACAAGGCTGAGTGAGGTCTGTTGGCACCAAGATAGTTTGGGAAGCCTATAACTGATCTTCCTATTTACTCTTTACTCTAGAGGTTCTTGAGAGATTCGTCCTAACTTTGACGAGACATTTAGAGAACATTCGCGACAATGATTCTCAAGCCGATCAAACTGTACTGGCGAAGTGAGCATGACATAGTCTCCTATTCCGACGCAACTTCCACACTGACACCTCCCCAGACCATGTCCCCAACCCTTCCAAGGTCCTCATCATTCTCGAGGAGCTGAGCCTCCCTTACGAGACTTCATGGGTTGAGCTTGATGGCCTCAAGAAGCAGCCCTACACCGATGTCAACCCCAACGGCCGCGTTCCGGCCATCGAGGACCCCAACAGCGGCATTACGCTCTGGGAGTCTGGCGCCATTGTCCAGGTGAGAGCTACAGACCAAACTCGTCACGCTTTTACCATTTCCCAGCAAGAAATTAACCGTCTCGACTGCAGTACTTGATCGACACGTACGACAAGGACAACAAGATCTCGTACAGCAGCTTCCCCGAAAAGTACCTCACGGTGCAGTGGGCGTACTTTCAAGCCTCTGGCCAGGGCCCTTACTTTGGCCAAGCCGCATGGTAAGTAGCATCTCCTCGCCTTATAGAATCGTACAACCAGATCAGGTCCAAATGCACCAAATTACGCCCTCCGTCACAGGCCCCTTACCTATACTTGTGATTCAGCAAGCAATATGCTGACCTTTTTTTCAATTCTTTCCACGCACGCAGGTTCAACCTCTTCCATGAAGGCGCATACGGCGAGTCCCCCGAGTCGGCCAAGATCCGCTACGGCAACGAGGTCAAGCGCATCGCCGGCGTCCTCGACGGCGTGCTGGCCAAGTCGGAGTGGCTCGTGGGCGACAAGTGCACGTACGCCGACCTGGCCTTTACCATGTGGAACATGCAGATTGCCTTCTTCATGGGCAGCCGCACGGGGGAGCACGCGTGGGACCCGGATGCGTTTCCGCATTTCACGAGGTGGCAGAATGCGTGCTTGGCCAGGGCCAGTGTCAAGAAGGTTGTGAGTGTGTTGGGCGAGCAGGAGGTTAAGAGCGGCTGAATGGGGGTGCCGGCGATGTGATGGCCTATGATGATTGCGACGATTCACATAGGGGGTATACGTGAAGCAAGTTGGCCCAGAGTAGTCGCTTTTGAAAAGCCCAGTAGAATAGGATTTCCAGTCATCATTCGTCTTCAATTATCATCTGTTCTCTATATACCCCAGGGGCAGTTTTCACGTAGATTGTGCTGCGACAGATCGCTCGGATTTACACATATAGAGCAGAAACCAAAGCTCCAAGAGCGTATCACTACAGGGTTCAAGGAGCCTCGTATATTTGCAGCAGCAACTAATGATTCTAAGGATAGCCTGAACGGCATAGTATTGTGTAAATGTATGGAGGTAGATAGCAGAACATGCATTAGAGATGCAAGACTCTGAACCTGATATCTATCAAACCAGCACTAATAATAACCAACGTAATATACAGTCCAACCCTCAACCCTCCCCAACGCCACTCAGAAAGCCGGATCCCTCCCTGCCGTTGCCACAAAGTCCGTCGTCACCTTGATCCGAGAAGGATACGCATCCTTGAGGGGCTCCTGGTCACTCTGAAAGCTGCCCGCCCGCTCAACATCCACATTATACGACGGCAACGAGCCATCGTAACGCTCCCACGGCCCAGCCATGCCATTCGCCTTCTGCAGCTGGTAACTACCACTACTACTACTGCCCCCGGAAGCCAACAAGTCACTGCCATTCCTCGCCTTGGCCCTGCTCCCACGACTGCGACTGCGGCTGCTCGAGAACAAGCTCCCAAAGTTGGCCAGCAGCGTCGGCAGCCCGCCGACTTTGGCAAACAGCGGCGCATAGCACGGCAGGCAGGCGGCGACGATGCTGGTGTTTGGCTCAATGGTGCCCCAGATGAAGGCGGCCGACATGTTGAGGTAGCGGTCCGACCCGGTGGCGGCAATGGTGCGGCTGATTTCCGAGTAGAGGTAGTAGAAGCGCACGGCGGACGAGATGCAGCAGAAGAGGCCGAGCCAGAAGATGCCGAGGACCTGCAGCTTGCGCGCGCGGTCCATCTGCAGCTTGCGGATGACGGGGATGGGGAACAGGAGGACGATGACGTCGAAGACGATGCTCATGCCTGCGAAGGCGAGCGAGAAGTCATTGTAGTTGTAGCGCAGGGGGTTGGTGGCCAGGGGGTTCCAGGCGGCGTCGATGGGGTTGGCTGCGAGGAGTTGGCACTTTCGTCCATGGCAAGTTTTTTATGTCAGTGATCTTGTTTTTCCTTATGGCCGATCGATACTGGGTTATGGAGGAGGAGTTGTGGAAGACGTTGGGGGAGAGACACAGAGAGGGACACAGAGAAAGAGAGAGAGACATACGACAATCATGGCAACGCACCATGCGGACAGGATGCCGGCGTAGATTCGCACGGCCAACTTGAACTTGGAGGTGGTGAAGATGCGCGAGTAAAAGAGCAGAATGGCAATCTTGACAAAGACGAGACTGAAGACGAGAGGAAACCCCTCGATCCATAGTGCCTGATACCAACTGTAAGTGAAAATGCAAGTATTGTGTTTCTCATATCTATCTACGCATGAGAAAGACTTACACGAAGGAAAATGACGGCCGCACTGAGGGGATCCAGAGTCGAGTACGTGTAGTCTACCCCTGCCAGCCCCCCGGCCACGAAGATGTCGATGGAGATTCCCCACGCTGCCACCTGGGCCAGGACGCAAACCCAGTCATCGCTCGACAGCTTCTGCTTCTTGATGATTCGCGTGTAGCACCGCAGCCCAACGGCGATGGTGCCCAGGATCGGGAAGACAATGGCCACGGCGAGAAGAGTCGTGGTCACCAAGGACGGCTGAGGAGGAGCAGCAGCAGCAGCAGCAGAAGCCGACGACTCCATCTTGTCCAATCATGCGATGATAGTCGGCGCTCACAGGTTGGGAGAGTGATTGGTGGCAGAATAATCAATTGTTCGGCTTATGGAATGCATGGATTGCCTCGTGGAAAATGCAGGCAAGCCCTGCAGATATGTACCTTTCACATAACAAACACGGAGAATCATGGGGTCTTGAACATGCGGTCACTGCTCGTCGTTTCAAAGTCTCGGGGACATCAAGGGCAGCCTTCAGGCTGTGAAGATGGGCATCTGGGAGATACTCGAGTTCGCATCCGCACGGACTCGGAGCCGTTTCCTCAGGGTAGTACTGTGGCATGTCTGTAGTAAGCAGGCCTCTCTCTATACTCCGTCAAAAGCCAGCGATTGCAACTCGGCTCTCCGTTGCTCTTCTTGGGCGCTTGTCTGTCCTTCCGGTAACAGCATGCGGAGATGGAGGGGTGTTGTTGCAACCCCATGAGAAGCTCCTCACAGACATTGATGCCACCACACTATCACCAGACGGCTTCAGAGGAGACCAAGCACTATCAGTACTACATACACACGTAGCCAAGCCGTCTCAGGCGTTGTCCGAGGCATCACCCCGGTTGAGTGCGGCACGGCTGCATCCGGCACTTTTGGAAGGATTTCCGCTAACCGTAGATACAACGCTCAACCGGCCAGTGCAGCAGACTTGGTAGGAGGCTGTATTGCATCGGATGTAGGCAGATGGCCTCACCTGGTTCCAGCCTGGTTCCAGCCTGGGACTTCTTTGCTGTTTCCGCCTCCTCTTCGTCGCCCCAGCCTGGTTCCAGCCTGGGACTTCTTTGCTGTTTCCGCCTCCTCTTCGTCGCCCATGACTGCGACCACCCCGGTGACGCTCGGCCTCCCAAACAGACGCAAATCATATTGACTGATGCAAAATCATATTGACGCCCCATCGCAGTCGAGAACGTATCATTCAGTGTGCCATAATACTACCTCCCCATTCTGGCATCAAGATCTAATCCTCATAATGGACACTGCATCGCAGCACAAACCACCAATGCCAGTCTACGCACTACCACATAGGCAATGCAGACCATGTTGGACGACCTCGGCCTCCCCAGCATCAGCCAGCTAACCAGCCTCTGTCTCTGGGCAGCCTCCATCGGCTCAGTGCTGCTCGGCCTCTGGTCCAGCATCAGTCTCCTGCGCCACATCCGCCTTGCTCAAAGCACTGGCCTCCCCTTCGTCATCCTGCCCTTTTGGCTGCTCGGCGGCCCCTGGCAACTGGCCCAGTTCATCGTCGTCCCAGTCCTCAAGGCTCTCCCCGAGCGACTGACCCGGAACTGGCTGCCCCTCCTCCTGTTCAACGAGTTCTGGCACAATGGCTACGAGCCATTTGAGCGACTCCAGGCAGACACCTTCATGGCCGTCTCGCCAGGCGGACTCATCCTCTACACCTGTGACCCCGACGTCAACGTCCAATTGTTCCGCGACGCAAGCTTTGGCAAGCCAGCCGAGCTCCTGTCCATCCTAAACGTCTATGGGCCGACCATCACCGGCACAGACGGCCCCGAGTCGCGGCTCTATCGCAAGGTGACGGCGCCTTTCTTCTCGGACAAGACGCTGCGCCGCGTCTTTGCTCAGTCCGTCTCTGCAGCAAAGATCCTTCTTGCTGCCTTGCTGCGTCCAGATGCTCATCGCCAGCTGCGAACGTTGTCCGCAAGGGTCTCGCTCAACACGCTGAGCCAGATAACCTTCCACTACCAGAGTGACTCTGATCTGACCCAGGCGTTGGCCTTTGATGAGAATATTCCAGAGGGAAAGACGCTGAGCTTCAGCCAGGCTCTACATGGGCTGTTGGAGAACCTAGGTGTCGTCTTCGTCGTGCCTCGCTGGATATTGCGCCTGTCGCCGTTTCGGCCTCTCCATCATGCGGCAGTATGCTACTCGGAGCTTGGATCATATATGGACCAGCTGAAGCGGGCAAGGGAGGCGACGCTCTCTAAAGACCCCTCGTCTAAGTCCTCTTCGGGCGAGGACCTCCTCGATCTGCTCATCCAAGCGGGCACATCTACAGATGAGAAACATAAGCCCGTTCTGACCAACGCTCAAATCATCGGCCAAATCTTCCTCTTCATGTTTGCAGGACACGAAGCCAACGCCAACCTCCTCGTCTCCATCATCCTCCTCTTGGCATGCCATCCCGCAATCCAGCACACGATGCAGCGCGACCTCGACCGTCTACTCGGCGATACAAGCCCAGACACATGGTCGTACGACAACAACTACAGTGCGCTCATGCAGGGTACCGTCGGCGCGGTCATCAACGAGGCCCTCCGCCTCTTCACCGTCATCCCCGTCCTGCCAAAGTGCGTCCCTCCCGGCGGCCCCTGGCTCTCCATCACCGTCAAGGGCCAGCGCCATCCGCTGCCGCCCAACACGATTGCGCTCGTCAACACGAGCGCAACGCATCGGCATCCGGAGCACTGGCCCAAGAGGAGGAGGCCGGCAGATGTCGACTCAGACAGTCGCTCTTCCTGGTCGGATATCAGAAACGACCCGCGCCAACGTCCTCATGCCGTGGCGGACTTTGATCCGTGGAGATGGTTGGAGGGGACAAGCGGCGAGACTACACAGACAGGCTCGACCAACTTCTTGAAGCCTCGAGCCGGGACTTTTATCCCCTTTTCAGATGGCAGTCGAGGATGCCTTGGTAAGCGGTTTGCTCTGGTGGAGGTCTGTGCCATGGTCGCAACACTGTTCAAGACACACTCTGTCGAGCTGGTGACGGAGCCTGAGCATGGCGTTAAGGGGGAGGAGGAGGCTTGGTTGGAGGCACGTCGACGTGCTGCCCTCGCGCTTTCGGAGGGGACCAAGTTCGACACGAGTCTGCGCGTTGCGAGGACTGTGCCCATCAGGTTTGTACCAAGAGACGATTGATACGAAAGATCTAGAGAAGAGATTCAAGTTTATGGTATTCTAGCGACTATTCTTGCTTGTCTGGCATCTGCCCTACCATGATGAACCACTCCGCATCCACACTTGCACCCTGCGCAAACTCCGCCTCCAGGTCCTTGATCTGCTGCTGCAGTGGCGGCGGCTTGTCCTCCCCGCGACTCATCCGGCGAGATAGTTCCTCCATGCCCATGATGTGGCAGTGGTTCCAAATTGGCCGCAGATAGTTGCGAAGCTGGAGGCGCTCATATGCGATGGCATGGAGGCCGGCAGTCTCGAGCAAGTCCGAGTTTTGTAAAATCCATCTGTTGCTTCCCTATAAACATCCTCATCAAGTCGAAGTAGAAGAGAAAAGGAAAGGAAAGGAGAACACCACTCACGAGTCAACGTCAGGTTGTGCCTTGCGCATGATTGACACGACACTTTCAGTGCGCGGCATGTGCATGTCTGGGCGTGTGGCAATGGCCTTGGCCGAGCGAGGGTCAAAGTCAAGCCATTGAAGAAAACCACCCGGTTCTAGCAGATAACACCTCAGTAATGACTCAATACAGATAAATGCAGAAGACGGAGAGGCAAAGAGTCAACATACTCAGAAGAGTCTTCAAATTGTCAAGCAGCGGCCTGATATTCTCTGCATTGAGCAGCGTGATAACGAAGCGCAAGTGCACCACGTCAAACGACCCAACAAGCTCCGGTGCAAACGGCTTGAACGCATCTTGTTCATGCAGAGATACATTTTCGGGCAGCCACTCCTCAGGCGGATACTGGTCGGCGGATATGTCAAAGCCGAGCAGCTGGGAGTCGGCAGGCAACGCATCAGACAGCTCCGTCAGCCAGAGTCTGGGTTTGTGATAACATTTTCATTAGCACATAATACTCGGTGCGGCTGGCTAATACTCCCTCTCTCTCTCTCTCTTCCTCTCTCTCCCTACTTACGCTGTGCCGGTAGCAACGTCAGCCACCCTGATAAATGAGCGCGAGGCTACGCTCTGCTGCACGGCCCGGTGAAGCAGTTGGTCGCTGAAAAGCTTCTTGACAAGCATGTGCTGGTAATTTAGGCTATACTAGTAATAAGCGGTGACATGCTTTGGAGTCAGCGCCAACTGCAATATCGACCCTTCAACCTCGTCCAACACGCTTTTGAAGATGTACCGTATACTTGACTTGCGGTCGCGATGGAAGATGTATGGAGCCGGATCCGCCACGGTCTCGGCCATGACAGGCAAGCAAGGGGCTGGGCGGCTCTCGGGCACGGTCAAAGGGCGGAAGAAGAAGAAACGTCGGACGCGGGGAGAAAGCTATAAGGGGGAAAGGGAGGGGGGAAAGGGTCGGGGGAAAGCAGAAACTGCGGAAGCCACAGAGGTAAGGCAGCATCAAAGATAGGAGGGCAGAGATGGCGCAGAACCTGAGCTAGGTGTTCACGTCTTTATTTCATGCATCTGCACTCGGGGCCAATGCGCAAGGAGGCGGTCCTCACCCCGAGGGGTGCCGACAACTTGTTGCTGATGCCTCAGTTGAGACCCCTGCTGCTGATACAGCACATGGAAATAGACAGCCTCGCATCCAACAACAACCACAGAGCCATAAGAGGGGTTGCAACGCAACCAACAAGAAGAAATCCTTCGACGAGATACCTACTTACCTATGCTCTCGAACCCCGTACCTAGCCCATGCAGTGCGGTTACATCAATGTCGGCGCAATAGACAAAGCGCACCTGCAGTGCAACAGAAATAGGGCGGCAAGTCAAATAAGCAGGCTGCAGAGGGTTGTATTCAGACTCTTTTCGCGATGGGCCTTGAAGGAATGGAAGCAGCAATACTATGCAGAGCACAGACTGTATTGCCTCGTATGGACTGACTCGGCCGGATCCCCCGCACCGGGCAGATCCCAAGGCCGCCGGCGCCGGGATTCCGTCCTTTGTGTCTAATAATAACGATGAGAGCGCGGAGATGGCTGCCGCGAGCCCGGACCGCCGTTGCCTGATTAGGAAACCGGACCAAAGGGGGGGGAAGCTTTGAAGAATGGCTGTGTCTGTGCGTATGTCGTATCTACTAGTAGTCATGTCGTTGGCACCTCGAACGAGTCCAGAATGCCATAGCAGAGCCTGACAGGACGTTGGTTACATGTATGCAGCGCATGGCAGAGACTGTAAGACGGGAATAAGACAAGAGACTGTCATCTTGCAACCCTTGGGCTGAACTGTGAGGCTTGTCTCGATTATGAAGACTTACCTGAATTATTGATTCTTAGAAGAATCAGGAGACTGCTTCTGCTTGTATTGCTAGGCTAGATTCATATACCTCTTAAGATATTATCTGTAAAACTGATAGAATAATGCCTTGTAGTTTTGAATCTACCCAGTGAGTACCTACCTGTGGTACATGGGAATCTATGTATAACGCTGGAGGAAACAAGGAGACGATGCAATGGCCATTTCACTACAATTGTAAAGTATCAGACGCCGCAGCCCATGTAAGGACTACATGCACATACTGTCTATCAATCGCTTACGCGCAGCTCTTCATCAAAAGACGAGGCACTTTTGCAACCTCGACGTTCTCCAATCAGAGACGCCGCGCCTCATGCCGATGACAAAAAAAAAACACCCCCCAGCAAGGCCGGATACCGGATAGTAGCCCAGTCTTCACACACACAACGACATATATCACAAACGAACTTGTCCGGCCTGCAGCGTTGCATCGCAACCACGTGTTGGACAAAGGGGAAGAAAGCCCAAGGCACGAGGCAACCGTCCATTATAGTCCCTTCGAAAGACCGACAAAAACATTCTAGAAGAAAGAGAAAGAAAGAACAAAAAAAAATAGTCATTTGTGTTCTCTCCAAAACTATCCCTCCTCACCTTCATCTCTCTCCCTCCCCCCCTATCACCATCTCCTCCCCATCACCATCTCCTCTCCATCACCAAACATGAACTCCTCCGCCTTCCTCCGCATGGCCTACCTCTTCAACCCCTTCATCGGCCTCTCATCCGCCACCACAACCACAACAACAGCAACCTGCACCACCAACAACAACACCGCCGGCTTCACAAACCCCATCATCGGCCCCTCCACCGGCGGCGCCTCAACCTGCATCTCCGGCACCGTCCCCCTCACCCTCAACACCACCGGTCTCAACATCCTCTACTCGGCGCCCCAGAACCAGGCCGCAGTCACAGAGTCTCTCGTCGAGCTCTTCCAGTCAGACTCCGCCTGGGTCGCCCAAGTCACCGCCGGCGGGCCCAGCGTCATCTCCGGCACCTACGACATCTTCATCAAGCTCTGCCTCCCCAATAACGAATCATCCTCATCATCATCATCATCATCATCATCCCATATCAAAACCGTCCAGCTCCTCACCCACGGCGCCACCCTCGACCACACCTACTGGGACATGGCCCCCGGCCACAGCTACGTCGACGCCGCCTCCGCCGCCGGCTACGCAACCCTCTCCTACGACCAGCTCGGCGTCGGCCTCTCCGCCCACCCAGACCCCATCCAAGCCGTCCAGGCATCCTCCCAAGTCGCCATCACCCACCAGCTCGTCTCCCTCCTGCGCAGCGCCCAGCTAGCCGGCCTCTCCTTCGACCACGTCGTCGGCGTCGGCCACAGCGCCGGCAGCACCCTCACCCAGGGCATCACGACCCAGCACCCGTCCGACCTTGACGCCGTCATCCTCTCCGGCACCAGCGCCAGCGCCGCCTCCGTCGCCCTCACCGTCGCCGCCTTTAACCTCGTCAACGCAAACGCCGACCCCGCCGCGCCGCCCCAGCTCAAGTCCTTGCCCGCGGGCTTCCTCACCCAGCAGTCCGCCGCCGGCATCCAGTTCGCCTTCTACCGCTACCCAAACTACGACGAGGCCCTCTTCGACCAGCAGGTCGCCAACAAGCAGACAAATACCCTCGGCGTCCTGCTCACGCTTGGCGGCATCGTCGCGCCGTCGACCGAGTTCACGGGGCCCGTCCAGATTGTAAACGGGCAGCATGACCTCGTCTTTTGCGGCGGCAACTGTCTGTATCCGACGGATCAGAACGTCGTCGCTCTCCAGACGTTTTATCCAAAGGCGGCAAAGGGGAGTTCGACGTACATTGCCGCGGGTGCTGGCCATTGTATTGCTGCCCATAAGAGCGGACCCGATAGCTTCAAGGAGATGATTCAGTTCTTGCAGGCCAACGGCCTGTGATTGCTTCAGCAGTAATGAAGGCTTTGATAGAGGTCACAGTTGTATCCATCCATATAGAGCATCATTTTATAGCTTGTATGTTATGCGCTTGCAATTGGATTGTGCCAGGATCAATAGCCACATCAGTGTCCTGAAAAGACCAGACACTCTAGAATGATCTATCCAGCCATAGAATTATAATAAGTAATAGAAAAGAAAGAACATCTATTGGTCTCGTTTGATCCTCGTACATACAATACCCCCCTTCCCTTTTATACTTCATTCCCATCCCTCGATCCTGCTTCTACACCTCGTCGTGCTACCTAACCTAGACCGCAACACATCCATGTGTAGGTAGGTTAGATTGTATGTTGCACAGGACACGGCAGCCCGCATCAGAGGTTACAAAACCAAGGAAGATGGCGAATGAATTATGAATACATAAAAGATGCTGTGGCTTATATGACTTGTAAGAAAACAATAAAGAGTAAATGATCCTCACCACCCAATCACAACACCTCCGACCTGTTTTACCAAGGGCGGTCATTGTGTTTGACAACAACCGAGAGAAATGTAGCTGACCAGCCCGATTATCGGTATCCCGAGTATTTCTGATCGCTCACAAATTCGTGCGGATGCACCCCGTCTCCGCCAGCAGAGTTGTTTTCTCTGTAGTCTCCTTGCTGTCGGCTGCCCGTCAGGTCGCGGTACATGGGGTGCGGCGTAAAGCCGACCTTCTCGTCCTGGTGCTCCTTCGACTCGGGAATGCTCGGCGCGTAGTACCGGTCTCCGCTCTTGGAGTAGGGAGGCAGGTTTTCTTCGTGATCGGCGACATACGAGGCCTCGAGATCGCCCCTCTTGATGAGGAGCGAGTTGCGAGCATCGAGGGGCGTCAGATCGTCCATGTCTCCGCGCATTTTTTCTACAAGATCGTTAGCAAAACAAGAGACAAGCAAGAGAAGAAGAGAAGAAGAGAAACTTACCCATCTCCTTTCTGCGCGCGCGGTGGGGGTTCATCTTAATGGTTGCATTGATCGCGTTCCACGCAACGAGCAGTGCAAGCGCACCAGTCAGCGTTGACTGGATGGCAATCATGACAACACCCATGACAGTCTGTGTGGTCTGCTGAACGTTGAACTCCTCGACAAAGACAAAGACGCAAACCACCGACAGCACTCGGACAATGGCAATGAAGATGTTGATGATGTTGCTGGAGCGGCGCTCAAAGGGGCGCGTGGCAACCAGGAGAGCCAGCATGGCAAGCTCGAGGATCAAGCTGATGACGGTCTGGGCCATGCCGTGGCCGTCGCCCGCGGCGACAAGGCAGCCCTTGATGAAGGTGTAGAGGATGACGGGCATAAACAACCACCAGTACGACTTCTGATAAGCCTCGTAGAACATGGAGTACTTGAGCCAATTCTGCTTGTCCTCGTAGAGCTTGGAGGCATCGCCGTCCTGAGCCTTCAGCCTGCGTGCCGTACTCCAAATCTTGTAACCAAAGAACATGAGGACAGCGGTGAAGATGCCCAGCGAGAGTCCAGCCAGAAGCTTGGCTGCCCAAGAGTCACCGAGTGTGAACTGAAACACACAATAGAGCACCCAGATTCCGTAGAGGAGCAGGATGAGAGTAGTGAGCGTTCGAGCAATGGACGTCCAGTAGTGCTTGCGGAAACCGGCAAGGGACTGTGGGAAGTTGCTCCCATACAGCGACCAGAACTCCAGAATGACCTTGACGAGCAGAAGAATCGTCACGACCGAGGCGATGACGATGGCCACGATGAGAAAGGCTGCCATGAACATGTCCGACTTGGGAACACTCAATGACTCGGCAAAGTTCTTGAGACCTGAGATTGTGTGGCTGAGCTGGTCGTCGTCGCCCCCATCGTCTCCGCGGCGGGCGAGCCTGGAAACACTGATCTCGGTCGTGTTGGATGTGGCCTGCATCTGCTGGAGAGCAAATGTCATGTTTCTCAAGTAGGCCACGCTGTCTTCGGTAAGGTTGCCACCGGTCTTGGCTCGGAAGTCGTCGATCGAATTCAGCAAGCCGTTCCATGGGACGAGGCCGATGGAGAAGGCAAAGTTCTTTGCAAAGTTCTGGTAGATGGGGGGATACTTGACGGAGAGCATGCCACTCATGGCCATGCCCTGGAACCAGCCGGCAACGTCCGTGAAGGTGGGACCAACGGTCGCGACGCCCACGCTGGAGCCCGCAGCACCTCCCGAGATGGCCGAACCGACTGCTGAGACGCCACTGGCGACGAGGGACACACCAGCAATGCCCGCGGCCACATAGGACACGGCGGGCACGTACGTCGTCTTTCCATTGGTGATCTGAGCCTGGATACAGGCCACCCTGGTGTTGTCCTTGATGCTGTTGAGCTTCATCACGGCGTTTGCAGCGATATCCGGAACGCTAAAGGCAATGGAAGGAATCATTGACGCATACTGAGGCGGCACCTTTTGGCTGCCCTTAGCAATGAAGTTACCTTCGGGCAAAGGACACAGCTGTTCCACCCGCGTCTCGGCATCGCAAGGGTTGAAGGTGTTTGTGAATGCGCTGATGCCGTAGGCGGTAACGTCGAGGGTGGCCGTGACATTCTCGCTGCTGGTGCTGGTGCCCTCGATGTCAAACGTGATGATTTGGGCGTCGTTGTCGTAGGTCATGCTCAGTTGATGAATCGTAATAGAGGGCATGCTTCCGCAGTCAATGAAGCCAGTCGTCGTCAGGATCTGGTCGCCCAAGACTCCCGTTATCAGCATTGCGCCTAGGCATAGCGCCCTCCGGGTCGTCGACTTCGATGCTCTCCGAGCCATGGTTCGTAACCCTTGTGGTGGAATGAATAACGCGAGTTGCCCCAGTTCTAATTCGGAACCCCAAGTGTATAAATCGATTTAAGAAATGCAATCCTCTTGCAGCAATCGTCGTCGATATAGCAATACCCAAATCCAGTATCGAGTTTCCGGCTAGAGTCGTTTTGTCGCAAATCGCCTCCGTATGTCGATGCCCAGTCTATATGCGAATCGGTAAATCGGTTGTCGAACTATGTATAGAAAGAAAAGGAGAGAATGATCGGTCGAGTCTTTCGGTATATCCAAAGAGAGAAAGAAGAAAAAAAGTGGTTGAAGAAACACTGAAAACAATGCCAGCTAGTTCGATGAGTCGGTTGATTGAGAGCGAGTGACGCCAACCTCACGAGGCAGCAGAAGACAAAGAAAAGAAAAAGCGCCCACAGGGCGAGTATCCAAAAGAACCAGGATCAACCCGAGGAGAATCGAAGAACTGAAACCAGATAATGAGCGGCCAATAGTGCTTCCGTCTTGAGAGACTTCAAGGCGTTCTCCCAACAATGACCGAAATGTTGTTCCCTCTCTTCACAACGGGATATTCATCAAGGAGTGGAAGCGGTATAAGGGTGTGTCAATCGAGATTCGCTCGTGCTGTTGTTCAAGTCGCTCAACAATGATATCGAAATGCTGGAAATCAGACCTGTGGCGCTATGTGAAACAGGGAGCTTTCCAGAGCATCACAGGAGAAGCCGGTCGTTTGAGGAGCGTCGCTGGAAAGGAACAATGACAACGAAGACGAATAATGAATGACGGGCGTCCACAGTCGAACAGCGAGCTGATTGTCAACAGGGACAGAAACTAATAGAAGAACGAGAGAGAGAGAGAGAGAGAGAGACAGAGAGAGAGCGTCAAAAAGAGCAAAATGAAAGTAATGGCAAGACTAAAATTGCAGAAACGAGGAAAAAGGGAAGAGAAGGAAAAAAGAAGGGGAGCACAAGACCAGATCCAGACTCATTCACTCTCTCTCAATGTCCGTCCGTGGTTGAAACATCACGAAAGGGGAGCACCTTCCTCGCAGCCAGGGTCCCGCCCCACCTGCCTTGCCTGCAACCAGCAAAGCCCCCCCAGGAACCGAGTCCCGCCTGAGCAGGTCGCTACCCAAGCGATACCTCACGCACCTCCCTGTTCTGGCAGCGCCGGAAGGTCACTGCCAGGTCACATCCCGGCTCCTGGGACCTGGGCGCAAACTTGGAACCTCTTGCAGGGGGGAAAACTTACAGCGGTCTTAGGGGCAGATCCAGTGGAAGGGGGGTTGGAATGGGGGCACTTGATTGGCCAGGCGCGGACCGAGGCTGCTGGAGGCGCTGGGCTGGCTCGCTGGAAGAGGTGCGCTGAAACTCGGGGCTCAGACGGCTGCGTGTAACCCGGCAGGATCAACAACTGATAGGGGCATCAGATCCAAATGCAATAGTAAGCACATACACGAGATGCTCAACCACTGCTTGCCTCGACAGGCTCGAACAACAGAGAGAAATACACTTTGCAGCTCTCCATCGAAGCATTGACTCAGCAGTGCGGACTACCACTAACTGCAATGGAAGTCATTAAAAGACTCACTTGCAGCCGGGGGACCCAAGAGATCCCCCCAGTCCATGGCCATATGGAACCCAAGATTTCAGGGATCGTCCAGCGAAATTACACCTCAAGCTTCGTTCTCCTCCCCCAAAGAGTCTCCCGGCAGCGAACGAGATGAGGAAGATTTCGGCTCGCCCACTCGGCACAGATGGAGAATAGGGAAATCACCGGTTTGAATCTAAGTAAATACGAAGGGAAATGTCAAAATAGAAACAACCAATTATGCAGACGAGAGGCAGCCTATCGCTTCTCCGTACCTCAGTCTAGAAGCTCCTGTTCTGACTCTGTGGAGGATTACTTACATACATGTACCTACCTAGCTCGACCTGAAATAACGGAACAATGCCCGAGCGTCTGTCCAGCGTCTCATCTTCATAGCTTTTGCCTACCAACACATCAAGACATCATTCTCATCAAACCACTCTGCACCAGCAGCTCTCTCACAATAACACTCTCAAACGGATATTCGACTCTCTTCCTCGTAGACCCACGATCAATTGGATGCCTCTTTGGTGATCCAATAATCGAGAGTGCCCAATAATAAATGCTTCCCATCGTATCAACCGCACGCCTCACGCCATGATCTACACCGCACAGGCCCCCTCGCCTCCTCACACAGCCGCCCCCCCAAAAGCAAAGCAAGGCAACAAGAGGCGAAGAAAAGAGACGCCTGAAATCCCAGAAACCAGAGAGGCCAGCATCTTATGCATTTTCATGATTCATGCCTGTCAATGCAGGAAATGCATTACCTTTCCTCCACTGGAAACATCCCGTACGCGTACTCTGGCGTGTCTGCTCCTCCCTCTCTCCTGATCCGTATCCAATCATCTGATGATAGGTAGGTAGTACTAAGGTAGACTCCGCAGTGACCTTCAAGGGGACGACAAGCCCAGAGCAATCAACCCCAGACTTCTCGAAATACAGCCGTCTCCACCAATGTGTGGCATCTCAGGCTTTCTCTTCGTATTATTAGTATATCGCTGTACATAATCGCCCATGCATGTCTCATCTTGCATTCTATACCCGTCGGCTACGCGGCTAGATGTGCAGAGCCAGACGCATTTGTCTATATGACCGCTTTGCTCACATGTCAGAGTGGTGAGATGAAAAGCAGCTTAATTGAGATGTAATTGCAAGTCTATCAGCACGAATTCGATGGCTCATGTGAAGTATAATGACCTGGCAGGGCAAAAAAAAAAAAAAAAAAAAAAAAAGGTTGCTTCAGTTCATAACAATGTGCTCTGCCGTGACCCAACTATCCCAAAACGCAAAGACGTTGACAAAAGCCCCAACCTCAAATTGCAAGTAAACGCAGGGGAATCGTGTTCAAATACTATACTACCCGTCCCAACATCCGTAATGTATTGTCGCCATAACCCATCCTCAAACGAGGTTCGGCTCCAAAAAGAGCTCCCAATGATCATGCCCAATAACTCATGGAAAGAGAAGGGAATTGAGGTAATGCAAGGCTATAAACCTGCTGAAACAAGAAGAAGGAGAAGAAGAAGAAACACCTGCAGCAAACGGAAGGAGAAATCGCCCTAGAAGAAAAAGAAACAAGGAAATGGAAAGAAAATCGCAACAGCCGTGTAATACAACGCTTCAGAAAAATCCAGACACCTGTCTATCATCCCAGCTCTTGGTATCTAGATGAATCGCGCCCTGGTGAGGAGAGTGAGAATAGGTCGACAGCGTTTCGTGTCCGCTGAATGGGCTGCCGTTGACGCTTGACGGGTCCATCATGTTGTCGTACGCCATCTGCGCGCCCATAGGGGGGACGCCGGCAACCTGTACGGGCACGTTCTGCAGGCCCAGCGCATTCAGGGGTGGGAATGGTGGCTCCACCTCATTTGCCATTGTCATGTTGGCATACGGATTCGACCCCTGCACATACGGAGCCGAAGTGACTGGCATGTCCTGAACCCGCCGGCCGGGGTCGTAGCCTAGCGGGCTAGCGGCCATCGACGGGGGTTGATGCAGGCTGTGACCGATGCTCTCGAATTGGGGAGAATAGAACGGCGTGAAGGACGGTCCTGGGGGCATCACGGGATACATGAAGGTGCCCTGGGCCTGCGCATACGACACTGGTTGCTGGTGCGGCTGCTGTTGGGGAGCCATGGACGGTACGGAGGAAAGCTGCTGGTGTTGCTGGAGCGGCTGCTGCTGCTGCTGCTGCTGCTGGCCATTGTCCACATACCGCATGGGGGCAGGCGACCTCTGCTCTGGCATGAGCGGTATCTCGTGCCGTGGGGGCGGATCCTGGACCGGGCTGATGATGGTATCCGCCGCCAGTTCTTTTGCCTTGGCCGCTACCAAGCGCAGCACGGGAAGCGAGATTTGCTCCATATGCTTGGCCAGATGAACAGTCAACTTCTTCCACGTCGGGAAGACTTTGCCGCAGAACCTGCACGGCTCCTCGTGCGGCTGCTTGCTCGTTTCCACATGGCACTGCTCAACCTTGTGCCAGGTGGGATCGACCGTGCCGGCCTTCTTCATGGCCGCCTTGGTTTTCACCTTGGGCTCCTGGAACTTGTGCTCGCGGACGAGGTGCTGCAGGAAATTGTCGCGGCGGTAGCACGTATGCCGGCAATCTTCGACATCGCACATCCACCACTCCAAGTGTCGGTGGCCCTCGTTTTCGTGGCGCACCCAGTCGGCCTTGCGCTTGAAGATCTTGGGATCCCGGCACTTGTCCCAGGTGCACGTAAAGGGCTGCACGTCCTCGTGCACGTGCTTCGTCCAGTCGGACGGCTTGAGGAACTTCTTCTTCTGGTAGCATAGCTGGCATTCGAACTCAGCCGGCAGGTGCTGAGTCGGCGGCATGGGGATGTCGGTCGGGAAGCTTTCCTGATTGATGGCGCCCTCGGTCGGCGTGACATCGTCGTCCTCGTCATAGGGAGCCGACAAGGCGTCCAGCCCCTTGCTGCCGCCATTACCATCTCCTGCCCTTGCGCTCAGCACATTCGCTGAGCCCCCAAGCGCCAAGCAGAGGGGACCGCAGGGGCAATTGGCGCCGAGACCGAGGTGCTTGACCTTGTTGTTTAGTAGCTGCTTGTATCGAACAATTTGCTGGTGCGCAATGCGATCTACGAGGTAGCTATTGGCCGGTGAGAGTCCTGGGTTCAGGGTCTGGATGTGTTGCTGAAAGCCAGCAAAGTTCGGCGTAATGTCGTCAATAATATTGGGGTTCATCTTCATGTCGTTATCTTCGTAAAAATCGTCATCTTCGTCCTCATCCTCGTCTGGTTCGACGGGCAGAGCAGCTACTGGCGGACCACCAACACTCTGCCACAAGTGGGCGAGACTGGAGCGAGTACCGTCGGTGTTACTGTTGGTGGTGGAAGAGGAGGAAGCTGTTGGCTTGGGTAGGTCCGACTTGCTTCGCGGCCTTCTGAGAGAGTTCCTGATATTGAGACGGGGACCCTTGGAGGTCGAGGGCGCAGGAATGGTGCTGATGGATCCAGCGCGCGAGTGCGTCGTGCCGATGGAGGCAATATTCTGGCCCATGGACACCAAGGCGGTGTTGATGCTCGGGGCCTGGTTTTTCTTGCCCCAGCTGGACGTGCGCGATAGGGGAGAAAGGTGCGGCATGCTATCACGCTTATTGTGAGTTGAAGTGGGCTCCGCCTGGTCACCCGCAGCCTCGCCTTCTCGCTGTCCGCTGCGAGAGCGCTTGCGCATGTGAGAGCCGCTGGGGCGGCGGACAAGGCCGCGAATGTCTTTAAAGAGACTGCTGGACCTGCTGCTCTTATCGCCGCCTCGACTAATGGACAGCTTCTTCAAGAAGTTGCCGCTGGTGACACCCTCAATATCAAGGTCGACAACGCTGGGCAAGCTGCGGCGGCGAGTGCCCCATGTTGCAGCTCGGGAGATGATAGAGTCGTTGTCACGACACATTCTCTCGAACCGCTCGATGGCGGCCTGCGAGCTCTGGGGCTGATGGCGGCTTTGGCCGCCATTTCTGATAGAGTGAAGCATGGGAGCGTCAGCCCAGCCGCGGTTGGCATAGATAATGTCATAATCCTCGTCCGACAACTGGCCGGCACCATTTGGGGCATAGTACGTCTGGCCGGGGATGTACTTGTTCTCGGTCTGGTCGCCAAGGGGGATGCCATCGTTGCTATTGCGATTTTGCTCTTCTGCAGCATTAATGTCCTCCTGGGACGGCCTCTCGGGAGTAACGGTGTCATGCGCATTGCCGGTGAGCCACTTGCCGACTTCCTGGTTCTTCTCCTCAATCTCTCGGCGGCTGATAATCTCATTGATGCTTGCAATTTCCTCGCCAGGCCGCCTCTTGGGATCTAGGCCGGAATGGCCGGTGACAGGGTCACGTCGCCATTGGCCTATGGAATCCCTTGAAGCAGTGGCTGCAGTAGCCGCCTGGCCGTGTCCCTGGTTCGCGGACAATGTGATCAAGTCTCCCGCGGACTCGAGGCCGCCCCGTACCGTCGAGGGACTGTCTTCAAAAGTCCGCTCAACGGTGTGTATGGGTCCGTTATTGTCCTTGTCCCATACGGAGATGGTGACTCGGGGACTTTGACACCGCATATCGACAGGAGCAGGCGCCAAGCCGTCCTCGCTGGATCGTCCACTGTCGGTCTGGCTGGGGGTCAACTGAGGTGGCGGGATGACAAGGGGATTCGGCTTGAAGGCCTTTTGGAGCTGCTGCGGCGAGACGGAGCTGGGAAGCTGATGCTGGTCGGGCGGCGTGAGGGTTGTCCTCTCTTCACTTCCCGGCGACAACGTGTGGACAGAGGCTGTTTGGTCCGGCGTCAGAGGATAGGAGTCGTCGTTGGCATTGTGCTCTTGCTGGGGCTCAACTGGTGGGGTATTGTTTAGTGAGAGGTCCCATACGCTCTGGTCGTCCAGGAATGATGGTGTGCCGACCTCGGGATTGGTGAAGTTGGCACCGAAGAAGGGGTCGTCGTCGAAGTCACTGAAGTCGCTAGACTGGTATATGCTCAGCGTCGAGGTGGATCCGGCAGGCGTTTCCGAGGGATTGGCGGGTGAGAGGGAGTCGCTATTGACGCGCGACAGGAAGGGCGACAGCAGGTTGGAGTCGATAGACGAGCGCTGCTGCTGCTGATGCTGATGCTGCTGCTGCTGCTTGACTTGGCGCTGTTGGGCTGCCGGTGAATTGCGGGGTTCAAGGTCGAAGGCGAAGTCGTGGTGGTTGTCGGTGTCGAGAGGCAGGGTGAAGCCTTGGGCGGTGGCGGATGCGGAAGACATGATTGCTCCCGGCTGGCGCCAGGTGGAAGGGGATGCCCAAGGATAAGTAGTCGGTATAGTCGGTATATAGGCCGGATGTGCGAAAGAAGGAGGGAGGATAGGAACAGACGGGCAGCGCAGCGCAGAGGAGCGGTGGCTTTCGGGCGCGGTGCCAGCAGTCGACAGGCAGCCGGGCCCTAAAACTCAAACTGAGGTGGTGCGCGCTCTCTGGAGAAGGGCAGCGTCACGTCACTGGTCAAGGATCATGACCATGTTCCTGAGCGAACGGGAGAGCAGCGGTGCGGCGTGGGTTGTGGTGAAAGCTTATTAGGCAGGACTTGAGCTCGGGAGGCGCAGTCGGCGAGCGATGAGGCTTGCGGCGTCTTGCTGTGAACTAATTAGAAGTTAGGTGTCGAACGAGAGAGAGAGAGGAAAAAAGTAGGGCAGCGGGCGGCCAGCGAGCTGATGATGGGATGGGACATGGGCAGCGGGCTTGTGTGTGGGTGCGGCTGGCGGATCTAAAGGCAAAGGCGCTTACCACCTGGATTAGGCTGGCGACGGCACCCCTGCTAAGCGACTCTGCTCGTTTCTGGTGCTTGATGCCACTGTTTTTGTGCCCGCGATACGTGTATTCCTGTCGAGTACGACGTGCCAAGGTCCAGCTGCCCGAGTCCGGAGCATCATGGTGGTGCGACCGGGTGCCTGCTGGTGCTCCATGGTGTCAAGTCTCTTGGGTGCGTTTGTGGTGCTGAGCCGTTTGGGCTTGAACCTGGACCAGGGCCGCGACGAGATTGGCCAGCAGCGAGCCTGGGGGTGGTCGGGTTAAGGTGGTGATGGTGATGGGTTTCGGTGGTGGTGGTGGTGTGGGAGTGGGGGGGCGATTGCGGGAGGAGAGCGCCTCGACTTGGCACAGACGAGCGAGAGATCGAAAGGGACGATAGGGGGAAAGCTGCAACTCTCGATGATTCCGGCTTGTAGTTGAGTAGTAGTAAGAGAGAAGGATTTTAAACCTGGCGATGGTTTTCATGATGATGAGGAGCAAGGGCATTGGATTGAGGGCAGCTCGAGGTTTGGCGGGGGACAGACAGCAGCAGGTACTGCGCGGTACTGCCTTCCTTGACTGAAGGAGGGGGAGCCGGAGCTGAAGATGCAGCTGCTGAAGCGGAAGGTAGCACCAGTTGGCCCGTACCTGCCTGTAACTGGCACCGGGTGCCTCCAACCTCCAACCATCTCAGGCGAGGTACCTCATGGAGTACCTCTGAGGTACAAACAGCTTCCATCATTTCGAATCACTCTAAACCTCTCTCTACCTACCTACACTTTCATCGACTCTCCAGCAAACCGCTTCCATCGATACATGATCACATTAGTACCGTAGCCTAGGTCGGTACAGGCGTCTACCTTATCTGTCCGTCACCGCTGCTGACCACGACAAGATCAAGCTGCTAAACGGCATCCCTGGATCAGCTTCAGGCTCAAAGAGGCGCGCGGTTGCTCCTCGACTCCAGCAACACTCGAAACCATCAGTCCATTTGCTGCCTCAGGTCGCCTCTACCTAGGCTGCATCCAGCCTAGCGATGTGCGTGCTCTTCTCTTCTCTTCTCTTCTCCCGAGCACCAGCTTCAGCTTCACACGTGCCAGCTCTCCCCCCTCACACACACTCGTACCAGGTATCACGACAACCACCAGTCTCGCATAAACAGCGCAAGAAGCACGGCTTTCTAGAAACGCAACCGCCAGGGCATCACCATCGCCAATCTCTGAGCCAACAGCCTCAAAGTCTCTGGCTGTCAGGAAGCTCGACTCCATAGCCTCCACTACTCGACAGGAAAAAAGCCTAACTTGACAACAGCATTGCTAGGAGGATGTCAGTGGGGCGTCCTCGCGATCCCAGGTGCCAGAAAATGCCAGCTCCGGGGTCGAAAAGCCTTACGGACAACTGGCCATGCATGGTAGCGCGCTACCGGCCGCCCGCCTACGAACGTGGCGCTGGGCCAGGTACTCCCTCATCCAGAGCCGCCTGACCCCTGGCCCAGATGGGTCTCCAAGGTGGGCACGAGGCTTGCGGGCTCTAATTCCGTGGCTCCCAAATGGGCTATGGCGCGCTCTCGGGGCCTGTGAGGCTATCTGGCATAGGCCCAAGTCGGGTGGGCGCCAGCCCCCAAGGCGTTCTCGCAAATGGAACACAGCCTCATGAGCTCAGAGTAGCTCGCCCTGTCTAGCCCTTGTGGTAGTGCCTGTGGCTGTTGTCACCACTCTATCGCAATTGTTTTCCTGCAGGTCCTTGATCGAGATGACGCTGAAAGAGCAGGCAGGGCAGGGCAGGGCAAGGCAGCAGCACCAGGTAGGATGCGAACCGCAGCACGTCACGATTGACTGAGACATCGAGCTTCCACAACCAATGACATCAGGGACGTGTCCAAGATTGGCCGTGGAGTGGCACAGCATCCAGGTTGCAAGACGATGGCGTGTGGGATGACAGAGGACGAGGACTCTGTACCCCATACATTCTCGGGGGAAAACATGTGGACAACCGCATGCCTGATACTTTTGCTCGGCAGGATCAGGACAGTGGCCCTTTCTGGCCATGCCAGCCGGGCTGGATGATCCAAGCATGGGGTGGTAGTATTGGTAACACGCTGCTTGTTTCTCAAGCGTCTCATGCCATGTAAACTCAGGATACAACCCTCTTGCATGCAGCAGGATCGAGCGACGGCACACTTGCTGAGCGCTGAGCTGCTTACGGCACTCTTACTGCTCACCGGCACTTTACGCTAGCCACGGAGCAGATACTGGATATATGCACATTATTCATGGTTCTGTGTCTGGGTGAGAGCAGATGGAGAATGACGGAACAAGCAGATGAACAGACGAAAGGGGCATGCAGGCAGATTCTTGGCGTCTGCTTTGCATGTGGCGTCCAGGCACAGACGAGTTGGTCGACGCCACGGATTTTCACACAGAGTCTCGACAGCACAGTCCAGTTCGCCGGGGGAGCAGCAGCAAGCACTGCCCCGTGTCCTACCGTGCGGCTGAAGCTTCCGGCACCTGTCTCACAGACGCCGTTGGCCTGAATCGATACCAGCATCGGCTCCGCCTCACCTCAACCCCGATAACGATCGATGTCTTGTATGAAATGCACAGAGCGAGTCCTGGAAGATTCGACAGAAGCCTCCACGGTCCTACTCTGCTTGTGCCTACTGGCCCCCCCAAAGGCCTGCATACATGCTTGATCCCTAGGGGTACCAGGTAAGCACAGCTCCCAAAAAAGTAGGGCTGTCTGGTATGTACTCGGTAATACCACCCGACGTCTAAGGTATGACCATATGTTCTTGCTTCGATACCAAGATAAGCCCTCGGCTTCCACGGCGCGTGCCGGAAAGGGCCCATGAGGCAGATTCCGCCTATCCACGAGGCATCTCGCAACTCTGAAGGAGCAAAGTGAACCGTCTGAAACACAGCACAAGTTCGCACATGTGGGCATTTCACAAGGGGCCTCCCGCCTCGATCACATCTCGCCGGCTTGCATCTAGTCCTGCGCGCCACTGATCGGTCAACTCGATTTGGACACGGCGAGTGCCGGCGGCGCAGCAATCCTGGAGCCTTGTGGGCAAATAGGCGCGCTGTCTGATCGATTACCGCGCATCCTCTTGCGGCTGCAGGGCTGCCCGGTTGCCTTGGTGCTGTGTGTCGGTTACCCGGTGATGGACGATTTCTGGAAGAACAACCAGACTTTTCCTACGGAATCGGCTTCCTCGCGATCGATGATATCACCGTTTTGAATTGTGTGCCGCTGTCAATATTGAGCAAAACAAGTGATTGTTGAGATCACGATGGGAAGTGCTCATACTATGTGTGCCATGTCTTGTAGCGAGCAAATCGACGCCACGTTATTTCATCCCACCAAGAGATGAGGCGATGCCACGTGATGCCTCAGACGACCAGCAACCAGCTGCGATCCCATGATTCTTTGCACTTTCAACCTCGCCTTCACAATAAACGCTCAACTCTATGCGACTCGACGCATCAACCAGAAGGCGTTGAAAGCTCCTGAGCAGGCGAATGAGCGATACGAACCAAGGGTGGAAAGGGTGAAGGCAGGGAACTTTTTATCCACGCGTGGTTCATTGCTCGTCTGCCCGCCATGTTCAGGGTTCGTCAACCTCAGACTTCATCTCAACGAGAAATACCCAAGCTGACGATAGGTCTTGTCGTCAATTTGCAGCCGCATCCAGAGGAGACGATGCATCTCCGGCTCCATCGAGCTCGGTCCGTCGTCTTGACATCTGAAGAGTAAGCGTCACACCACGGGTCTCAGTCCTCCACACCAACAAGCATCATCTCACGAAGCCTCAACCCCATCTCATACATATATGCGTATACACACAAACATATGTGCTCCCTCTTCACTCACGACACTCGCTCACCAACCCCAGGCTCGTCGAGATCCGCGCCGCCCAACGCACCTTTGAAGGCGCCTACATGCGCACCGCCCTCGGCATCTTCTCCTTCTCCCTCGTCATCCTCAAGGTCTTCACCGAGGAGTTTTACGGCATCGGCGCCCTCTTTGCCGCCTTTGGCACCGCCATCCTGCTCGTCGCCGTGTACCGCCGCTACCAGGGCAACCGCCAGTTCTTCGTCGCCGAGTCGCCCGACGATGACGGCTGCGGCGACACGATACTGCGGCGCAAGTTCCGGACGAGCGGCGACACGGTGGTGCTTTTGACGGTGCTGAGTCTGTGTGCGTATGCGACGCTGCTGGGGCTGACGTGGAAGCTGAGCGATATGTGAAGAGGCGATGCGGCGTTTTTGCTGGTGCTCGCTTTGAGGGGCGACAGTGATGGGGTGAATCCAATATTTCTATGTTTTACCGAGTTTCATCAGGTTGTGCTTTGTTGTAGTATGAGGCATGTTGGTCATTGGTGCAGTGATTTGTCGGGTTTTGTTGTCATTATGCTCTCACCACTTGAGCAGATTTGCGTCATTTGAAGAGTGGGAGTTCACCCTTGGCAGTTAACATGAGGTGCATTCGCCTCTTTATATTGTGTTCGAGTTTGTTTGAAGCGATGTAGTATCCCTATGATGTGAGCTTTGTCTTCCAAGTCCTTTTTAAGTAAGTTCTTAAAGGGTCTAAAGTCCATGAGCTCTGATATACATTTTCTAGTGTATTATTCGCGAATGTCCGACTTATGGCCCTTTCTTTACTTTCACGTGTAGGATCTTGTGAGACATTCACTCTACGGGTTCCCTCAAACATTCCATCTCCACTGTACTGTATCAGCTATATGTTCATGAGACATCCTTAAGCAGAAGAAGAGAACTCACCTAAATAGTCCTTTATGAGAATTCGTCTCCATAATCACGAGTCTTACCCAGGTTCCTCCACGCCATAAAGCACCCATCCGCTTGAAGAAAGTCAAAAAGCTGAATTCATCATCAAGCAAAACACTTCTCCACAATAATAACACACCTTACACCAAGATTTGTGCTATAATTGACCGTTATTGTCAACCTTTCTGATACGTCTCCGTCCTCATCTTGTCTTTCTTCAACACATCCACTTCACGCTCTTTATGCGAGAATCACGTTAAACCTGGTACCCAAAACAGCAGATCATAAACATGCAGAACATCAACCACTCAGATTAACCTTTAAAATGCTTTCCAAACAGGAGACATTTCTCTTCCAAGAACAATCAACAGCCCTGACAGGTGATATTAAAACCTAGACCATGTTTCCCTACCTATACCCTACCTATCCTACCCTATCCTATTCCTTCCCTTGACGAGTAAACCCTCATTGTAATGCCTAACAATCTGTAAACATAAGAAAGACAACGAAAGAACAACGCAGAAGCAAAGCTTTGAAAAGAACGAAAAAAGAAGTAGCGACAGAGATAACACCAAAATGCTCGCAATCAACCCTCAGCATAAAGCTGATCAAATTCTCACCAACCCCCCTTTCCCTTCCTCTACCCCGAAACCCCAAAACCCCCACTCCTTGAAACTTTTTGACCAAGATTTCTTTCGCAAGAAAAACAAAAACGTCCCCCGTGTTCGATCCAAAGAAAAACAACAAGACAGCAATGGAAAGAAGAAAAATCTAATCCGCTTGTTTCCGCTCTTGTGTGCGCTGTGCCGGGCACATCAATGTAATATTCCAGCCCCGCTCTAAGAAAGACAAAACCAGGATCCGGTGATGTTCGGCCGTTCAGTTGAAAGATTCACCCGCTAGTCCATCGTTCTATGTACAGTTGTCGAGAACCCTCCCATTTGTGTGAATATGTTCGCATCGTATTTCGTCCGTTGTTGAATATCGAGAAACCCTGTCGGAAGCCGCAAAGTCTGAGTGGTGGTACATTGTGAATTCGAGCCCATATAGAGGTAGATTGCCGAGGTTGGTACTCCTCAAGTTCGCTTGTTGTTCTCCATCGTTGAAGATCGAGTTGCCGACTTCTGCCATGATCAGGGAAGACAGTAGCAAGACATGTATCACGTGGTAGATGCTCTTCGCCAAACACCTGATTTCATCTCAAATGGCCGTGGTGGGCAATCAATTTTCCAACCAGATACCCAATAGTGCGGTTTCTTGGCCGGATATCAAATTCATCGCAACCCATGACCATTCGTTCTCCCATACTCCAGCTCTTGATCGCTTTAATCAAAGGGGTGGCTTGAATGTTGATCTTCTTTCCCGGTCTCCAAACAAGTGACGAGGCTGGTCGAGCTTTTGCCATTCCTTTTCCAAGGCTAGGATGCTTCAAGAGGGCGATAGGTGTCTCCGGCGATAGACTCAATAATATACCCTTTATCGAATTGAAAGCCATCCTCCACATCTCTAGCTTCAAGGCAGAGACAGGCTTGTACCGCCTTTTCGACGCCAAGAGGGTTCATGACCGGAATTTGTTCAGGCTTATGGGAGCTGAATCGGTGGGCTTCGGGCACTTTGATTTTCGGTGAGGTGGGACGATATTCCAGAAGTCAGAAGCATGCCCTGCTTCTTGCGGAGAAAGATTCTTCTCGTTGGCCAGAACGATTATAAAGGAGCGGTTGAACGACCGGTCGGTATTTTACATGTGTGATCTGTCGCCCTCGCCGTATTCTCCCCAAGGGCGATAAGCACCTCCTTGTGTGTCCGGTATCTGCTGTGACATGAGCTGCGGTTGTGGCTGCTGCGTCTGCGTCCGTGCCTGTTGTTGTTGCTGATGTTGTTGTTGCTGCTGCTGCTGCTGCCATGCTATCGGTGTGGAAGACTGAACACTGCCGCCCATTATTGCAGGGTCAATGGCATGCTCTATGCCCTCGTCCGTTCCACCAACAGGCACACCTCCGTAGATTGGCGTGAATTGTTGCGATTGTCTGTCATAGATTTGATTTTGGTGCGGCACTGGATAGTAATGCGGCGTGCCTTGACTTCCCAGCATCTCACCGCTGAACGACATGGATCGGGGAGGCGGCGGCATGCTGTTACTGTTCCATGTTATATCGCTTCCAGTGGCATAATTCGAGTTTGTCCAGGTGGTTGAGGAGGCCGACGGATTCGCATACGGTGACAGCGGTCCACCCACGGGAATCGGGACCTCGGTGGGAAATGGTCGCCAAATCGCATTCGGGTCGCGAGGCTTCGCCATGGTGTCGCTGTTTGTGTCCGTAGTCATCCATCCCGTTGAAGGCGACTCCCCTATACCATACGATGGCCCAGGTGGTACGTTATTGGACGATACTGTGTCAGTAGCAGTTAGCATGGACAAGTTCAAAGGAGCAGACTCAATAGAGATATCTTCGAATACAAACCTTCCATGTCTGGCGGAAAAAACTCTCCCTGGGGTGTCTGTATCGCCGGATTGCCCATGCTGGGCACCGACGCGACAGGCATGGAAGGATAATGATGACGCTGCAGTCCTTGATCGACGGAGCTGCCACGGGATATAGCAGGCGACGAAGATGCCGTCACAGTGCTGGAGCTCCCAGGCGTTTGAGGCGGCTGTTTCTGATCGTACGGCTGTTGCTGGTCCACCGGATGGAAGCTACACTCCTTCTTGAGTCGTATGCAGTTGACACATCGATTTTGGTCCTCGGTAGATATGATGCAGCGTATCTTGCGTCGACGGCAATGGCCTGGCCACACGTTAGCAGCTGACCAGGGGCCGGCAGCACCGGGCCTGAACCTCTCTCAGGCAGACGGGAGGGGGAAGGGGGGGTGATTGGGAGGAAGAGGCAGGACTCACCACAGGCGATGGATGTTCTATGGTAACCCAGCTTGTTCCTCTTCTTCTCGCCCATCTGTGGCGCCAGGGACTGGGATTCCAGGAACGACGATGGGGTCGCACCACCCACCGTGGGCGTCGAGAAGGATCGTTTCAAGTAGTGGGGGGGATTTCCTCGCATGCTGGCCGCCATTGCAGAATCTTGTATCCCCCTCAGGCTCCCAGAGGGAGATTTGGGAGGTGGCATCGCAGACTGTCCGTGGTGCATCTACTCCTGTTGTGACGGGAGCCGGCATACAACATTTGATGAGGCAGTGGCGGCGTCGACAGCTGGTGAAACGGGGTCACGGGGATCTTAGATGAGGACGAGATCGTAAAGGCCTTTGTGGGTTCGAATGAGCAGGGAGGAAGCGACAGGGCGGCCGCAGCCATGAACAGCAAGGACGGGTAGAGCTGTGCTGGTGGCGTTGGGAGGTGCCAATACTCTCGACCGGTGAAGCTGCAGAGCCAGGAGTGAATCACGCTCGAGCCTCAGGTGGCAAAAGGATAGCTGACCTAAGACAGCTGGATGTGAATGGGAGCCAAAGGAGATCCCATGCCAGCTCTTGGTCAGGCCCGATCTGGCAATCTATGAAATCTCCTGGACCTTCTGGTGCCGGACACGGGGAGATCGAGATGGGGCGGCTCTGGCGACGACCAGATGATGGGGAGGTTGATGAAAAGAACACAGAGCGGGAAGACGACTTGATGAGCCAGGTTGCCTCGAGTAGCGGCTTTGTGACACCCTACCTGTGCAATGTCTAATGCACACTCGCCCCGGTAACCATGCTATGGGGTCTGCCATAGGGCTATTATGCCTGTCGATGGCTATGGATGCCTGCCACACTGGCTGGAGCAGAGGCAAGGGTATGCAAGGCCCGACCACCCAGCCCTTTTTTCGGGTGTGGGGAGTGATGGAGCTGCTTAACAGGAGGAGCCGTACGGGTACGGAGTACGGAGTCGCTCGACACCCCTCCCCGTCGACACCACTCTTGCTCGAGCTGCGAGGACCAGCAGGCGTACAACTTTGTACATGTGAGTACGAGTATGGGGTCCACTCGATGAGAACCAAACGGCTCGATCCTCGCTGGCCTCGGCCAGAAAGGGCTGTGTGGCATGTGCCAAGCGGCGAAGCCATTGTCAAAGGCGGATGCTTGGCTGACAGGTCAGCGACGCGGCTCTGGTGAATAATGCAAAGTAACGGAGCCTGATGAGAGAAGAGCAAGGAAAGGAGACGAAGGGAAGAGATATTACTAGTTGTACGCAGTTACCTGGTTCTGGTTGTTCAAACCGTCGTCATCTTACTACAACCGATGTGGAGACAGTTGCTCCCACATGAAATATCGTCCTTTGCCATTGCGCATCGTGCCAGGATTTGTCACCCTCAGCGGCATCGGCATAATGACAAAAAGAATGGGGTTAATAAAGGGACAATGCCTGGCAGCATCTGTTGCGTTCTAACCAGGCGGGAACTCCCAGATCCGGGTAGTATGCGTACCCTGCTTCTACTTTTCTTCTTCCCCGTTGAGTGTGTGGTGACGAGGCAAAGAGCCAGCGGTCGTCCCGGAGGGTGGCACACAGATTGGCCTTTTGGGCGTGTATATAACGAGTACCGGCGGACTCGGCTCGAAATTTGGGGGAAGGGCGTCTGAACGAGCACTCCGTTGGCAGACAAGTATAGCTGTGTATGGGCGTGTACTCGGTGATATTATCTGCTTACCACCAGCCCATGGCAACCTCATCGCGATCCGTCCACGAAACTGGTGCGAATGTCTTTCCTGACTCCCATAGGGTTTGCCGCTAAAAGCCTGTCTTGTCATTTTTAACACGACCTCGAGGAAGTTTGATTTGCGGGAGGCTTCATCTCCGACAACCAATAGCGTGGCCCCAAAGCCAGCGGTCGGAAAAAGCAAAAAGAAGGCTTCGAGAACCGACAGCCAGGGCCAGGTGAGACTTGTTCCAAGCTAGTCAATGGCTCACCTCTCCCACATCTTCGTATAGCCGTGTCTCGGCATATAGGGCAACGTACGGAGCAGGAAGCCAATAGCCTAGCGAAGTAGTACGAGTACAGCACACACGAGCAGTGGTAGCGGTAGCTTTCCTACCACTACATACGTCGTAGTACGACAGTACGAGTAGCAGGATGATGGGAACACTGGCAAGGGTGAGGCTAGTGAGCGAATGATTAGTTGCACTAAAGCTAGAAAAGCAGAGAGGCGGCGCTGTGCTGTTACCATGGACAAGGGCAGAATGGAAGAAAAAAAGGAAACAAAGAGAGAAAAGGGTAACACACCTTGTCCGACGCAAGGGAGGCGAGCAAGAAAGGGCTGGGCTGGGGAGTGGTGGCCCTGCCACAAAACGAGGGATCCCCTGTCGAGGCATCTGCCGGCCCCAATACTTTCAGCTCAACCACTTGGATGTATCGTTCTGCAGGGCTGGGGAGAAAAAAATTGCGGCACGGGCTCCTCCGCTCCCATTCCGCTTCGATGGAATGCGCCGGCATATGCACGCAGTACTACTTTGTGCAGTTCACATGTACATGCACATGCGTGCTGCTGTGGTGTTACTACCTACCTGGAGTGGCAATGGTCTTGTATCTTAGCTCTCTCAGCGTACGGAGTTAGACGGCGCGGCGATAGACAGTCCAGCTTGAAGTACGCGACAAGCAATTGATTGCCTTTGCGCGCGTACGAGTACAAAGCACTGTACGTCGTACAGGAGAGTCGTATCAGGGAGTCGTGCAGGTTAGACGACGCATGTCAATTGTCCGAATGGAGCGTCGTTTAGGCCGAGGACTCGATCCCACTTGCTGGTCTCGGAGAAGCATCGAAGTGCGCACAATCCCCACGTTCCCGCCTTAGGGAGGCGGCCAGGGCTAAAGAGGCCAATGTCAGTCAGGTCCGTTCCATGAGATCAGTCTCCGGCCGTCGTCAACCGATCCCGAGACAGCACGACTAAGCCACTGCGGTAAGCATTTGGCACCTTGACGCCTCCCAGAACAAGTAAGCAGACGGCGTGACTTGCGTAAATGCATACCACACTGAGCCATGCATAACGAGGTATCATTCTGACGAATTCTTCAGGTTAGGCATGAGATGCCCGAGCAGAATGCAAACCTCGCGCCCGTTGTTAGCAAACGTTTGTAGTATGTTCTAGTACTTCCCGTCCTCGTCTCTGTCTCTTTGCGAGGCCCCCTGGCCACTTCCAAAGATCAAGCTCACCTTGAAGCGGTCAATTTGCAAAGCCGAAGTGCGTGCCCAAGGTGCCGCAGCGTGAGCCGATATCACTCGCCTCCCTTCTCCGCATACCAGCGCGAGACAATGGCAGTCTTCCCATGATTAACTCGTACGGCGCGGTGTTGGGTATCCGTAAATCAACGGTTCTGTGCCTGATCCACGCTTGTGGGCGAAGCCAACGATCCAGTCCAGTCTTGTTCAGGCCGACAACGTTTCATCTGGGCGCCTCTCCACCCATCTCCACCCGAAGCAACTCTGCTCTCTGCAATCTAAAGTTAGCGGGTGGGCTTATACAGCAGCTCGCAAGCAGGGCAGTTTGCGGCGACTCCCACCGGTCAGTGTCTGCGTCATAAGCGATCCCGGCTGGCTAGGTTAGCGCTGGAAGAAACTGTCTTGGCTGAGATTCGAATCGAGGCCGGTATTGTTAGCGCTGTATCAACTAACGGCGAGGAAGGGTAGGGTCAAAGGACATGACAGGTACGGAGCAAGGCCCGGACCAATGATCGGCTCCTGGTGTCTTGAGGTTCGTTCAGCACATCGTCTTGGGGCCGAGTACGAAGCAGTCGGGCCAGCTCTGCTTCTCGGAGAGCGAGGTACATGTTCCATCTCGAGCATCGAAGCGCGGCGTAGGTCCGAAGGATTCTGGATGTGGTTCTTGGGGTGGAGACGCCCGCACACTTCCGCCTTTCCCTGTGGCATAATCCGCGTGATAAGGCTTAGACCTGGTGGCGTGGCCGCGGAACGGTGAGTTGAAAGGTAGCTGATGAATAAATGCTATTAGTTGGCCAATCCGACCCTGAACTCAGAAGTCCCTCTCCATTGGACTGCGTCGGATCTGCTCACACGTTGGATACACATTTCGTACGGAGTACCTTTGAGCGAGTGAGAAAAAGATACACGCCATGGCGATTGCTCCTCATACGGTTCGAGTGAGCATAGTAGGTATTATTTGACTGTCCACCATCTTCTCTGCCGGGTTCTGTTGCAATCGATGCTGATTCCGTACGCACACTCTGCTTCGTACAAGTATCGTATGCGCGGGTGCATGTTGCGCGAGTGGATCGCAGAGGCGGGAGCCTTAGCACGGCATTCCGGTCTCCGTACTCCGTAATGGCCCCTCGGCAGCTCCCTTGCACATTGTGCCATCCAGGCCCGGTCCCTGTCCAGGCGCTGCGCTTGTTCTAACGCCCTTTTGCCAACTAGTGGCAGAACTTGGACAAGTAGTTGGTTGCTGATAGTAATGTTCTTCGCAAGCGAAAAGTGTGACCGACCACGGCCGGCTCTGTGATGATGCCTTGTCACAAAAGCAAATTTGTTAGACATGCTCCTCGCTAGTGGAAGACGCTGACGCTGCTCCAGGTCGTGACAGTCGTAGCAGGTGATCTTGAAGACAGACAAGGCCCGTAGCAAGTCATGAACATCGGCACTGTGAATCCCAGCTCGGCGAATGGATATCCGGCTGCCACCGAAGTTGCTGTGAGCAAGTTGATGTTGGGTATCTAATAGGGAGATAAATTGTTAATAGGTTGGCCGTATGTATATCGAAGCAACAAATAAGGCGGCGAGCCAAAGTGAAGACTGATCTCACGGCCATCAGTTTGCCAGTCTGATCCGCAAAGCACAACCAGGTATGTGCTGGAAGTAGGAATTTTTTGCCCCTCTGCATTGCGCAATGGCCACGCCAGACAGCCGATCGCGATCGACCTGGCGACTAACTGTCCGTGCAGTTCTGCAGCGAGGAAAAGGCAGCTCCCGACCGTGGACCAAACGGCAAGGCTGATGATGGGAGGACAAAAATTCCCCATTAGCGCGTCGGCCGAAGTGACCCTGCCAACGTCTGATCAATTCAACCGGCGTTAATTGCCTTTGTTGGTGGGCCTGGGTGAAGGTTTTTGGCCTTGGCGAGCACGGATCAGAAGCCGACTCCCCCGTTAGGCCATGCTGGGACGACTCGATATAGTAGGACATACCTGTATCTGATGGTGGTTGGCAGGCGTCGATGCAGATGCTCTGTATGGTTGGTTCGCGGTTGGTGCCCAAGATGCAACGCAAGATGTGCGCCACGCATCTGCGCATCTCAGCTGCTCCAGGTTCTTGCGCCCCGTGCGACATCGGGGAAGCGCATCTCTGTGGGATCTGATAAGGTAGAGGTCTAGGTCGAGCGCAGCATGCTGCAAGGGGCAGATTCCAGCGGGTGAAGTCGTGGCTCTGCATCTCATCGTGGGAGTCGCCATGCCATACCGGCGCCAGACATCTTGGCGAGTAGCTGCATTGATCCGACTTGGCTCAGCTGCTGGGCACTTTGCCGTCCAATAAAGGGATTTCCAGAGTGAAGTGCAAGGACAGAGAGCAGCTGGTCAGGCTGGTGTTTGGTTGGGAAGAATTGGAGAAGCACAAGACCAGCTTCTTCTGGACGGCAAGGGTTTGTACCTCGTTTCTGGGTGAGATACCTAAGATACCTGAGAACAAGCCTCAATTGAAGTTACCACCTGGGCAAGAACGAGAGGGCAAGGTGCCCTACCTACCTTATCCAGGCAAGAGATACCTAAGTAGGTCCTCGGGACATGTGCCAAGGGCCAGGGCGGCACTTTCCAAGATTCCCCAGCAGGTCCTTGTGATCGCGCACCTTCCACGGCTCTCTTTAGGTACGGAGGCAACTGCACGAATAGAGATGCCATCATGACAGTATGTACTTGACCAGCCTACCTTACCTTGCCTTGCTTTAATATCTGATGGCGACTATCTACAGTACTGTACACACTTGCAATTGTGCTAGTAACGAAGTCCCGTTCAAACCCGTTCTCCATACTACTACTAGTACTACTGACGGCTAGGGGAGATGGTCCATCTCACATCCGGCAGCACTGGCGCAAATCTTGGATTTCCGTACCTTGACTAAAGAAAAACCGCTCAAGCACCGGCATGTGGCAGTTGCTCCCGAAAAGGCCCCGCAAGCCTCCCAAGTGAAGACAGCTCGGATCAAACGCACCAAAGCTGCTAAACGCTTGCAAGAGAACAGCGCTGTAGTACTTCCATTTGTAATGGAGACGGTCAGTACCTGGCCGAAGGATTGCAAAGTTGACCTCCTGCGCCTGTCATGGAAATTGCCAGATAGATAGGTGCCTTACCGCGGATCTACCTTAGGCCGTGATGCAGAACGGCTGATTTGAAACCAGCCGGGCTGATCAGCCTTCATAAATGAACCGCTATACTCTTTTTAGTATGGTAAATTGCATAATTCGAGTTCCTGGTTTACAAACCAGCCGCGACCCCTGTTTGCAATGTACCATACTAGCAGGGGCCGCGTAATTGCCTATAGTAGGAAAGGTTGCTAGCCAGCACAGCCAATTCTGCCCGTATTGACTGGTTTGAAAAACCGCCGTCAAATCGTGCTATTTCAAATCAGCCGCAAGACACCCTACTGGCTAGTTTTACTATAAAAAATCTAAATAATTATATAAAAATTTAAAATTAAGATATATATATCTCCTATAATAGATCTAGCTACTGTAAAGATTTCTAAGTAATGCATTAAGAAATAAGCCTAAAATTAATAAAAATAGTAAAAAAGTCAGGTTTTATAGGGTATGCAAGGGTTGCCCTCTACTCTAGTCTGCAGTACATCGGTCAGACCCACTTTTCTGACCCACTGGCAAAAGTCACTGGCTGGCTGATCAGCCTGGCTGATCAGCCGTTCTGCATCACGGCCTTACCTCTAGATACCTAAGGTAGTAGTACCCAAGGTACCTTACCGAGGTCGTCTATTAGCGTCTATCGTACTCGTACTTTTGCAGCAGCTCCCGCATCGGAACCGCAGCGACTCCGCAGCTCTTCATGGGCAGCCGCTTCCCCTGCTGCTCACTGGACGATTGCGGCTTAGACGCTTCGATCCACCAATCTAGGAGAAACTGGTTGGCTCCTCTTCACAAACAATGAAAAAAAAAATCCTTGATTTGTGCTTCGCCTACGGAACACCGTGCTATATCTCGCCTGGTAGAAGCTCGCTTGCAGCTGCCATTGACTGGATCACATCACACAGGTTTGAAGTGCAATCTGGAACGACTGGAGTACTACCCAACAGGTACATCAGGACTATCAGCAGTAGGGACTTTGCTGAACTCGCCGAGTTGCTGCTCGGGATATTGACATGTGCTCGACAAGCGCTACGCGTTTGTGTATCTACCTACCTTACCTTAGTACTAGGTATTCGTCTTCTCCTATCCACTCCCTTGCCTGGCGTCCTTTAACTGTTGTTGGTTAGATTCCACGCCCGCACTTCTCCTCTTCAGGTCCCATAGCATCCTTGCTCTCATCTAGTCGAGACGATCAGGTTTAACCACCTGTTGATCGGAGCAGCGCCTTTTGCGTGTCTGGGCCTCGGATAGGCAACAGACATGACACTGGCCTCGAGGGGCTGTGTATCTCTGGTCAATGGCCCTTTTGATTATCAGTGTCGTCAGAAAAGGCATCTCTCTGGCCTTGACGACGCAGGAAAACTCGTGTTCTCAAAGCCTTTGAAAATCACTCTACCAAGTGGAACACGGGCGTGCGAGTGTGCGAATTCTCTTGCAGCAACTCAGCCCCTACTTACTAATTGTGCCATCCCATGCTTGCCATATCACCAAGATGGCAAATCACCGTCCACCAAATGCAGCTAACAGCTAGGTTAAAATGAGATTTGACAGGATTTCAAGTCCGAATCACGAATAAGTACCTCGCAGATACTTGCCACCTCATCTCGAGAATCTGCTCTGCAAGATTCGATTGTCCATGTCCAACAGCCGCCCCCCGTAAAAACGGCGAGTTCCCGTTCGGCTCGGGCCTCTCCGTGTAAGCACCTAGACCACGATTTAAGACGGGATCACGATGCTGTGTTATTGAACGGTCGACAGTGATAGGTAGTGCCAACGTTATGACTTATTCAAAGACGATCCTGTACATCGGTCTGCCGACTAGTCGCCCTGCTGCATGCTGACCAGGTTTTTTCAATAGGTTGACACCCATTGAGCTCGTCGATGACCTGCAGGGAGAGCGGCACAATGCCTGAAAGTGTCTTACTGCGCTGCACACTTGCGAACATAGAGCTCCGTGCCTTGGAAATTCAGAGTTGTGCATGTGGTTGTGTTGACGCCTTCTATTCTTAGGACCGGCTGAAACAGCCGCCCAAAGGGATGTTGTTTGACTGCCAACTTTTTGCGTTGTCACTCCATGGACAACATTCCCTAACTCTTCGATACACCACCGGACGAAAATATCCGGTCCACTCATCTCTGTTCTGGCTCTTATTGCAAACCTTCGTGATTGCTTCACAGCTCAAGAGAGCAGTGATCATCTGCTGAAGGTCCGAAATTGCGTCCAAGCTCATCGAGAGGTGCTGTCAACGAGCTGAATCAGGGGTTTGGCACATGTCTCCTGCATGCGTGTCTCTCCCTAATGTGACGAATCCTTACCAGCCAGGCAATAGTTGCAAGAACTATTGGAAGACATCGGCTACGTGTACCAACATTAGCCGACACCACGATATGAGATCTTGGTTCCGTGTGGCTGGGTCCATAACCATGACCATGTCCTGGGAACATGCGGTGTGTAACCCGAGCTGATGCATGTCTCAAAGAAACGGAGTACGAGTGGTGCGGTTATATGAGATGTCAGGGCCGTGATTCCAGTGAAAGGGCCCTCTGCGGAGCTTGGGCAGCACAACTACTGCAACTTCTGAGACACGTTTCGACTCACTGAATCTATTACCGCCAGAGCGTATGATGGAGGATATACTGAGCATATGCTTCGCTACACGGTGCTTGGATGATGCTCACCACTTGTGTCTGAATACTGACACACAGCTGATGCGACTGGAATGAACCATTGTCCTTGTGACCTGAGCAATGGGTGTCAGTGATGCCACACATCCACCAGGCGATATTTGTGGCCCAACCCAAAGCCAATCAGCCGTGCCACCTCGCTGCCCAGATGAGCTGTCTTTTTTCCACTCCTCCCTGCAGGCTTACTCCAAGTATTGACTTTTGAACTCAGCTGCGTATCCCTTTGTAAAATCCTTTGCTCTTCCGGAATACCGAGGGAGCGTCCGAGCGGGTGTATGGACCGCTTGGGCCGAACCCTACCCCAAAGGCCACTCCTATGCAATGCGCTGCGGCCAAGTGATCGACCGAGAGTTGATGCCCTGCTTGGCTTCGGTACTTCTCTGGCTAGCCATGAGTTGAGTGACACGAAAGATACTAGAAGATTCTTTGTGAGATTATAACTAAGATATTACGCGCCATCATGATTATGGGTTGTGTGGCATCACCATCAGACAGGACTGTGTAAGCACATTCTTAGGGCTTCCTTTATTGTATAATCCATCACCATGAAGTGCATAGTGGGTTAAGAGAACATCATGGACTTGCAGATTGGGGGTGGCTGTGTAGCATCACTTGGTTCTGTCAGCTTTTAAGCTCTATCAAGAAGGGTATCACGAGGAGAGATGACATCACGACACGCATTTCTCGCTTCTTCTTCGATTATGAAGAGAGTTTGGAAGCCTCCGGAAGAATACGCTTATATACGACTACTTGAGAGTCTTCTATGTGCCCGAGATGCAGTACGAGACTCTTATGCCAGTCTTTTCAGCGACTGCACACTTCACCTCTTAATGTTTCGTCCTTGGTAACACGATCCAGGGTCACGAACATACGAGCGATCCAGTATTCTCTGAGGCTTTTACTGACAGAACTTCAGGTCCATCTGGGCCAGATACTAAATTATCGTGGTTTTCTTGAGCTTCTTATCAGAACACATTCTCCAACATGTAGCTGAGAGTGAGTGGCAATTTACAGGACTCACACTGTAAGACAGCCGGTATTCTGCCAATAAGACACAGTGCAGCTACACATTGACCCACACGAGCATTTGATTGACCAACCAATGCATGGCGCTCTCTTCACTGACGTTGTTTCGTAACCATTGAGCTACATTCTTCGTACACACAAATCCTACGGCCCAAAGTGCAGCAGGCTGATATTCTCACACGGCGGCATCTCTCGCTGCTGTCGAGACAATAGTTGACGATTGACGCAGACATTCGTGACACAGGATCCAGCAGTTTGATAGTGGTTCAACGTCATCAATCGCCTCTCCACGGACCTTCCAGAAACCCCCGCATTCATTCTGCGAATGGCCGGACCTTGATCAGCACACTCCTCCACCTGCTTATCGTCGGCAGTTGTGCTCCAGGCAACGGCACCATCATGAGCGACCTGCAGCGAGCTTGGGCAAAGTCAAAGCTCGGGCTGCCCCCCGAGCCCTTTGATCAGCTGGACGAGGCTGAGGAGGACCAGGTGCCGGAGCTGCCCGAGGGGCTGGACGACGATTCCTCCTCGGCGTCTTCGGTATCTTCGACGGGGACAATCATCCCGACGCCGAGCCAGAAGCTCTTTGCTCGCCCTCAAGGGTAACTACACCTGAGCTGGAACGACGAGACTATGTATGCTTGCTTTGAATCCATGGGCTGTCGGGCTGACGGGTACGCAGCGTAGCGAGGGGCCGGACGCTGGAGCAGATTCCCTGGACAACCTACTTTGAACGAGAGCTGTTTCTCAAGTCGGAGACCAATCCGGACGTGACTTATCACGTCTATCTCAGCTCGCCGTCAGATAAAGGTCCTCTGTATGTTATGCACCATGGAGCTGGTTCCTCGGGGCTGTCCTTTGCACTGGTGGGGGCTGAGATACGGAAACGACTGCCCAATGCCGGCATACTGGCAGTCGACTGCAGGGGTCACGGCTCTACCACTGCTCCTGACGGCGCAGCTCTGGATCTGCGGCTGGATACCCTGTCGTCGGATCTGTTTGCCATGGTTGAGGGCACGAAAAAGCAAATGGGCTGGAAGGAACTGCCGCCGATAGTGCTTGTGGGCCACTCTCTAGGCGGCGCCGTCGTGACGGACCTGGCCATGTCTGGGAAGCTGGGCACGGCTCTCCTGGCATATGCCGTCTTGGATGTCGTTGAGGGCTCCGCAATGGATGCCCTCCAGAGCATGCAGACTTACTTGTCGACGCGGCCAGGAGGATTCGCAACTGTCGAGTCGGGCATCGACTGGCATATCAGGACCCGGACTGTCAGGAATGCCGTCTCCGCGAGAGCATCGGTGCCGGCGCTGTTAGTCTGGGACGAGAGCAAGGACGCATCCCGCCCGTGGAGGTGGAGGACGAACCTCGCGGCCACGCAGCCGTTCTGGGAAGACTGGTTTGTGGGCTTGAGCAAGAAGTTCTTGGGCGCTCGTGGTGGGAAACTGCTGCTGCTTGCTGGTACAGATCGACTGGACACAGAGTTGACCATTGGCCAGATGCAAGGTAAGCCTGTGTGTGTGTGTCTGTAGCTGCTGGGGACGCACTGACATGATATCGTACAGGTAAATATGCTTTGCAGGTATTCCCTGATGCTGGGCACTTTATTCATGAGGATAAGCCTGAGCAAACTTCCGTCGCTCTTGTGGACTTTTACCGGCGCAACGACCGCAGCGCGTTGGTGCTGCCACCCAAGGTCTCTGAGCTTCTGAGACAGGGCAAAAAGGTGTGATGGATTCTTGAACAGGGCTGGACACGTATGAGTGCCTAGTAGTGGGTGGACATATGGCTTTCAGGCGTTTTGAAAGGAACTAGCATTTGCGTACTTAAGAATGATGCTCACGCTCCCATTCGCGGCCCCCTTTTATAGAATGTTTAACGACATATCAGGGCATTGACCGAAAGGTGTCACCCGCGGGGTCATATAAGTTGAAGATGAAGGCTTATATAGATGATACGTTTCAGAGCCATCGTTGAGATCGGCATCAGACCGACGACAGATGCAATGCGGGGATGGCTGCCATCTACCACAACTGACAGACACATCGGATGCACGAGGAGTCGTTGAATGGACGGTGATGGTCTGAAACGCATCGTATTATTGAAGCCGCGAGATGTTAGACTCAAATGCTCCGTGTACAGAGTGGCTCGTCTTACTCTTTGCAGTTACCATGCAGATTACTCGTATTTAGATTCAGATCGAGACGGAAGATTCTTGGGAAGCACTCGACGAGATCCTGAGTCCATCTGGTCGCTTTGCGGTGTGCCGAGATTGCACATACCATCACCAACTGCTCCCCCAAGCACTGCATCACCACAAGCTCATGCCATCTTGTCTAATCACTGCAGCTGTACACTATGCACAGCACAGCACAATTCAAGACAACTTCAAATGACGTCTGTGACGTTGTTGATGCCACCCTGGACGTCTCCAGGCCGGCAAATTATACGAGTACGAACCAGAATAAGAAAGTCATGAGATGTCGGGAGGTCCAAAGAGTCCATGTCCGCCGCGATTGGCCGCAGCCCCTGGAAATCCCCAGCCTGAACCCTTTCAACCCCCCCGCTGTGGCTTCAGCACCATTGACCGCCCTAGAGAGCGCTGAGCGAATGGGCTGTCCAGCCCTCTAACTAATGGCGCCAGGCCCCCCTTCTTTCCCCAGGCCCGCCAAATCGGGAGCGCGGAACGTCGCTAGCGGACCAAACAGGGAGCTCTCAATCTGGGGCTAGTAGCTACTGGGTAGTGCCTACCTACCTGGTTGGCTGGGCTGTTGGGTGCAGGAGCAAGTGAAGCCATTCATTCCTGCTGCTTGTGTGTGTGTGTGTGTGTGGCCTTCCCTTGGCTTCTTCTTTCTTTTTCTTCCTCCCCCTGCATTTGGTGGTGACGCTCAGCTTCTTACACTCTTCAAGATCCAGACTCTACAGCTTGCCTTATCGTTGTCTATATTGGAATCAAAGCGTTACGCGTTACCCGATAGTATCTTCTCTCTCAGCCGCCCAAGATGAAGGCCTCCGTCCTCTCGCTCGTCTTCCTGTCCGGCCTCGCCGCCGCCCAGATCCCGGACTGTGCTGTAAGTAACAAGAAAAACAATGGTGCCAATCATTTCAGCATCTTGACAAGACGGATCAATTGCTCTTGATCATATGCTTCTCATGGGCAACGTCACCAGATTGACTGTCGACTAACGCGGCAACAGACCGGCTGCGTCACCAAATACACCACCGGCACGTCCATCGCCGGCTGCGGACAGCTCGACATTGCCTGCATCTGCAAGAACGCCGACTTCCTCAACGGCATCGCTTGCTGCCTGACCTCGGCGTGCGACAAGGACGGCCAGGCCGCGGCCGTTAAGTACGCCAAGCAGATCTGCTCCTCCGCCGGCGTCTCGACTCCCGACAACGTGGTCTGCAACGAGAACTCGTCGAGCGCGACCGAGTCTGCCACTGCCACCAACGACGACTCGTCCTCGACCGCCACGACCGGCGCTTCTTCTGAGTCTAGCACTGCTGAGTCGTCGGAGACGGCTACCGCAGACAGCTCTTCTTCTGCCCCTGCCACGACAAACTCGGCTTCCCGAACCACCGGCTCTTCCGCGACTGGGACTTCGCAGACGGCTGCTTCGGCTTCGCAGACGAGCACCAACGTCGCCGCCCCGCTGGCTTCTGCCGGCAGCTTGGTGGGTGCCGCCATTGCTGTGCTGGCCGCTGCCCTGTAAGCTACCTATCGAGGATCGACTGTCGTGGGCTCTTGGTGCTGTTTCCCATAGCATGTGTTTGCTTTAAGTGGGGGAATGCAGATGTAACAACGATACGGGCTGCACGCGGCGGATTGTTTGATTAAGCGAGAGGTGCTTTGCCTGCTACACCAGCTGTGGATTGCTGAGATACCATACCATAATACCGAGTGCTACTACTAATTTAATTCTTTGTCTGCGTTTGAATGCCCTTCCATGTCAGTAAGCAATAACCATACGGTCTGCTGCGATGGACGTACGTGGCATGCAATATTCAGACATTGTTGCATGTCATTACGTGTGGGAGTAGAAGTGACATTATGGGAATCCACCGTCAGTGACTTGAGGCCATGTCTTCGGTTAACTTATAGCAGCGAGGGGTTCTTCATCTCTAAAAGCTATTTATCCAGATACATACGTTTGTCGTATCCGCATCTAGCACGCTCTATGAGGTAGTTTCTTCATCATCAGCATGGTCACCTCCCTCAGGCTTTAGAGTTGGCTTCAGCTTCCGTTGCTCAACTCTCATTGTAGGCCACTCAGGTAGGTCTACCAGTGCACGAAGAAGCCCTCCTACCTAGTACACACCGTACGATACCAGGTCCATCAGTGCGTGAATAAGCCCCTGTACTTCTTCCACTGCAATAATCAGTCAGTCCATGTTATCTTTGACTCAGTGACTTGAAGACTCACGTGTGTTGTAATGCACCATGCTCACTCTGACAACCCCGTCCTTGCCCAAGCCCAACGTCTGTCTCACAAGTCGATCTGAGTAAAAGGTTCCCCAGCGGAACGCATAATTCGTCCTTTTTTCCACAAACTCCACGGCAGCCTGTGCGTCATATCCATCGACCGAGAAGCTGATGGTTGCTACTCGAAGGGATGTCTCCTCCTTGGGTTCGCCATAGATGGTAAAGTCACCTGCGCACGTCCTGAGGTACCTTAGGAGTCTCTGCTGAAGAAGACCTTCATGCGAAATAATATCGGGCCACTTCAGATCTAGGTACTTGACTACCTTTGGGATGGACTGCACCAGCTCATACGCTCCGCCAGCAAGGCCGAGCTTGTCCTCCAGCGAGGCAGAAGGGTTGAAGAAGTGGCCCAGCGTTCTCAGCTGAGTCTGCGCGCTCCAGCTGCCGTATAGCATGGAGACATGCGGCCCGTAGACCTTGTACCACGAGAAGCAGTAAAAGTCGACGCCAAACGCCTTGACGTCGATGCGCCGATGGGGAGCGTAGGCCACGCCGTCAACGCACAGGAGGGCCCCGACGCTGTGAGCTACATCTGCTATGGCTCGCACGTCGGTGATTGTGCCCAGGATATTGCTCGTATGCGTACAAGTGACCAGTTTCGTCTTCTCGTCAATGAGAGGAGTCAAGGTTTCGACTGTGAGTTTGGGGTTCGGGCCGGAGGTTGGCTTCCACCACTTGAGGACGAGGTTCTGGCGCTCTGCCAGATCGACCCACGGAGCGATGTTGGCCTCGTGATCTATGCGAGATACAACGATTTCGTCGCCGGGTCTGAACTTGAGGGCATATGACAGATTGCGGAGGAGCTGCGTGGTCGACGGGCCAAAGACAATCTCGTCCGGGTCGGCGTTGATGTACTTGGCAGCCGCCTGGTACCCGGCCCTGTACGCGGACGTCGATTTCTGGCCGACGTCATACGAGGCACCGAGCTGTACGTTGGTCGAGCTGAGGTAGTCCTTGATGGAGTCGATGACGGTGCCGAGGGTTTGGCTGCCGCCGGCGTTGTCGAAGAAGACTTGGTCTTGCTGGAGGGCGGGGAACTTGTCCCGGACTTCTTTCTGGTGGTCTTCAAAGGACATGGCTGGGCTTGGACGGTGATGATGCTGGATTAACAGGCAGGTCTTTGTTTCACAGGCTACCAATGGAGTCACTCATCTGTTCAGTTGATCTTGAATGCTGAGGTGAGGGGAGGTTACATTGGGTATTCCGTCTCAACGTGGTGTTGTATGAAAGCCGTGTTATCCCCTGACCCCGCCGAGAGATGCCCAGCCAAGTTCAGTCGGCATTATTCTGCAAGCCGATGCAAGATGAGGGGCAGTCACGCGAATGAAGGAGAGTAGAAGTTGGATGGATCGTGACCCAGGTATTGTTGTGTCTACTCTGATACTTTACAGTCGATTCTCGGAGACATCGAGGGCTGGTTCGCACGGGGATGGGAATCCTGTTGCGTTGCAGGGTAAGTATGCTAGCTGAGCGAGGGAGAATACAGGCGCTTTGCTTAGGAAGCTGTAACGAATAGGAGCAATTTCTGGTCTTAGGGAGTTGAAGTATTCTTCATGATATCAGAAGCCATCGACTATCGCATAGAGAGCACAATCATGTATGTGATCATCTTAAAATTCAGACCAGAATTGTACTCTGAGAAAGCAGGTAACGAACTGAGAAGAGCCATGGAATGGGGCTTACAGGTGAAAGGGGGGCCTGATGCCATCGATAAACTCGAGTCTTGATGAATTGGCAACATACAAAACGATAGAATGCCATTGAAGCATCGAACAGAGGCCTGGTGCTTGTCATTTACCAGCGGTTGGTAATGGAATTTGACCCTCATGACGCAGGTGAATGCCCGAATACGCCGACTTTACCTTGCTTTCCCAAATAGGAAATTTACAGCATAGCTCCAGCGGTGGGGAAGCAGGTGGTGTCAATCAGTTGATTGTTGGAGCGGCAGAAAAAAAAAGTTGGAGATTGATGCGCGCCCAGCAATCGGCTGATCTCGCAACTCGCCTCATACCATTTCCCACCTCTTTTCCGAAAATTTTGTTATTTTTTTTTTCCCAACTTCTCCTTCGCCAATTGACGCAGCCTCACCCAATTCCACAGAGTTTCAGCCGTCAAGATGAAGAGAAAGGCGGAGAGCTCCAGCAAAAAGGCCGGCAGCAAGAAGCCCAAGACCTGTACGTCCCTTTACAGCATTCTCCAGCCTCTTTGGATGTCTCTGGCCCTGCTTGGGTGCTAACCATCAGCAACGCTGCAGCCATCAGCCCAGAAGATGCAAAGAAGCGCTTCCGCAAGGGCCTCTTTGACGACTCCGTCCTCAGCTCATACACAAAGGAGTACGCAGAGTCGTCGCCGTACAAGCATGCCGTCATCCACGAGCTGGTCGACGACAAGCTGCTCCGGTCGGTTCGAGACGAGATCCGCGAAAACGTCCAGTTCACGCCCAAGGAGACGGACATTTACAAGATCCACCAGTCCGGCGACCTGGCCAACCTCGACGGCCTCGACGACGAGTCCCTCGCCAAGCTGCCCTCGGTGCTCGCCCTCCGCGATGCCATCTACTCCGAGACGTTCCGCAACTACGTCTCGGGCATCACGGGCTGCGGCCCGCTGAGCGGCAGGAAGACGGACATGGCCATCAACATCTACACCCCGGGCTGCTACCTGCTCTGCCACGACGACGTCATCGGCAGCAGGCGCGTCAGCTACATCCTCTACCTGACCGATCCCGACACGCCCTGGAAGCCCGAATGGGGCGGCGCATTGCGCCTGTTCCCGACGCAGGAGATCAAGAACAAGGACGGCGAGGTTGCCAAGACGCCGCTGCCAGACCCCGTCAAGGTCATCCCGCCCGCGTGGAACCAGCTGAGCTTCTTTGCCGTCCAGCCCGGTGAAAGCTTCCACGACGTCGAAGAGGTGTACCACGCCGAGACCAAGGCGCAGCTAGAAAAGGACGGCGGCCGTGTGCGCATGGCCATCAGCGGCTGGTTCCACATCCCGCAGCTGGGAGAGGACGGATATATCGAGGGCGAGGAGGAGAGGAACGCAAAGAACAGCGGCCTCATGCAGCTGCAGGGCAACCCTGCTCAGTACGATGCACCGCAGGCAAACCCCGTCAAGGTCGACAACGCAAATGGCAGCGAGCCCGAATTCGAAGAAGCGGATCTTGAGTTTCTGCTGCAGTACATTGCGCCGACATATCTTACGCCGGATACGCTGGAGCAGGTCTCGGAGCACTTTGAAGAAACCTCAAGCATCACGCTTTCAGACGTCTTATCCAAGAAGTTCTCAAGCAGACTGCGAGAGTACATCGAGGCGCAGGAGAAGGCGACCCTCCCTGAGAACAGCTCGGAGATTGAAAAGTCCACCTCGTGGAAGGTCTCAAAGCCACCCCACAAGCACAGGTTTCTCTACCAGCAGCCTTCTGCGTCAGGCGGTTCATCGTCGGACGACTCCCCCATCTCAGAGTTACTCAACAAGCTCTTCCCTAGCCGACAGTTCCGCCACTGGCTGCAGGTCGCGACAGGCTGCACCATCGAGAGCCACGATGTCCTGGCCCGGCGATTCCGTCGCGGGATGGACTACACCCTCGCCACCGGCCACGAGGGCAAGCCGCGTCTAGAGCTCAACCTGGGGCTCACTCCCACACCTGGCTGGGGAGACGTCAACGAGGACGACGAGGACGACGAAGTCGAAGCAGAAGAGGAAGAAGCACAGGCGAAGCCCAACGGCAACAAGAAGACGACGACGAAGAAGAAGAGTAAAGACAAAGGCAAGGGCAAAGCCAAAGCCGAAGAAGCAGACGACGAGCCCGTCGAAGTCGGCGGGCACGAGGTCTACATGGCTGGCGACGACGACGCGAACGAGGATGCCGCTGTGTACAAGTCTAGCGGGGATGACGACAACATCCTGTTCTTCCAGGCGGCGGCGTGGAACAAGATGACGCTTGTTTTGCGGGACAGCGGCGCGCTCAAGTTTGTCAAGTATGTGAGCAGGAAGGCGAATGGTGATCGGTGGGATATCTCTGGTGTCTTTGAGGTGGAAGAGCAGGAGGATGATGATGATGACGATGACGAGGAGGAGGGTGAAGAAGAGGAGGACGAAGAAATCGAAGGCGAAGAGGAAGAAGATGATGATGATGGGGATGACGACAAAGACTCTTTTCAGGGTTTCTCGGATTAGACAAAAGCGTGGGTAACACAATGCTGTAGAGAGTTGTATTTTTACATTTCATCTATTTGGCCTCGTAAAGAAAGAGGCAGGGTATCCAAAATAACGACCAAAATCTGCTCCTATGCGCCTTGTCCATGACCCAATAACCCAAACATGACTCAATAATCGTGAGAATGTTACAAAACAAGAAAACGACGCTACCAGGCCCCTCTCTGCCTCGGCATCAAGCTGGCGTCAACGTCTCGGCAAATATATCTGACAGCTCAGACCGCAAAATGTTCGTAATGCCCCGTGCCTCCTCGCTCCTCCCAGATTGCTGCAGGTGATTGACCGTGTCGTGGCCCAAAAAGGCGATCCACGGTATCGTGCCCATGCCCGTAAACTTGGCGAGGTTCACCTTCTCGGGGCCCAGCGCCTGCACCAGCTTGCGCAGCCTCTTCTTGTCGTTGAAGAATCGCATGGCGGGAGCGTGGTCGGGGTGCGTTGGGTGGTGCAGGTGCAGATGCGCGGTTTCGACCGGAAACGGTCGTGGGAGCCGTTGCGCCGTGGCCATGTGCGCTTCGAACAGCTTCTCCGTGGGCATCGCTCTGCTGTACGCCTCGACGGTGGAGAGCCAGGATACGGACCTCCACGGCTGGACCAGCAGCTTCGGAAGCAGAGGGCTGTGCTGGAAGAGCTGCTCTGCTTCGAGGATGGCCTGGATGGCGGCGTCGAGGTTCCCGTAGTGAGATTGGCTCTTGATGCGGACCAGCTGCGACAACAAAGACGACGCACGGGCGATGCGCTGCTCCTCGCTAATGTTTGCTGCCGGCTCGTTCATTGTCCGCGTGATCCATTCCCACGCTATCCCTTCCATCTTCTCGGCCACTAGGAACGGCGCCAGCGCCTGAACAAAGGCTGGCCTGTCCAGAAACTGAAGGCTGCTCTCCGCGCCAGACGACCGAAGCCACCGGACAACTCGCAGTGCCGTATCCGAGCCCGCGACAGGTGCGTGGCCCTCGCCCATCTGCTGCCCCTTGGCCACCAAGCAGCCCGTGGCCGCCTTGAGCGTCATCATGCCCCGCGAAACCGCATGATCAAAGACATCCATGGGATCGCGGTCCGGCACCCACAGCGCCTTGGGCAAGTGAGAAGCGGCAGCTGCAGCAGCAGCAGTATTCTGTTTGTTGCCGTCGTAGCTGAACAAGGGGTTCGCTAGGATGGATTTCAAGTGCAGAGTCGCGGCGGAGCGGCGGCGCGCGGTGTTGCTCTGGGGTTCGAGGGCATCTCCGGCGTTGGCGGGCGCGGGAGCGCTGTCGGAGGACGAGCGGCCGTATTCGCGGTCGAGATGGCTGCGGAAGGAGGCCTTGAGGCCGTCGAGCAGCTTTTGCGACTGCTGCTTGGAGATGGACGGGGGTTCGTGGTAGCTGGCGAAGAGGTTCCGGAGGGACTGGGCTGATTTGGTAGAGAACATGGCGAGGAGGCTTTGGCGAGGGCGGAGAGCTGCGGGAGAGGAGTGGACGTCGAATTATCTGGGTCAAGGGCTGTATTGCGGACTTGCCCAGGAGGCGAGGCTGGGCAAACCGGCGATTGAAGCCGTCGTGGGACGCTGGAAGGGGAGGCTGGACTCTTTTTGTCTCTCTGATTCGAGGCTGCTCATGGAAATCAGCGTCATGAGTTGACTGGCTGTGTCATGTGATAGATGGACTGATGGTTGGTGGGGCTTCAGGGCCTTACCCAGGGAGTGCCGGTACATGTACCTGCTGCTGGCCTGGAGCGGGAGATGCGGTCGAGTAATTGTACAAGATTACGTAGAAAAGTGCAGACGCAAGTCTTGGCCGAACCTACATCGTATTATATCTGCGTGTGTGGTATCTTGATTTTGCTGCCACAGTTTCTATCAACAAGGCTTCAGCTTCAATGCCATGCAGGTACATGTGAGGAGCATTTCGTCCTCTGGAAGGCTGTACATAAGGGGGGCATCCAATACCGGTTAGACACAGTGGCTGTCAGCTATCGACCTCATTTATCACACTGGGCTGATGGCCAGGCTGGGTTAAGGAAGCAAGACAAAGAGTTGCAAAGCATCTGAATGTCTCTTCCAGCTCGACCAATTGCACGGCGTCACACTCATCCATGGCCCTCAGCGCATGCGAACATTGTCTAGGTCTCACCTATGTCCTGCCTCGCGACTCCAAGACACAATGGACACTCGCAATGGCTCCCGCTGCTTTGCCGAGTACAGTGTTGCCTGCACGGCGTGACAGGCCTAGCTCAAAGTTTAAGAGCGCAAGCGTCAGCTGCGTCTTACACGGCCATGGGCACGTTTCGTTTCCCTCCTTGCTGGCACTGTGTAAATGTCCATCGCCAGCCAGCGCCTCTGCGTCGTTCCAGGGAAATCCGGCAGCACAGTGCCGAGATGCCGTAGCTGAAAGCCTTGAGACCTGGATACTCAGCACAAGGCCTCGATCTATCCCCAGTCGGGATGCCCTGCGCACGATCTGCGATATGCAGCTCCCAATATACAGTGCCGCTGTACAGTGTGCAGGAAGCAGCAGCAGGAAAGGCTTTTGGTAGCTTCAAGGCTGGAATCCAATCCACGTTAGTACCTTATTGAAACCTCTTCAATATGCTGCAATCCAAGAGCGTCTCGAGCCAATTGGCAGCATCTACCTGCCTCTACAGCAGGCTATGTAGTACCCGGACATTTGATGTGATGTCCCGAGCCGATCGCACCCCGAGGCCCTCGCCTGCTGCGCCGTTTGCTCGCAGCCTCGCTGTTTGTAGATGTACCCCAACATACCTTAATGTATGAGTCCCGTCGGGTGGGCAGCAACAACGGATCAGGCAGCGGCCTCAGCAGAGCCTGCAGCTCCAGCGGGCAGCTTCTAGCCCTATCCGAGCGCTGGCCGACTCGCCTACCGCCCCCAAGCCTGGCCGCCTCCAGGGCACTGGCGGCCCTTGGGCGCTGGATCTGGCACTGTGTTACAGCGGAGCAGTGCCTGGGGCCTGCTGGAGCGCCTGCTGCGCCAGTGCCTGTTAACGCGGTCAAGGCCAAGGGGGGGCGTCACCAAAGGCGCTCGAGCCAAAAAATCGTGACCAGCGTTTGGTCCAAAACCTCGTGCCCTCCACCTTCGCCTTTCAACCTCCCTTTGCCACAAGCAACACGCAACCTCAACCCACGGCTCTCTCGCTCGAGTTGACGCTCGGCTTTGTTCTCTTCCGTTGTTGTTTCTCTCTCTACTACTTCTCTCTTCTCCCCTCGTCTCTTTTTTTCTTTCCCACCTCACCACCTCTCTTGCTCGCCACACAGCGCCCGCTGCAGAGGCCATCTGACGGGCCACTGCACAGTTCCCAACTCCCTCCCAATCTCACATCCCTAACCAGCTATTTCCATCCATGTCTGAGGTCATCTCACGGCCCTCTGCCTCCCGCGGCAGGGGCTCTGGCCGAGGCGGCAGAGGAGGTTTCGCCGGTCGAGGCGGCCGCAGAGCCAACGGCGACAAGACGGATCACAAGACCGCCGACGACAACTTGGGCACCTTTGAGGACGAGGGCGAGTTTGCCGAGCTTCGAAAGCAGTATGGCGATAAGACGGGCGTCATCCGCGAGATGTTCCCCGACTGGTCGGAGGCCGATGTTCTCTACGCTCTCAAGGAGACGAACGGTGATGAGACTGAGGCCGTGACACGAATCGCCGATGGTACGTTGGGAGACAAATTCTGCCGCTTGCATCCGTGACTCTTGCCCTTGCTTTGTGCTGTTTGTTGCCATTCCTCGTCTGGAAACAAGGACAGGCCGTGCGTGCGGCGCTTCAATGGCAAGGCAGCAGTCACTTCAACACCCTCGCAGCCGCCTGTTTCCACGTTCAATTGCTGATGCCGATTTTTTTCGTTTCGTCGTCATAGGTACAATCTCGCAGTGGGGCGAAGTCTCCAAGACGAAGAAGACCGCTCGCACCAAGGCCAAGGACGCATCCTCCGCACCCGCCGTCGCGGACTCGTCAGCCGCCGCTCGAACTGCCCGTGGAGGCCGCAATGCTGCCGAGGGAACTCGTGGTCGTGGCAGGGCCACGGAGAGAGGGGGCCGTGGCGGACGTGCCAGGGCAGCCCATCCCACCAACGGATCTCGAACCAAGGAGAACCAGCAGCTGTCTGTGCCCACCGAAGAATCCCCCGCGTACAAAGACGACAAGGCCAACGGCGCCGAGGAGAGGCCCGTACTCTCTGAGAAGCCCGTCGTTGCCGAGTCCCTCAACAAGCCCGCCGCTCCTCAGGTCAAGACCTGGGCCAGCATGCTCCGACAGTCCACAGCTCCCAAGGTTGTGCCCGCCCTTCCCAAGGAAGCTCCTGCTCCCAAGCCCGCCGAACCCGCCGAACCCGAACCCGTCCCTGAAACTGCCGCTCCTGTTGAACCTGAACCTGCCCAACCCGAACCTGAGGCCGAAGCAGAGTCCACCCCCGTTGCTGATCAGGCCACTCCTGTCGCTCCCCCCGCCGTCACCGAACCACCTGCCGAGATCAAGCCCTCCCAAGTCGAGCTCACCGAATCCAACCTGGAGCAGGTTGTGGACGTCTCTGCGCCCCCCGCGACCGACACCGCCGCGAGCACTGCTGCTGGCTCTTGGGACCCTCGACAGAGCCCTCCCAGCACCAATGCCACGCCTCTTTCCGCCGCTCAGCAGCAGCAGCAGCAGCAAGCTCAGAGAGCCGCCACTAGCGGCTATGCTGCTACCGCTTTGAAGGCCACTACCGAGAGAGCTGCGCCTCGCACTCCGAGCTTCCAGCGACGAGTCCTCGACCAGGAAGAGGCTGTGCGCATGCCCGGTAACCGGGAGGTGGATCGCGCTGCCGTGCAGTTTGGTGCCTTTAACCTCGATGACGACGAAGATATCGATGGCGAGCGCGAGGAGCCGGAGACCCGAGCTCAGCCCCCCGCCGACTCTCCTGTTGCCGTTCCCCGAACCTCTCTTCCTCCGGCTACTCAGCCTGTTGCTATGCCGGAGACCTTTGCTCCTAAACCTACGACTAACCCTCCTCCTGGAATGACACCTATTGGTATGCTTTGTCCCTCTCTACGTTGAATCATTTTCGCCAGTCATTGTCTAACACATTTGCAGCTGCCCAACAGCCCAACACTCAACAGTACGGTCGATTCGGTCAGGCCGGTCCCCAGGAGCTGTCGGCTACTCAGCAGAAGCCTCTGGACCCCTTCAACCAGGGAGCCACTCCCGCATCTCAGCCACCGTTTGATAACTTTGCGGCTCAAACTTCCCAGCCCCCCGCACAGCAGCCCGGTGCCGCTTTCAGCTCCGCGCCCAGCGACTACTCAGCCTACTACACCGCAAACCAGCAGGACCGAAACCCATACGCTTTTTACGGCCAGCACTTTGGTCAGCAGGGAGCACATGCCCAGCCGGAGGGCGTTCCCTCGCAGCAGAGGGGCTTTGGAGGCTACAACGCCTCTCAGAGCGATAACCTCAGCCAGTACCCCCAGAGCGGCACGGGCCACAACCAGCCCCGATTCGGCGGCAGCAACGACAACCAGAACAGCGGCCACTCCACCCCCAACCCCGTCACCCAGGCTCAGCAGCAACAGCCTCAGCAACAGGGTGGCCCCGGCTCGCAGCCTCAGGCCCACGGCCAATACCCCGGGTACAACCACCCGTACTACAGCAACCCGTACTACCACCAGTACTACTCGGGCTACGGCCAGGGAGGATTCGGTCCGTACGGCAAGGGTGCCATCTACGGACAGCCTTACGGCGTCTCTCCCAATGCTCCGTATGACCACACGTCATCTCCTGGAACTTTTGGCCCGTCGTCCCTCCACCGCGACAGCCCTCTTGGTTCCGGTCTTGGCGACTACGGCCGCGCCGGCTCAGCCCAGGCTGCCAGCCAGCCAGGCCTGGGAGGAAGCAGCTTTGGCAGCATGAACGACAGCTTCTCTCGCGGCGCCTCATCGTTCCAGTCTCAGGGACAGTCCTTTAGCAGCCAGACGCAGCCCAGCGCCGGGTCTTCGGGTGACGACCTGAAGCCGTTCGGCGAGAGCAAGACCTCTTCTGGCCCCTCGCCCTCTCTCGGCGCGCCCCGCCCCGGTTCAGCCACGAACACGGCTCCCGGCGGACAGAGCGGCAGCCTGCCACCTCCCCAGACGTCCCAGATGAGCGGCGGCTATGGCGGCTACCCTAGCCACCTGCAGGGCCACGGCCTCCACGGAAGCGGCGGCTACGGCATGGGCGCCGGCGCCGGCGGCAACCAGCACAGCACCCCCTATGGCTCGTACGGCCAGGGCGGTTTCGGCAGCGGAGGCTACTACAGCACCGGCCAGCAGCAGCAGCAAGGCCAACAGCAGCAGCAACGCGGCGGCTGGGGCGGAAACTACCATTAGTGGGGTAGAAACCGTGAAGGAAAACGACGAGGGCGATATCGCCGCGAGCGGGACGGGATGGCGCTCGTCTTGAATTCCAGGTTCGCAAAGGGGATCTAACTTGACCCCCACCCCCTTGTTTTCATTTATCTTTTCTATCACTATTTCACTCTTACGTTTGTTCTCTATCACAAATGGACTTGTGTGTGCGCGTGTCACTACACTAAAACGCCTTATGAGAGGTTGATTTCGAGGTACGGGAGAGGGAACGCTGGGCAGCACCGTGATGTGTGCCCTCGTGATGCACCAAAGGGCTCGGGCATCGAGGCGGAGAGGAAGGAAGTCTTGCTCAAGTCTTCTACTCGTCGGTGCAAACGTGTACGATTGTTTCTTTAATTTCATTTTTTTCGAGAATCACCTAGAAGAAAGCAGGGTGGGCGGCTTGGGCAAAATGGAAAGAAAGGGCTACGAGGACGGACGGGGAGCACGGGTTTTGTTTGATCGTCGTTCTCGCTCATTAGTTTCTCCCCCTTTTCTGGGGGGCTCTCGAGGGCAACCGAAACAAGAGGAAAAAAAAACTGACTGGTTTTGTTGTGATTTGACGCATGGGGTCTCATTCATTTTTTGGGAGGGACCTTTTTTCTTTTCCCGCCTGGTATATTCAGTTGGGCGGCGGTTTTACGGATAGGGCAGGTCATTGAACAAGCAAATCACCATGAGGGTTTGAGATGCTTTAGTGGACACGGCGAATAGGCAGTCAACAAAAAAATGCAGACGTTTGATGAGTGCACGAGAGACGAGTTTATTGTCTTTTTACCATGCTGTTTAGTTTCCTTGTATGACAGCTAGTGATGTGCTTTGTGGGCGTCGATTGCTACCTACCGAGGCATGACGAGTATGTGAAGTGAGATGAGAATAGTAGATGTGGATGATGTATGGCTGTAGCTGAAAGACAATTGGGTGTCTAGCAGGTTCACTGACGAAGTTGATACGAAATGTCAAGCTCGGAATAAGGTGTCGGAAGGCGAAGACGGAGTGAGACGGCTATCTGCCGAGTCTAAGATGCCGTTTGTAAGTCCCGAGAGACGGGATTTAGCGTGGGGCAAATACGGGCATGAGTCGTCTATATACCTTATTGAACTGCATGTGAATACCTACATGTTCTATTATTTATATTCGACAGTGTGATGATGATATGGGAGACGGTTGGGAGGATTGATAGGTAAGGTAAGAAGAAAGAAGTGGGAATGGAGGACTTGTTGTCTTATTGCATTTGCCTCCGAGGAGCCGGAGCCGGGGTTCAAGGGGAGCATGGTATGTAAGTCGTTGTGGAGAGAGCATCGATGGATGGTTGCAGCGAGGACTGACGTGGAATGGCCTTTTGACAAGGTTCCTAGGTTCATAGGTAGGTAGGGAAATAACACTGTTTTTTTCTCTCTTCGCCTTCTTGTTTGGCTGTTGTCTGGGATTGATGTCATATGATGCATGCATGATATATGACACGCTGTGCTAACCATCATTTTCATTCCGCTCTTTGTTAGTCCTTTTCCATTTTTTTTCTTTGGTCATAATGTTCTGATGCTGCCGCTTCTTCACCTTGAAGAGGACTGCTGTCATTTTCTGGTTGTTTGAGGATCATCCTGAAGCACGCAATATCGTGGAGAGACTTCGTACTTTGCGCAAGTATCACTGGTGGGAATTTAGGACGGGGAGGACCCCAAGATTCATGGCAATTCTTTTTTTTTTGTTTCTTTTTGCTGCGTTATCGGCGCCTCCTATCTGCTTGCTTTGCTGACCGATCTTGCATATCAAGAAAGAGGAAACCCATACACGTATCTCCATTACAACGATCAATTGAGAGACTGAACACTGTCTTTCTCTCTGATACCTCTCCGTCTGATACATTTTTCTTTTCGGTGTCCATCAATTCGACTTGGCTCGGTTGACTCGCTTCAGTCGCTTGCGAGCGAAACGATCGTTTCCCAAAGCGGCGCCTTTAATAAATAAGCCTATAAATATAAGAGGCCTGGTTCCGGTCCCGGCAGGAGCGACGCCCGGGTCAGGTTGCAGATTTGTCGTCGTCTCTTGCCCCAAGAAATTTGAAGATGGGAGCGGGGACGGAAAAAAGACGAGGCGAAGATGCGAAACGTTCTTCTTCTTCTTCACTGACAATTCGGTCGAGGAGTGCGGATGGTGACGGTGACGGTGACGGTGACGGTGAGGAGGATGTGAGGAGGATGGATGACAAACGGGCGGCTGTTGCGACGAGTCGGTCGGTGTCGTCGGACGAGACGGAGGATGGAGACGGACGTGGAAGTGGACGAGGACGAGGTGCAGACGGTGATGGTGATGGTGACGGTGGTGGTGATGGTGATGGGAGTAGAAGTGGGAGTGGAAGTGGAAGTGCAAGCGAGCTCAAGCATCACGGCGACGAGCACGGCTTGACGCTCTCGCGGGGCCGATGCATCGCCCTCGTAGCCACCGTCACCGGCGCCGCCTTTCTCAACGCAAGTCCAAGCTCTTTTACCCGTCACAGTCCTTGGCTCTTCATCATCCAGGCTAACCAACTGATCGATCATGCCGCAGACCCTCTCCCTCCAGAGCGTCGTCATCATCCTGCCCACCATCGGCCACCACCTCGCCGTCCCTGACAGCCGGCAGCAGTGGATCGTCTCGTCGTACTCGCTGACCTTTGGCTGCTTCCTGCTGTTCTGGGGCCGGATCGCGGACTTGTACGGGAAGCGGTTGATATTCATCCTGGGCTCCATCTGGGTGACGGCCGTGACGGCGGCGAATCCGTTTGTGCCCAATGAGATTGGGTTCAATGTCTTTCGGGCGCTCCACGGCTTGGTATGTCGGTCTTACGCGGAGTTTTCTCTGTGCGCTCTTGGATGAAAACTATTGCTGATGATGTTGTTGTTGTTCTTGTTGTCTTGTAGGGAGCTGCTGCGAATGTGCCCACGGCGATTGGCATCCTGGGCGTCACGTTTCCTCCAGGCAAAGCAAAGAACTATGCCTTTAGCACATACGGTATGTCTCCCCCTTTTACCCATGACAAATCTGGATGCGCTTTCCTAATATTTCTTTCGTCTTTTCCAGGCGCCGGCGCCCCTCTTGGGAGTGTCTTTGGAAACATGCTCGCCGGCCTGATGGCCCAGTACACCGACTGGAAATGGATCTTTGGCGTCCTTGCCATCATGGGCGGCGTCATTTCCGTCTGCGGCATCCTCTTCATTCCGCCTCCTCTTCCTTCTCAGTCTCCGCCGCGCGCGAACAAGAAGGGTCCGCCCAAGATTGACTGGATCGGTGCTACGCTAATTACCGTTGGCCTGCTTGCGCTCATGTTTGCTCTTACAGAGGGTAATGTTGTTGGATGGGACACTCCTTGGATACCCGTCCTTATTGTCGTTTCCATCCTCATCATTGCTGCTTTTGCGGTCTGGCAGTGGTATCTGGAGCGAAGACTGAACGCCGCTTCACACATGACCACAGATGCCGGGGCTTTGGAGTCAGGAGATGCCCCTCGCACCCTACAGCCAACTCCTCCATCCCCGACGCCGCCGCTCATCAAAGTCTCCATCTTCCGCAACCTCCAGTTCAGCGCCGTCATGGTCATCATGCTCCTCTTCTTCGCCGCCTTCAACAACTACCTCATCTTCACCACCTACTTCTTCCAGGAATTCCAAGGCCTGTCCCCCCTGCAGACGATGCTGCGCTTCATCCCGACCGGCGTGGGCGGCGCCACCGTCGCCATCATTGTATCCCAGCTGCTCGACCGCGTGCCGACGCTCTTCATCCTCATCACCGGCCACGTCGCCCTCTGCGTCGCCTGCCTCTTGTATGCCGTGCCCATTGCGCCGTCGACGTCCTATTTCGCGTATGGCCTCCCCGCCATGATTCTCGCCGTCATTGGCTCAGACACCACGTGGCCCTGTCTCACCCTGTTCACCTCCCACGCTCTTCCCAGGGAGGACCAGGCCGTTGGCGGCGCGCTCATTAACTCGGTCGGACAGTTTGGCCGGTCCATTGGTCTCGCCATTAGTACGGCCGTGCAAACTGCCGTCATGGCGAATGCCCGTGGCTTGCCTGTAAAGAACGCGGGAGGCATAGTGGCATGGGACCCGGAGTCTCTGAAGGGCTTGCGAGCGGCTTCGTGGATGAATCTTGCTTTTGGGATCGTGTCTATGGGGGTTGTTCTCATGGCGTTTCGGACTTTGGATATCGTGGGCAAGGTTGAGCCTGTGTCAAACAAGGCGATGGGGGGAGTTGTTCGGAATGAGAGAGAAAAGGGGGAAGAGGCTGTTCCTGAACCAGAAAGAGCATGATGCTGCCTTCTATTGCTGATGGTGCTCTTCCGCGATTTGATATGTTGTGGGAACATGATGGCTTGGTTTAGAAAGAGAGGGATAGAGAGGATCTAGAATATAATGAGAAATGACCTATTATTGTTTTCCCATAGAATGTCAAAGTAGTTCTCGTGGAAAAAAAGAAAAGTGTAGCAATTCAGACGTAGTATAGTGTCTATGTAGGAATATCTAATATGATGCCTCATCGCTGGGTCTCTTCCTTATTCGTCTCCAACTCTACTCTGGGTATCAAGTCTCTTTCCATCATAAAAAGGAGTGTAAAAAAACCACCAGCACTCATCAACACAATAACCATGACAAAAGGAAACACACAACCACCAACAAGAAAGGCGCATCCCAAATCCAAAAACCCATCCCCGCGATTCAAAACGCCCCCTTAATCGTGCAATGCAGAGTCCCCCCTATTCCCCACAAACCTCACGACCTCCTCGAGATATCAACCTCAATCTGCTCCAAAACATCCTCGTCCTCCTCTTCCCCGACAACAACAACATCCTCCAGCGTCAAATCCCCATCATCCCTCGCCATCAAGGCAAGTTTTCTCCTCACGGCCTCATCCTGCTCCATCTCCTGCCACAGCTCAAGGTCCCACTCCTCGGCGTTGTCGCCGCCCAGCGTCTTCTTGCGCTGCCACGGCGGCCAGTGCCACAGCCCCGCGACAAGCATGGCCCTCTTGGCCGCCTTGAAGAGCAGCTCCAGCATGCCCATGAAGGACAGCACGATGAACACCGTGGACCACCATACTGCGTCTGCGCCCCAGAGGCGCGTAAAGGTGTGCCGGATGTCGTAGTCGCCCGAGGGCGTGGCCGCGTAGACGCCGTCGAGGAAGGCCAGCCAGGCGAACCAGCCTGCTGTTGTGATGAAGAAGCAGGCCATTACAATGGCGGACTTGTAGTGCGTTTCAAAGATGCTTTTTTCTCACAGTTAGCGATGCTCTTTTGTCTGTTTTGCACGGGGCATTCAAGGGGGGGGGGGGGGGGGGGGGGGGCAAATGGGATAAAGGACGACTTACAATAACTTCCAGTTGATCCACAAGACGCCAACCGTAAACACCAGGGAGCCGAGAGCATACAGGTTCTCGTCCTTGGCCGCCGGCGACACCCATCCGTAGCCGGCCCAGATGCCGTTCCAGGTAATCACGCCCTCAATGGCAGCGAGCAGCATCCAGCGCATGTATTTCCAAAAGTTTAGGCCTATGTTGCGCTGGCCGTAGATGTACAGCTCGGGGATCGCCAGCAGGGTCTCGGCTCGGAGGTCCTGCTCCCAGATGCCCATGCAGATTGTGCAGAGACTGGTGAAGAGCGTGTTGAAGACGGTCAAGCTTGCCGATTGGTAGAGCGAGGTTCCGGTGTAGCCGTTGAAGCGTTGATACTGGGCCGCAGGGAGGTAGAAGAACATCTCTTTCCAGAAAGTACACACGATAAACTTGGCCGTGCGGACGTAGTTCCATCTTCCGTGGACGAGGAGCAGCCGCTGCAGGAACCGGAACTGCGCAATGGCGTAGTCTGCCACTCGCGCGGCCTGGAGCCCTTCTTTGCCTGAGATACCAATGCCGACGTGACTCGCCTGGATCATGGCAAGGTCGTTTGCGCCGTCGCCGATAGCCAGCGTCAGTCCGCGCCGGTTCTTGCCCCTGTACGCCTTGAGTTTGCCGCGGACGGTTCGGACCAAGAGGGCCTTTTGAGCGGGCGATGCGCGGCAGCAGATGACTGAATCGACGCGAAGCATAATGGCAAAGAACTGCACCGACAGGGCCTCTGACTTTTCCACGGCCGCCAAGGTCTGCCCATCTATGACGACGACGCTGTGAACCGAGCCGACGCTCAAATCCTCAGCCATGGCCGAGAGCTGCGTCTCGAGAGAACCCTTCGCGACATCCAGAATGTAGACGTCGGAGCCGGGGCGGCAGATTCGGGCAGAGTGAGCAATGTTGATGGCCGTTTCCCGCTTGTCTCCCGTCAACATCCAGATCTTGATGTTGGCCCGTCTCAGCCTGTCAATGGTTTCAGGCACGCCTTTTTGCAGCTTGTCTTCGATTGCACTGCCACCAACGAGCTCAAAGGCTTGCTCAATCATCTCTCCGGCGGCCTCGATCTTTTCCTGCCGATTCGTGAGACTGGTGGTAGCGTCGTCGTAAAGCTTCTTCCATGACCTATACTCCTGCTCCGAGACGAACTTCTGGGCAAAGAGAAGGGTCCGGAGACCTTCAGTCGCGAAGTCATCCAAGTGCTTGAAGCACTTTGTAAACACTTCAGATTCATCGAAAATACCCGAGTCTTCCAAGAAGCTGAGACGAGGATCAAGAGGCTGCGGCGCGTGAGGCGCCATGGGGCTTAGCAGATGGCGGTTTGAGATATCAAACGATGCGCCTCGTGAGGCAAGGTTGAAAGATGGGCGTGGCCGTTCCTCGGACCGGCGAGTCAGCTTATTGAGCTCAAAGGACTTGCTCCGGTTGCCCATTGACGGCCGGTGCACGCTCCGTTCCCGCACGATCGTGGGATTGCGGCGAACGGTCAGACTGGGCCTTCCACCGAAGCTGTTGCGCGGTTCGAGTTGCTCGCTGCGGCGGAATCGCTCATGCTCAAGGTCGGCACTCTGCCGGACCTCTGTCGCTTTCTGCATGGCGAGCGAAGACAGCCTCAGGCGAGGCAAGATGGCGGAGTCGGCGCCCTTGCAAATAACGGAGATGCGGCCGTCCGGGTAGCGAACAACAATGGACATTCTCTTCCGGGCACTGCTGAATTCGATGATATCCAGAATGTCGTATTTCAGGAGCTCAACGCTTCCATCTGTCTGGGTGACCTGGAGCGTGATCTGCTTCGAGTTTCGTTGCACCACTAGATATCCCAGCTCTTGTGCAGCTCTCACCAAGGCAAGTTCATCAGGGGAAGAGGCTTGAAAGTCGATCTGTCCATCTTTCTGCTCCGGCAAGCAAGAATGGCACAAAGCCATGGCGAGCAGATATTCCTTCGTTTTCCTAGTGAACGCCGAATGAGGCCGCAACTTCATATACTCGAGCAAGTCCGAGGTGGTGACATCGGGTTGGACATGGTCCGGCCGGCCTGTTGATCGCCACTGGGATGAAGATCGTCGCCCTGTCATTGACGGCCTTGGAGACATCATCGGTGTGTCGACAGTCTCGTGGTCTTCGTGGATCACAATCGAGGTACGGTCCCTCCGATTCACCGAAGGGGCACGGCTGGGTACGTCCATCTTGACAATTGACGAAGTTGTATCCGACGCATCGATCTGTGCTGGCTGCGGCTCCAAATCCATTTCATGAAGCCAAACGGTACCGGCAACGCTAATCTTACGGAACTTCATGACATTGTCCGTGAGCGTGCCCGTCTTGTCCGAAAAGATGTATCCAACCTGGCCAAGATTCTCAAGAATGGTGTTTGTGTTGCAGCGCGCCGGCGTATCCGACTCCTCATCGTACATTTCGACGTCCGAGTTCAGAAGAAGCAGCTGCCCGACCTTGACAATTTCCAAGCTCACATATAACGATAGTGGAATAACGTTGTTAAACATGATGATAAAGGCAATGATAATCTCGTGGAAGGGGACGCTGGCGTGGTTCAAGTACCAGGAATGACGCTCAGTGCTTCGCTGCCAGCGGATGTAGCCCATTGAAACTCCAACGGACAGGATGACGACGTAGAAGGCGAGCGTGATGACGATTCGGTTGACGACCCTCTCCAGAGCAGGCTTCTTTGCCTTTGGATGCCTGTTGGAGTTCATCCGCAGCTTGCACTCCTCTCCCGTGTTAAGCACGATTCCAATGGCGCAAGTTGTGTTGCGAAGCACGCTGCCGCGGTAGATAATTTCGTTGAGGGTCAGCGGGACCGCTTTCTCCTTGACAGTGACTTTTCCATTGAAGTTGAAGAGATTCGGATTGGGGTCCTCGGCGACAAACTCCGCACCGCACTTGGCAATGCCTTCGATGGTATCACAACCCTCGAGGGCATGGCACACTTGTTTGCTCTTGAGGTTCGTCTCGCCGTCGAGCGCCATGGTATCGACGTAGGCCAAGTTGTTCTCGCCATCGCTGTATAGAAGCGCAATATCGGCCGGGACAGGTTCGTCGCGCGCAAGTCGTATGACATCTCCCACCTTTATATCGGCCCACCTCGTCGGCACCCATCGAACGCCTTGATACTCTTCGGTAGGCACAGCTGGAGGCTCACTGGTCGTTTTCGTATGCAAGGGATTGAATCGATCCAAAAAGTGCGTTCGCCTAGTCTTGCCAGTGTACTTGTTCTCCTTGCCGAGTATGGTCGCAAAGTATGCATTCTCAACCTTGTCCAGTCGGTGTCGCCGATAGTCGTCGTAGCCCTCCTTGAACATGGTCAAGCATACGAAGAACAGGAGGGGGAGGATCGTCGTGTAGGAGCCCGTCGTCGAGAGGCCAGGAATCTGCATTCAGCGAATTAGACACGCAAGCGGTTAAGCCGAATCACAGGCAAGACGCACCATCTGAGGAATTCCAACACAGAGGAAGTAGAAGTTGCCGACACGAGTAAACTGGAAAAAGAGCTGCTTAGGCACAAAGTTCCACAGAGTGTACCGCGACGTGCGAATGCTGTTGGAGATGTACGCCTGGCCGCGCCGGGGATCGATCAAGGCCTCGTCATTGTCGATTCGCAAGGGTATCTTCCGCCCGTCTTTCGAGGCGGCCAGCTGGCCTCGCTGCAGAATCGCCTCGACGACAGCCTTCTGGTAGACGGAATTGGCGACATGGCGAATGCGCTGGAGGGCGGACGTCTTCGTCTTGGGCTTTGCAGCCTCGGCGCAGCTGGGAGGGTAGTCGGCGAGGCTGCTGGCCTGGTCAGACTTGGAGCGGTTCAGACCCTCGGCCATGGCGCGAGGAGCATCTGAAGTGATGCTGATGTCCTGGTTCTCTCCCCAGAAGCAACGGTTTGTTTCCAACCCCAGAAAATAAAAGGACGATAAGCGAGAGGAAGTTTGCGACGCTAGGAAACCGGACTCTGTTCAACCAAGAAGAGCGGCCTGCTTTCTCATGCCGAGAATATGCCAGATGAATATGGAGTGCGATTGGACACGCAGAGACGTTGGTCCGAGAGAACCGGCAAACAAAATGGATAGAGCAAAGCAGTGCTGGGTATTGATAACGATGATGATGACAGGTATTATGACCTGAGCGGATACGAGGCTGGTGTATCTTCAGAACGACTGACAAGAACCGCAGGGTGCCAGAGAGCGAGGAACCCAGACGGTAGCGATCGAGGGCTCTGGCGCGCTATAACGAGTGATGTCGATACGGCCAGCGTCGTCGCACAAACTCGCAGCAGCAAGACGAAGAACTAAACAAAAAAAAAAAAAGAACCCCAAATTGCAAAAGCAGGAATCTGGTGATGGATGGCTGGCTAAAGGTACCTAGAGAAGGTAGAGTCCGGGTGTGACTGCTCGTGGCAAACGGGTTCTGGTGCAAAACCCGAGTCCACAGGCGGGCCAGTGCCAGTAGAACAGCAGAACAGTTAGCAGGCAGTTACAGGGGCATCATGGCCCGCCATTGACGCAACCAGAACGCTTTAGCGGACGGAACACCAGAACGGAAGGCCTCTAGACGTCCGCCACGGTGGGAAAAAAGACCGGTTTCTGGCGGGTGCGGCGACCCCTGGCGAGTTCATTCTAGAGGCGGTTTTGCAACACGTGGGGCGTTTGGGTTGGGACGGCGTCATGCCGAATCCTGGGGGGGCTGTGCTGGAAGTCTCGTATACCCAAGGTATATAAGGTAGGTAGGTAGTATAAGACAACATGAAGATGGGTCAACACGAGGGCGTCAGCAATATCGACAGGTCACTGTATCAACTGTCCTGTCTCGTATTCTACTTCACTGTCCCGACAATCCGAAGAACAAAAGTCATACGAAATGTGTTGGATCAAGATACTGTGCTGCTAAATGTCTATGTATGTTTTTTCCGTCTCTGCTGACGCGTAACATGGATCCCTTCATCTTCTCCGGAGTGGCAGACAGACAGCCATGACTCCGTGTCTCGCCCCCCACAAAGTCTCATCTCATCTCATCTCATCTCGTCCCATCTGTGTATTCAAGTAACGGATATTCATAACGCTGCTCCGTCCAATGTCGAGCAGCGTGTCAACGAGCCATGATTCAAGCCTCCGATGATCTACCAACCAAATGCACTGTGAAGCTGACACTTCGTGCCTGTGCCTGGGCCTGACTCGATCTACAGTATGTACTGTACTGGTGCCGTGGCTTTTATAAGAGGCAATCAATCTTCTTCGCATTCATCGACCAGTCAAGTCTATCTCCATCTTTCTCTCCCTAGACTTACTCGAGTTGTGTGCGCCACAAAGGGAGATGCTGATGACTTACGCATCGCTTGAGTTGACAGGTCAAACCACGCTCGTTTGCCGACCATCCAACATGACGTCACCACTGCATTCGACCATTTCAGCAAAGACATGCCGCTTTCGGCACTTCACGATGCCTTCACCTTTTGTGCACCCTTTGATGCACGAAAGCAGAGCCAGAGGATATTCCGGGGACAACCACCGTGAAGAATTTATTACTCATCCTGCACTTTCACGCTGTCAAGACGCATGTTACCCGCAACGCCAAAGTTTTATCATTTTGAGTCTACGGTGAACAAACTGCCTGATATTAGCATACAAATCGCCGTCACTACCTCAAAATACCCAGCTACCGCCAGATATAACAAGGCAACAGGACGCCGTTTTCAAAATTCAAAAACTCCATTCCCTGACCCTGCCTTCCATCGACCAAACGTCAGAACCGTTGGCCAACCTCAAAAAAGTCTAGGTGAAGCATCAGCCAGCAAAGAAAGCAACTCCCGTGGTACTGAGGGAACAGTTGTCGCCTCTCGAAAGCCAAGAGGTGTAAACGCCTTCCAAAGAAATGCAACGATACAAAAGCGGACGAAGAACCAAAGCATAACCGAGATTCGCGGTGTGAACCAAAACGATATATTTCATCCGCAGGCATTCCAACCTCTGCAGCGTGCTCAAGCCCCCTGGACTTGTGGGATGTTCTCCATCTTGCCGCCCTCCTCAAGCCATTCTTTCTTGATCAGCTGATCACGAACAGCAAAAAGGAACTTGTAGGCCGTCTTGACCGTTCCATCGCTCACGCCAGTCTGCTTGGCAATCGGCGCCGAGGGACGCGGCTCTCCCATCAGGTGACAGGCCATATAGATGCACGCTGCGGCAACCGACAGCGGCGAGCGGCCAGCAAGAGCAGAGATGTCGGTGGCCTGCTCCGCGAGATCGCGAGAGATCTTGGATATCTTTTGCTGGTTCTTAAACCCTAGCTGAGACACATAACGGCCACAGAGATCCTCGGCGCCGACAGACGTGTTTTCGTAGTTGGTGACGGTGTTGAGTCCGGTAGCGCCCTCGCCTTCGGTATCCTGAATCTTTTGCAAAAAGTTCTGCAACTGCTTAAAGACTCGGCCGACCTCCTTCTTGCTGACACTAGTGAGGTTGAAGATTTCCCGGAAGGTTCGGGGCACGTTGTTCTGTCGGCACGCAATGAAGATGCAGCCAGCAATGACGGCTTCCTGAGGCTTGCCCTTCATGAACTTGTGCTTGTCGACGAGCTTGAAGATGTGCTTGGCGGCGTTGGAGACGTTGGCCCCCATATGGATCGTCTCGCAAAGCGCGACAATCTCCTTGTAGGCCTGCATCAGGCCCTTCTGGGCCTTGTCCTGGTTGGCATTGTTCTGCGTCCGGGACAGGGCCTTGTGGGCTTTGGACTCGGAAAAGGCAACCGTCGTGGCCAGATGCTGGCCCTCAACGAACTCGTCCTGCGGTCCTCCGACACGGCTAGGGTCGTCGCCGCCCTGGTCATCATTGGCAAACGTCCGCCACTCGGAGCGTGTGTCGATGATGCGGGTGCCGACGACGACACCGCAGCTGTTGCAGACCATGTCGCCGCTCGAAAACTCCTCAATCAGGTCCGGGGGGTATTCTTTGCAGTCGGGGCACATGAGCACATTGTTTAGGTCTTCCTGGAAAACCGCCGGCTTTCCATTGGCATTTGCAGTTCCGTTCACGTTCCCGTTCACAGTCGGGGTTCCGCTCGGCGGCGGGAACATCTTGGACGCGTAGGGTTTTGGTCGGTAGATGTTGCTGATCTCGTCAAAGACGACTCGTACTCGTCTCGCTTCCTTTCTTCTTCGCCGCAGCTGCTGCCTCTTCTTCTCTACTGTCTTTCTTACCGGGGAGTCTGACTTGTAGCAGAGCCCTCTCACCCAGAGTTGATCGTTGATGACTTGAACGAAGAGCGGTGAATGCAGCTTGACGGTCGCCGGTTCTCTAGATTGAGAAACAAGGAAGATCGCGATTGAAGCCGCCGACGTGACAGCAGGTACTTTTAAGATGTCTTGCGTGTAGATGCTATCTCCCTGCTAGGAGCGTGATCTGCTTGAATTTTCCAACCTTTTCTTTGTTCGACCTTTGGTCTTTGGATTGGTAGTGCCTAAATCGGCGGGATCCTGTCGACCTCCTGGAGCCTTGCCAAAGGCTGGAAGACAGCAGAAGCGCGACGGAGTTTCTTCTTTTTTTTTTCTTTTGTTCTTTTTTTTTTGTAACTATGTAAGGGTTGCCCTGTTCTCGACTCGATGATATCCTCTAACTGTCCTGTTGTTCGGTATCCGACGAAAAAATGGCGCAAATTCAGAAAAGCGCAGTCAAAGGGGTCTCTGCCGGCCGACTTTTCGTAACCAGTGAAGGCGTCTGAGGTCGAATTTCCGTATCGAGAAAATGGTTCTCAGAGCATAGATTAGTCGGCAAGAGAAGCGGCTGGATTCTGCACCCGTTGACGAGTTGGAGAATTGCAATCGGCGTCGTTAGAGAGCGTGATCCAACTTCTGTGCGGCGAGGGAGTGACTGGAAAGGAGACGTTGTTTGGGATCAGGTTTCAAACGAGCGGCTGGGCAGGCAGGCGTTGTTCATATGTCAGCCCTGAAGCAAACTTGCGGCCTGATGAATAAGCAAATCAGGTGGCGAACCTTCTGGATGGGTGAGTCAGCACAGCTGAGGACGCGGAGAAACAATGTTGCGCTCGGAGGGGCATCTCGGGCGACCAATGACCGAATGGGGGGCAGCATTGACGGCAGCCCGCATCATTAGTGACCAGGGCCTCGATATCGAGAGCTGCTTCTAGATTGCTCTTACACTTGGTACCTCATTTCTGGCTTGTCTGTATTACCTACCTCTGTTCGCACAACGACCAAGTATGGCTCCCAAAACGCTCATTGCACCGTCGATTCTGTCGGCCGACTTTGCACAGCTCGGTGCAGAATGTGCCCGGACCATGGAGCAAGGTGCAGACTGGCTGCACGTTGATATCATGTTAGTAACGCCATTGCTACTCGACCTCGGGTGCTCGCAGCACCGTCACCTCTGTACACGCTGAATTGAGCTGACCTGTAATGCACAGGGACGGCCACTTCGTGCCAAACATTACCTTTGGGGCGCCCGTAGTGGCCAAGGTGCGGCCGCACGTCGAGAAGCCCGCGCAGCCCGCCGGCCGAGGGACGTTTGACTGCCACATGATGATTGCTGAGGTAGGAAAAATACCGGTCCCGCAATTGATTTTCAAGCGATCCTTACCACCAAGGATAGGAGCTTTTGCAACCTCGAGGCTAACATGTGTTTGCACGACAGCCCAAGAAATGGGTCAAGGAGTTCAAGAAGGCCGGCTGCGACCTGTACTGCTTCCACTACGAAGCTGCGTTCTCCTCCGCCGCAGAGTCCCCCGAAGAGACGACCGATAAGAAGACGAGCCCTAAGGAGCTGATTCGATATATCCACGACAACGGGCTGCTGGCGGGCATTGCCATCAAGCCTGACACATCCGTCGATGTGCTGTGGGACATTCTCGAGAGCTCTGATGCCAAGGAACGACCTGATGTAAGCTCTCCCCGGGTTGCCGTGTGTTGATGTTCAAATGATTAGACGCTGACATGTCTGGTAATGCAGATGGTTCTGGTCATGACGGTCTACCCCGGCTTTGGAGGTCAAAAGTTCATGGCGTCGGAGCTGCCCAAGGTGCAGGAGCTGCGCAAGCGATACCCCGAGCTGAACATTGAGGTTGACGGAGGCCTGGGGCCCAGCACGATTGACCAGGCGGCGGAAGCTGGTGCCAATGTCATTGTTGCGGGAAGTGCCGTCTTTGGAGCCAAGGACCCGGCCGAGGTGATTTCATTGCTGCGCAAGTCTGTCGACACTCGGGGAGGCAAGCTGTAGGTGGCGGGCAAGCTGTAGATGGTGGGGTTAGACTTGGATATATATAGAGGGGCATATGACTGCACGAATAGATGAAGCGATTGACGACCCATGGCGATACCATCACTACCAGATGATACTGTGACTGTAGACATTTTGGCTTTTTACTTTTGCCAATGAAGTTGAATAAGGTATGTAGCCTCTAATTCCGTCTTTATACAAGCAAGAAGAGCAAAACAGAAGCAAGCCGTCAAGCCGTCACAGTGGGTCCGAAATCGGCCAACGGCCAACCACAGACATGGTCCCAACCAGCAGCAGCCCAAGAGGCCAATCGGGAGTTTTGCGTGCTGACTCACAGCCAACACAAGAAAAGAAACGACAACCGCCTTCAACGTCTCTCTCCATTTGTCGGCATCCCTCTTGTTGTGCCACAGATGCGGGATAGTGCGTTGGTCCTGGTGCAATAATTGTTCCATAAGACTTGCTTGTACATCCATTCGGTGTATCACCCGTGGCCGTTGTTACACTCTCTTGCCAGGGATTGACTCATCATTCTTCTCATCTCATCTTTCATCCCACTCTTCATCAATCTTTCAACCTCACATACCAAGAACAATCTGTCATCTTTTCACCACTAGGTAGCCATCTCATCACACACCAGCATAGCACAAGATGGCCTCGAGCACAACAAACGCCGGGCAAGACGAAGCCCTCCCCATCGTCAACCTCAAGCCCCTCTTGACCAAGCTCTGGCCGACAGACACCATCGTCACGCCCGACGAAATCGCCGACGCAATCTCCCACTTCTTCACAAACCAGGTCAGCGAGGCGCAGACGGCGTCCCTGCTCATGGCCCTGCACTTCACCAAGCTCGACTTCAAGGCCGACGTCCTCGAGCGCTGCGCCTATGTCATGCGAAAGGCCGCGGCGCCGATCCCCGTCGAGGAGCTGCAGAGCGTCATACAGGCGCGGGGGAGAAAGGAGGGCACGTACACGGGCGGACTGGTGAGTGTTTCCTTGAGATTTACGCATTTGATTTCATATCTATCTGGTGATTTTCATATACATCGGAGCTCTCTATATATCTACCTCTATATATATCTATGTATATATATATCAAAGATGTGTGCTTTTGGCTGATATACCCGCAGTGCGACATTGTCGGTACGGGAGGCGACAACCACGACACCTTTAACGTCAGCACCACCTCGTCCATCCTCGCCTCGTCGCTGCTCCTCGTCTCCAAGCACGGCAACAAGGCCAGCACCTCGAAATCAGGCAGCGCCGACATGGTCAACTGCATGAAGCCCCGGCCGCCCATCATCAGCGCCGTCAAGCCCGAGACGCTGGTCAAGGTCTACTCCAACACAAACTACAGCTTCCTCTTTGCGCCCGTCTTCCACACCGGCATGCGCTACGTCGCGCCCATTCGAAAGCAGCTCCCCTGGAGGACCATTTTCAACAACCTGGGCCCGCTGGCGAACCCCGTCGAGGACGTCTTGGAAGCCCGGGTCATCGGCGTCGGAAGACGGGACCTCGGCCCCGCGTTTGCTGAGGCTTTGCGAGTCGCCAAGTGCAGGAAGGCATTGATTGTCTGCGGAGAGGAGGAGCTGGATGAGATCAGCTGTGCGGGGAACACACTCTGCTGGATGTTGAAAGAAACGTCCCCCGGAGGCGAAGTTGTGGTCGAGCATTTCAAAGTCCACCCGCATGACTTTGGCGTCAGCACACACGCCCTGAGTGATGTGTCTTCCGGAAAGGAGCCGGAGGAGAACGCCGAGATCCTGTGTCGTATCCTCAAAAACGAACTTCCGCTGGATGATCCGGTCGTCGAATTCGTCTTGATCAATACCGCCGCCCTTCTTGTCACGTCCGGCATCTGCGAGGCGGACACCAGTGACATGGGCCACGGCGATGATGGAAAGGTCATCAAAGAACGAGGCCCTGGTGGCCAGCGCTGGAAGGAAGGAGTGCGAAGAGCAAAGTGGGCCATCACAAGTGGTGAGGCCTGGAGACAATGGCAAGCGTTTGTCGATGTTACCAACGAGATTGGCAACTGAGTTGCCCCTGCTGGGCAGGGCCAGAATAGCATTTCTCTTCTTTCTTTCTGTAAGACTTGAGGGCTTGGACAATATGTGTGGAAGGGCAAATGATTATCCCGTTGAGTCCGTATGGTACGATTGACGACGATTGTCTTTATGAAGGAGTCCAGGACTGATGCAGCTGATGGCGAGAGCGTCGGTCTCGTTTGAGTTCGTAATTCATGGGCAGCGACCTTGTAGACTTGAAGGAAACGACGGAATGAGGCCGTGACACGGGAGGCTCCGATTGTCGGTCGAGCTCAGGCGAAGCGAGGCCGCCGGAATGGACCCGAGGCGGCCGACCGTCATCGAGGCGATATGCGCCCGCAGACCCATTCGAGCCGGTAGAAGCCTTGCGTTCGGGCGCCACAGCCGGATGATGGTCGAGCGACAGGGAGTAGTTCTCGTGAAGCCTCGCCTCCCATTCCTTCCAGTCCTCCTTGAGACCAACCAAAGACTCCTCGTCCCGCGACGCAGGAGGCAGCGACTCCTGAGCCGGCTGGGGCTCCTCGTGGGTTTCCGCAATCGGCTCCTCCGGCGGCGGCTGGTTGGAGACGGCGCGGTACATGATACGTGAAGCGGGACGATCCAGGGGGTGGATCGCCGTGAAGATGGAGCCCGCGTCCCCGTTGAGGTCCATGTTGGAGCTCCGAGTGGCCAGCGACTTGCGGATCATGGCCTGTCGCTGTGCGTCATCGACCTCGGAGATCGTCGACATGACGCTTTTCCTGTAGGATTCCCGGTTTGCCGTCGTCGCAAGAGAGCTCCTTCTTTTCCGCAGCTGGCTGTACGTCTGCCCTCTGCGATGCCTGACCACGAGAAAGGCGACGACGGCGGCGGTGCAGGTGACGCCGACGAGGAGGCCGACGACGATGTAAATCAGGGTTGTCCGGGGCAGCTCGCGCCGTGAGAGAATCGCGGGTTTGTCGTCCATGGCGGCGACTGTTTGCGCTCTGGCGATCAACGAGCTTGGCAGATGCATAGCTGGGTGAAGGAGAGGATCGAGAGGGTTGAAAGCTGTGAATGGAATGGATCTTATCGGTGTTGGCTGTGAGGAGGCGCTGTGAATGAGGTGAGGTTATATAGGAAATAAGTTTCCAGATCAAAAACCGGGTCGAATTCCGTATCGTTCGTGACACTATCAATAGCGCATTGCGAACGAACCACATGCAATTACAGATACCGTGCCGCCATGGTGTAACGCGAAGCATCCCACATGACGGATCAACGAGTTGGCGTCAATCAGGGCTATGTGCCTTGGATGGCGTTGGCAGCCTCGTCTCGTTGGACCCAGAATACCGGCACAGCCTCCCCAGCGTAAAGAGGTCGCAGATGAGTTAATGATCCCCACGGTATCTTCCCTGCTCTGCAATTGGCAGCGAACAATAAGAGCAAAAAGAGGGTGTTACGATGTGAGCGAGAGAGTGTGTGTGAGAGAGAGAGAGAGAATGAGGCTGGAGGGATGGCCTCTGGGGTTTTGAATGTAACAGAACCAGAAAGTCGAGAGACGAACGACCAGTGGGCTATGCGGCATTGGCAGAGCAACAGCGCGCGCGGTGCGGAAATATTAATAGAAACAATGGGAGGAAAATCTGCCAGGGGATTGCGAATGCAACGGCGTAATACACGGTTACGCCATCATGTTTACAGTACTCTTTACCGGGGGGCAAGGGAGGAGGAAAGGCGGATACGACGTTTGACGGGTTTCTGGTGTGCGCACACTGTTGATCATCGTGTAGGCGAGTGGGGATTTTTGCTGAGCAGTACATACATAGTGTTTGCCTCTCTGTCATTCTGCCCTTTTTTTTTTTGGTTTCATCGCCAGGATTATCCTGCTCTTGTGTTACTGACAGGAGAAAAGTCAGCCTGCTGAATGCCCGCTTGTTATCAGCGAAGCGATGTTGTGGCCCGGGGGGGGTTGGATCGTGGACGCCATGGGCAGCCTGTTTGGGAATCGTCTACAGACTTGAATGGGTGGTGGATAGCCGGGGGGGTATTATGGAAGCGATGGCGGGAGTTTAGCCTCGGGGGAAGCAGGTCAAAGCTCGTCGAGCGTCACATCAGCAACGGCGGGTGTGACACGGATACGGACAGCGTTTTGCCTGCTCAGCCGCCGGGAGGTGGGATGAGGTGGTTTGTCGAGAGTTTGGCGAAGAGGAAGAGGTGGCAGACAGTGCATACCTATGCATAGATGGGTGCTTGATTTGGATGATTGATTGCGACGCTGGAGTCGACAGAGTGTATTGCCTGTGGAACAACAAGACTGGTGTATGGGTACTATGTCTTGAAATGGATGAGCTATGAGATGACAAGGTGGTCAGTCTTGATGAGAGAGAGTGTCGGATTTGCTGCGTCTAGTATTATCATGGATGCTTGTAGAAGGTCGTGTATTCTAGGCCAGGATTGGTCCAGGCGCTAGATGTCAATACATGTACCTGAGCGTTGCTGCGGGAATACATAGTACATGTACCCACCTCGTATCTCTCAACAGACGAGCTCATGATGTCTTGAGCAGACATAAGGTTGGTGTAATAATCGCTACTGTGGAGAGTACTAGTATTGCTCAGCAAATGTTCACTGAGACAATCATGTGCAATACCTAGAGTCTGCATGTCTCGGTATCGTATTATTGAGTGAGCTTCATCTCGGCAAAGCCACATTGATCGTCTTCTGCTGACACTCGCATCGACACTAGCATCGTGCTCGGTAGGTACCTGAGGTATGCATCATCACAAGTCACCAGATGCGCTACCTCACTTCAAGTCTGTGGCGGTCTTGAAGTAAACCCTCAGGCGACTCCAAGTAACCAGTAGACTCTCTTGCTTTGTCGAGGCTTCATGCCATCTGTCGCAGCCTTTACTCATTCGTGTCTCTCGGCGTCTGTTCACACTCACATAACCAACCACACACAAGCCCGCTAACCCGCTAACCTCATTTGCCCACTATTATGAGCCGAATCCAGCCGACCCCATGGGGGGGTCCATAGCTCAAAACAGCAGTAACTGGGCAATTGCTCAGGTGCAACTGAATGACACAAATTCCAACCTCAACCACCTCAAGTTCAGCCGTTCATGGTCTATGAGCATCTGCTTTGTGTTGCAACCTGCTTTTCTTTGTCGTCATTGTTATTCTCTGTCTTGCTGTACTTATTAAAGCATGTCCCAACTTCGGGCCCTCGTCAGGCTCTCTCGGCCAGGGTCATCTCCTGCTCCATGGCTAAAAAGAGCACACAGCATGCGCCGCTATTCTGCGGCTGCCGTCAACGCGAACCCCCTGCCTCTTGAGGGCTATCGAGTGTTGGACATGACGCGAGTGTTGGCTGGTGTAAGTTTCTCGACATACTCTATATATGGGCGCACCTGTGTGTTGATGCCATGTCTATGTGACCTCGGCTAACCTGCCCGCAGCCATATTGCACTCAAATCCTAGGAGACCTGGGGTATGATTCTCGCATGATTGAGTGTTCGCAAATAGCATACTGACTGGGGGAATATCAGCGCCGAGGTCATCAAGATTGAGCATCCAACACGAGGAGACGACACCAGAGCATGGGGCCCTCCATATGCCAAATACAAGCCGGGCTCTGGCCGAGAAGGTCCTGGTGAATCGGCCTATTTTCTCGGGGTATGAAGCAATTCGGGTGTTGGACCTGTTCGACTTCCAGGACCAAGAAAGCTAATATTTGGACAACTCTTCGTTTGACGTTTATTTTTAGGTCAACCGTAACAAGAGATCTCTGGGGCTGTCATTTCAACATCCTCAAGGCGTCGACATCCTTCACAAGCTGGCGGCGAAATGTGACATTCTGGTTGAAAACTACCTCCCGGGCACGCTGTCCAAGTATCAGATGGACTATGAGAGCCTTCGAAAGATTAATCCCGGACTCATCTACGCCTCCATCACGGGCTATGGCCAAACCGGGCCTTACTCAAACCGTGCCGGCTACGACGTCATGGTCGAGGCCGAGTTCGGCCTCATGCACATTACGGGCTCGCGAGATGGCCCGCCGGTCAAGGTGGGCGTGGCTGTCACTGACTTGACCACGGGTCTTTACACCAGCAACAGCATCATGGCGGCGCTCTTATCAAGGGCCAAGACTGGAAAGGGCCAGCACATCGACGTGGCTCTGAGCGACTGTCAAACAGCCACCCTGGCCAACATTGCGAGCAGCGCTCTGATTAGCGGCAAGAAGGACAGTGGCAGATGGGGGACTGCTCATCGTAAGTCGGCCCAATCGCTCAAACCAAGTCGGGAATGAAGTGCTGAAACACCCCTTTCAGCGTCCATTGTCCCGTATAGGGCATTCAAGACAAAGGACGGAGATATTCTCATTGGAGGTGGCAACGACCGGCTCTTCGGCATCCTCTGCGACGGCATCGGCAAATCACACTGGAAGGACGACGTCAGGTACAGAACAAATGCCGACAGAGTCGCTCATCGAGACGAACTCGAGGCAGAGATAGAAGCCATCACAAAGCAAAGGACAACGCAGGAGTGGCTAGACGTGTTTGAGGGCTCCGGAATGCCTTACGCCGCCATCAACGACATCCAGGGGACGCTCAACCACAGCCACACCAAGGCCCGGGAGATGGTCGTCGAGATTGATCACGAATATTGCGGGCCGATCAAGATGGTCAACACGCCAGTCAAGTGGTCGGAAACCCAGCCCAAGGTCAGGACTCCTCCTCCGGTGCTGGGCCAGCATACGGATGAGATTCTCAGCGAGCATCTTGGGATGAGCGAGGAGGATATTGCGGCACTGAAGGACCAGGGAGTGGTACGATAGATGCATGAGATATATGAGATTATGAGAGGGCATGTACACATTAGACACGATCTAGAGGACGAGCGGCAAATGACTGATTCACAGCAGAAATGTCAAAGAGATCGAACACAATTACGAGGAGTGCTGGTGAGCGGCGAGGGAGACACAGTGCAAGTTTGCTCAAGGGGGCAGATGTCTTACTGTCGTGAAAGGAGTCATGTGAAGAGTCACATGATCCTCCTTCTGTCTTTTCCTGCCTCACGCTTTCCGAAAGTGGCTCCTTCCCGACAATCGTAAGACCATCGCGAAATCATGTTTTAGGCCATTGGGGGAGTTTCTCAAATCTTTTCTCTTTTTCTTCTTTCTTTTCCACCTAATCTTTAATTCATAGGTCGAGATACATGCGGGTGCGCAGTTCTCGCTTCCTTTGTGTGTAAGTGCCATGTGTTGAAAACGGGCCTCTTCGGTTCACACGCCATAAGCCTCTCAATCACACCACGCGGGTCACACTCAAACCGGACTGCACAATGGAAACGCCATCGCCAGTCCTCTTGAACGGGTCGAGAGATGAGGATGTCACTATGCGAGACTCCCCAGCAGCTGTTGTCGGTGAATCTCATCCAATTGCCGATCTTATCACGGAGAATGGCCCGGCTCCAGGTTCGGCACTACGGCCTTCATATACACCTCAGTTTTCATCAGCAGCATGGATCCTCAGTCGTATGAGAGATGAGCAGCAGCCGGCGGAATCAAATTTGTCGACTGGATCAGTGGCGGCTACGCAGGCAGAAGATGGAGGAAAGGACGGTTTGACGGAACAGCATGGCTTCAGCGTACACGATACGCTGCCAATGCCTCTATCGTCGGCTCACAAAGCCTTCGCCAGCGTGGCCGACATAATCGCGGCGGGCTCTCGGCTCATTGGAGTAAAGAGGAAGCGAGAAGAGGGCGATGAGGGAGATGAAAAAGATGACTTCAGTCAAAACACAATAGCCCTTCCCATACCGGCTCCCACGCCTGCGGTGATGCCATCGGCTACAGAGACCCCGAGCGGTGCGCTGTCAGACAGCGATTCAAGGTGCTCCAAATGTGGTGAGGGCCCATTGGGACTACAGAACACACTCGTTACATGCAGCAGCTGTTCCAAGTCATGGCACCAAGGGTGTGTGTCATTGACAAATAAAGAGGAGGATCCACGACAAATCTCGAGATTTACATGTCCCTCATGCTTGAGGATGAGCGACAAAGATACGATACTGCGTACGGGCCGCCATCAAAGCGAAACAGAGAGAAGACGAGCAAAGAATCTGGCGGCTTTGCCAGAGGGCGTCGTTCCGGCCAAACCAGAACTGGTTGGATTCTGGGCCGGTCAAGCATCGGACGCAGCAGTAAGTCGATGCAGACATCTCTGAAGAACCGAATTCCGAGGGACTAACTCGAAGACTGCAGTTGACGGAGTACTTCTATGGGAAAAAGAAAACAGATCTCTTGAATGTTTTGTCATTCTGCGACCAGCTCAAGCCGCAGTTGCTGGTCGACATCATGGTCTCTGTCGCAAAGAAGCATCCCGAGCTGCCCATTTTCGACTCTCCAAGCTGGAACACCAAAGCCATGAGCGCCATTTCAGTCAGGTCGAAGCATTCGCATCAATCCAAATCTACCACGCGACTGCGGCATGGGCACACCGTGCTAGAATCCAGGATCAAGCACAAACACAAGGTCTTGAAAAAGACGATCAAGCCGGCGCCTGTTCCCGTGGAGGAAGAATCGCCGTCAACGGATTATCAGGATGCTCTTCCGCCATTGTGGCCCAAGGCTGGTGAGGGCCTCTATGCTAAGCTTTGTCCAGAGGATGAAGACCGAGCGTTTTTGTTGGATGAGAATGATGAAGAGGCGTTTAGTCATTTTGGGGTGGACAAGTTTGGCAAGCAGATTTCTATTCCTGTAAGTGTTTGACAACGGGAGTTTCTTGTGGCATATCGGGTGCTTTCGTGGGATCATTTTTACAGCATCAGATAACATACCTCAATCAGCCATTCAGACATATATTACGGTTCTCAATGTAAGATAGCAGAGGCAAGGGTAATCTAGCCCGTTGATTCAATGATCCAAACTAACTACACATTAAATTATCAAATGCTTCTAATATCTAGAATAGGGATTGCTTCACTCATCAGCTCCGTCTTGACATTGATCCCATTCTTTTTCGCTCCAAGATCCAACACCGCGCTCTTTCATGCAAACAAAAACCCATCATCCTCCGCTTCCTTCACCCATCTCTCTCTCGCAAAACGCAAACTTCTGAACGGAACCGAGATCCAACCCCTTCAACTCACAGTCTCTCCGACTCCCGACTCCTCCAACCCTCAACTTCTCACGACACTATCAAGTCACAGCTCGCAACTCCTCCAACTTAATTTCTTCGGCCCACGATCCCCAACTCTCAACCCCTTAACCACAGTTCTCAATGCAAGCCATTTAGCAAGTGTACTTGTACTGAGAAAGGAGAGGCTTGTTGAGGCTAAGGCTGGCGCACAGCAGGTCCTTGACAACAAGGTGGGTGACAACGTTGGCAGCGGTGACGCTGAGGATGACATCAGGCAGGATGGTGACGCCGACAAAGGCAGCAAGGTGGGCACCAATAACACCAGCGACATCGACGTCGACATCGAGGCCGACGTCGATGAAGTTGTGGCAGCCCTTGGTGCTGAAGGAGACGCAGTCGAACTGGCACTTGCCGAGGCCGAGCAGGCAGGCGGCAGCCTGGATGTGAGAGAAGACGCCAGCGGCCAGAGAAGCCTCGACGTCGACGGCGAGGACATCGAAACCAAAGACCTTGGTGTTGAAGATGACAAAGGCCTCGGCGAGGGTTCCAACGAAGAGGGAGGCGAGGCCGGCGGAGGTGCTGCGGAGGTCGGTGCTGATGGAGGAGGTGAGGGCGAGGTCGAGCTCGACGTCGAGGTCGATGCCAAGGCCCAGGGCGGAAATCTCAGCCTCGATCTCGACCTCGGCGCAGAAGGTGAAGGTCTCGAGGGAGACCTGGCACCAGGCGTGGGTGGCGTCGTACTTTGTGAACTTGGTCGGGGAGACGGCGCAGAAGGCGGCGAGCTCGACCTTTGCGCCCGAGGCGTCGCACTTGGGCAGGGGCCAGGCGCCGGAGAGGGCGTCGCCGGCGCACGTCTTCTTGGTGGTGTCGAAGCTCTGGCCGGGCGGGCAGGCGCAGGCCTTGGTCCAGGGGCTGTAGGACATGGGGGCCGGGCACTTGAAGCCGTGGGCGAGGTCGAGGGCGGCGTTGATGTCGACGGAGGCCTCGGCGATGATCTTGGAGCCGAGCTGGACGTTTACGTCAACGTCCAGGCCAGAGCCAGAGCCAGAGCCAGAGTGGGAGCCAGAGCCGTTACCGGGTCCAGTGTGGGTGTTGGTGTGGCCGGGCTTGCCGCTGGAGGCGGGCTGGTTGGGCTGGGAGCCGTGGTTGGAGGCGGGGAGGGAGCCGGAGCCGGTGCTGGGGTCAGAGCCGGCGACACCGCTGGGGACGGCGTAGCCAGGAGCACCGCTGTGGACACCGCTGGGGACGGCACCGGAGCTGGGAACGCCGCTGGGGACAGCACCAGAGCTGGGAACGCCGCTGGGGACAGCACCAGAGCTGGGAACGCCGCTGGGGACGGCAGCGCCGGAGCCGGAGCCAGAGCCGGGAGCGCCGCTAGGGACGGCGTAGCTGGGGGCGCCGTGAGGAGCGCCGCTGGGAACAGCACCAGAGCTGGGGACGCCGCTGGGGACGGCACCAGAGCCAGGGGCACCGCTGGGGACAGCACCAGAGCTGGGAACGCCGCTGGGGACACCGCTGGGGACGGCAGCGCCAGAGCCAGAGCCAGGAGTGCCGCTGGGGAGAGCGTAGGCGGGAGCGCCGTTAGGAGCACCGCTGGGGACGGCACCGGATCCAGGGGCACCGCTGGGAACGCCGCTGGGGACGACGCTGGGAGCAGCGCTGTTCACAGCAGCGGAGCTGGGAACAGCAGCGCCGGAGCCAGAGCCAGGAGCGCCGCTGGGCAGGGCGTAGGCCGGAGCACCGTTGGGAGCGCCGTTAGGAGCACCGCTGGGGACGGCACCGGAGCCAGGGGCACCGCTGGGGATGGCGCTGTGCACGGCAGCGGAGCTGGGAATGGCAGCGCCGGAGCCAGAGCCGGGAGTGCCGCTGGGAAGGGCGTAGGCAGGGGCACCATTAGGAGCACCGTGATGAGCACCGTGAGGAGCACCGTGAGCACCGTGAGGAGCACCGCTGGGAATGGCGCTGTGCACGGCAGCGGAGCTGGGAATGGCAGCACCGGAGCCAGAGCCGGGGGTGCCGCTGGGGAGGGCATAGGCAGGGGCGCCGTTGGGAGCACCGCTGGGGACGGCACCGGAGCCAGGGGCACCGCTCGGGACGACGCTGGGGACGCCGCTGGAGCTGGGGACGGCAGCACCGGCGCTGGAAACGGCGCTGGGGACGGCGTAAGCGGGGGCGCCGCCGTTGGGGACAGCGCCGGAGCTGGGGATGGTGCCAGAGTTGCCGGAGCCGGTGCTGGTCGGGTGAGAGGTGCAGGTATCCGCGGCCGGGGCCGCGGCCATGGCGACCGTGGCCAGAGTGGCGACGGCGGTGAGGAAACGCATCGTGGACGGCGACGGTTTGTTGTCAAGTTTGGAAAATGAGTGACTTGAGTTGGTTGATAGAGAGTGTTTTGTCTGAAAGAGTGACTGGAGGGCCAGAAAAAGAATAAATCTTTCCCTGGGGAGGGGGAGGAGGAAGAGGGGGGGAAGAAAAGGAATGTGGGTGGTGGTGAGAAAGAAGGGAACGGGAATGGGAGAAGATCAACGGTTGTTTATATATACAGGTGAAGTTCACAATCTCTTACTCCCTTTCGTATCCTTTTGCTTTGAGCTGTGGCAGGGTGTGTCTGTGTGTGTGTGTGTGTGTGTGTGTGTGTGTGTAGCCTTGCTTGGTTGCCCCCTTATTTGCTGGGGCGGAGGCGATGGGTGCGGATGGGCTAGCAGGGAGTGGGATTTGCTTCTTTCGCTTGGAGACTTTTCGCTTTCGTCGGTGTCGTATACTGGGGGGAAGACGTGCTGTTACTGGGCGAGAGAGTACGAGAGATTCGACGACGGAACACCGGCTACAGGGGACTACGTAGACCGCTATACGTGAACTCATATAATGGTGGCGTTGGCCATGTGTTTTCCGGGGCGCAGATTGGGGGTTGCGGCTGAGTTTGTGGTTTGGGACAGGGTTTGCGGTATATGGATGCATGGGATGGTCGTCATTTCGTCTATGCCGTTGGCTGGATGGACATGACTCTTGGTATGGGATATCGTGCACGACGAATCATGGTGATGCGGACTATCATTCCATGTATGAGCAGGGTTGACTGGACTGTTGTGGCTCTACATTCTCTGTTATGATGAAGACGATGGCAGTTGAGCTTCTTACTGCCTCTGTCATCATAAGTAACATCATAAGTAAAAGACAATGGCATGTCGATTGAGTTGTGAAGGTGGAACTGCTCGACTCTCGGTGAAGCCTCCCCTCCCCCCTCCCTCGTTTTCCCCCTCTCGCCGTATCCACCAAGGTTCTTGTGCCGTTGAGGAAGCAATCTCGTTCAACACTGAGATGTGATAAGACTTAGCATGACGTTCCCTTGGCATCTGTATTAACACTTTGTTCTAGAACGCTGCAGGCGCACCGGGTATTCGGTACATCCATGTCGTTCTTGGTTAATGAACAATCTGCTTCATTCAGAGGACTGTGACGTGGTTCGATCCTGAAAGACGGCAGAGAGGTACGCGTTAACGAACCCGTGCTTTGACTCGAGGGGCCACACAGGTTCGTGATATAGGGGGGAACTGGCAAATGAAACACCGGAAATCTTCAGCCAAGTCTACACCACAAAGAATCGTCAACAGGCGTAAAACAGCAACACAGGAGACAAGGGCAACGAAGGCAGAGGACGACAACCTAAGCCCTCCCTCTCCCGTCGTGTTACCCACCAAACAAGGGTATTACCATCTGCCGTGTTGCCCCCTGTCTAGACCACGGGCAGGGGCTCGGAAAATAACACCTAGACACCCATGTCGATATGGAGTCCCCGGAGCTAGTAGTAGTAAAAAGCGTTTTCTTCAACGGCTAAGAGCCGTTTCCAAGCAGGCTTCCATGTTTCGCTTCGAATGTCATTAATGTTGTATTATGTATAATCTATGTAGGTTGTCGGCATCTGCACAATACGACGCGCGTTCCATGTACTCTTCGTATAACAGAGTTGAACCTGCTATTATTGCCTCCGTATGAATAATTGGCAGTCAATTGGTAATTAAATGAGAGCTGTTGTCAAGGCACCCAAAGACGACAAAATCACCCAGAAAAAGAGATGAGCCGCCCTCTCCACACAAAGACTCCAAAGATCCTCCATGGTGATACACGACCAGATGAAAGCAATCTCAGCCGACGATCCGAATCGCAGATCAAACCTCTTCTATACCATTTCCAGAGCCATTTTTCAAAAACCAAAGAATGACGTGCACAGCGTCAGCAGTAGCACAACCTCCATGTCCATCTCCCACAACATGCATGCATGCATGCATGCACCTCAAAACTCCACAAATCCAAAATTATTCCCCAAACATCATCATCATTGCCAAACCCGTCAAAGATGATTGTCTGTCGATGCACGCAGAGCGCTGTTTTTCATAATGAATGGTAGTACTAATGAAGGAAATAATAATATGGCCCATCGCTAACCAAGATTTTGATCGACACTTTTCCCCCTTCGCTTCCGCAGCGTCCATGCCATCCTTGTCCCCTTTTTCTCTTTGCTTCCTTGACTACCCCGGTCAGATGCCGCCTTCACCGAACCGAAGTCGCTCGAGATTCCCGCATAACCCGATTGATAGGGGGCGGGGGTCCAAAGAGCGGGAGAAACCACTTTCTGCTTGGCAGGAAGTGGTAATAGGATGAGGGAAATGTCGATGAGGAGGCAATGTCTGGCTAAAGCATGTGTAGGCTTGTGTGAACTGTAGATGAGTTGGGTGCAACAGTAAACAACAGGACTATCGTTATTAACATTTTCGCCGTTGACTTCAGAACTTGACAAGTAGTTGATAAGCATACATTAATACGTGTCATTATAGTCACGGTTCTACTTGTGATCAGACGCCTGAGTTATCTTATTTAGATTATCACTTCCTAAGCCAGAGGTTCTAGGGTAGATCCAACTCGTCCATCCCCATGCCCACACAGAAGGGTCAACGCATCTCGGCTCAGACTTGCCTTTAACAACGTCACTGCTACCGGCTCCTTGATATTAATGACAAGACAGACATCCGGGAACCAAAGGGTTAGCTGCAAGCAGCAAACGCACAGTCGTTCCACTTGACGCCGCTCGTCGCCGTGATAGCTCGGAAGTATCTGTTTTCGTCATCACCACCGAGACCGCCCTCTCCTGCTTCATCAACACTCTCTCCCCCGTCTTGATGGATGGAAGCGCAGATCTAACATCCTCAGGGAAGAAGAAGGGTGGTGCCCTTGACCTTGCCGCTTTCCATCTTGGCAGTCCGCGCTCCAAATTGAATCTGGGGGAAAAGATTAGTTCTAGTCAAGGGCCCGGGATGCTCGTTGAGCCCGTCACTTACCGCTCGCTTCTTCTCCGTCGCCACTGAGCGCATGCCCAGACTCTCCGCCAACAGACGCAGCACCCTCTTCTCAGGCTCCAAATCACACCCATTTCCCTGGTTGTCGAAATCACACTTCTCCCACGCTGGCAGCTCGACTGCCCACTTGACCAGACTCTCGTCAAGATATGGAAACCTCACCTCTCTGCTCCAGTGAGCCATGACTCTGTCGTCTCGTCCCAGGTTTCTCTTGCCTAGCCGGCCAACGTCCAGTTTCAGCTCATCTATGAGTCCCGGATAACCGCTGCGCGTAAAAGCGGTGGCGTGCCGGACATAGCCGCCAAACAACTCGTCCGCGCCGAGCCCTGACAGCAATACGCGAGCTGTTGTGCTATACGGTTCAGCTGCCTCCAACCCTGGGGCCAACTGTCCCATCCCTTGACCTCTTGCCGCAAAGTACAAGGCACAAGCGATGGAGAGGTCCATTTCCGTGTTGTGAGGGTAAATGAGGTCTATCAACTCTGCTCGATGAGCGCATGTCTCATCATAGGGAACGTTGACCTGGGCATGTTGTATTAATACGAGCTTCGTAATCGCTTCGTGTGGCGGAGTGCTTACAGTAACAAAGCGCCACCGTCTATCTGGACAGACGGTTGACAGCTCCGCAAATGACTTTCTCCCAGTCATCCTGTCAGGACACAGCTCGTACAGCTCATCAGTGGACAGCCCTGCGTTCTGCGCAGCAATTCGGGGATTCTCAAAGGCCACATTGATCAAATCAATGGCCTGCTCTGGAGGAATCATGTCACTGGCCATCCTGGCGAGAACAGTGCAATCCAGGCCTCCTGAGAATAAGACTGCAACGCGGGCGTCTGACATCTCCGCCATGGGAGGTCTCGGAACATTGAGGACCCTGAGCTGGAGGGACGCCGTCAGATGGTGCCGCAGCTGCTCTACTGAGGGCGACTGGCTGGTCAAGGGAGCTGTCGTGACCGTAGAGGCAGGTACAGAGGCGTTGAAGATGCCAATACTTGAGACCTAATGGTGATAAGATGAGTAGCACGGATGTCGGTTGGCATGTCTTTACTTGCCAGTAGCCTCTGAGAGCGCCTCAAAGCAAACTTACCAGGTCTTTGTTCTCGTCCCAGTCATGGCGTACCGGCACCAGCTCCGCAGGCGAGTCTGTTGCATCCAGCTGAACGGTGTAGCAGCCATCAGCTTCGACCTCGGCCCATCCCTCGGCTGGGGCTTCTGCGATGCTGGAGAGCAGGAACTCGTCTCCCCTTTTCAGGAGCAATGACCGTCGCCCGAGGCGATCCCGTCCATAGTACAGCCGCTTTGCTCTCCTGTCAAGGAAGATGAACGCAAAAGGACCGTCGATGGACCGCAGAGCATCAAGGACACTATCCTCGCTGCCCTGATCGCGACTCGCTGCCGCAGTCAGCAGAGACAAGACAGCCTCGCCATCGTTCCCTTCAACGGGGTTCCCGCGGAGCTTCCAAGCCTCGCCGTTCCAGCAGAGCACGAATCCGGATTCCGCGTCCACCAGCGGCTGCTTCGCCAGATGGTCGCCGCGCAGAGACAGAACCGTCGAGGTCAGGGTCACGCAGAGAGAGCCCTCGGCTGGGGAGAGCTGCGCCTCTACCGTTCCGAGATGGTCCGGCCCGCGGTTCCGAAGCCGTCGCTCAAGCACTGGAGACAGTCTGTGAGGGCGGCCATTTGCTGTTACGGCGCCATGGATGCCGCACATTGTCGGGCGCGCGTGAGGCGGTTGGTTGGCGTTGGCAAAGGGTCAAAGGCGAGCAAGTTTGGGATATTCTCGATATCAGAGGCGCTAAAGGGATGGGTTGGGGCATGCGCCACGACACAGCCACACCTTGATGCTACAGGTATCTGGTACCTTAGTACTTGACTTGAGCCTTCACTTGGTCCTTCATTTGCTTCAACAGTTGTTTGTCTTGAATGATCAATTATTGACAGACGCTTTGCATGCTACAGCTACCTAAGGTACTATACGGCACCCAGAGACATACAGTTGTGTGTACACTACCATTACATCTACAGCCTAGAAGGAGTCGCTTTTCTTCCAAGGTATTTGCGTGCCTGAGCCCACAGAGTCAGATATGCGATGACCAGATGATGGAAACAGATGGAACAGATGGCACATTCAGACATACCTCGTCAACGGCGTCGTAATCGACATTCCACTTCCAAAACTCCAGACTGCTGAAATCCGCATTCATGTCCGGCACAACACTCTCCAGCAGGCTGTAGGCGTGCGGGACGCCAATGGCGGCCCTCGTCTTCCCCGACAGATGCTTCGTGTTCCAGCGCGAAAACTCCTTGATTCGCTCCGCCCTGGGCTTGCAGACGGCCTGCCAGACGCTCACAATCTGCGGAACCGTCGCCCCTGGAAGGCTGGCGAAGAGGAACTGCAGCACGCCAATGTCCTCGATGATGGTCGAGTAGCCCTGCGCCGCGTTCGGGTGCATGGCGTGAGCGGCATCGCCCAGCAGCACGATCCTGCCGGCCGGGCTGGACCAGCGTGGAAGGTTGGGCACCTCGGCGATTCGCCAGCGGTCGCACGTCTTTGCTATGCCGAGAGCCTTGACCATGTCGCTGCACGAGCCCGCGAAGAAGCGCCGCACGTACTCGATGTCGCCGTTCTCGTCCCACAGGCCCTTCTGGTCCGTCTCGCCCTCGATGGCAAACAGCAGCCCGACGCGCTTGAAGCGGGAGCTGTATCGTGTTATCACGAAGCCGCCGTCGCCCTTCCAGGCCGTGATGTTTGTGTCTTCCGTCAGCTTCATCGAGCTCGGGTCGTCGGTCAGCTTGGACACGGCCATGTCGAAGCTGTAGAACGTTGTGTTGTCGACGTTGGGATCCCATTGCTCGGGAGAGCCCACGTCTGACAGCACGGCCCGCCGAGTCTGGGACTTGATGCCATCTGCCGCCAGGACCACGTCGGCTACAACATCTTCTCCGTTCTCGAGCGTCACCGTCGCCTGTGCTGCGTCGTCGGAAACGCGCGCCACGTTTGCGCTAAATCGAATTCGCGCTCCGGCTTGGGTTGCCAGGCGATGGAGTAGCTTGATCATGGCCCTTCTCGTGGTTCCCCAGTCGGCATGCTCAGGAGAGTCGACAATGGTCCTCCGGATCTCGCCGGTCTTTAGCTCGCGGTAGGTGACGGACGAAGATCGGTCGCAGATTCGCTCGAGGAGCTTCTTGAGACCCCAGCTTTGGAGGACTTTGCTTGCGCCTGGCCTGATGCTGATGCCGCCTCCCGTGGGATTTAGAGTCGGGCTACGCTCGAGGACTTGGACGTCATGGCCGGCTGTTGCAAGGGCAAAGGCAGCAGTGAGGCCGCCTAGACCAGCGCCAATGATGACGATTTTCATGGCAGTGAATCTTTAGTTGAAGGACCTGTTGTCAGTGGTCTCGGAAAAGAAAAAGAAAAAGAAAAGGACGAAGCGGCGTCTGAGATCTTGGATACGGTTGGGAAGGCCGGCCAAGGTCTTTTCCCGCAGAGTAATCATAAGACCAGAGATGTGACGGCACCGTAATCTCATTGGCCTTGATCCATCGCGCCTCATTCTCTGCGATACTTATACTCAAGTCTTGGTGCTCGGATAGATGTCTGCCAGCCCGGCGGGTTCATCGGCTGTCCCCGTTGCTACGTTGTGATATAATCTCCGTTCATTGCAGAGCGAACACCTCTCGGATTTTAGAACGCACATACTGAAGTATTGAAGCTTAATATGTGGATTTGACTTTGTCTTTGCAACGGGATCAACGCTGGTTTCGACTGGCTATGGCGATATCAGAGTATCCGGCCTCTTGTACGAGTACTCCGTCAGCAACGACTATTACAGCTACGCCCACGAGAGGGTCGTCGATGGCTTCTTGTACCCGCCTTGTGACGGGTGTGGCTTCAGGCGGAGGCGGTAGGCTATCGAGATGACAGGGATACCTGGGCAATACTTGGTAAGCCGATGGACGAGCGAAGTCTGCAATTGTATCTGATGAGCAGTGATACTGGTGTGGTCTGCGTTGACAACCTGACCAGGTCCCCCATATTGAAGGCGAGCAGTCGACAAGTCGAATCATGGAGTAGTTCCCAGGCTCGAGGCTATTAAGCTTACAAGCTTATGCTAGCTTACCACTACCTATAGAAAGGCTTCCATCGATCCTTAGCAGAGACAAAAGCTCCAAGATCTCACGTCAGCCGCTGCAGCGACATCGAGTCGAGCCTAGAGCAACCCTCATCTAAGCCGAGTTGAGCACTGCTAACAGGGTTGTGCGTCTGTTGGTTGAAGCTTCTACTACTACTAGCTGCCATGGCTATTTCTGACGGCCTTTGACTAATGCCCTGTTAAACCCGTTGCAGACGCATCATGGCAGTGCTGTCGACTCGCAAACGGCATGGTCTGGCTCCAGCCAACGTGCGGCGCTGGAGCATTCCGTCCTATTTTTGGGCGTTGAATTGGATAAACCAGGCCTAAGAATAGCCAGCCCACGATGTTGACCCAACGGGCTTCATTGTTTGGTGTTGTTGTGCCTGGCGGCGATGGTGCTAACGTGCAGAATCCGGCGAGACTAGAAACGGATCAGTACTATGCTGATATCTGATGTCGTGGAGATGGATTTGTTGGAATGCATATAAGAAGACCGCGGTTCCTGCTTGGCTCAAGATCTTGGGTCTCTTTGCGTCGTACACCCATTAAGCACCAACTCGTGATACCCTCACCAAACCACCCTCCTCACTCTCGACATCTCACCCTTCAGCCTATCTACCCATCTCTGTAGATTCACACGAATCTCCATCTCCAAAATGCAGTCCTCCCTCTTCGCAGCCACCTTCTTCTCCCTCCTCACGCTCGGCCTCGCCGCCGAATGCCACCCCAAGGTCGAGCCCATCCCGAGCTTCTCCCTCTCCGACGGGCGGAACCTGCAAAACGACATCCACGGCAACCAGTTCGACCCCCCGCTCGACTTCCCCTTCACCATCGACCCGGCGCACACGGCCTCCTTCAGCGTGGGCAGCGCGATTGCGTGTCTGGAGAATGCGTATACGTTTGAGAGCACGAGGATTGGGCAGACAGACTTGGCGAATGCGATTCAGAATATCATGGACGAGTGCGATAACGGCGATGGGACTTCCAAGGGGTATGTGTATGCTCCTATGTTATTGCTTGAGTATAGGCAGAGCTAACGAGGGTTGTGTGTGAATAGTGGCAGGGTTGAGATTATTGGCGACACTGGACTTCCGCTTGAGATTCTGATTCAGGATCGCTCGCTTGGCTGCGACTACTAGACGCGATATGACGAGTCTGGATCACGATGGTTATACCCTTTTCTTGCTATTTCTTTGGGTTGATAAGCGGTTTTTGTAGCATTGGCGCAGGGCTGGCTGTTATAGATGTTGGAATAGACACTTTATACAAGCTGATTCCCCTCGAATCTCTTCAACTTGAGAAACGATAAGCTCCATTGCCCTGTCTGAAGCTCGCCAAGGGCTAAGGTAGAAGAAGACGAAAAAAAAAACCTGGCTCTTCATTTCGTTCATGCTTCATTGTCTCCATCGTCAGCCCAGATCAGCAGGCACCCGGAGTTCTTTGCGGTATATGAGTTATAGATCATCCTCCAGGTGTCACTTCTGGCCGCATGCGTTTCCCACTGACTATATGTACATTCTGCTCTATGGTAGTTTCAGTGCCCATTCTTCCTTTATTCCCATCCCAGCTTCTTACAAACATCTTGATCTGTAGCACATGTAGCTCAGGCCTATCACCATTGGCCGCACACAAAGGCCAAGTCCTGCCAGGCTCGCCAAGCTGCACTGGAGGAGGCTGAAGTCATGCAGCCAACCCACCATCTCAGCAGAACGAGTGTTGAGTGGAGTCGAGGCTACATGCACTCACAAGTACTTTCATAAGGTACGGTGGTTGGAGGCACACGTAACAGCTCGGGACTGATAAAGGGGGCAACCCTCAACAGGGCTTTCTTTGCCTTTGTCCTCTTCCTTCTCTCTCCTTCCTCTGCTCTCCAACTTGAACCACGAAAACAAGCCCTTCCTACTATTATTGAGAAGCCCGTCACTGCCAGTTTAACCAGCGGCCGTCATCAAGACTCTACTATGCAGCCTACCATGGATGCCAAACCCAACATCATGCCCACCATGGCTATGAAGTTAGCACCGCAATATGGAAGTCGAGGCACATGGTCATCTCAGTTCGTCGCGAGCTATGCTATGCCATTCAACGCCTACACAAAGACCAACAGCGATCTGGAGTTTGAGCTCGAGCAAGACGAGACTACTGGCATGCCCACCAAAGCTGTCATAACTGAAAACACCCAGAACGCTGGCCTACACGCAATGGACAGGCTGGTGCAGGACCTGTTGGCCTCCCAAAAGGGCCTGGAAGACGAAAAGCGAAAGGCAGAACAGAAGGACGCGGAGATTGCCCGACTCAAGGGAGAGATGGGCCAACTCCAGCAGAGGGAGTGCGTGGAGGACGCCGAGCAGGTGAAGGAGTTGCGGCGGCTCCTGGCGTTTCACATCAAGAACGAGGAGCAGCTGGCGAGGAGGTTCAGGGATCTGCAGGCCGTCAACAAGGACCTTGAGGCCCAACTGCAGGCCGCCGAGACGGCGCTTGAGGAACGGAACAGGCTTTTCTCGTCTCTGGAGGTGGCTCGCGCGCCAGAGGAGTAGCGATGGCAAGCTGTTGGCCGGAGAGGAAGATGAAGAATTGGGCGAATGAGGAGGCTGTTTCTTTTGATGTACAAGTTATGGTACTGCAGACAGAGCGTAGACAAATACCCAACGCGATGTCTCGTCAGTTTTCTAAATCGGTGCCCATCGAAGCCTTGTTAGTCGAGCACTCATTGGCAGAGGACAATGTAACTCCAAGTGCCGTCGTGATTGGCTCTTGATATCCGGCCGCATTGAAGGCCTCCCGCAGCATGTCCCAAGGCTGACAGCATTCACACAGAAAGGGCAGCCTAACAAAGCAGCCCGATGCTTCATTCTCATGCAGGGAGGAAGGCGACTGCAGAGTGTTGGCTGGCTGCAGAGACTGTTTGCTGCGGGAGGCCAGAAATCGAGCGCTTAGATAGATGCAAGAAGTCATGCGCATGCGTCGTTTGAATGCTTAAAGCAAGCCACAGGCCGTGCAAGCTTGCCCATCTATTCTCATGTCTTTTCTGCCCTGGCCTTGTTGTCATCATCATCAATAGCATCATACCTCAATGTCCGATACTCAGTCTGTCTTCTGGATGGACATCAAGCGCGATATGTTGGATGAAGATTGTGTTCAAACCCTGGTGAAGGACTGCGGCTGTACTCGCGAGAGAGCGGTCACATTACTCAAGGTGAATAAGAGGGCTCACCAACGTCGATGGTTGCCTCGTACTGACTTTTGATCACAGATCTGCCACAACGATGTTGAAGAGGCCAAGAGACATCACCGTGTCTTCGAGTTATATACCCAGGAGTTGCGGGACGAATCTCCATCATCTCCCTCGCCTTTTTCGGTCGAGCTTGGCCAGGGTAATCCTCCAGCTAGGAGCATATGGTCACCATTGACTCCTTCAACGTCTCGTGCAATATCATTTGAAGCGGTATCCGAGAGTGACGCTCAGGAATCTCTCCCGGACTTCAAGGAGAGCAGCCGCTCCATCGAATGGGATTTCAAGCTGCCTCGTCTTCCCGTCTTGCCCATCTTCACAGAAGACGACTTCAGCCCGGACAGCCTTGCCTCAGCTATTCAGCATGGGACCACGGTCCATCGTATGCGGGAGTATCTGAGCAACTATGATACGGCGCTCCTCAAGCAAGACATCAGCGCTAACGTCATGGGGTTCCCCCTCATCTTCTATGCCGTTGAAACCAACGACGAGAACATGGTGCGCCTGTTGATTGACTTTGGCGCGAGTGCGAGCGCTGTATATGAGACGTCACAAGTACCACTGTTGGCTTTTGCAATCATGTGTGGGGAGACACTTCAGCTTGACACCACAAACATGGTCAGCGTCCTTCTCAGCAAAGGGGCTTCGCCTTATGCTATTCCCCTGGACTTATTCGCTCCATATATCGTGGACGCGGAGAAGAGAAGAGATCAGAGAGGTGAGAGGCCAGTTGAAGAGCCTGCAGAGGCCGCGCAAGCTGCCTGGTGTTCAGAGGCGACCAAGGATAGACTCGTCAAGAACATCAATCTCACCCAGAGGTACTTTCTCGAAAAGTCTACAAAGCTGAAGCGGCCATCGGCCAGGAGACGCCAGGTGGCCCGGCTCAAGAACTGCCAAGGCCTACTGGGCATTCCGTACTTCCTGGTTGGCCAAGGTGTTGCCACAGAGCTTCTCACCCAAAGACTGCTCACGCATCTCATGATGCCTACCAAGCAGCCACTGGTCTTGTGCTTTGCCGGCCCCAGCGGCCACGGCAAGACGGAACTGGCGCGACAGCTTGGCCATTTGCTGACTCTGGACCTGGAAGTGGTCGACTGCACCACCTTTACTCACGAGATGGAACTGTTTGGCCCACGACGGCCTTATCATGGGTACGAGAAGGGCTCAGCGGTCAACAACTTTCTGGTGCAGCACGCGGGAAGAAAGTGTATAGTCTTCCTAGATGAGTTTGAGAAGACGACCAAGGAAATCCACCAGACGCTGTTGCTCCCATTCGACAACGGTAAATTGACAAGTCTGCTCCTTGATAGGTGATTTTAAGGGGCTAACATGGTGATGAACTAGGCGAGTATCGAGACAGACGCACCGGTGACAGGATCAACTGCTCCAACACCATATGGATCATGGCTACGAATGCGCTTGACGAGACCATTCTGGACTTTTACGAGCACAACGGCGCCATAGCCGGTGAGGACGTGGATGAAAGGGTTCGACTTGTCAGGCAGCTCAGCCAGCAGCTACGAGAGGCATTCCTTCAACAATTTGGTGCAAGTGTTTCCTTGTTTCATACTTCACCATAAACTCCGTCATTTGGATCACGGATGGCTAACTTTGGCACGATATATACAGGCTCCTGTGACGGGACGAATCTCGGACTTCATCCCCCTGCTGCCATTTTCCAATGGCGAACAAGCCGTCATCACGCACAAGTGCCTGCTGGAATTGGCTCACAATCTGCGCCAGCCTATAACTCTTACAAAGGGCCACGAAAGGCTCATCGGGGACATGCGGCTGCAGATTCGCAAGGATGGCACCGTATGCTCGGTTCTGGCGAAGAAGCACTACCACAGCAGGCTTGGAGCGCGTAGTCTCCAGACGGGCGCGGAAACGGTCAAGAGGATTGTCCTTGATGCGTACCTTGACGATGACGAAGAGGTTGAGGAGAAGGGGGACCTGAGAGACGCCATAATCGACGTGGATGGGGGGGAAATTGTTGGCAGGATACTTCCTTTGGCCAAGGCAAATGGTAAGGCATGATGTTAGTAGTATTTGTATGATGCTATCATGATGGCGGTCAAGGGATTCCTTTTTGGATTGAGAGCGCATAGACAACTACTAAGAATTCATTGGCTTTGTCCACGTCTTGGCCCATGTTTGACATGACAGCGCTTCAGTCTACAGGTAGGCAAGCCGGTTCAACGATATGGAAGCAACATTGAGCCTCGGACTAAAGAACATGGCGGCAACTGTGAAGTTTCATGGACTTTGAAAGCCGTGACGCGTAAGTTGGCGGTTAGAAATGTTTCATCCTAGCACGTCTGAGTGCACATCCTGCCTCCTGATACGTGGTTTGGGGGAGCGGCATTGGCCTCATCTTGTTGGACGCTCTTTGGCCTCGTTCAGGGCCGCAAGACGGGCGCTTCTTCTGACTTCTTCTGGCCTATTCTAATAACTCGTGTGAGTTACATTGAAGCACCCTGGCCCATCTCATCGCCTCCCCGCATTGGGCGGCCTACGAGGCTGCCGTCGAAATCGGAGCAACGCATTGTTAGTCTCTGGACCCTCGTCATCACCCGTCCCATCGAGGCACGAGATTCGTCGTGCTTCACCGACGGTCCAGTACTTTATCAGTACTGTCCAACAGACTGTTTCACTGGAGACACGTATGTATTTCTCATGCAGCTAACCTGAAGGCAGGCGGCAAAGCGACAGCGGGAGGCCAACCTGCCCCCCCCTCTAACTCGTGTGCTCAAGGCGGCAGTTGAGCTCATCTCCTTCAATACCCTCCTAGGTACATGAAGCTTCCATCCGACATAAATTACGCTTCGATGCCGCTCCTATACCCTCCCAAGGTCTGCACATCGCCAGGCTGTTGAAAGCTGATTTCCAGCCATGGAGGCTCAAGTTGTTCCCGCTCTGCAAAGAGCTGCTGAGATTGGAACCCTCTACGATGCAAAGAGAGATGAGTTCCTCAGCGCTTCACTATTCCCTCAAGGTCTGCCTTCTAGTCATGTGTCGACACAGCCAACCCCCGGCACGGAAATCACCGTCTCCAGATGCGCTTCCTATGGAGACGTGTTCAGAGATCTCCGTATAGACGAAACGACTGCGGTCAACATTCTCTCCGGGACACTGCGTCTCCAAGGAGCAGCCATGTTCCTCCGAGACTTCGAAGTTGGCGGAATGGTGCGCGCTGCCATCATCCATCGACTCTCTACAGTGCAGCAGACCCTCACCAGCCTAGGCGACACCTTCAAATCAGCTGGCGATTTGGCCCCCTTGAAGACGGAAGACTGCACTCACGTCGTGATCGGCATCAAATGGGGCCTGCAGACTGTTGTGGCCGCCAGCTGCCCCACGCCAGGCAGAACAAGTTCTCTTAAAGCTGAAGAGGCGACCTTTGAACGGGATCTGGAGGTTTTGCTGACTGCCATTGAGTCCGCCTCCTTTACGCCGCAGACGGCCTCTCCCAGGCTGAGCTCTCAACTGGAGCTCTGCAATGAGTTCACCATCTACAGCGATGCTTTTGAACAGGAGGGTCTACCGATGCAAAGCGTATCCGAAGTATGCGACTTCATCCGCATCGTACCCGACCATCTTCGGCAAGCAAACAGCGGCAAGGGGTTCCCAGTCGCATATACGTTGATGCCCGTCACGACGCTCAAATACATCATGCCTCTGCCGCGCGAGCTTCCGTACAACTCAACGTTCATCAGGCCCGATTATCTGGCCAACTTCATCCATGTCTTCGACGATATCGTAGCTTCCGCAGGCAGGCTTCGCAAGTATCACAACTACTTGGCTGGCCACATCATGTATGTCTCCAAAAGTCACGTTGATGAGGTTTTGGCCTCGATTGTTCTCCTGGAGGAGGGCAAGAGCCGGCTCACCGAGCAACTGTTCAACTGCTTGTCGGACGTGCGCCATGGCAGGCAGGATCCCTCAGTTCTCTTCGACCTTCATCGTCATGCGGCCCTCAGCGAGCCCACACCAAGGCAGCTCTCTGACCTTGTCGGACAGGAGACCGAGAAGCTCGACTTCATTGCAAGTGTCATCTCTCAGGGGGCCAACTACATAGGCCACAACGGACTTTCTCTCGAAAGGGTCCAAAAGGCCTACAAGGACGCTCAATTCTACGTCTTTCATTTTGATTCCGCCTCTATGAAAGGCGATCAATACTGGAGTGACAACCTGGCCTTGTTGCTCGAACTCGTCGGACAGCGAGATGAGCGCCTACCCGTCTTCATCATGGACCACGACGCGATAGGCTCCGACGCCTGTGTTGGCAATTCACGTATTGCACAGTACAAGGGCGGCGAAGTATGCACAATCGATATGTTGGAGTATCGCCAGTTTGTCTCCTCGAAATGCTTTGCTCGATGCTCCGGCGCAACACTTGATACGAGCAGGTGTCAAAGACCTGTCAAAAGACGCTTTGTCAAAGTTCCCTGCCCGAGTCCTGGGTGTGATTCCGGCCATTCTCATCAGTGGACTTGTCCGAAGTGCTTTGCAACCATCGAGTATGGCTTCAGCGACGACTTCTTCTACTGCGAGTGCGGCCGCGGACTCTTTAGTGACTACGAGTTCAAGTGCAACGATGCAAAGCACGACGCTGGCTTCAAGACGTATGATGTGGAACAGCTTCGAAAACTGCTGGGCAAGTTGGATCAAGATGACTACATCAACATCCTCATTCTGGGAGAGACCGGAGTGGGCAAGTCGACCTTCATCAATGCCTTTGTCAACTACCTGTCTTATTCCACGCTGGACGAGGCCAAGGATGCCGACTCGCTCGCTTCTGTCATTCCTTGCTCGTTCTCTCTTCAGACGATGGACAGGGAAAACCCGGAGTTGGGCATTCAAGAATTCAACGTCAAAGTTGGTGGACGTGACGATGAGGCTGACGGATCGACGGGAAACTCGGCAACCCAGAAGTCGGCCGTGTATCCCGTCATGATCGGGGCAAAGGCGTATCGCCTGATTGACACTCCTGGCATTGGAGACACCAGAGGCTTGTCTTACGACAAGGAGAACATGGCCGATATTCTCAAGACCATCAGCTCTTATGACAAGCTGCACGGCATCCTGGTGCTTGTCAAGTCGAACAATGCACGCCTAACCGTCTTGTTCAAATTCTGCCTCAAGGAGCTCCTCACGCATCTACACCGGAGTGCTACCAAGAACATGGCTTTTGGCTTCACCAACACTCGCATCTCCAATTATGCCCCTGGCGATACGTTCAAGCCGCTCAAGGCTCTCCTTGACGAGCAGTCGGATATTCCCATCTCTCTCTCGACGGCTACAACCTACTGTTTTGACTCGGAAAGCTTCCGCTACCTTGCTGCTTATAAGCAGGGCATACCCATGGACAACGAGGAAGAGTTTCGTCGAAGCTGGGACCACTCAAGCAAGGAGGCCCATAGACTCCTCAACTACTTTGCGTCTACTCAGCCACACCCTGTCACCAGCACACTGAGCCTGAACGGGGCACGAAAGGTGATCCTCGAGCTGACAAAGCCCATGGCCAGCATCTCGGACTCGATCAAGAAGAACATCAAGTTGTGCGAAGACAAGAAGATGGAGCTGAGTGATACACAGTTAACAGCAACCAAGCTTCGCAGGAGGCTGCGTCTGGAGAGAATCCAGTTCAAGGCCGTCAAGCTGGACAGGCCTCGTACGGTCTGCAAAAACCCCGACTGTTGCGATTTCAAAGACAGCGGTCTTGATGATGGAGTTGTCGTCACCATATACAAGACGCACTGCCACGCTGAGTGCTATCTTAGCAATGTCACCCAAGATGTCGTTGCTGATCCCGGCCTCATCAACTGCTGGGCATTCAACGGCACGAGTAATTGTCAAGTTTGCCAACACCGATGGCAAGAGCACTTGCACGTCCTCTACGAGCTCTTCGAGACCAAGGTCCAGGTTACAGACAAAGAGATAGAGAGGCAGCTCAAGGCCAACGCGGACGACGTAACCCTGCGCCAACTGGCGATTACTACACTTGACCGAGACATTGCAGAGTTCAACACAGAGTTGGATGAAATCCGTCGTGCGTCTGCCCGATTCTGTCTGTTCTTGAGAGCAAACGCCATCACCGTCATCAACGACGCCACGCTGGACTACCTGGACATGCTCATTCAGGACGAGCAGGGCACTATTGAGGCCGGCAGACAAAGAGGATTCTGCGTTGACGCCAACAAGAAGCGTCTTCAAGCGCTCAGAGAGGATAGAAAGATCCATCTGGAGCTCGTGGAAACCTTCAAGCAAAACATGGCTCATCCGACCTGTCCCGAGGACATGCTGCTCGACGAGCAAGGAGTCGACGCCCTCGTCAAGAAACTGTACAATCTGAAGCATTTCGGCGCCAACTTGAGGCACATCAAGTATGTCATTGACTCCTCCATCGAAGACACGTACCGTGAGCGGCCTTATCGCGTGCCCACTTTCAACTTTCGCAAGCAAGTCGCAAGTCACCGGACGCCACGCCATACGAGCCAGCGAGGGACATGGCAGGGTTCGGGTGAAGGGTATTTCCATCAGACACAGCACTCTGTGGGAAACGCGGTTGGATTTGAAGGTCATGGGTATCCGCCGCTTTCGTACGCGGATGCTACAAAGTCGATATCTCATCGGTTCAAGTCGTTTTGGGAGAGGAGCATTGCACGAGGACGGGTGAATTAGCATAACTGGCGCGAGCTTGCCTCGTCTGGCTTTAGAATAGATGAACTACATCATAGGTAGTAGCAATGAGATCGTGTACCTCTGCACTAGAATGAAAACGCCACAAGGCTATCATGTATAACTTCGAGATATATATAACGGTATAACAGTGGTTCTCTTGGCCTCCTAAACTACACATGTAAAGCCTTATTTGGCCCTCCTATTCCTTTGCTCACCTTACACAGACATTCATCAACAGCCATGTAAGAGCATAGACGTAATGACCAAGAAGGTCCGTCGGCGCGACCACATGCCCGCCATACGCAGTCCTGTCATCCTCTTGTTGAGAGAGTGCCACACCTGGCCGAGATCACAAGACTTGGCGTCGGGGCAGAGATTTCGAAAGACACGAGCCATGGCATCAGGTCGTGCGATTGTCTCTGCGGCATCCGCTGCGAACTCAAAGTTCACCAGGGCGTCCGGATCATCAGGGCGGCAGTCGTTTGACATGACGCCCAGCTTGACCAGGTAGATGATCACGGCAGCGAGACCAGTCGCCAGGGCCGTGGACACGCTGTTGGGCGACGCGCACTTGAAGTCCGCAAAGCGCCTCGTGAAGCCATCCACAAAGCATTCGTCGTCGGACATGCTGTATCTCGTTTCACTCAAGGGGAAGTCAAGACCTGGAAAGAGGAAATATCTACCCGAGTGCTCATGTCTGTTGTCGTCGAGGTCGAAAATGTCGTTAATGAAGAGGCTGCCCTTAGGATAGGCGTTGAATATATCAATCCTGTACGTAGAGCAGAACATGAGTGCATTCTCGTCTTGAACCCTCTTCAAAGCGCGGAGCACTGTAGAAAGAGACGGGATGTCAGTATCGTGACCAGTATCTTTCTTCCTTTCATCTGATACTCGTATGATATAGAAACCAAGCCTCGCCTTTTTAGCCCATTCCACACAGCATCACAGCCTGGAGAGGGAACGATACTTACTTTTCTCCTTTCCAGGTCCGTCCTGAGCCAATACGCACATCATCAGCCGTGGCATAGAGATGATGGTGGCTTTCTTCGCCAGAGCAGCTTCAATAGCCTATCGAGCAAGTCATCAGTATATGGCATTTCCTCGACGGTATTACCAAGGCGGTCCTCTCCTCTCTTACCTCGGCCAAGGAGTCTGCATCCAAGATGAGACCAGCTTTGGGAAGTCGAATGGGGTATATCTTGGCCATTGGACACACATGCAAGATGAGGTTCGCCATCACCGTTCCGTCTGACCCTGACACGAACGGTGGTAGGAATACTTCACGCATCTGCCCATCCTCAGAGTCCCAGTAGTCAAAGCTTTTGCCTATCAAACACTGGTTACGCAGCGCCTCGTCCATAATGTCGACACCGTCACCAATCACGGCGATGACGACGTCCTCCCCTGCTGTTGATGCCGACGTTTGACGGATTGCTGTCCAGTTCTCTTTCAGCGGGCGCGAAAAGTAGGACGAGCTCTCCAAATGTCGACGCAAGTCTGAGTCGTAAGCGGAATCCGTGCCAAAACCTCTTCGAATAGGGGGGGCGAGAGACTCCCGCCTGTTGTTTGATTTCGTGACCGCTTCTTTGACTATGACCTCGATCCCGGGCGAGTTCTCGGCCAGCTCTTCTCGAAACTGTGCAATGGCTTGCTCGATGTGATCCTCATCGTCACACGTCTTCAGCTTTGGTCAGCTTGTCAACAGACACTAGCTGATGAGTGAAGTCTTTTTAGCCCAGAATCACTTACCCCATGACGCTCAGGCTTGAACAGGTACACTTTTTCAAGGCCCAGAAACTTGGGCAACCCTTTCTCCCTGCTCCATGATTGAAGTACAGGGGCTTTGCCACTCCATCTCAGCCACAGTTTTCTCAAGGGGTGTTGATTGTTGTGAGGGTTCCTTTCTAGCCACTGTAAAGACGCCTTGTAGATTGCTTCAGAGTCCATATCCTCCCTTTGCCAGTCAAGACTTTCGACAGATATCTGGCTCAGACACCGCTGAATAGAATTGTCTGGGCTGATAGAGCCGTCGACGGATAAGTTGATGACATGGCGAACCCCTTTGGCGTGAAGCCAGCGGAATATGGGGGCCATGTCCTTCCGAGTAATATATTCTCCGACAACCTCTCCGTGTAGTCGAATCTCAATTGACGGGAGAATAACGGATTGAAGCACGCTATCAAGCTTGATGCCAGACGTGCTGTCTTGTCCGAAACGATCAGTGAAGTCTTGCCAGTTGATGCTGGTAGGCAAGTTGTCGTAGTGAAAGCTGATTTCGATATCTAGAAATGGATGCATGTCAGTTCAAGACTACAGAGTCAAGCGTTGAGTTTCCCAGTTAATAGCCTACCGTCGACATTCTCCCCATACAAAAAAGACGTGGCCTCGCGATGGCCTCTCGTCCTCATGTAGTGCTTTTTCAGCAGCAGTGACATCTCCTGGAATGCCGTTTCCTGTAATGGGTTTTCGCGGCATCGTTCGCCATTCATGGATTGCGCGAGCGTCTGATAGACTGAGTATCCGTTGGCGTTGCGTATCTCGAGAAAGCTTGTCTGGCCCGATCCGCCGCCCTTCTTGATGACCTGGTCGTCTCGATCAATGAGCATCTCGACGACCTTGAGCCCCTCAAGATGGCAGTGGTGGAACGATGCGGCATAGTGCATGGGCGTGTTTCCGTAGGCGTCTTGTGCGGCGAGCTGCTCGTCCGTGGCATGCTGGATTAGAACTTCTGCTGCTTGAAGATCCAAGTGCCTGGCCTTTTCAAAGAAGGTGTGTAACGCTGTCCTGTTGGCGACGGAACAGGTCTGCGCAAGTGCCTCGTCAAAGTAGCGTTTAACGACTGCGCTCCCGCTTTCGTTGCAGATGGAATCAATGTGTAGGAACAGCTCATAGGACTGGTCCTTGATGGCCAGATGTAGAGGGTTGTATCCATCACTGTTGAGGCCGATGAAAAGCTCGGGAACTTCGTTGACAAGCTTGTCAATGATGATAGGCTGGGCTCTGCGGACCAGGTGTGGCCTCAGTCTGATCAGGTCAACAACCACATGAAGGAGATTTCCCACGTCACAGTCAGATATCTGGCCAGCGGATGCGCCGTAATTTGACCAGAAATCGGCGACATCGACGTTTGGGTTAGTGATTGCGTCCTCCAGAGCTTGGACTGTAATGTAAAAGAAATTCTTTTTCTCTTGGAGTAGTTGCCCTGGAGGCTGGGCCCTCATCGTTGTTTCCGGCAGTTCTGCCAGACATTCCTTCGATTCTGACCCGTTTAGAGGTCCCAATACCGCAAAGTCGTCAGTCGACGGTGTATATACAGGCAATAGTCCTTCCTGCCAGTTCATTGCTGATGGCCCAGATGCTGTTGAGAATGCCACAAATGGAACGACACGATGGGCAGTGTGTCTTTTATATTATATAGCTACGAGACTCGTTGCAACTCTCTGCTGAACCGACGCTTCTAAATGCTCTGCTTTGATACAGCAAATATGACAGGTGCAAATAACTACAAGCTTGACCCCCATATACAGCCAGGGACGTCTCTCCGTCATTGCCTACCTCAGCTGCTATTGCCAGAAATAGACTATGTAGCACAAACAATGACATCGTGACTGACAAAGAGGTATCTTGGCCAATAACCAGACGATGTGAGCGGGGAAGGCTTCTTTCATCCAGCATCGGAGGCGCGTATAAACAAAGACAAGGGGGAAACAGCTCGTACAAACATCACGTGGGCATACATGCCCTTGAATCAGAGAAGATGTGCGAAATGAGCCACAAGGCGGCAGGCCTCCTCTTATTCTTATTTTTGTTTAACATGTTGAAGTCATACAATGCTATGGATGCCTTGCCCCCCCTGAAACGAAGTTGTGGCAAACATCTCGAAGCTGGTAGGAGGTCGAGACCCAAGAGCCAGTAATGATAATTTCCTCTTCCTGCTTGTAGCAAACGAACCAAAGGATATAGGTAGAGAATGGATTATCGTCTCATTGATGTAAACGCAGGGCGTGGAAAGCCTGATCTTGCTCCACCTCTCTCCTTTTCCGCTGCTGGAGCACGTCACCCATCAACCAGACCACGTCTTCAGTTATAACACCCAACCCTCTGCCAGATCCATCCAGATTTCCATACACGTGCTCCGTCACCACTCCAGCAAGCGTCCTGCACATCTCGTCCGCTCGCCCAGCCCTTTGTCTCAGCCAACTTGGCAAGCAGCTCCATCAGAGCCCCCCTTGAATCCCCATCCAAGCCGGCCTTGGCCCCCAAAAGCTCAATGTCCTTCTTCGCCAACAACCCGCAAAGATGCCGCAGTTCGGACTCGGGACTCATGGGCGAGCAGCTAATCTCCGTGGCAAATCGACCTCGCAGTCCGGCATTGGTCCTCAAGAGAAGATCTACGTCGTGCGTGTATCCGGCCAGGACAATAACCAACTTGCCATGATAGCGCGGCTTCATCATGCAGTCGACAATCTCGCCAACCGCGTCACACGCAAAAGAGTGCTCGCCGCTGAGCCCGAGGCGATATGCCTCGTCAATGAACAGGACCTTGCCGAGCGACCGCTCAAACAGCTCAACCACCCTGGGCCCAGTATGGCCCTCGAACATGCCAATGAGGTGCGTGGCGGAGCACTCAATCACCTCGTCGGTCGAGAGGAAGCCCATGTCGTAGAAGATGCGGCCGAGGATGCGAGCAGTGTGCGTCTTGCCCGAGCCCAGCGGGCCCTTGGAGAGGCCGGATGGGCGTGACAGATGATGCTGGGCTTGGACTTCGGCCAGTTAGTCAGACTGTTATCATTCACAAACGCCTCAGCCCCCCTACGCGAGCCGCGATCCCATTCAGTAAGAGACAAAAGCAGTCTTCAAGGGATGACTGGTGGCAGAACCTCTCGAATCCGGAGAGGACGATGGAGCTCCCTCTGTTTGGCCATGACCTACATAATGGAAAGTCTGCAGGCACTTCGGATCCATCAGTTATTGATGAGGCAAAGTATTGCCAGCGTAGTTTTCCTATAGATCGATTGCATGTCATGGCGATGGAGGAGGAGTGTCATGGGAACGTCAGTCTCACCTGTTAGAGATATATGTCGTTAATCGTCGTCCTCAAGCGCGTCGTCATGATATCCGGGGTTAGGGTAGATGGGTTGACCTATAGCCCGACATCACATTAAATCTTGTGAACGCCTAGTACTACAATTGTGATATGACTGGCCCGTTGAACCCGAAGCACCATCCTTTCCGTCGACATATCAAAGTAGTTCAGCAGTATGACTGGGTGCAACACGGATGTTGATGACCTTGTCATTGGTGATGATGGCTGGCTTGTTGGAGCATATAAGCCGGAGCGACGGGCAAAGCAATGAGCTTCATCACAGGTCTTCGGCACGTCCCCCTATGCTACGTCAACATCGCGTTCAACAGACTACCTACCCCAGCACGCCCGCACATAAAATCCCCAGTCACCCCTTGCCATGTTCAGTAATATCGTGTCATCCTTCTCCTCACATGCCCGTTCCGACCAAGCGAGCAGTAGATCGGTAACCCAGCATTACCCCAGCCAAGTTTAGCCAAAAGGGCAGGAGGTTCACAACCAACTCTCAACAACCGGCGAATTGTATCATCAAATTTCCTGTTTACCCATATTGCCAAACCACATGTAGCCTGTTGTTCATGATGTCCTATAGGGCTTCTATGACACTATGGAAACTTTTCCAACATAAACTAGGGCCAATCGAGCATGCCGCTCCTAGACAGTTGAAGATCAATCGCGGCTATGTTTATGCTGGAGTAAGGATGAAAAGCATCGAAACGGGCGTAAAGAAGGCTGGATCGTGGACATAGGTAGCTTCTCGTCGGCGAAGAGTATTCCACACAGGGACTTCCAATGTATGTGGGTTTAGGCAATTCGCATGGTAGGGCTGCGCAAAGTATTACATCGAACATGTAACAAGTCGGAGTTCCGCGCATCATGTGTTGTCATCGTGCATTTTGCTCTCCGCATTGAAACAATGGCTGTCAATATATGCAGCTTACATGCAGTCTTGTCATATATGTGACCGCACCGTTGCAACAACATCAGCTCTTCTCGATGCCCTTGAGCACGAAGCATGTAGGATAGCATAAGGTTGACGATTAAAGCCGGAGAAATAGCTCATGGATGATCAAAAGGGTCAGATAGTCTAAGAATACCATTGCTCGGTAATACCCGAATGGATCGCCATTGAGTCAAAGTCGACACGATCAACTTCCGTTTGAAGTTAATGCATCGTCCAAACTCGACGCATCACTACCTACCTCATCAACGCTCTGTCCTCTTGGGGCGCGATGTATCTCCGCATCTGACTTGGCGAATACAAGACAAAATAATGTTTTCTGAAGTCCACCTAACCTCAATTACCTTCTTGTATCTCAACTGGTTTGATTGTCTGGCCAACATTTAGCAGTATTGAACAGCTACCTGTTTGCACTGCGGCTTCGACTTACAAGGTATCCCCTGACCAACATTCAACGAGCTCCGCAACTAAGGCAATACCTACTAGCCAAGGGACAAAGCTTCTTGCTCCTACCTAGCCTTTAAACCACATAAGCTTACTGTAACCTTCCTCTTCAAGAGAATATACTCCGGCAACAACATCCAAGATTTGTCCGCCAGCAGTCGGTGTAACTCAGTATCCGGGGCATCTCACGATGTGACTTCGTCCACATCATTCGCTCTATACCATACATCCAAACGTATAAGCCATATCATATAGACCCATAAAGGGATACTCACATATATAAACATACATCATCCTGCCATCCTCACTCATCACTCACCACCCATTACTCCCATCTCCTCACCAAATAACCTCACCCAAACCACACAACACAACAACAACAACAACCGCCCACCATGCACTTCACCACCACAACCCTCACCACCCTCGCCCTCGCCCTCACCGCAACCGCCAACCAGCGAATCTGCTTCCCCGTCCCCGGCGAGCCCGCCACCGTGCCCCAGGACATCCTCGCCCTCGACCCCCAGACCAAGCTCGCCTTGGCCGCCGACCTCTGCAAGCAGTTCACCTACCCCATCGACGGCCTACAGACCTTTGTGACGCCCCTCGAGGACGGCATCGAGGGCTCCGACGGCAAGCTCTACGGTCTGCAGGTGGTGAGTTTCCTCGAAATAAATCCAGCTTAACATGATTTATTTCCATACAATGTGTTTTGCGCAAGGGGGCCAATGCTGACTTTGGGACACCAACAAACAAAAGTCTCTTCACGAAATCCTTACCGAGGCCCAATGCAACGTGAGTCCAGTTCCCCCTCTCCTTCAAAAAGCCGACCAAAAGGGGCTCTTTACTAAACATGAAATAGGTCGATGCCAACGCTCTGGTCGGACCTGAGGCTTGTCCCGGCGGCGGCCTCCTGATTCTCAGCACTCCTTTTGAGCAGTGGACGTATCTGACTGCCCTCAACTGAGCCGGGCATCACTCAGCTTCTGAAAACCCCGATGGAAGGGGGGAAAAGGGGCTCTATATCCTGTCACCTAGTGAAAGAACAAATCTCGGAAAGAAGAAAAGAAGAAGAAGAAGAAAAATACAAAATCGCCCAACTCAATATCGTCGGACATATCGTGGGCTAACCCCAGTACCTCTCGTGCTCCGTTCCAATCATGGATTTCCCTCCCACCCTCAACAGAGTCATGACCCAGTCCAGGAGGAGTAGGTTGATCAATTACACAGAGGTACGCAGCAAAGAGGAAGTTTACATTTTCGGCTATTTTGTCGTTACCCTCTTGCCAGGAAACTTTCCTATCCCATCCATCCATCTGTAGTTGCAGTCACTTATGCAAGGCTGCGTATATGGAAATAGAGGTAGTCTAGTCAACAATAAGACAATCCGATATGGTGTAGTGGCTAACATCGCTCGCTCTCACCGAGCAGCCCTGGGTTCGATTCCCAGTATCGGAGTCAAACATTCATTTTTTGCCAATTTCTTCCCCTCCAAACCTCACGACCACCACCACCATGATCACCATTAAGATCCTCTTTCCCTTGACAGCCCAGTATGAAAGATTCTTCTCTTTTTTCCCCCTCTAGCACTCAGGCAACCCGATTTTTAGTTTGGCCAGCCTATATAAATACATGTTGTTTCTTGAAAGGAATCAAATTAGCCATATATTCTGCTATTGCCAAGTTGAAAGCATTCTTACTTTAGTCACCTACAGTAGCTAGGTACTAGCGCAATAAAGCCTCGCCCACGACAGGTTATCAACCACTTCACGTCGCCACCCTCCAACGAGTCAAGCACATCCCCATCTGCTTAATCTCAACATCCGATATGGTGTAGTGGCTAACATCGCTCGCTCTCAACCTTCAGTTGAAGATCCGAGCAGCCCTGGGTTCGATTCCCAGTATCGGAGAACATCGTCTTCACCTTTTTGAAGTGTGGCACACATTCATTCTTTTTGCGTGTAGGCGTGGCAAACGAAGGGGTTTTCTTTTTACCTTCAGGTTTGCATTAGACCGACCTAATTACTTACTACCTACCTACCTTACCTTACCTTACCTTACTTACTAGGTACCAAGGTACTACCTACCTTACTTTCACAGCATGTCACAAGGTACACCAGAAAGTGGGATAAATCTTCTATCATTCTTCAAGAGTGTAATAAAAGTAAACCTTTACCCCCACCAGCAAGCTGTCAGTATCTTGAAAGACGGCTGCTGGCCCATGGCCTCAACTCAAGCCTGCTGCTGTTCCTCCTCCAGGGCCCATACGGCCAACTAATCCGCTTGTTTCGATGCAAATGAAGCATCCGTTCTCGTGCAGATGAGAAGAGAAGAAAATGAGGTGAAAATGAGGAAAACAAAACTCTTTAATACACAAAGGCAATCCTTTTTCAATGAACCAACGGAAACCTCTTCATGAAATCGTTAAAAAGAACAAGTGGTGTAAGCGGCGAGTGGATAAGCGTTTGCAGCATCTTGTGCAGTAGTCATTGTATGTGTCGCAATCTTTTTACTCTTGAAACCCCTGGTAGTCGAGGTTGCTCCAATCTATTTGGTTGAAGATGTCGGGCTGTGTGGTCTGGGAGAAGCCGAGGTTGGCACTTGGCATATCGGTAAACAATGACTGGAACACATCCGTCTTGTCGACCGTCGCCGGGAACAGCTGAAAGTCGGCGCCGTCTGCGGCGTACGACTCGTCAAAGCCTTCATCAACCTCGCGCAGCGAGGTCGGAGTGTACAGAACTGCATTCTGCTGAGCATTGGGGGAGAATTGAGGCTCGCCCAGGATGGGAACGGTGGTGCATGGCTCCTGCTGGACGTGGTAGACCGGCATTTGCTGGGGCATCATCTTGGTGTACACCTGCTCAGGAGTGGGCAGCTGGGCAGGAATCTGAACATGGGCGGCGTAGATGTCCTCATCGTTGATGATGAAGGTGGAACCGTTCTGGTAGGGAGGGTACTGCTCGTACGAGGAAGCTGCAGAGGCAGGGGAAAGGTTCTCGAGACCCAGGTCCATGGCGTCGATGGTGTTGGGCTGCGCGCCGTAGGTAGCGAGCCAATCGTCATCAGCCGGATACATGGGGAAGTCGGTGGACATGACCTGGTCTTGGGGAGGCGTGGGAACGCTGTAGCTGGGCGTGGAGGAAGGCGTAGACACGTTGGCGAGAGGGGGGGTCTGCTGGGCAGTGGAGCCATTCTGGCTCGGTGCCTTCTTGCCGTTGGTCTTGGTGCGGACATAGGTCCAGCCGTGGGCCTTTTCCATGTGCTGCTTGCAGTTCGACTCACGCTTCGACTTGTACGGGCAGGGCTTGAAGAGGCATTCGTACATGGCCGGGGCGTCCGAGTGCTTGTCGTTGATGTGGCGGTCCATTTCCTTCTCGGTGGGCCAGCCGTACTCGTGGTACTTGCAAGTGGGGATGGGGCACTTCCAGGGACGAGAGTGAGTCTTCTCGTGCTTGGTGAGGTCGCAAGGGCGCTTGAACTCCTTGGTGCAGCCGGGCTCGCGGCACTTCTTGGGCGCCAGCTCCTCGGGGGTGGCGTTCTTCTTCCGGCGGGCCATGGACCGCATAATCTCCTCCTCGTCCTCACGCTGCTCGCTGAGGGAGCGCTTGAGCGGCGTAGGGGATTCGGTCATGTCGACAATCTTTCCGGTGGCCATTGAGTAGGCAGTGCCGTCCTTCTTGACGCGGATGAGCTCAGCAGGGCGGCCGTTCTCAGCGACGCCGCCATAGAGGCGAACCTCGTCAGATCTTGACGGGGCGTTAGTAGGGGTGGTCTCGACGTCTACGAGAGGTATCAGGCATGGTAGTACGTACGGGTCAATGTCCATGTCGTCGGCAAGGCTTCCCTTTTCCTTGATGGCGGCCAGTTGCTTGCCGTACTGGTAGATTTGCTCCTTCAGGTCGATAAAGTATCCGTTAGTGTAAGGCCGGTCGCCGGGGCGAACTTGTTCGCGGTCGGTGAGATATTCGACTGTCGCTTGAATGCATCGGACGGACGTGAGGCAGAAATCAAGGTATAAGGCGGCGGACTTGGCCTTTTCCTTTTGACGTAACATCCGATAAGCATCACCCCAAACACCGTCATCAGTCAGAAGTCGACTTACCGGTGCCATGAAGATCAGGGTCTTCTCGAGATCTCGCAAGCAAATGATTTCCTTGGATCGGATGCGCCGGGGCACGTCTAGGACGATGGGCTCGAATTCCTTCAACGTGGGCTTCTCCAGCAGAGGGCGGAGAGTGTGTTCGCGGATGCGGTTGACAGCGCGGTGGCTGAGGCTGGGAAGCATCGCGGTGGTGCTCGAGGCGGCCGACCTTGTCAGGGCGGAGGCCTGGGGCTTCTTTGTAGAGTCGGCGGCGCCAGCCTTGTCGTTTGTCGAGACGACTGAGCTGCCAATGCCGCTGTCGGAGGCGTGGTTTCTGGTGCGTCGAACAGAGCGAGGGCGCAGGACCCTTCGCTCAGGCTCTTGTTTGTTCATGGCGGGGTCGACGACGGGAGGTTCGAGGAAGCCGCGAGGGACGGGCAGGCTGGTGTCGCGAAGGGGCTTCGGCCGAGGGCTCTTGTCGGAGAGCGAGGCTTTGGAGAGGGCCTCGTCGATATCGTTCAGAGTCATGGCAATACGACGACGGCTTGCGTCGACGACATCATCAAAAGCCGATTGAGACCTCGTGAGAGTAGGAGGGACGAAGTCGCCGGCAGCAGATGAAGCGCTGGGAGATGTAGGAGAGTGAAAGGTGGCACCCTTGCGGAGGGTCATGGTAGTCTTAAGAGACAGGCCATGTTCGCAGTCGGTTCCGGGACGAGTCACCGGTGTCCTTCTGCGGGGGTTCGAAAAGGACATGGCGGCCGAGATCTGTGTTCTTTTCCTTCCGTGGGTGGGGAAGATGTATGAGATATGGCCACACGAGTCCTAACAGTGCAGCGGCAAGCGGTTAGCTTCCCTTGTCGATAGAAGAGATGTTGCAATGAGGCTCTTTGAAGGGGGGGGGGGGGGGGGGGTCGACAGGTGTGAGTCACAAGCCCGAGATAGACGAAGGCTATGCAAACACCGAAGAGGAAACGGCAGAAACCGAGGCGCTGAGGCCAGCAGGGAAGAGGACAGGACAGATATATGAATAAAGAGAAGCGCAACCCATACCAATTAGCTGACTCAACGGGGACGGGCGGTCAAACCAGTGGCGGCTCTCAATGCAAAGCTGACAGGGTCCAGACAATCGATCTCGAACAGAAGCGACCACCAATTGTGTATCGCGATGGACGAAGACGACAGTGGCAGAGCAAGCAGACGCTACACGAACGACGCTGGTGCCGGAGGAGGATCGTCTCGAGATGGAATCTGACGAGGAGGAGGAGATGGCAAGGAGGCGGAGAGATGTGGGAAAAAACTGCCTTGACAGAAGACGGGGCGTAAATTGGATATATGAACGCAAGGACTCGGCACCGACGGGGGGTGGGCAGACGAGAGCCAGACGAGCAACTGAGACACTCGAGGGAGTGGAAAAGAGAAGCGGAGAGCCGGGGGGCGTGTGCAGCACAGGAAACTATGTACGGAGTACGGAGTAGTACCTGTCTGTGCGGTGGTGGAGGAGCAGGGGAAAACGAAGAGGACAAACGACAAACGCGACGATGCTGCGGTATCTGTACTCTCGTACCACTTCGAGAGGCCGCTGGACGAGGAAGAGGGCAACGGATCGAGTTGTCGAGGAGGAGGAAGACGAAATGTCGAGGAGTGGAAGCGAAGCGTGATTGATTAGAAACCAGGTCGCTCAGCCCATCGCAGGCTGCTGCCTAACCCGGCGGCCCATTTCGGCATAGCGCGGGGGTGGGCTGAGGCGTAAGCGCTGCGGAGGAGGCGTATCCCTGCTGGGGGGAGGTCGCAGACGGTAGGGAGAGCCGCAAGAGTACCTGCAGCACTAACAGCCGGCCAGGAGGGCACCAGCTACAGCGCTCTAGCACCGCGCCGTCGCAGCACCAGCGACCGAGCCAGCGCGCACCGTTGCAAAGCGCTGGAGGAGGTGCTCCAGGTGGCGGACAGCGCCTGCGAGCGCGGCTTGCATGGCGGGCATGAGTCGCTGCGGGCGGCCGGTTGGGGGCCGGCACACGCGCTGGCGACGCCCCCAAGCCAGGGAGCCGGCAGAGCACCCCCGATCCGCGTGATAGCGGCGCAGGTCTCGCTGCTATCGCCAGCGACAACGTGTCTGCACTGTTTCCGTGTATTCCGGGTCGGAAATCAGCAGTGCAAGCAGGTGCGACCTCTGCCCCGGCTTTTGCCAACTCCGCCGTTTGTATGGATGTACGAGTACGGAGTACTTGTACGATGAAGTCACCGCAAATGCATGGTGTCTGCAGACGGTACTTTGCGTTACACGGACTGGACGTTGAAATCAGGTTAATTTGCGCTGACAAAGGTGAGCAACAAAGCCGCTCAACTATCAATGCCAGTATGTACCTTAATTACTCACTGTTCTCGTCCATGTTAACCCCGATCATATCCTACCTACCTATTACCAGGTACCAACTGAGAAAGCATGATGTTACTATCGACGATTCTCTTGAAGAGCGAACCGCAAACACCAGTCTTCACTCGCAAATCCCCAAAAAAAATGCCCACTCGTGTGACTGGTTGGTGACGTGCCGGGACAGTGCCAAAGAAAGCCCAAAGAAAGCCCCAGGAGCCCATCGTGGAGCCTCGCGCAGGCGCATGGATCTCCTCTCCATCTCGTTGGCTGCTCCGACCCGCAAAAAGAGGCCAACAATGCCCTGCTTTTTTCGCTGCTTGGCTGCGCTCCTGCTTGCTTCCCCCCCCCCCCCCCCTGCCACAATGCTGCGACTGAGCCACCGCCGGATCGATGGATGCGAGTGATGATATTGATGATTACGGGTTGCATCTAATCGATGCGAGACAGACGAAGGAGGGCAGCCGAGAGGGCAACACCCGCACGAGAAGCTTTTTGCCCTCTTTTTTTCCCCTCTGTTTCTCCCTCTTCCTCACTTGTTGTTGGCGGCACGAGAGCGACAGCACAGCAGTGCGTCGCATTAGCAGGACGCAGGAAGTACATGCTGTACTACATAAGGTATTCGCACACGCATGGAAGCACGGGGTCGCTGCTTGACTTGCATGTAATAATAAATTGCGCCCCATGCTAGGAACTGCGCTCCCAATTCCGTACGAGTACCTTATTGATACGAAAATACATCAAGTAATACAACAAAGGACAGCAGCAGCAGCAATGTAACGAAATTATCGACTTGCGAGCATTGATGCACGATTCCAAGCCTGGCTCGATTCTCGTCTCCGCTACGCCGCTTTAGGCAATGCCCGAAAGTGGCCAGAGAGCAACCTGAACAGAACAGAAACCTGCAAGCAAAGCTTCGCCCATCTGTCCAGTCGAGCCCATCGTCAGTTCACCTCCTCGATCCACCAACCACCCAACTCAAAGCTGCGGCTAGTAATAGTTTTCCGTGGCCTCCTTTGTTGACGCCCAGTCACGGGTTAGCATCTCTCCTCGTTTCTCTGTATGGGAGTACAGTACATAGATACATACAACTACTTGCTGCTCGTCTGATTCGCAGCGTACGAGTGCCGGGGTCTTCTGTCTCGTCTGCAGGTCTGTCTGGGGTTTCGGCGCCCTGATTCGTTGGTTGTCCTCGCCATCAAGGCCATCCGGGTTCGATGGCGTCGAGGCTTGCTTCATCTGCGACTCTGTATGTAGTAGTATGTAGGACTCCGTGGCAGACAGTAAGCAGTTCTGGACACTATTACCTACCTACAGAAGACGGAGCACGAGCATCTCCTCTTGCTGCCACTTGTCTTACTGTGCTGCTGGGCAGGAATGCATGCATAGTCCCTACGGAGTACGGACCGTACATGCAGGTAGGTCTCATTCATTCCCACTCACTGATCCATCCATTCATTCATTCACGCTCTTGAGCTGGCGTCGATGCGGCTCTGTCTAGACGAGTTGCATAGTATCACTGCAAGCCACTGTGCTCCTCCCCAGTAGTACTAGGACCTCAATGGCGATGCAAGGACTCTTCTGCCTGTGAGACCATCTCGCACCTCCAAGCCTCTCTCATCCCCCACCCCCCACTGTCCTCCATCCATCCATCCACTCATCCTCCCAAGACAGTGAGTGACAATGTGCTGTGCTGTCTCGATGCATGTCAGATCCGGCCAATGCCACTTTGCTAAGAGACCCTCTCTCTCCCTCCCTCCCTCTCGATCCACACATAGGGCTGGACGACAACAGCGACGAGATGCAGCTCTGCCGGCTTTGCTCGACTATTGACTCATTCCCTGCCGCCGGCCAAATGCAGATCGATTGGTCTCAGTGGCGTAAATCCGTGATCCGTAGTCAAGATAGTACAGTAGAACGGTCCGTCCTTGTATGTAGCATCGTAGTGCTACTCGTATCAGAACTCTCTCTTCTTTGGGCACTGCCCATCGTCCCGTCACGGCATGCTCGATGCCGAATCCCCAGTCTGCTGTCATAGTACGTAGATAGGTATGGACCTTTGCCATGTCGGCACATCTGCATACAAGCCCAACCAAAGACGCAAACAACAGGCCATGCATCCATAATTCCCCCGTTCCCCGACTCTACTGTACTCGTACACACTCTCTCAACACCTCCATACCTTGTGTAGGTAGTTACTACAGGTATTACTGCTGCATACATGTAGGGACTCCCACCGTTCAAGGCAACACATGATCCAAATCGATCCTCCTCCCCCCCTGCACAGCCAATCACAAGGCCTCATATTGCGCAGCCTGCCAAGGCATCCAGATTCTCGTCCCCCTCGTAAGTAAACCCCGTCTTCTCTTCGTAATACTAACCGGGATCACATACCCGTTCCGATTCGAAAGAACCCTTGGCACATGTCACAAAGCCCAGCAAATGGATTCCAGGATTCCTTTTTCTTTTTTCTTTTTTACCACAAGAAAGGAGAGTGCAGAGAAAAAGGGTCCTTTTTTTCTTCCCCCGTCAGAAAGCGGGGAGAGAGAAGACTCGGGGTCGAAATGCGGCTGCCTTGAACCAGGTCCTCTTACAGTACCTAGGTATGTATGTAGACGGGGCGCGGCTCATTGTCCGTGAGATTTTGAGGCTCTGCTGCAAAAGTACGAGATCTTGTTCACTCTTGTTGTGGCCACGTTCAATCTCATCCTGGACATTTCTTGGGGCTTGCGTCGTCTGGTGATGTAATCCTTCCCGCCCCCGTTCTTCCTTGATCTTGATGGATTCTTCTTTCATCCTGCTACCTACCTATCAAGCTATGAGAATAGTCTGTGCCATCTGCTCAACTTCACTTTAGCCGAAAAAAAGGGGCGCCAGGATCAATCGGAGCAAGATCTGGCGCGCAACCGCTTGCGCGTCCCATAGATCGTAATCATCATAGTTATCGCTTCCCCTTTGCAACGACTCCATTTCCCCTTCAGGCAGACGAATTCTTGGTAAAAAGCAGTCAAACATAGCCCTGGAACACTGAATGAGAAGCAGACACATGGGACGACTTGGGGATTCACACGCCCCCCCCCCCTGGATGCCGCAAGGCACCGAAATTATTGACTTCTAGGCAGCTTTGAAATGCACTTTCCATGGCTTGAGATCTGGTTCCCGGAACTTTTGACAAGCGGAAACAGTGTTTTCTGGTAGTTGGATGCTGTGAATGGCGGTGGTTTTGGGGTTTGGAGGTGAAGCTGAAGTATCGTCATGTCCATTGACTGCGGATCATTTGGCTAACCTACAACGTATGGCTATACGTGCTTGCCCACCCTTGAGCGTCGCGATGCATCAGTTGTAGAACAAGTCATCCATCTCCCCTCTGTTCTAATATTTTCTAGCAAGGATTCGAATTGAGATGCAATTCATTCATTCGAAATCAACCGTGTCAGTTACGCAATGTTCAAAGAGTCCAATCACCGGGTGCTTAACAGAAAACTCCCCCTGAGCCGATGCTCAAATCACAAAACTCCAACTAACGTGTTCAATCCACGTATATGCACCCAGGCGATGGTGCCCATCTTTAACACTTCACATATCCATGCAACTTCATGTTCAACTTCACATTCACCATGTTCATCTAGTGTTTCTTCTAGTGATGCAAAGCCACCCAAGTCGAACACCTCGTCTTCTATTCTCAACATCGTAGGTATAACACCACCGCCATCTCGTAGAAGCCATCCCATCCCATCATCCACCACCAACCAAAGTATCCCAACTCCTCCAAAGAAAGCCTTAATCTCCCAATCCTACACTTTTGTCCCCCTAAATGCCCTCATCCAGCCGCCGTCGACGGTCATTCACCTGCCAACCCCTGGCTCGCCGCCTCCGAACCTTTGTCGGGAGCCTCTCCATCACAATGCCCAGCAACAAGCCCAAACGCCCACAGTCCACATACCCAGATGATACCCATGCCTCCTCTCCGTCCACTTCATCTTCACTCTCATCCTGGGTCGAAGTAGAGTCCAATCCAGAATCAGCCCTATCCCTAGAAACGGCCTCCATCTCCTCCATCCCCAGTGACACCTCCTCCTCCTCCTCCTCCTCCTCATCTTCCGGCTGGATTACCGACGACGACGACGAGCCCCTAGAGACAAACCCCGTACATGATTACTTCACCAACGCCCTCTCCCAACAAGCCCTCACCTCCCAACTCCAATCTCTCTCCACATCTTCCTCCTCATCCTCCCCCTCAACCCCAACTCCTCCCCCCTCCCCATCAACAGCAGCCCAGCCATACGACACATACACCCCCCTAACCACAACCACCTCCCTCCTCCAGCCACCTCACCAAACCCCCCACGAAATCTCCCGAAAACGCACCCAATTCTTCCTCCGCCTCCGCGCCTTCTACCAAGGCCTCCTCCCCGACGACCCCTTCCACGAATTCCTCGCCATATCAACATCCCGCTTCGGCGCCATCCTGCCCCCAGACATATATCTCGCATCAGGCCCCCCCTTCCCGCCCACGTCCACCCGCGGCACCATCCGCCTGCAATTCATCCGCGCAACTCTCAGCATGCCTCTCTCCGCACCATTGTCCCAGGTCGAAGGCTTCATCGGCAGGAACCCCTCCGTCGTGAGCCATCTGTGCTTCAACATCCAGCCGTTCTCCAATGTAGTTTTCAAGCCGCAGACTCATCATGGTCACCAGATCTATGTGTCGGGACGGGATGCGCTGGAGTGTAACGCGCGGTTGTTGAGGGCGTTGAAGGAGATTGCCTGGGAGGATGAGAGCGCGGACTGGGTTGTGGGCCTTGCGAGGACGGAGGATGCGAGGAGGCTTTCTGCGTTGTGTAAGAGAACGGGGAAGTGTATTCTGCCGAGTGTGCGTGAGAGGATGTTGAGGGTGGAGGAGAAGGGGGAGAGGCCTGTGCAGGATGAGCAGTGGCACAGGCAGGCTGTCAGAGAGATGAGAAGGGAGCGGCCAAGGAGTTTGCTGAGCAACGCTGTTTTACCTCACGATGTTGTGGAGGTGACAAAGTAGGTAGAGTTGGCAAGGAAGGGAGATGTTCATAGAGCGGATGGGCTTATGGGGGTAATATCTTGTAGTAAAACGACTGGAACGGGAGACGCATGGGCTCTCTTATCATGTGCTTGTGTTACGCTAGATCAAGAGGCACTCAAATCAACGACTTCTAAGCAGAGTAATATGTATGCATCATCACACATGAGCCCACCCATTCTCAACCAAGACCTGCATCTCATTGATCAGGCAAAACTCCCCCGGCTCGCGATTCCCATCCTTCTCCTTCTCCCACCGCCGCACCCTCGACCTCACCACCCACCGATCAAGCGTCCACGCCGTCCATCTCCTGATCCGATTCTCCCACAGCCCCGTAAAGATGTCCCACGCAGACACCCACGACCTGCCCGGCGGATGCGTCGCAGCGTAGGCTGGGTAGTTGTAGCCCACCCTCACCCTCGGGTTGAGATACACGCCCTTGGTCTTGGACAGCGGGTTGTCCGCGTGGATGAGGCAGCATTCCGAGCCTTCGAGGTGGTGCGCGGCGAGAGAATCCGGCACGGCGCGGAAACGCAGCTTTGTCGACGACACAAAGGGGTCGGCCGGCATCGCAACTAGCAGACGGGGGCAAAACCCCCCCAAGTATCAGCTTCATTCACCCTCAACGCGCATCTCCGATATGGAAAAAAAACTCCTCTTGATGACCAACCTATGCCGTTCCAGCAGCTGGTGACGGGGACCGCGTCCACATGGTTCACCAGCGCATTCCTCGAGTCCCTCGCCCCAAAGTACGGCCACGTCTGCATCGCGTGCGCATTCCCCTCGCTGTCGCGCAGCGCAAAGGTGTCGTAGTACAGTGGCGGCTTCGAAAAGTCTAGAGAGCACGCCGCGGCATAGTTCCCGCCGTTGGTGTCCAGCAACGTCAACACGTCGTCGATCTGTCCACAATAATTTCAAGCCACGTTAGCCCATCATCCGTCCATCCACCAAAAGCCCTCCCCAGTTGATTATAAGAGCTTTGTTGTCCGTACCGTAAACACCACATCGTTCAGAAACAAGACCTTGTCAAACGTGACGCCCTTCTTGCTCAGCTCAACCAGATCCTGTATCGTCCTGTTCCTCAGCCTCGCCAGGTAGGGAATCCTTCTCAGTTCCCTCCTGCCCCTCGCCGTATCGATCCAGCCCTCCCCTCGCTCCTCGGCCGCCTTGTTGATCTCGTCCTCGTGCGTCGTATCCGACACCTCGACCCGCCTCGGCACGTTCCTCTTGTCGAGCTCGGCGTCCAGCTCCCGCAGCGCCTCCTTGCTGTCGTCCCAGCTCCCGCTCTCGTATATGCTCACAAAGACATTGTCCGGGCCAAACGTCTCCGTCAGCTGAATCACCGCGTCGTTCCAGTAGTCCTTGAGCACCTGCGCGTTGTTCCAGTGCATGCTCGCAATGTATATCCTCTCGCGCGGTCGCGCCGCCCCGCTGCCTCGGCGCAGCAGGTGCTGCCGGTCTCCCTCGACGATCTTGTGGTGAATCCGAAGGACATCGAGAAGGTTGATCAAGAAGAAAAGAAAGAGTACGACTCTCGTCGTTCGCCAGCGAATGATTCGACGGAGGTACAGCCGGTTCGCTGCGGATAGCAGCATCGTTTGCTTGCTTGTGAAACGAGTGAATGACGAGTAAATGCACGGCTACTAGAACAAGTAGATGCTCGCTAATGTCATAGAGTAACGATCCGTGTGCCAGCCCATCGTGCCAGTCTCTGGGCGCGACGCGGCAATTGCTGTGTCTGAGCTCGTAATGTGTGTAGCTCGACAAGCTCCCCTTGGCAATGAGGAGCGCAAGTTGATGATGCTTGCTGAGCTCTGGTCAAACGCCAATAGCTTCAATACGAGCTTACGTAACAAAAGGGGAAAACATACAAACAAACAAGAACACCCACGTCGAGGTTGACTTTTCCTACATCGAGCTCTATGTGAAATGGAAATCTTCAATTTTAGTGAAAACAAACACCTTTGATTATTCTGCCTTTGAAGCGCCAGACACGCGCCATATTTTTCAATGGTTTACCAACTCCATATGCTCCCACTGACCTCCCCTTTTATTGTACACATTCAAGCAGATGCCATCAACTTAACAAGCCCCTTGATGAGGTATGTCGCTCACAATAGCAGTCGGCAACACATATCGTGGGCCATTCATTAGCTGGCACAAACCATCATCTCCCGCCCCCCCAATCGGCCTCTTCTTCAGCATCATGACCGCCCCCTTCTGGCTGTCATCATCATCGTCTACTTGGCAAAGTGAAGATCATATCCAAGCCACTTTCTCCTGAGAACCTCCTCAACAGACAGTCCGGGGTAGCCATACGTCAACGGCAAGAAGAAGTACCAGCTAGCCGCGGCGGCAGCGAGAATCACAAAGCAAGCGATCCAGGCACCGGCCATGCTCTTGCCAGCAAACCGCTCGCGAGCCGTGATGTGTCTCCGAGGACCAGTAGCCTTGGGGTTTTTGGATCGCGAAGGCTCCTCGTCTGCCGGGTCCGTGTTAAAGATGAACTCGACGAGGGAGCCCGTGACCAGGCAGGACGCCAAATGGGCAGGCAAGTAGTGATGCAAGAACAGCTGACGACCCATGAGGAAAAAGGGGAAGTAGTGGGTGGCCCAGGCAAGGAAGAAGAAGCCGGTAGAGTTGTACAGTCGGGAGCGGGTGCCTTGAGTCACGTTAGGATTTTGGGAAACAGTGAAGAGAAAGGAGACTACAAGAGGCTTAGTACTTACGGTGATCCAGAGCATCGATGCCTCGGCGCAGCGAGACCTGATCAGCTCCAATGATGCCGGCAAACACAGCCAGCAGACTGCTGGCAAGCCACCAGCCGATGGGGTTGCCCACAAAGTAGATTTGCTGGCGTGTGTCATTCTGCGTCCAGAAGCTCACTCCGCGGAGGAGGAATGGCCAGTGGTAGGGCTGGCTGGAGTAGGGGTGGCTGCTGGTCAGCTTGTTGTTGTGGTAGAACATGGACCTCTGCAGCTCAAACCACTTGCGGAGGAACGGCAGCGACTTGACCTTGCGCTGCTCCTTGTGGCGGCGAGCGTCGTCTTCCGGGAGCGAAGGAATGTCTTCGGCAATCCAGACGTTGGAGCTGGGAGTGATTTGCTTGTTGCCGTTGATTTCCTGCTGCCTGTAGGCCCACTCGGGAAGGGGCGTGGTATGAGTCCACATGGCCACCTTGCTGGGGAAGTGAATGAGCTTGAAGTGGCTGGCAACGGTCTTGAAGTCCTGGCCGGTCTTGCCTCCCTCAATCCGGATCTCGAACAGAGTGTCGTTTTGGCGCTCGCCGAATGCTTCCTCGGGGGTCACACAGGTGAACTCCTGGTTGGTAGGGTAGTAGGGCGAGGCGACATCATGGGAGAGCAGGATCTTGTCCGTGACAATGTGTCGAAGTCGCACCAAGTCTTGATTCTTAACGTTACGGCCGAGCTTCTGGTCATTGTCGGCAGGGAGGATCTGCCAGTAGTTGTTGGTGTCGTTGTGGGGGTAGCCGGTGACCTGTTGGCCTTGGCTGGAGATGCGGCCGTCGTCATATCGCAGAGGGTAGGTGTCGGTGTGGCTGTGAAGATACGCCTTGGTCTCCTTGTGCCTGATGGTGATGGTATCGTAGTACTGGATGTCGACGGCGCTTGCCAGCATGACGTTGTCGCTCAACGTCTCCTGGAACTCGGGAGTCATGAAGTCGTCGCCGGGACCGGATCGGGTCAGGACGGAAAAGTGCACCTGGAACCAGAAGAGGTAGAAGAGGAAGGGCAAGATGATGAGGCCAAAGGCGCGGGCTGCAAAGTGCTTTCCAAACTCTGGCATGCTGATGGCTCCATAGCGGCGCTTGATATCCAAAAGATCCCACAGATCAATGATGACGGCGGAGCCAATGGTGACAAAGGCAAAGAGACCGACATACTTGGTCGAGATGTCGCACGACAGCGCAAAGCCGGTCAGGATGAGCCACTTCCACCACTTGCGGCTAAAGGGCTCGTGCCGCAGCTTGTAGAACTTGATGTAGAACAAGAGACTGCAGGCCATGGCGAGCACCAGGGTGGCGTCGAGCAGAATGAGGCGGGTCTGGCCAATGTGCGCATTGTCCAGGAGGATCAGGCCGGTCGCGACAAGGCAAGCCGGCACACTATAGCCAGACTCCCACATGATGAGGTATGTGACCGACACAGTCAATGCGCCGAGGAAGGCGGGCAAGGCTCGGAAGGCGACATAGGGCACCTTGTTGGCCACGTAGGAGTCGCCAATGTTGTCGAAGTGGAAGTGACCGTCGTAGCCAACCAGCCAGCCAACGAAGGCGAAGAGCAGCTTGGCGAAAGGGGGGTGGACGTCGAAGAAGTAGGTTCGCTGGAGGTAGTAGGAGGCGAACTATTGCAGGGTTGAGGAGTCAGCTTCGTGCCATTGAAGGTTGCAGCAGGATTAGCATCAGCAGAAGTCGTATTACCTTTCCAAAATGCACCTCGTCAAAGACGACCTCGTCGGGGTGGCTGATGCCCCAGAATCGCGTGACAAAGCCGAGGATCGTCACCAGCGTCAGGGCAAGCTTGTGCTCGAGCTCGCCTCTCTGGATGTTTCGGCGCGACGACAGAGCGGCCTTGGAGAGCTTGTCGAGCTCGACCTCGGGAACGAATGCCGACTCGACAGGCGCCTGCTTGGACGCAACGTTCCGCTGTCGCAGGCTGCCCTGCGGCGTTGGACTTCGAGCCATGGCTCTAAAATGCTTCACAGAAGAGAAAGCAGTTAGCGATGTGAGAGGTTGTGTGGTTTGCAATCAAGGCGAGGCTGGATTCTGGAGTCGTTGAAGGCTGAGACCTGTGCAACTTGTCCGCAAGGTCGAGATTCGGCAGGACAAGGACTTACAGGAAAAGGGGAAAGCTGCCTATGCGGTGGTTTGGAGCGAGGATCGAAGAAAGAGAAGAAGAATAAAGGAGAGAAGAGAATGTAATGGAAGAGCAGAAAAGGAAAAAGGAAAAAAAAGAGGCCCGCGATGGCGAATTGGCGATGGTTGAGCCTCTCTCCGTGAAGTCCAAGGTTGGAGGCCAGCGCTGAGGCGAACGTGTCTTTAGGTGTTTCTGGAGCCACTAAAAATGCGGCAGGGGTCCAGCCACGCCACAGACAATACGTAACTGTGGCCTCGCCTCTGGACCCGGCAGTTGCTTCAATATTGCCGAGTCATGGACAATCATTCATTGCTTCGACTGTCTTCTTATGTGAAATTGATTCAAAATGTATTGTTTGCGACTTGATTACTGGCTTGGAAATACTCAAGCAGCATCTTTTGGTGGAGGATTAAGCTGTTAGGAACATGAACCTGAAGCTTTACATAATGGCCCTCACATGCCGGCTTGTCTCGAACCCCTACTACCTTATGGGTAGGTACCCAGGCTCTACTCCGTTTTTGGCACCGGCATGAAGTGCATGTACAGTATATGACGCGTGAAGAGACATCAATTGTTGGCTCTCTGGATTGAAGAATTGGTGACTTTAGCCAGCCAAGCTCAGATTATCCGAGTGAGGCTCATTCGTCGCAACAAGAAGCCACCTTGGGATTGCATTTACAGGGGGAGGGGCCTATACTGTAAGTGAAACAAGAGCCATCTTGTCATCCTCCTATGCTTGGCCGAATCTCCATTGGACTCTTATTAGGTAGGTATACAAACCGTAGGTAAGCATATGTAAAGAAGACATACATTCTCCCCAACTCTCATGTCCATTCGTGGATCAGTCAGAGGAATTGTCACATCATCCCCCGTCCCTCAGACAGGCTATAGAAATTCCAAGGGCCAACAGTTCTGTACGCCCTGCAGCAACAATACATGTAGTACCTTCTTGGAACCGTTAAGGTAGCCTCTCACCCAACCCGAGTTCCCTCTTAAGTAAGCGCCGCTCTCTCTGGGCCGTGGAAACCCGCCCGCCTCTCACCAAACCCAAGGCGGGGTGAAGCTTTCCGTTCCGGCCCTCGGAGCAGTGTCCCCATCTAAAGCCATACCTAGTAGCTCACCAGGACAAGCTCTACCACTACGATAATAAACCGCACGCAAACACCAACACCAACACCAACATTCTCCCAACCTCTTCTCCTCCCTCTCGAGTTCCCCGAATCCTCCAATTCCACTTACGACGACCTCCAAAGTAGGTTCATACATCCATGTCGTTGTCAATCACTCGCAGCCTGGCCCGGCCTCTCACCAGACGCCTTGCTGCTATTGCTGCTACTGCCACTACTGCTGTCAGACCCAAGTTTACACCCGTCACAGCTTTTGCCAGATCAAAGTCAAACATGGCCGACCAGACCATCGTCTACACCAAGGATGCCCCCTTCCGTGAGTCCAATTCTTCTATCCTCATGTCAACAACCACTCCATGAGCCATATCAGGACTAACAATGGCCGACATGCAGCCCTGGGCCCCTATGTAAGTTGCCTCACAGTCACCCATCACACCAGCTACAGATGCAAGATGAAATGATTCTCATCTAACATCTCCATCCTACCTACCTACTAGTCCCAAGCCATCAAGACCCCCACGGCCATCTACTGCTCGGGCCAAATCCCCCTCACCGCCGATGGCACCCTGATTGAGGGCACCATTGCCGAAAAGACTCGCTTGTGCTGCGAGAACCTCGACGCTGTCCTCAAGCAGGCCGGCTCTTCCCTCTCCAAGGTCGTCAAGACGACCATTTTCATCTCCGACATGGCCCACTTTGCTGTAAGTCGGCGGCCCCTTGAATGCCATGCCATCGAGGTGGGAAGAAGAAGAAGTAGTAGAGTCTCACAATGCATCGTGTGTAGGAAATGAACGGAGAGTACGAAAAGTTCTTCTCCCACAAGCCCGCCCGAAGCTGTGTGGCCGTCAAGACGCTCCCTAAGAACGTCGACGTTGAGATGGAGGCCATTGCCCTGCCTTAAGGTAGACGGCTGTTGCAGAAAATGCTGTAAAAGTTTACATGTACCTATACATAAGTTTACACGCTTATACAATCCAAAAGAGTCAAATACACTTGCGTCGGCTCCAGATGTTGACCTGTAGAATGCTGGCAATATCGCCATGACCAGCTAGCTCCCATGCGAGGACGACGCACTATGTAAATCCTCCCACTTCTACAACCGCTGACTCTAAGCAGTCCAAATCACCACTCGTCCATCAACACCGCTGGCTGAAGTGGTCGTTAGCAATTGTTGCACATAAGGGGAGGACCTAAGACAGACTGTGTACTTACAGCTGAACTTGGTGACTCTGCCACCAGACTCCTCGTAGGGCCTGATGGTGGCAATCGTGTTCTGGTGGATCGTCTTGAGCTGTGTGTCGTCCTTGACCTTTCCCTTGAGGTCCATCTGCCTGAACATGTTCAAGGCAGACTCCTCGCGCTGCTCGCCGTGACCGGCGCTACCCTTGGACTCGACAGTCCCCACGAGCTGCCAGCCCCCTTCGCTTCCCTGGAAACGGAAAGCCTCGCAATCGTAGCCGGCGGCAATGATCTCGTCTTCAGCCTTCCAGATCAAGCTCTTGAAGGGCAGAAGCTGGGTCGGGACGCTCAGCACAGCCCTGGGAGGCTGCTCCGGACCGCTAGGGTAGACGACCGTGATGCTGCTGTCGTGAGCAGCAAATGCGAGGGCATTTCCGCTGGGGGAAAACGACACAGAGTGAACCCAGCCAGCAGAGTTGTTCATGTATTCTCCGCAGACAGTGTTGAAGGGCAATCGCTCGCCCCAGACACCAGGCTCAGGGCGCTCGTCGACACCCTTGACAAAGGCCGAGAACACCCGGGCGTGGGCATCCGTGGAGCCCGCCGCGAGGAGCACAGAGTTGGGGTGCCACGCAACGCTGGTGATGGTGCTGCGGATCGGCTTCTTCAGGTGCTTCGAGACCCACCAGTCGTTTTCCTCCTCGAAGTAGCAGACGGCAATGACGCGGTCGCCGGAGCCGACGGCGAACTTGGTCTCGGAAGGCGACCATCGGACGAACGTGGCGGCGCGGCTGATTCGTAGAAGCACCAGCGTGGGCTTGTATCCGGTAGGAGAGGGCTCCCAGACGAGCGCATTTCGGTCTGGTGAAGCGTCAGCATTCAGGAGGCGAAAGGAGGTCGTATAAAGGAAACACGGCCGAAGAGACGCAACGCACCCTGAGAGCAAGACACGATGCGGCCGCTGTTCGGGGCAATGTCGACGCTGGTGACCGTCTTGTCATGGCCCTTGAGCACGTCCTTGAGCTTGAAGGCGTTTCCAGCCTTGCCGTAGAGCTCGACGGTCGAGTCGCGAGCCACAGCGAGGGTTGCGTGGTCGGCCGAGAAGGAGTGGTCGGCAATGGGGTTGTGGAACAGGTGGTGGACTTCGGGAGCAGCCATGGTGGACGACGGACGATAGGAGTAGCTCTCTACTATCGTGGGTGAAGAGGTAGAAGCTCGAGTTGACTGGAGGGAGCAAAGATGATTTGTGTGCTGGAGTTGAGAGGTTGAAGCCGTCGCACCTTGGCTACGAGATGGCGGGGGTGACGTTGCTGCTCCGGGTACGTACCCCAAGCCCCTGGCCATAAGCGGATGGCAGCCAGAGGCGAGGTACCAAAGTACAGGTACCGGCTACAGCGAGCACCTGCAAGCTTGGGCCACCTCTGGCGTTGCTCGCAAGCCCAGAGTCGGCCTGGAACCAAAAAAATCCACATTGAACCATTTCATCACCATACAACAAACAGCCAAGTCGAATTCACGCTCTGCCTACGAAGCGACGACGAACCACGCAGTATTTGCTCTGTTTCTGCTCTTGAAGGAAGAGAATTCGAACAGCTTTGTCTCCAGAGCGCTCACATCCGTCCAAGCAACACACAATGGCGTCGGCTGCTGCTCCTCGCGGTCTCGCGCCAAACGCCTCTCTGCCCGCCAAAGTGCAGCCAATCCCTCCTAATCAGACGTGAGTTGCCGTCTATTGTCTAGGATTTTCGTTGCTGCTCATCTAACACTCGTCTAGTATCTACATCACAAACCTTCCCTCAGCCAAGATACAGAAGCAAGACCTGCGGACGGCGCTCTACATGCTCTTCTCGACCTTCGGCCCGGTTCTCGACATCGTCGCCCTCAAGACGATGGAAATGCGCGGCCAGGCACACATTGTGTTTCGCGATATCCAGGCCGCGACTCAGGCAATGCGAACAATGGACGGGCAGACCTTTTTGGGCCGCCCAATGGTAGGTTCCTCCGGTTCTGAATGGCCCTGTTGTTGGCATGGGGATTGACATGACACGCCCTTAGAAAATCCAATACGCCAAGTCCAAGTCGCATTTCGTGGCGAAGCTCGATGGCACATTCAAGATCCCGTCAACAACAGCTGGTGCCGCGACTGTGGAGCAGACCGAGCTGCAGCAGAGCATCTTCAACGCACCGCCGCCCGGATCGGCTCCCGAAAAGCCTGCGGCGCCGGCTGCCAACCAAGCTGCAAAGAACCCTGAAGCGGACGAGAACCGCGGTCAGAAGCGGACTCGCGAGGAGGAGGAGGAAGAGAGCGACGAGGATGTTGCCATGGAGGAAGACAGCGATGATGAATGATTACGCTTCTTCAAGCCAAGGCTATCCCGATGAAGGACGGGGATTTATTACACATCGATACCGCGTCGTCATTCGGTGGCCATTTCCTTGGGAACCCAGAGGCCGACGCAGCCTCCTACGAGGCCGAACCAGACCATGAGATAATTCTCCCGCGAGCAGTTAAAGCTGGAGATGGCGTCTCCTATCAGACACGGGTGAAGGAAGAATGAGGGGACCCCGGTGATGGGGTGATGCTACAGGCAAGCTGTTAGTGCGGCCGAACCGACACTGGACTTTGGGATACCAGAATTGACTTGTGCAAATAGCAATGGAAACTCACGTCTGCCGAGATCCCTCCGATGCCTCCCACTCCACGACGGAGCCCATCTTTATAGCTGTCAGGAACCAGGCGACGGAAGACGGTGTCGATGTTGAAAGCAGGCTCCTCGGAGGGGAGATCGTGGAGGCTGAACCAGAGGCACGGCACTCTGTAGGTGGGGTGTAGATGGACCTCGTACGCTACATAGCCGAACCCCGGCGTCTCTTTTTGCTGTATGTGTTTCTAGGAACGCGTGAGAAGCACGCTCAAGGGGCAGCTGTAGGATAGTCAACGAGGTAGCATACCGCATCAGCCTCTTCGGCATCAGCCATGTCATCATCGCCCTGGAGAAACGGGTTGCCAGCATTATCTGAGATGGAAAAGCCGCCCAGGTCGAGTGATATGTCGTCGGGGTCCACCGTCTCCTCCAACGGACGGATGATCTGGATGTATGTCGTGTATCCGCTCGAGGTTGAGTATGTGAGATCCAGCGAAGTGCAGACTCTGAGCTTCCACTTCTTCCTCATGGGGCCGAGAGTTGCTCTGCAGTACTGGCTGTCGAAGTGATGACATATTTCAGAAAATTCTTCTGGGCTGAGGAAGGGAAAGTCTTTAATGTCCATGATACTGGAGGCTGTGGATCAAGAAATCTGTGTCGCTCCAAGTCTGTCTCTTGTGGAGGTTGCTGTCCCGTATCAAAGGTTCGAGTTTCTCTTTTTTTTTTTAAAGGACTTTGGAGACTGATGAGGGGCGTTGCCGATATGCGGGTTATACGGATAGTTTCTGTATAACTTAAGGTACCTTGGCGTGCATCTGAAGTTAGTAGATATATGCTAAATTTGAGTGTAGAAGGGTGAATAACGGGAAAGATTATATGAACAAAGTGATTTTAGAGTCAGAGACAAGGAGGCGTGCTATTGGAAACTTTGAAGTCTGTCAAGCCTCGAGCCTGGAATTTGCTAAGTGCGGCAACTTCCCCTACCTAATAACAGCGCCAGCCCACATTTTGGACAGCTGGAGCGCTTGTCAACCTGTTACTAGTACAGTAGCGGTGCAACCTTATCGATTGGAGGTGACATGTCCTTTTGGGAGCTTCCCCAGTTCCATTCCACGCCCACGTCCTTATAAACCAGGACCCCTGGACGGGCTCGTGTGCGCTGAACGGGGCCATTGCTTGCTTGTCTTGTTCACTGGAACTCTCTCACTGCTGTGCTAAAGCAGCAGTATTGTTGGAGAGCCCTCAGCTCCTCGTCTCTCGTTTCTCTGCTCTGCACGGGCGTTGGCTGTTGCTTCGAATCACGCATTACAGCATAACCGACTCGCCCGCTCCCTCAAGCCCTCCCCGAACATGCCCCAGTCCCCGACTCAATGATCCGCGACCCATTCGGCATCCACAGCAAAAACGCATTCAAGGCCACAGCGCTCCGAGCGGCGCGCGACATCAAGGAGGCGGCGACGCAGGCGGGCGCAAATGCTCTAGAAATGTCCTTTTCCCTGCCGAAACACGTGCCCGACTTTGGGGACCCGAGCCGGGCGCTCGAGGACCGCGCCTGGGCGGCTCTGTCGCGGAGGAGCGGCGGCGGCGGCGGCGGCGGCGGTAAGACGGGCCTCTTCGCGTCGTCATCGGACAGCCTGCCCATGTACAAGGACAAGCCGTACGCCTATGCGCCGTCGATGCGGCTGCGTCCCTGGTGGCGGCGCAGGAAGGTGCTGGGCATGATTGCGGCGGCCGTCATGTTTGTGCTGTATGTCACGGGCTTCTTTTCGTCGGGCCAGACCGAGGAGGCGAAGAAGAAGGCTTCCGGGTCGGCATTTTCCTGGTTGGGCTTGTCGCAGGAGAGAGGCGGTGTCGACTGGGACGAGCGGCGGAAGAGCGTGGTGGAGGCCTTCGAGGTGAGCTGGGACGCCTACGAACGCTATGCCTGGGGTATGTGATATGATTTGGATTGCTGTCGCAAAGACAGCAACATCTGATCTACGCTATGGGGATGAATATTCTGGGCTAATTTCATATCTTTGTATGGTGTCAGGCAAGGACGAGTTCCACCCGATATCGAAGAATGGCAGAAACATGGCTCCAAAGGGCCTTGGATGGATCATCATCGACTCGTTGGATACCATGATGCTGATGAACCAGACAACACGACTGCAACACGCACGAGAATGGATCTCCACGTCCCTGACATGGGACCAAGACCAAGACGTCAACACGTTCGAAACCACGATTCGCATGCTGGGTGGACTTCTCTCTGCCCACTACCTCTCTACCGAATTTCCGGAGCTTGCACCCCTGACCGAGGACGACGAGGGGGCACCCGGCGAGGATCTATATCTCGAAAAGGCCAAGGACTTGGCTGACAGGCTGCTCTCTGCATTTGAATCAGAATCCGGCATTCCCTATGCCAGCGTCAACATTGGAGAGTACAAGGGACTGCCGTCGCATTCCGACAATGGAGCGTCGTCCACGGCCGAGGCCACCACCCTTCAGCTCGAGTTCAAGTACCTGGCCAAGCTAACGGGCGAGAAGAACTTTTGGGACAAGGTCGAAAAGGTCATGGAAGTAGTTGACGACAACCAGCCGGAAGACGGCCTCGTTCCCATCTACATCTACGCCACGACGGGCGAGTTCCGCGGCCAGAACATCCGCTTGGGAAGCAGGGGTGACTCTTATTATGAGTACCTCATCAAGCAGTACCTTCAGACGAACAAGCAGGAGCCCATCTACGAAGAGATGTGGGACGAGGCTCTTGCGGGCGTGCGAAAGCACCTGGTCACGTACACTGAGCCTTCCGAATTCACCATCATCGCCGAGCGCCCAGATGGCTTGGAGCACCCCATGTCGCCCAAGATGGACCACCTGGTCTGCTTCATGCCGGGGACCATTGCTCTGGCTGCCACCGGTGGGCTCACCGAGGCGGAGGCGCGGAAGCTGTCGACCTGGAACAAGAAGAAGGACGACGACATGCAGCTGGCGAGGGAGCTCATGCACACCTGCTGGGGCATGTACAAGTACATGAAGACGGGCCTGGCGCCCGAAATCATGTACTTTAACATCCCCAACCCTCCGCCGGAGTCATCGGCACCGCACCAGGCGCCGGCCGCGTTCGACGAGGATCCGCACGCCGAGTGGCGCAAGGACTTTGTGGTGCACTCCAACGACGTGCACAACCTGCAGCGGCCGGAGACGGTGGAGAGCCTGTTTTACATGTGGCGGATCACGGGGGACGTCAAGTACCGCGAATGGGGGTGGGACATGTTCAAGTCGTTTGTCAACTACACCGCGGTGGAGGACCAGGGAGGCTTCACGAGCCTGCTGGATGCCAATTCGATTCCGCCGACGCCCAAGGACAATATGGAGAGTTTCTGGCTGGTAAGTCGAATATTCCTGCTGCCCCTACCTCAATATATTCTTGTCAAAAGTTCTGGTGATTGCTAACGCATGGATGATGATGCTCTTTCAGGCCGAGACGCTGAAGTACATGTACCTGCTCTTCTCGCCCAACGACGTATTGCCACTGCACAAGATTGTGCTCAACACGGAGGCTCACCCGTTTCCGCGGTTTGACATGGGGCCGCTGTTTTCTACGGGGTGGAAGCGAAAGCCCCGGGATGGGAGTGCCAAGAAGAAGGCGACGACGGCGGCGACGACGGACGCTGAATGAATGAGTTGGATGAAAACGAAGAGGTGGATGATGATCTGAGCTGAGATGCCACTTGCATGACTGGCGTTTGTTGCAGTATTTATTCTTTGGTCGGTCTGTGGGCATGAAGATGGGATCAAACGATGGGGACGGTTGCCTGATATATATATATATATATATATATACCTATATATGTATATTCTAGGTATATGATGCGGCGTGTATATGACGTTGATTTGTCGTCCAGTCATTCAAAGTCTTGTCTGGTCTACTGCATGCATCTTCGATGTAGGTCGCCTGATGCATTACAAGCTGAGGATTAGTAGAAGATTGATGCCTAGAGATGGAAATGGAAGGATCGTGGGGGGGTTGAGCCTTGCGCCACGTGCAGGATGCGATCCCACGCGCTGGGAGGCGTTTTGGGGGCCTTGGGATGGATGGATGGATGCTGGTCAGGACAGGACCCTGACCGTTGGTGGCTTTGCGGTGGGTGATGCAATCTGTGCGACAAGCGGTTGTATGTATATACCTAGGTAGGTAGTTATGGCGCTCTGTGACTGGAAGGGCATGTACTGACGGGGAGCATTAAATCTTAGGTTCCTGATCATCTCATGAGGAAGAATGAATAACAACAGCCCTCTCACTCACTGTATTAACCTGCAGCTCAGCGTCATGCCCAATTGGCAGTTCCCCCTTATCAGCAACCTCAGCAGTCTCCACCCCACCTGATTCCAGCGCTCGCAGGCCAGCGTCGCATCCGCGATTAGCATCAGATCCCGGGGTTCTGGACCTGGACCTGAACCTGGACCTGGACCTGGACCTGGACCTGTGATGTGATGGATGCCTCGTGCAGTAGGTAACAGCCTTGCTTGCTTCCATCTCGTTGTGCAACAGGACTTAGTCTTATAAATTCACTGACTTCACAAGGGTCAATTGCTCTGCAGGAGTTGAGCGTTACTGACTGCCCGCATCAAGCGCCGCCATTGCCACAGCCGCTGGTGCTGACGGGCTGGACATTCTCGACGAATAAGTACTTGCATGATAGATAGATAGCAGTCAGCTCCCTCTTAATCAAGACGCATCCATCCATCTTTGCGCCACCCTTGTCCGACAATTGATAGTAGAAAAGGGCACCACCACTGACTGAATCCTTTCCGCGGCCAATCTACTACCTATCTATCTATTACTACTAGCCCAATCCTAATCAACTGTCCACCTCGCTCTTTTTGTCGCCTCGACCTCTTTACTATCGCCCTCTACCTTAGTCCGGCTCTATCTAATTTGAACCGAACCCGGCTCTGCGCCCCCCAGACAACCAAACCAACACGCCTCGCCATTTCCTCGCAATCCCTCATTCTTCTTCTTCTTCTTCTTTTTTTCCCTCCTCTCTTCTATTCTTGTGCCTTGCTGTGTCGCCTGCTGCTACGCCTCCATCGACAAATCAACCAGTCTTTGCCGCCATCTTTCCGGTGACGACAGTCCATGCAGACTCTCAGCGTCGCTCCTTGAGCCTCATTGTTTGTGCGTCTGCATGGCAGGCCATTGCGACACCTTTTGTTTCTGCAAGTCGGGATACCCGTGCCGAAGAAAGTGACGACATTCTGGATCAGCTCCGACGAATTCCGCTTCCTTGCGCGCCTCGCCTCCATTCCATACCCACGACGACGGTTTCACCACGATAGGCTTCACCTGAGGTCCTACGATTGATATACGACGACATATTACCCCCGCCGAGCGGCTTACTGCCATCACGACTCCGACGACTACTCTCCTCCCTCTCTCACCTACTCGCTCATACTGTTACAACACCTTTGCTTCCTCGCCGCACGGGAGCCCCCCCCCCCCCCCCCCCCCCCCCCCCCTTCCCCGGATCGAAAGGCGCAGAGAATAGGAAAGCCGTAATCGCAGCAACATCGTCGCCTCTCCACCCTCTCCCATCGACTGTCGGCAAACCCATAGCCAGCAACGCGCAAAACGGGCGTCGTCACATCTGCCAGCAGCAGCAGCAGCAGCATGGCGCCATCGCGAGACATTGAGCTCAACCCGTTCGGCACATACAAGATCAAGGAAGAGTCCCTCACCCACGGCAGCTCCTACAGCATGCGCGAGCCAAACTACGACGAGACCAAGGAGCCGCGCATCGACCGCTTCATCAACAGCTTCCGCCGCGACCCAAACTCCCGCTTCTTCCCCAGCCGCGACCTCGACGACATTGGCCCGCTCGAGAGCGTCCGCAGGCACAACAATGGCTCGCCCTTTTACGACCTGCGCCGCGCCGCGCTGGCGACGGCGCACTCCAACGGCCTGTCGCGAAAGCTCAAGGGCCGCCATCTGCAGATGATTGCCATTGGAGGCTCTATAGGTGAGCGCCATCCTGTTACTGTTGCTGCGAAGAAACGAAGATCTCCGAACTGACCCCTTTTGTTCTGCATTGCTGCGTCTAGGCACCGGACTGTTTGTGGCATCTGGCAAGGCGCTGGCTGCCGGCGGTCCTGCGTCTCTGCTGTTGGCCTTTTCCATTGTCGGCGCCATGCTGTTCTGCACATGTCAGGCGCTGGGAGAGCTCGCCGTCATCTACCCACTCGCCGGTTCGTTCTCATCGTGGGCCACCCGGTTTTTGGACCCCTCCTGGGGTTTCGCCCTCGGCTGGAAGTACGTTGTTTATCGCTGCTCAAGACATTTGTTTATTCCTGTCCTAGAGGTGTGCTAACAGTCCTTCTCTCAGCTATGCCATGCAGTGGCTGACCATCCTCCCCCTGGAAATCATTGCGGCGTCCCTCACCATTGGCTATTGGGACAGCCATCTCACCAGGGCCATCTTCGTCACCGTCTTCCTCTTCACCATTGTCGCCATCAACCTGTTTGGCGTCAAAGGCTACGGTGAAGCCGAATTCACCTTTTCCCTGGTCAAGATTGTCGCCGTCATCGGCTTCATGTAAGTTCAATTCACTCCGAGCTTTCCCGAACTGTGTGATGAACAGCATCGCATTCCTTCCCTGCTTGTCTCTCCTCTCACCACGGTACTAAACTGACAAATGCTAAAATTCGCAGTCTCCTCGGCATCGTCCTCAACTGCGGCGGCACGCCCACCACCGGCTACATCGGCGGCAGATACTGGCACGACCCGGGAGCCTTCCACAACGGCTTCAAGGGCCTCTGCAGCGTCCTCGTGACGGCGGCCTTTGCCTTTACGGGGACGGAGCTCATCGGCCTGGCGGCGGCGGAGACGGCGAACCCGCGCAAGTCGCTCCCGACGGCCATCAAGCAGGTGTTTTGGCGCATCAGCCTCTTCTACATTGTCGCGCTGACGCTCGTCGGCCTGCTGGTGCCCTACACGGACCCGCGGCTGAGCGGCTCCAACAACAACAAGGCCGACGCCCACGCGTCGCCCTTTGTCATCGCCATCACGTCCGCGGGCATCGACGTCCTGCCGTCCGTCATGAACGCCGTCATCCTCGTCGCCGTGCTGTCCGTCGGCAACTCGGCCGTCTTCGGCTCCTCGCGCACCCTCGCCGCCCTCGCCAACCTCGGCCAGGCCCCCGAGATCCTCGGCTACGTCGACCAGCGCGGGCGGCCCCTCGTCGCCATCATGGTCGCCGCCGCCTTCGGCCTGCTGGCCTACCTCGCCGACCTCAAGCAGCAGAATTCGGTCCTCGACTGGCTGCTCGCCATCTCGGGCCTCTCCTCCATCCTCACCTGGGCCTCCATCTGCCTGTGCCACATCCGCTTCCGCCGCACATGGGCCGCCCGCGGCCACCACCCCAGCGACCTGCCCTTCCAGTCCCAGGTCGGCGTCCTCGGCTCCTACATTGGTTTCGCCCTCAACCTGAGCGTCCTCGCAGCCCAGTTCTGGGTCGGCGCGTTCCCCATCCCCACAAGCGACAAGCCCATGACGGCAGCCCTCCAAGCGGAAAACTTCTTTCTCAAATGGATGGGCGCGCCGATTGTCTTGATTTTCTTCCTAAGCCACAAGATTTACTATCGGACGAGATATGTAAAGATCAAGGACATGGACATTGACACCGGCAGGAGAGATTTCAACGTCCCGATTCTCGTGCAGCAGGAGAAGGAGGAGTGGGAGGCGTGGCCTACGTGGAAGCGCTTCTACAAGTTTCTATGCTGAAATGGTTTCTTTACTCTTCTTTTCTTTGCGATTCTTTCTTTTCTGTTCTTGAACGCGTTTGGATACTTTTCTTCTTGGATATATTGACATTTTGTTTTGGAGGGCACTGCTGGATGTGTCTACCTCTATGTAAAGGGGAAGTGTGTCTTTTCTTACAATCAACTCTATCTAGCGGGCGTTTTGAATTCCAAGAGACAATACATCAACCTTCGAAACGGTCTGAACAATCATGATGTGGTATAAAGCACAACGTCTTAACCAGGTTCAAGGCTACACGACACCGTCATTATGACGCTCAAACATACAAGTTGGACCAGCTGTCATTGAAAGCAACCTCGTTATACACTGAAATCTGACCACCGCAGCCAGAACAAAGAGTGAAAACAAAAAAGGTAAAAAGACGTCGAAAACAAAAAGTATGTATATAAAACAGAAAAAAGGGGGGGGAACTTCATGATTCATAAAAGCTGCGTCCTGCAGGGGCATTAAAAACCATACATACTAGAGAAGCCCAAGGGTATCGCAAACTCTCTTGTTTTTCTTTCTTTCTTTCTTTTTTCTTTCTTTCTTTTCCTCTCTCTTGCTCCATCGCACGGCACTCACGCACTCGCCACACTCACCCCTGTTAAGACATTCCCTCTCCTCGCCTCAATCGACATCCAGTCCCGCAAGGCAAGGCCAGTCCACAGTATCGGCGTCGGCGCATCTACATGGTGTCCCAGAAGCTGCTCTTCTGCGTGCCGTGGTTCGCTTTCCGGGAAATGAGCTGCTTGGGTGGCTCGGCGGCGTCGTCGCCTCCGTACAAAAAGTCCCTCTGGGTGCCCTTCTTGCCTCCCATGCCGTCGCCGGCAATGTGGATCTTGCTGTCGGGCTGCGGCGCCTTGGCGGGCTGCGCTCGGTTCTCCTTCTGCGTCGCGGGCGATTCGTCAGCAAGAGTCCAGTTCGCAATCATGGTCGTCACGGCCTTTTGCCGGTTCTCGGGGACGGGCTGGCGCGCCGGACCGGGAGCGGGCGAGTCGTCCGTCATGGTGAAGTGGGGGTCAAAGTCCTTGCCGCGGTCCTTGCTTACATTGGTGATGTTGCCCAGGGCTCGGCCGGATGGCGCCTCTTCCTCGGGGCCTCGCTCAAAGAGGTTGTCCTTGTAGATGCTCTGGCTCTTGTTCTGGACGGAGCTCCTCGTCCGGATGGCAATGCGTCGCTCCTCTGGGGGCAGTTCGCCGTCGTCCTGCAACTCGAAATGGGTCTCAGCATCGCGTCGCGGCTTGCCAGCCGGGGCCTTGGCCGTCTCCGCCTGCATCTCCCCTGCGTCCCAGTTACGCGCGTCAGGGTTGGTTCCTTGTCCGCGGCCGGGCTTTGCCTTGACAGGGGTCGTGAAGTCATCAAAGGACCAGGTGCTGTCGTGCTTAGACTTGGGTCTCGGTGCACGGGGCTGCTGCTGTGCCTGGGTGGGCTGGGAATCCTCGCTCTCTTCCGATCCGTCGCCCAGAGCAAAGTGCTGGTATTTCGCTGGGTGAGCGCGAATATACTTTTGCGGCTTTTCCCCATCGTCGGAATCATCCTCGGGGTGCTGCTGTCCCTCAAAGATACGAATGGGCTGAACGTTCTTGCCGGCATTCATCTTGTGGGGGGACATGGAGCGCCTCTTCTGGTCATCGTCCCAGTGCTGGGGCTCGTCGGCCAAGATGTCGGTAAAGGCGCGCTGCTTGGGCTTGGAGCCGGCATAGGGCGAGACGACAGGCTCGGGATTCTCGTGGTCCTCGCGGGATCCAAAGAGGTGCAGCGAAGCATGCGGATCCCGCATGATGTTGGTCGAGCTGTTGCGCGACTTGGTATTGTGGCCGTTGCTGCTCTGAGGCTGAGGCTGAGCCTGGGCCTGGGCGGGAACAGAGCCAGACTTGACACAGGACTGGATCAGGCTGAGCTGGTCCTTGCCGTCCTTGATGGGCCAGTTGCGGCCACTTTTGCCAATAATCTCCATCTGCTTGAGAAGCGAGCCTTGGTCCCACTGCTGGCGGATCTGGACGATTTTGCCGTCGTCATCAAAGGCCACGATGTGCATCTGTTGGTTGCGCAAACAGCAATTGAGTCAGCCACGCGATCGCGAGTCGCATAATCGGGACAGCAAAGGGTAGCCGGGTCAAGCGCGACAGTGGGAAAGACTTGGATGGGCAACTCACAATGGGCAGAACGGCCTCCCGGTCGGTGATGAAGTTGTCGTCGAGCCCCGGCAGATACGCGCCGCCGCTGGTGACGAACTCGATGCAGGTGTCGACCTCGACGGCGATGGTGCTCTGGCCGTCAATCAGGCTGATGACATCTTCCTTCTTCTTCTTGACCTGCTTCTGCAGGGTGTTGAGGTGCTTGATGATCTCGGTGGCGCCGACAAAGGACGTCAGGGTGGTGACATAGTGAAGCGAGGCCTTGTCCGCCAGCAGCGACGAGCTGGGCGAGGCCAGGAACTGCTTGTACGTGGCAGCCATGGCGCAAACAGCGTTAAGAACGCGAAAAGAGGGTATGAAGATGTCGAGAGGAGCTGCGGGCGGTCTATCGAGGCTCTATATGGCGGTGATGGCGCGCAGATGAAAGGCGGAGGCGCTGAGTTCAAGTCCGGATCGCTCGCGACAAAGACGCTGCGGAGGGCGCAAAGTCTGGCAGAGATGCAAAGAATGCAAACGAGTGAAGGAAGGACAAGGAAGAATCGAGACAAGCTGGGCGGGCCGTCAAAGAGAGAAAGACGAAGAGGAAACGAGGCTCTCGCAAGCAGGTTGTAGGGGCCAGGCAGGGTACAAGTACTGGCCGAGTTGGCATCTGCAGATGGACTTGACCAGACGGGATCAAAACAAGCTGCTACTGGTACCTAGCTTTGGCGGGGGTTCCTCTACATGTACAGTACTACCTTACCTTAGCCTGCCGCGACGAGGATAGCGCTGGACTGGTTCACTGGACTCCCGAGAGGTAGGGGACCTTTCCAGTGAGGCGCGCCCCGGCGCAGCGCTGTTGCTCGTCGGGCTCTAGGGCGACGGCCCCCCTGGAGAGCCGGCGGCAGCAGGTAAATTGAAATGAAAGGACGCAAGGCGGCCGCGATGCTGCAGCGGCGAAACAAGGGGCCTCCCAGCGCAGTTGCCGGGACGGACGCGGCGCAGTTACTGCTTGTCTTGCTTGGTTGGGGGTGACTGCTCAGATCTGTTTCTACGGTCATCACCATGGCTTCTATTCGTTGGTATTCTAGGTACCTACCGTTCAGACCGCTGGTTCCTCTGTCTTCCATGTCTACAACAGGGCCATGCAGGAGAACCTGTAGTACTGTATGTACTGTACCTGCAGAGATGCAGAGATGCAGTCGAGGTGAGAGGGACCTTGCCCAGACGAGGCTAGTGCTTCCGGGCCTGGTGCTTTTTATCTCGAACCCCATGTGCTCGTACGCGCGTGTACACGCATGTATCCTGATCTGACCTACGATAGGGTGGGTATAAGCCAGCTGCCGCGTTTGATGCAACAACTTGACGCGCCTGCGAATATCAAGTACTACAACTTCTAAGCCAAATGCAATGGTCGTATCTGTGTGTGCATCCAGGCACTGTAATGTTGAGACAGTTCACGCAGGTACGCATCTGTACCTGACCCGACTCGCCGTCCCATTGGTGAATCTGGCGGCCCAAGGTGGTCACGGCGCGGTTGACGCGCAGCAGAAGCGAGGGGCAAGAGGCGCGGGTTGAATGGAGGGGCAGGTCCATGCAGGTACTTGGCGGTACTTCCACCTTGGGCAGCTTGCGCAGAGGCCAGCTTCGCCAGGTTACCAGGTACCTAAAGGTAGCTCCCCTAGTAAAGGGGACGGCAGGAACAGTAGGCTAAGAGCCCCTTCTAGAGAGGTCGGTCACATAACTATAAGGAAGGTTAATAAAAAGCTACATAAAGGCTATAAAGATCTAGTCTCTTACTTCTATATATACACTTACTAGCTAGTTAATTAATTAATTTTATTATATTAAGACCTCTTTTTTATTAAAAACCCTTATATCTCCTTTATAATAACTAAAATAAGGGGTTATTAGTATTTTATTATATTTAAAATAATTTATTTATAATATGCCTATATTTTATAAGTAGTAAAGAGTATAGCTATATAGCTAGTTAAAGCTAAGTATTATTTATATCCTTTTAGTATATTAGCCTATATAACTTATTAAATTTACTTATTATTTTATTTATTCTTTTTAAGACTTATTTATTTTATTAAAATATATAAAAGTAATACTTTTAGTATAAAAGCTATATTATATATATTATTATAAAAAAACCTTTTTAAATTACTATTAAGATTATAAGGTTTTAAAAGTTTAATTAAGCTAGGCTAATTATAGTAATTACCTTTATTTTTTAAACTAGGCTTAAAAAGCTAAGCCTTTACTTACTAGAAAATAAAATTATAAATTACTATAGCTTTAAACCTAGTAGCTAGATTTATATCTGCCTTTATTATAAATATAAACCTACTAAAAGAAATTATATAATTATTATAAAATAAGTTAAAAATTAAAAATTCTAGTTCTTTTACTTACTTTTTTATAAATTAAAACCTAAAACCTAATTTTAATATATAGTTTAATATATAAAACCTTTTAAACTTATTAAAGCCTAAAATAAAATACTATTTAAAGCTAAAAGAGGATAATAATTAAAATAATATAAGTAATATAGGAAATACTATAAGGTATATATATACTATAGCAGTAACTTTATTTAATAAATCCTACTTTATTTTTTACTAGCTAAATTACTTAAAAGTATTCTTAAATAATAAAAATCCTATCCCTTTTAGTTATATAATTAAATATATTAATATAAACCTTATTAGCTTAATAGCTAAATTTATAAATTTTATTAATTTCTTATAAAAAATTAATAATAAGGCCTTAAATAAAATAGCTATTATAAAAAACCTAAATATATTTTATAATATATTAAAAGACTAATTTTCTATTTTTATATATATACTTAAC